CAATACATGATTCTGATTGGTTAAAACCCCCTGACAACGGTCATGAACTGAAGAACAAATTAAATCAATCTGCAGAAAAGTAGTCCCAGCATACTCGACTTTTCACTCATTACTACTATTTTGAACTTTTATCTCATTAATTTAACTTTTCATCAGAATTGAGACTCTAAATTGAATCACTTTGACCTATTAACTCATATATCGACTAACTTTATAATCATTTAAACTTTTTAATATCAAACTTAGCTATTTATCCCATAACTGACCTTTTATTCTCAGAATTATGACGAACTTTTTAACTATTTTTAATAGTTAAAAAAAGTTTAATTTAAAATTTTATTTTTATGACTATCGTAATGATAACTTACTAATTAAATTTTTTTTGCGATATCTCACAATTCTAACTTTTGATTTTTTATTGTTTTTACTTATCGTCTCATAATTCAAATTTTTTCTCATGATTTTGATTTTTTTGTTGAATGATCAGGATTTTTATTTTAATGTTTTAACTTTTTAATGAAATTTTTCAGTTATTTAAAAGGAGCTATAACTTTATAACATGTACAGATATAACTTTATAAATTCAATTTTTTATGATTATTTTTTAAAACTATTATCAGATGTAATTCATTACTAAAGGAGCGTGAACGTCAAAGCTCTGAAGACACGCTGTGAAGAACCGTTCACTTTAAGGTAAAGGAAAAGATCGGTTTAATCCGAACTATGACAAATAAGCAGCGACTAATGTTCCTACAAACGTCCCACTAAAAAGGTTAGCTTCATGGTTATCATGTTGACATGCCGATATTCTAGCTTGACCGTTATTTCAAATGTTAACTTCGATGTAAACGCGTTTCCATGGTAACCACCAACAGCCTCAGGTGAGGGACTACTTTCTTTATCCAAACACGTATCGTTCTAATGGATCAATAGGATCTGCGTTAATAAATAACATCTGGACTTTCTTCGTCATACAGCTCTGAGTTTAAAAATACACTTTAAGTTAAATCTGTTTAAGGACACATTTTTATCCCAGACTTCAACATTATCATTTAAAAGCTCAAAAAGAGAACGGTACATGTTCAAACTGTCACGAATTTCAAAGAAATTAACCGTCTTCACTGCAGAACCTGAAAACTTGTTAAAGTTTTTCTTTTTTCTTACAAATAGTTTCATTAGTCGTGATACGAGCGAAAATTACCGGCAAAATTCTGCTGAACGACTCATTTTAAGAGCCAAAGTAAATTTTTAAAACTTTATCATGAGAAAGAAAAAAGATGACTGGGCAAGAAAAGTTGTCAGGTTTCTTTAGGTTTCCTGAAATATGAATTATGATCATAACTTATGTTGATTTTTAAACCCCACGATCAGATCAGTTTTTACTCATTATCAGCGGTTCAGGTCTAACTTTAGACCTCAGACCTGAACCAGAACTCTTCTCCGACTTTTCCTCTTTCACAGACCCTCAGACCCGACCGGACCAGCTGATCTGGTGTCAGCTGTTTGATATAAAACTGGCTTGAAATGAGTCGAGTGAAACTAAAAAGGATGTTTCAGTGCAGAGAGGAGAAAAGCGTCCAGAGGACCCGACCCGTTTACAGAGTTCTTGTTGAACAGAGTGAATCATGATGGATGGAGTTCAGATTTTACTCCTAAGTTCACAAACAGTTTTTTTTTAACAGTTTGATACGAGAAAAAAAAAAAAAAAAGGTGTGGACATGTTTTTATTCTGGATGAATGGACTCGTCTCTTCACGTCTCTGTTGCACTGAGGTCAGTCTGTCTGCCCCTCGAGTCTCTGTAGGACGAGTGTTCAGGTCTGAGCTGGACAACATGGCGGGTTTTTATTGTATGAAAGACTGCATTCATTAAAAGCTACATACACACTCATTCAACACATCTGAACATCAGAAACTAATAATGGATCAATTATAGATTTTTGAATCTTTTTATAACTCATTGAAAATCTTAAGTTATGAGTTTTGCACAATCAGAGATATGGATGACTCGACTGGCAGGTGGGCGCACTGTCGCGACCCCATCCGTCCCGGAAACTCGATTTGTAGTGAGCATGTGCGAAACCAATGTCTTCCTCTCTTCGTATTTCAATGTATTTCAATTATTGCCACTTACCCAACCCGTACTGCGCAGGTGCAAAGAAAAACTTTATTTAAACTCCAGATCAATTGCAGAAACCAGCTGGCGATGCGACAGGTTAGCCAGCAGGAGGCTCCGAGGTATTCGCCAAAGCTCCTGTCCAGCACGGTGAGACCTTTTTGGCCACAGAGAGCGCCACCACCTGGTCAAAATGATGGTTCTCTGACTTTTCAAAGTATCAAGAGGGGATTTATTTTATTATCAAGAAGCCGACACATTATGGACGATGAATTTCAGCGTTTAAATTTCAACACTGATATATTCACATTCATTAAAGCCTTTTAGAACTACGTTACAATTTTACTATTTAGCTGAACCTATAATTGTAAAACTGGGCGCCATTCTCTTGACTTGCGGCGCTCTGCCTCAGTCAGGGGAAGCTGTTATAAACTGAAGCATCCGTTTTGACTGTAGCAAGCTCGCTGATGTCGAATCTGTCGCAAACCGCGAGAGGCAAAGAATTACCAGGCCGTCGCAAAGATGGCTAGTAGAGGAAGTGACGTACGTTTCGGGTTTACAGGACGGATCAGGTAGCGACACGCGCTGTAGCTGTTAGCGAGGATGCTAAAATCCTTCGACCACCGTTACGAGGTTGACTCTAAGTCAGCCTGAGTCATCATTTCCATTATGGTAACTGCTGTCGGCAAACTTTAGGACTTCACAAACGGTCGATGTCACTGACCCAACTTTAACAAGGCAACTGTGACGTCAATATCACATGTGGGCGTGGCTACATCTCCAAATACACCTCATTTTCTCGGCTGATACAAAACAATAAGATTTTGTGATTTCCACGTTCTGATTGGAGGAGAAAGGAGGTTGAGATGATGATGGATTTAGATCTTGTTGGGTCTCCTGATCTCTGAAATTTGGTTCCATGTTGTCCAGCTCAGGTGTGTTTTTGTCGCCCCCTGCAGAGCCTCACAGGAGCTCCTTACCTGCTGCTGCTGCTGAGTTTATTTACAGGTGAGTTTTGTTTCTGCGGCCTGCAGCTGGCGTTGAGGTTTAGCCGTTAGCGTTCTGCTACGTAGGGAAAGGTAAACGTCTGATTCACTGAATAAAGAAAGAGTCTGTATACCTGATAGTTCCTGGTTTAGCCTGAAAAGGGAGTGCGGCGGCGGCAGCGGCGGCGGGTTCTGGGAGGGGAAACTGAGTCCGGCCAGCCGAGTGAGGACGAGCCGCTGGCTTCAGTTGCATAAAAAATGATGGGTCCTCTGAGAGTCTGATTCACAGCCGTATAGAAAAACAGTAACAGCCAATCTGTGTGCTACCTGCCTACCTAGCATACATCTGCACTTAGCTTGCTTACATTATTATGCAAAAACATCTTAGTAGTTTAAATATGCGTGTCTGATAATATGTGAGGGTTAATAAGAGTTCAGTTCTTATAAAAAGTTCACTTTGATCCCGTCTCTCTCTCTCTCTCTCTCTCTCTCTTGCTCTCTCTAAGTGCTGAAGTTGTTTTACCAACGAGGCCACGCCGTCGTTCCTTTGGTTGCCAGGTGGTTCTACCATTTTCCCCCTATAGCAGGTGAACTTTGACCCTCTGAAGGGGTTGTTAAAGTCCAGCTCCATGGCCTGGCTTCTACATCCATCTGGTCTGACAGGGTCCAGCTCCACATCCTGTCCCTATCCCTCCATGTCGACCTGATCAGAACTGTCTGCCGTGATGACACGTCAACTCTGCTGCTCAAATGAGGTCTAACCCCAAATTTCCACCGTATGCGGAACGGCTGCGATTTTTGCCATCTGCCAATTCCTACCGGATCCGTTGGTGAGGCGAATTCCGTGGCGGATTACGGACAGCAAGATCGCAAGAACTCACAAGAACCCGCAGATTCACGTTCAATCGCTCGATAACGAGTCGTCTCTCTAAAGACAGACACATAGACATATAAGCAGTAGATTGTGTCCTTCCAGAGGAGGAAATCTACTTCTAGACTTCTAGAATCAGCATCTCCTCATCCATGGTGTCATCGGGGTGAAATGACGTCTAAAAACCTTTCACTTGTTCGTCTCCGCCCGTTTGCATGGTGTGAAATACGATCCTCCTGAAACACGGAGTGTTTTATTTTGAAAAGAAGCCGGATGTTTTATTTTGTGTCTGTGCCCGACTTCCTTTCCAGCACGGGTTAATCTGTGCTGAATTTATCCGCCATGCACCGGCGTCCAGAAAAAATAGAACTCTTATGATCAGCTGAGGAGTCCGGCGATCCGCAGAGGAACGGAAAGAAGTCGGTGTAAATTGACACGTTAACTTGAATGGTTACGATCAGCTACGATCGGAGGATACGACCTTTTAGTAGCCGTTTTGGATGCGGTGGAAATTGGAGGTTTCTGTATCTTTAAACACTGCATCACCATGACGACACTAAGCTAATGACATTTATTACATTTATCCTACATTAAAAGCTTTTAAAGTTTTTGTGCTCTGAGTTAGACAAAAAAAATAAGCTTGAATCTGTTTAGTTTAATTTACTCAAGCTAGCTTTGATAGCTATACGGTCTTTTAACCACAACAGTAATAATAGAAGCAAACAGTTAGCTTGTTGGCTAATTCAAATTTTCTTTATCTGACTAGGACCAACTGAGCAAATGAATTAGCTTCCAAGCTGATGTTAGCATTTAACTCTCTACAGTAATTAGCGACGTTCACCCTTGTAAGTCCTTAGGTTTGTTCTGTTTCTCTTGGCTTGAATTAAAAGCTTTTAAATATCTGTGGCTTAAGTTCGACCTCTGTGGATGGATTCTTAGTTTTTCCGGCGACAGGCAGCAGGTCTAACACGTCATCGGCTGAATCTGACGTCACTGATCAGGTCGACACCGTCTCCTCAAACGTGTAACTTCTTGCGTTCGTCACACACATTGTCAGAGCAAAAAAGTTTCCAAGAAGAAAAAAGAAAAAACGAGGAACACATGCTTGTCTATAAAAATATCTGAGAAGACTGACGGGGCCCTCTGTGTGAGTAGGTCAGCGCGCCCCCCGGTGGTGCTGTGCTGTGCAGTGCAGCAGCTGTATTGCGTAGTGATGAGAGGTAACTGAGCTGTGTAGCTTATCTGAGGCTGGACTTGGTCCAGGTTTCCTGCTGTGAGTTTGTCAACAGGCTGCCGGATGGTTCCTTAAATCTACCCCAACGTTCAAAACCGAGAAACTCAAATGTTCAAGAATTCGGGTTCACACCAAATGACCCTGTCCAGTGTGATCAGAGTTCCAGTCTGCTAGGAGATTCAGGATCAGTAATATTTATTTATATGTTCATAACTGGAGCTTTCAAGTGCGTCACATGACCTTCTCCGAGGCTGAAAATGGGTTTTTGGGGGGACTGTCCTTTGCTAAGAGCACACTTGTGCTTTCCTACCATGAACCTGCTGAGACCAGTCTCCATAGGCGTTCCTCTCTGTCTACCTTGTCACCATAAAAACTCGTTATGTGCCCGACTGCTCTTCCTCGACACAAGTTCATATTCCACCAGGAACACTTTGGATTACCAAATGTGTTCTCAGCACGCCATCTTTACCCAGGATGCATCATTGGTAACTTGTCTCAACCGTCAGGCTGCCTCTCTGTTTGCAGTCTTGGTTTTAAGAGAGCCCTCTGAGAGCAAAGACCTGGTCACACCTGGACAGGTCCTATTTACATGGGAGGTTCATGAGACACAGTAGAAAGCTCCAGAGCTGCTAACCAGGTGAATGGACGAGTTTAGATGATTGAGAAAAGGTTAGAAAAGGCCGATCGAATCAAGAAATTAAACTTTAAAGTTTAGTTTCAGCGAACCTGATTATTTTTCAGATTTCAAATATTATTATATTAGAAGGTCACAAAAATGATATGTATTGGCGTGATATTCTAACATGGGACACCGAATGGAGCTGCGTTTTGTGTGGTGCACCAAGTCAAGGTGCTTGGCGATTGAGCCCCGTACAGGAACTCGGTTGTCAGCACGGTGGTTCTGTTTGCATTAGATCAGATTGGTGGATCTGTTTCATATGAACTCAAGACTTCACGTTGATAATATGGACTGAAGATGTTCAGAAACAGATCGACAAATTCAAGCTGAAAGTGCGTTGGGTGTTTGTCGGTTTGACCGAAACACGTGTTCAGACCTCGTTCAGTAGGTTCGTTGAAATCAGGTTACTGCAGTCGTTAATTAATTCAGACTGCTGAGGTCTTGTCCAAAACAAGACATTTATTTTGGAAAACGTTGCTTTTTCTGTGCGTTTTTGGCCTTTTGTAAACACGGGAACCAGAAAAGCAGCGATTTTCAAAAACACCCTTCAGGGTAGACATTTTTGAAACTCCATCCTTGTGTGTTGGGACAGCAAAAACGAACGTTTTTTCAGCTGCCGATGCCATGAGATGCCCATGGTAGGTGTTGTATATTTGACTCGTGCATCAGATGGCGGTCTACTGTCGCGGGTCTGCTCTGTGCTTGTATCTGTGTTGGTTCACTTGGTTCGTCAAGTTTGGGGAGGAAACAGAGCTAGACTTCTAGCAGCTGAAATTATTTGGCACGATTGGAAACTTTGAACTTCTGCTTTCATTCAGGTTATGAGGAATTCACTTTTAACAGCCTCTGAGGCATTTACACATCATGATGTGGTCTTTGTCAATCTGCTTATCCAGAAACTCCTCATCAGACATAATGATCTCACTGTAAGTTTCAGGCACACTAGTGAAAAAAGGGCTCATAAGACCTGAAGAACCAGGACCTAGAGTTCACTTCTGTTCTAAGTGAGGACTACATTTTCTTTCAACAGGTCACTACGTTTAAACGGCTCTGCAGTCCAGAAACTGGGATCACACTGGAGTAGATCTTCAACAGTTGAAGTTTTCTCGTTGAACCTTTTTTGTGCAACGTCATTTTTTCATGCCACTGTGGCACTTGAAGAGCGCACAGGATTAATATTAGTAATCTTGCTGCTCCAGATTGTCTCAAGGCAAAAACGAAGGATTGAAATGTTAAACTGGCACTGAGTAGTTTGGCAAGTTTCCACCAGACAGACTGTTGTGATGCTGTATTGTGAACCTGTAATAAAAACCTGTAATACCTGGAAATATAAAAGTAGAAATCTGTAACATAAACTAGACGGAGGCAAACGAGGACCACTGAGTGGTGTATGAGGTTGTTGGAGTGTGTGGCGTTTCTTCATTTTAGCTTAATCTGTTCCGTTTGGTTTGTGAAGGTAGATGCGGTTTAAAGCGGAAAATCTCAGTTTGGACTCTGAGGTGTTCGTTCTGCTTTGACTCCAGCAGGTTCAGTTTCCTGTTGGTTCAGGTACAACAGGGTAAGACTGTCAGCCCCCCCCTCCACCCCACCCCGACCTAAACCCCTCCCTCCTCCTTCCTTTGAGGTTAGTCAGGTCCTGTTGTAGAGACAGAAGCCTGAGGACCCTCACTGTACTGGCCCCCACCGCTGCTGCTCCCACCACCACCGCCTTCAGGATCCTCTTGGCTGGGGGAGGCCTCGTCGCTCGGCCCTCCCCTGGACGTGATGGAGGTGGTGGTGGTCTCAGGGGAAGCGCTGTGGGCCTCCTGGGGGGCACAGCCAGGGTGATTCTTTCGGAAGTGCTGGTTGAGGATGGCCTGGAAGGGGAAACTCTTTCCGCAGACATGGCAGTGGAAGGGCTTGTTGCCGGTGTGCTTCCGGATGTGGTACTCCAGCTGGTCCTTGCGGGTGTACTTCTTCCCGCAGATGCGACAGACGAATGGTGTGATGCCCATGTGCAGGCGCATGTGGCGGTCCAGGCTTCCCTTCTGGTTGAAGGACTTGCAGCAGTAGATGCAGGTGAGCCTGGGGTTGTAGCGGAACCAGCGGTCTCCTACCTGCTCCCTCAGGTAGTCCTCATAGCCCCCCATGTCAAACGCAGCATGCTCCTCCCCCTGACAGGTGAAACAAACTGTTAACCCAGGCTAGCTCAGAAGAAAGTGGATTTCTAAGACCTGGATGTGCATTTAGGCTAGTACTTCCTGCTCTGGCTCAGGTATTAGACTTGCCAAGTTTGAGTCCTCTTAATCACTTGCTCAGAGGTTTGGGGTGGCCCTTCATGAACCTTATTCCTAGGGTCAGAAATGTGTCATCCTTGATTTTTTGAGACCAAAGGGGGATACGCAAGTGGTCTTTGCAAACAAGGACTGGATCTTTCCCAGAAGTGTGGTCCAGACCAAAGTTACAAGGACACATTTTGTTGGTCTTGACTCATCTAACCACTGACAGGGGGACCCAAACATTGCTCTGGGGTTTCCAACCTCATGCCCAATGCTGGCAGTGAACAGTTTCAGCCACATGCAACCCCATGCAGTATTAACAGATGTAGCTGGCGGGTGGTCAGGGGCTATAGCAGCAGTGTTGGGGACTCTTTGGGCACTTAATTGCTGCCATTGGTCAATCTCCTGCTCCGCCTCTCCATCTAATCACCTTGCTGTATTCGACACACCCCTCTCCCATAGTTCTGACTCGTCCCCTCCCACTCTCCCAGCCCTCAAAGTAAAAGATTTATGTGGTTTTATCTCAGTTACTGTAGGTTTAATCCAACAGGCCACAGCACATCTACCTGGGCTGTTTTTATAGTTCACTAGAGTGTGGCTTGGTTTTCGGTACCTGAGAGCTCGGCTGTCGCAGCTCGTCGGCCCTGCTGGGAGATTCGCTCTTCGCTCTCTGACGCTCCGTCAAGACGACCACACTGCCGGTGGGACTGAACCTGACACAAACACACATATTGACACACACTTACAGCCATCTGGTGTCAGGTATCACAGTTCAGTCCGGCTGTCGTCCTGGTGACTCACCTGTCCGTCTCACTGAAGCTGGAAGATGGTTGAGTGCTCCGAGTCCCCAGCGCCCCCACTGGCCCCGTCAACAGCGTGCTGCGTCCTGATGTGTCGATCATCACGGTGGTTCCCTCCTCCACTGCCCCTCCCTCTTCCTGGTGCTCTCCTGCTCCGATCCAGTCCTCCATCCTCTCTGTCTTGATCCTCACTCGCTCCATGCCCCCACTCTCTTCCGCACTGCCGCTTCTCTCTGGCTCGCTGCTCGTCTCCACATACCACTGACCAGCTCGGTTGATACGAAGGATTGGCTCTTTTCCTGTTCTGATGGCGCCGGCTTCAGTGCCTTCCAGTCCGCTGTGCTCTACCGTTGGAGGGGGGCTGAGAGGTTCCTCAACTGGGCTGATTGCCTCGCACGCTTCTGCTCCTCCTCGCGGACCAAGGAGCCGCAGGGTTGCAGAATGACCACCTCGCACTACTGCCTCCAGGGTCCGGTTGCCCCTGGATACCCGTATTGCATCCTCAGAGGTCTCCTCATCCAAGTCAGCCAGGCTGATCTTCAGGTGGATGCCCTCCAGGATCTGGGTGCACCGGTCGATGATGTGTTGCATCTGAAGGAAGCTGGCAGCTGTCAGGTAGCTGATGATGTCGGCGAGCTGCAGGCACAGACGGCCCGTGTAGCAGAAGGACAGCAGCTGCTCAAACACGGACGGGTTGCGAATCACGGTCAGCGACACAGTGCTCATCTGGCTCAGAGACATGTGGTCCCGGAAGTACGGCGAACTGGCGGCTAGCACAACCTTGTGTGCCCGGAAGCTCTGGCCTTGAACATTGACCACGATATCACAGAGCCGTCCCTGAACACGCAGCTGGTTCAGGTGGGACAGAACCGAGTTACTGAAGTCTGGGATGTCCAGCTGGATGCTGCCGGAGCGCTCCATGCTGCAGCCTGCAGGGTCACTGCAAGAACAAGGTTTCAGGATCAGACCAAAACCACATCAAACCTTGTGCAGAACAGATCTGCAGTTTTCTAAATCAGAGTGTTTGTTTGTGGTATAATTTGTTAAGTCCCAGTGTGTTGATTGAGCTGATCAGGCCAATCAATTAAAGACATTTTGACACAATAAGCTTGAAACAGACATTTGCCAGTAACTCATAGGATAGTTATGGCCTGACCATGATGCAGGGCTGGACAGTGCGACCGTTTCACTTGCATTAGCGACTAAAAATAGATGTGTGCGAATTGTAAAATGTATTTAGGGTCACATGTGCGCCAAAAAAAAAAAAAACAAGTGTTTTTATTTCCTGTAGTTAGTTTTAGGTTGGATATATTTTCCTGTAAATACGGCGGTGAAGTTAGTTTCAGGTTGGATATATTCTCCTGTAAATACGGCGGTGAAGTTAGTTTCAGGTTGGATATATTCTCCTGTAAATACGGCGGTGAAGTTAGTTTTAGGTTGGATATATTTTCCTGTAAATACGGCAGTGAAGTTAGTTTTAGGTTGGATATATTTTCCTGTAAATACGGCGGTGAAGTTAGTTTCAGGTTGGATATATTTTCCTGTAAATACGGCGGTGAAGTTAGTTTTAGGTTGGATATATTTTCCTGTAAATAAGGCGGTGAAGTTAGTTTTAGGTTGGATATATTTTCCTGTAAATACGGCGGTGAAGTTAGTTTCAGGTTGGATATATTCTCCTGTAAATACGGCAGTGAAGTTAGTTTTAGGTTGGATATATTTTCCTGTAAATACGGCGGTGAAGTTAGTTTTAGGTTGGATATATTTACCTGTAAATACGGCGGTGAAATTAATTTCAGGTTGGATATCTGACGGACATTCTCTGAGGATCTACCGGTGTCTTCTCACTCTCCATAACCGGGAATAACAACAGCAGCGCGGTTAAATCTACTCGACACCCTCACTGTCAACGTCGGTGTTGAATAAGGGACCGTCAATAAATTACCGGTTGATGTTCTCAGAAAAGGCTGTTTTCCTTCAATAGCTTCCATGTCATCTGACCAACTGACCTAAAATTGATTTCCAATAATAGTACTAAGGTCGATCAATAAGACAAACATTATTGATCAATTTTCATTGTTCCCCTAAAGTTCTTTGTGCTCCTTACTTTTTCAACTTAGAACACGTGAAAAAAGTGAGTGTCAGCCCTGTTTGATGACAAAAAAAATTAAACATAAGGTAAAATATTTCGAAGGCCTCTCAGACCTACATGTCTGTAAATGATAATTTAACAGGGGTCTCTTTTTCCTCTCTATCCCAGTGCATCACTTACAACAATTGTCTTCTTTATTTGAGGATTCAGCACCAACGCAGCGAGACAATTAAAGGGATATTCTGGCGTAAAACTAATTCAGGGTCAAACCCACAGTAACACTGAGTTAGACCCCCCCCCAGAGATGAATGTTGCCGACCGCTTGCTTCTCTAGTTATACCAACTTTAGTAACGACCGCAGGATAGTAATACAGAGAGACACGCCCCCAAACAAAACGCCACTCTATAGCCACAAATAATGCTCAGAACAGCACCTAACTTCATCAACAGGACATATAGGGTCACAGACATAGTACTAGACACCAAACATCTTTTTAACTTTGACTCATTTCTTTAGCAAAGAGACTAAACACAACTCACCTACTCTCTTCCAGCAGACGCTTGTTTGTAGAGAGACCTCAGGCCAGTCCATTACAGACTACAGCGGGGTGCCGCAGCTCAAGGAAGAACATTTAAGATCATTTCTTTATCATTTCCCTGAAGTAATAATCACAATATTGATCATTTTACAGACGCGGTCGTTCTTCTGCCTTAGTGTCTCGATCTTATTGTATTTCCATGAAGGAGCACATGATTGGTTCAGCGCGAAGTGGACCCGGAGCAACTCCCCTTTTCATTGGCTGTTCGTAAAGTCGATCAAAACATGTCACAATGACGACTTTTGAAAACCATATTGATCATGTTTTATATTGATATTGAGGTAAATTAATTTTGAATATATATCGTTATGGTGTTATCGCCCAGCCCTACATCCACCTTTCAGAGTTCACACTGCAGCACCTGAACTGACCTGCAGGTACCTGACACCACCTGAGGAACCAGTCTGACCTCCATTCAGGGTCTGGACTGGACCCTGAGACCCTGAGCCCCCCACCACCTGACCCATTCTGACCGGAAACTCCATGGTCAGACTCTGACAGGTCTCAGGTGTCATCAGAAGACCTGCTCCAGTTTTAAAGCAGAACCAGGAACCATACCAAACCGGGACCCGACCAGGACCAGTGTGACAGCAGGGCTAATCATCTGATACAGAACCTGGGAGCAGATTTGGACCCGTGCCGGTCTGTCTCATGGGACCAGGTGCACCTCCAGGTGTGTGACTCACCTGAAAGGGGGTCTGGAGAGATCGGGTGTGGTTTCAGGGTGCGGTGTGGTTCGAAGCTTCGGTCCTGCAGCTAGCTGAGCATCATTAGCGGGGCTGTAGAGGACGGCAGCTCGGTTCGGCTCGGCACGGCTCGGCCCGGCAGGCTGCAGCTCCACCCGCCGCTCCTCCGGGCTCCTCCGGGCTCTGAGGCTCCAGCGGCGGACGTGACAAGTTCAAGGCCGGGGGGAAGCAGCTGAGCTCGGGCTCCGGTCTGTCAGCAGCCGCTCTGCCTCCATCCCGCTGGGAGTCAGACTCGGTTCAGGTTCGGCTCGGTGTCGGTGGACTGCTGCGGACTCTCATCTTCCTTTTTCACGGCAGAAGGGCCGAGGCTGCAGGAAGGAAGGAGGGAAGGAAGAAAACGCGCGGGGTGTGATGGGAAATGTAGTGTAGATCCCGCAGCGACGCCACCTCATCAACCGTGCCGGGGACTACATTTCCCGGCATGCAACCGCGATGAGAGGGGTCATCACGGCACTTTGAGTTTGGCAAAGTGGAGTTTTGGCACACACATACATACACACGCACGCTCACACGTAAACGCACACACACACGCACACACAGCAGGGCTGACGCTGTTACAGTTTATTTCCGGTAAATTTCATATTTATGTTGAATTTAAACAGTTTTATATAAAAACAGAAAATATGTAAAAAATCCTTTTATGTTTACGGAGGAAGATTCAGACTGAAACACTAAAATTTTATTATTCTAACACTGAGATTAAAATGTTTAAGAAAATAATATTCTGTAGTTTCAAGTGTTTTTATTCATGAGCATAATAACTGTTAACATCTATCTATCTATCTATCTATCTATCTATCTATCTATCTATCTATCTATCTATCTATCTATCTATCTATCTATCTATCTATGTCACAATTAGGCCTGAGCATTTTAATATCAAGAGCCATAATGGCCCCTGAATGGTTTCTTTCTTTCTTTCTTTCTTTCTTTTTTTTCTGTTTTTTCTTTCTTTATTTGATTCATTCTTTTTATTTCTTTTTGTCTTTCTAGTTTCTTTCTTCTTCCTTTCTTCCTTTTTTCTGTCTTTTTTCTTTCTGTCTTTCTCTACATTCTGTTTTTCTTTTTTTCCTTCTTTCTTTCTTTCTTTTTCTTTCTTTCCTTCTTTTTTCTTTCAGTCCTTCTTTCTTTTTCGTTTTCTTACTTTCTTTTCTTCCTTCTTTCTCTTTTCTTTCTTCCGTCTTTCTCTCTTCTTCTTCAGTGATCGTATACTCAGAGACCCTCACACGCCTGTATAAATGAACTGATTCTCTGAACCGACAAAAGTTTCCTGATTTAAATGTTTGATGGTCTAATCTTCAGGAGTTTGACTCCCACGCTGCGTTGTGTTGTAGAACCACTGAAGAAAATCGTTATCAATATTAAAATTGATCACTGAAGCGTTTCTCAAACTTTAAAAAGTTTTTCCTCCTCAGACTTTTATGTCATGAAACAGGAAGTCACTTCAGCTCGGTCATTCAGTCTTTAATCAGTTTGATATTTCATAGACATGATCAACGTCAACCCTACTGTGGTCATAGCGCCATCTAATGGACATACATGGTACTAACTTTAGATGTCTGAAAATGTCAGAGTATCTTTGTGAGTGTGACTCAAGTGAGAAACAAGCAGCTGCTGAGTTTTCACAGTAAATAAAGTAACTGTAGACAAAACACAGACGACTCCAAGGTTTATTTTCCTCTGATTCACGGACAGTTTCACGGACAGACGTGTCAAATCTCAGGGTTGAAGGGAAAGACCGTTGAAGAGTACTGTTCATGCAATACCCTTAAAAAAGTCCTTTTTAAGAGCTACCGTTTTGTTTTTTAAACACTTTTTCATGACAACATGTTAAGAAATTACAGTCTGATAACAGCAGAAATGTTCTCGTTGGTGTTTGGCGCTAATCTATACATCTCTGTTGAAGTCTCATGGTCCAGTAGTGGTCTCAGTAGTGGTCTCAGTGGTGGTCTCAGTGGTGGTCTCAGTGGTGGTCTCAGTGGTGGTCTCAGTACAGTCCCAGGTCTTGTCTGTGGTCAGGTTTCTGTTTAACACCTGAACGCTGACCGTCTGTCCGTCTGCTCCCACAGTCGCCCAGTTCCTGCCTCTGAACCCGTCCAGCTGATCATCCTCCAACCAGACGCTGCAGTCCATCGACCTGGACTCCTCACTCACGTCTGCAGACGGACACGAGTCAGAGTTCAGAGAAAACATGGAGAAGACAGTTAAACACCGATCAAGTCTCATTTCAGAAAACTACGGCGCGCCGTCAGACACACGAACTCCGACGCAAGTTTGCAGGTAGTTTTCATCTTTTTAACTTTGACTCATTTCTTTAACAAAGAGACTAAACACAACTCACCTACTCTCTTCCAGCAGACGCTTGTTTGTAGAGAGACCTCAGGCCAGTCCATTACAGACTACAGCGGGGTGCCACAGCTCAAGGAAGAACATTTATGATCGTTATGATCATTTCATGCAGTAATACTGGGCTTCACTGTGAAATAATCGTGTTTTCTTATCATTCCTGTTTTGTTTATATTCTGTACATATTACTGCTGTTTACTTTTCTTTTCTTTATTTTTTATCTTGTGTTTTTAAATGGCTTTTATTTTAGTATTTATTACTGCCATTGTTTTGCACCAAAGGGAGCGGCACTTAAATTTCGTTGTATGACATGACAATGAAGGCGATTCTGATTCTGATTATTTTATCATTCCCTTGAAGTAATAATCACCATATTAATCATTTTACAGACGCGGTAGTTCTTCTGTCTTAGCGTCTCAGTCTGATTGTATTTCCATGAAGAAATGATCATAAATGTTCTTCCTTGAGCTGCGGCACCCCGCTGTAGTCCGTAATGGACTGGCTTGAGGTCTCACTACAAACAAGCGTCTGCTGGAAGAGAGTAGGTGAGTTGTGTTTAGTCTCTTTGCTAAAGAAATGAGTCAAAGTTAAAAAGATGTTTGGTGTCTAGTACTATGTCTGTGACCCTATATGTCCTGTTGATGAAGTTAGGTGCTGTTCTGAGCATTATTTGTGGCTATAGAGTGGCGTTTTGGTTGAGGGCGTGGCTCTCTGTATTTCTATCCTGCGGTCGTTACTAAAGTTGGTTTAACTAGAGAAGCAAGCGGTCGACAACATTCATCTCTGGAGGGGGGGTCTCACTCGGTGTTACGGTGGGTTTGACCATAAATTAATTTTACTCCAGAATATCCCTTTAAGTTTCTGTCATAGTTACCATTAATACGAATACACGATAACCCTCACCTCCACTCTTTTACTTACGAACTACACATCTGTGTGTTTGTAGGAGTCGTGTCTGCATGCTGATCTTGTGTGTTTACATCTATGTTATCTGACTTTACTGAACTCTGTGACCATAAACAGTCGACCCTCTTCAAATAACCACAAACACTGTGTGTGTTTGTCAGAGTGTGTGTTTGTCAGAGTGTGTGTCTGAGTCGATGTTGGACTTTGTTTTCAACTGAAATGACCCGGACTGAAGTGAACTGGCCTGAGGTGAACCAGACTTTAGGACTTCAGGCTCTGTGTCCACAGGACCTCAGTTCTGGATCAGAACCACCGTACTGGAGCTAGAAGAGCCTGAATCATGTAAAAATATGGAACTGTAAAAGAGTCCCGCCCCTTCTTGATTCTGATTGGTCCTGGTAACAGCTGATCTGAGGTGAACAGGTTTGTCTTGTTTGGGAAACAGGTGTGGACAGAAACTCACTGTTAGTGGACACCTGTCTCACTGGGACTCATAGTGATCTGTATTGATCTGTAGTGATCAGGCGTCACCCTTGTGTCTGATTGGTTCCTCACCGAGCACTAACACCTGGTAGTGGTTGCTGGGTTCTGAGCGGATTTCCAGGCCATGTTTCGGATAGTATCTGCAGGTCAGGTTGATAGGAAGTAGCAGGGTGGGTCTCTTCCACATGGCGAGCTGTTCTCCGGTCAGGTTCCTGCTGCAGGACCCCCGAGTGACGGAAACGTTGTCACTGTAGAAGTGACAGCGGGCGACAGGGTGGACAGGTGGGGTACAGGTGACCTCCACGCTGTCAGCAGGTGAGAGGAGGCGATGATGACTGATGGACAGGTGAGGACTTGGACTGCTACCTGGACCAAAGACCACCAACAGACACAGGTCAGTCATCGGGACCCTGCCCCCACACCCACCCCTGCAGGAACTCAGACTGTGTTTTGGTTCTCAGAGATGAACAGGAACCGTCTGAGTGTAAGACCCGGCAGGTCGTCATAGTTCGCATGTTTAACGATCACAGCGCCGACACTATAAACAGAGCATTTCTCTCATCACTCTCTCTTTAAAACTTGAGCAATACCTCTACAGCTAAAATTAATATAATAATAATAATAATAAAAAAATGTAAAATAATAAGAAGAAACATTTAATCAGCCTAAAGAAATGCAAAAACAAACATGTCCGATAAATTAAAGGATTACGTCCGGATTCTAATGACTCAGCATTAACAAGAAAATGACAAGGGTAAGCGCAAACATGACTCAGCATTAACTGAATCATGACTCAGCATTATCATTAACCTGACTCAGCATTAGTTCTATCATGACTTAGCATTAGCTTTAACACGACTCAGCATAAACTCTATCATGACTCGGCATTAGCTTAATCATGACTAAGCATTAGCTTTAACCTTACTCAGCATTAGCTTTAAAGTGAATCAGCATTAACTCTATCATGACTCAGCATTAGCTTTAACACGACTCAGCATAAACTCTATCATGACTCGGCATTAGCTTAATCATGACTAAGCATTAGCTTTAACCTTACTCAGCATTAGCTTTAAAGTGAATCAGCATTAACTCTATCATGACTCAGCATTAGCTTTAACCTGACTCAGCATTAGCTCTATCAGACTTAGCATGAGCTTTAACATGACTCAGCATTAGTTCTATCATGACTCAGTATTAGCATAAACATGACTCAGTATAAGCTTTAACATGAGTCAGCATTAGCATAAACATGACTTAACATTAACTCTATCATGACTCAGCATTAGCTTGAACATGACTGAACATTAACTCTGTTATGACTCAGCATTAGCTTTATCGTAACTGTATTAACTTTAACATGACTCAGCATTATCTCTATCATGACTCAGCATTAACTCACTCATGACTCAGCATGTTCTCTATCATGACTCAGCATTAACTCACTCATGACTCAGCATGTTCTCTATCATGACTCAGCATTAACTCACTCATGACTCAGCATGTTCTCTATCATGACTCAGCATTAACTTACTCATGACTCAGCATTCGCTCTATCCCGTCAACCACATAAGGACTTGTTTCAGGACTTCTTGGACCCCTCACCTGTAACGGTGATGACTCTAGCGTCGCTGTGTATGGAGGTGTACTGCTGCAGGTGGTAGTTACAGGTGAAGCCGACCGTGCTGCCGACCGGACGTCCCCCCAGCAGCTCCTTCGAGGACAGAACGAACGTGCAGAGGTAGCCCACCTCCCTTATCACCCTGAACGGGATGGAGGACCCCTCTCGGTACAGGTTACACTCTCCTCCGCCATAATCGATGGGAAGCGTGCAGACGAGCTTCATCGACTCGCCATCTTTGATCTCATCCTCGCTGATGATGATCTTGGGTTTTTCTGCACAGAGGGTTTAGAGGACACACTTAAGGACAAGAAGACACATTAGTAAAGTTCTCACAACCTGACCTCACCTGACCTCACCTGACCTCACCTGACCACTGTGACCTGGTCTCAGGTGTCCACCCTGTTGACCAATCAGAGGCAAGCAGGAAGTCAGAGACATTAGAAGAGAAACTGGCATGTTCTCTTGTTTGAAACATGTTGTTGACAGTATTTCTAAAATGAACACGTATATTTTACAAGACAATAAAGTTTTCTAGTTTTACGATTTAATATGTTTAATTTTATTGATAGTTTTTAGTCTGCAGAGTTCAACACAAACTAAACTGAGAGGACAGAGCTCTGAACATTTCTCTGAAGTTATTATCAGTTCATTTTACCGTACGAACTCATTCATGTTCGTCTTCAGCACCAAACAGTCCGACTGAGCAGGTAACATGGAAACAGGAGAGTTTACAGACTCGACCGCCTGAGAGGAACACCTTCAGACCAAACCCAGGGCTGAAAAACTCCCTGAACTTCCTCCATGTTTCTGTCTGATAATTATTAGATTTTCTTTCCTGTTTCCTAAAAGAAGTTTTGAAGGATCATTAATATCTGAACTCACAGCAGAGCGACAGAGCGAAGAGCAGAACCAGATCCATCCGATGATCCTCCTGAGGTCCAGATCGTTCTGACAGGCGGTCTGATGTGAGTCTGGATTAAAGATTCACTCAGTGTTTACTGACCCTGTTTGAGCGGCTCCGTCTCACTCCGTCTGTTTATTTACGGACGTTAAAAACAGCTGATGTTATATTTTCAAAGTTCACGATCCTGATCAGCTGATTATGAAATAAATTTCATCTGTTGTTTATTTTTCTGTCTGTACAGGATACAATCAGGAACAGAGCGCAGTTCCAACTTTGAACACTAGGTGGGGCCTCAGATGATCAATCAGGATGAATCAGACCTGAAAACACTGATTATCATGTTCCTGCGACAGACTGAAAACTGGGATTAAAGGGATATTCTATAAATTAAATTAATGTAGGGTCAAACCCACCATAACACCGAGTTAGACCCCCCTCCAGAGATGAATGTTGTCGACCGCTTGCTTCTCTAGTTATACCAACTTTAGTAACGACCGCAGGATAGAAATACAGAGAGCCACGCCCCCAAACAAAACGCCACTCTATAGCCACAAATAATGCTCAGAACAGCACCTAACTTCATCAACAGGACATATAAGGTCCCAGACATAGTACTAGACACCAAACATCTTTTTAACTTTGACTCATTTCTTTAGCAAAGAGACTAAACAGAGACTAAAAACCTGAATATCCCTTTAACAGTTCAGCTCTTTGACCCTTAAACGCACCACGAGAACCAACTAGCCTCATGGCTAATTCTGGCTTTTTCTTAACCGTGTGTAATCATGTGTTTTATGAAATTGTGCTGTCCCCTTTTTAAATAAACTAATCTAACTATTAAATCTTTATGATGTAATTACCTGATGTGACCACAGGAGTGCAGCACACTCACACAGATACCTCCATCACTCCTCCTCATCCTCCTAATCTTAAATTTGTGGCAGTTTTCATCCTCCAGATATTCAGTCTCACCTTGGTCCTGGTCCAGTAGTCCAGTTCTGATGGTTCTGGTCTGGATCTCTTGGCGTCCAGAGCAGATGCTGTTGTTAATGCTTTGAAACAGGGGTGGCGTTTGATTGATAGACTGAGAAATGGTGTGTCTTTACAGAGTGTCTGTTCTTTGTCTAACCAGGTGTGATCTGAGTAATTGGGGTGTGTCCATTTGTATATGTACTGTAGTTGATTTGCCAGAGAGTAATAACTGAAATGTGGAGCATCTAATCCGCCTTGTAATCTGGGTTTTTGAAGTGTGGCCAGTTTGATCCTTGGTGTTTTATTTTTCCAGTAAAATTTAATGATTATCGAGTTTAGAGAGTTGAACCAGGTGGAAGTGGGATGGGTTGGGATCATTGAAAAAAGATAATTTATTTTAGGTAGTATTGTCATTTTAATTGTTGCTATTCTGCCTAGAATGGATAGTGGTAGCTTCATCCAGCGTTGGAGGTCATCATCTATCGTTTTAAGTAGTGAAGTGAAGTTTAGTTCTGTCAGCTCTGACAACCTGGAGGAAATGTTGATACCCAAATATGCATAGAGGAATGGGTAATATATGGGCTGTCGCATCCCATCTGGTGTTGTGCAATGGGAGGATGGATGATTTATTTTGCATTTACTACACAATGCACTGATAAAATAATTTGTGAAACCAAAAGGTGCTTTTCCATCCACTTTGTAAACTAAGCAAAAAGTGCATTTGGTAAGAATTATGATTTTGTAAAAGGGATGAGTCCTGGATTAGAAGGTCAGGGTGGAGCCTCTCTGTAACATCATCCCTCCGTCTGTACTTCTCTTTTCTCTCATTTATTTTATTTTTATTTATTTCTCACAAACTCAGAAGTTGTTTTTGTTTGTTTTTTGTTGTTCTGTCTTTATTAGGCGCTAAAAAAAACTCACACTCAGGAGTTAAACAGTGCACACAGACACACACGGTTCAGTCTGAACAGAAAAACACACACAACCACATTAATGGATTAATAGACCAGCTCCTGATGGACTGTTTACACCTGGTCGCCTTGGCAACGGAGTCTGACCTGTACGGAAGCTCATCCATGACAAAATACAAGAATGATTACAGTCCCATGACAGAAAAATGAGCTCTAAGGAGCAGCTCAGATCTAACATCCAAACTCTATACTCTGACAGAATCACAGTGAGATGAAATCTAGACATAGATCCGATCATAGATCTGAGCAAATTCTTGTTTTTGTTGATTTTTCCTGCCACAGAGTCAAAGTTGATTTTTTAATCCTCTGAGAGTTTTACACGCACTCACATAGACAATAACTGAGGTGTGAGGAGACTGAGTACGAGCTGCTGCCCTCTGGTGGAGAATCAGAGTTCACTGATTTAAAGATTCATTTGCTGTTAAACACGACGGAGTATCAGGGCCGCGTTAAAGACGAATAATTCAACGTTTTTTAGGTTTTCTTTCCGCCCTTTTCTACGGAGACTTAAATCAAAGTGAAACCAGTTCAGTAGGAGAATAAAACCTAAGTGAAATCGTTTTCCTACGAGATTAAAGTCAGAGGAGTTAAAGAGAGATATCAGACGTCAAAGCTTTCTGCTGAGGGGACAAAACATTAGGGACACTTTAAACAGGCGCTCCATGATCCTCATTTTAGTCCAGACCGAGAGCCAGAACTATGAGCAACAACTTTACTCTTCTTACAATAATCCTTAAATATTATGACTTCATTCCCTCAATACAGAAGAGGAAATAAACCATAAAAAGGAAAAAGACAGGGTCACGAATTTTTGATTCTTCATACTCTGAGAAAAGTCAAATTCTGACTTATTAAAAACAGACAGAAATATGAGATTTCTGCATTTAAATCTCAGAATTATGAAATTAAAGTCGGAATTCTGGAATCATAAAAAAATCAAAATTCCCACCAAAATAAAGAAAAAATTGGATATCTCTCTGTCATCCCCAAAATCCTGTTTTTTTTTTTCTCTGAATTTTCACTTTAATCTCAGAATTCTTGAATTAGGAAAAAAAAAACATAACCCTTAGAAAAAGATCTGGTTCTGCAGACTGAGTCAGGATTTGAACCGTGAACTCGTCATTCTGAGATTAAGTCAACAAAACAAATCTGACCTTAACTGATTTTAACGACAACCCTAATCTTTTTTTTACTATTTTTAAAGTCTTATTTTTGTCAGTGTGGATCTAAAACTCTAACGTCGTAGTTTAATGAGGTCAGGTAAAAAAGACTGATGTGGCAGGAGTTGGTGATGTTGTCACTTTTTGACCCGCTTTAGTGAACTCTTAATGTCGTTGATTAATTATGAGGACATGGTCTTATCATAAATCATTCGGTTTAATTTTGGCAGTAATGAGCTTCCGTACTTCTGAAAAGTGACTGAAGGAAACAAACTTTTTTTTCTTTTTACAAACCGAATGATTTTGTTTTTTTTTATCCTGGTGGTTACAGATATAAATTAATCGGACTAAACTGACGTGGCTACAGAACAAAGACTCGACATGAAGTAGAAAATACATTCTGACAACATTTCCTAAAACCGGAACAGTTAAACTTTTTACAAAATCTCACAGAGTCTCAGAAAGTCAGAGTCCAGCTCCTCCGTCAAACTCCAGGACTCTGGGTTTGTTTTGGGAGGATCAGCTGATCTCTGACTTCCTGTTGGACTTTCACATGTGAAGTTTTTTTTGTTTTTTTTTTAAGAAAGTGGAGGAAAAGAAAAAGTTTCCATGAATTAATCTGAACTCTTTAACCTCCTGAGACCCACAGACTGAGACCCCTTGTTAACTACTCTTTTCATGACTTTTCAAGATGGCACATTTTATGGAAGACAAGATACAGGGTCAGATGTAAGGAGCGGTGGTCCTAACTGGGCCAAAACCAACATGTAGGGATCTGGGGTTTTTTATTTCATCTTGGTCCGGGTCGCAGGGGCAGCAGCTTCAGGGAAGTCCATAAATCTGGACTCTGATGGTCTTCACTGACTCAGGTTCACCCCCAATTTCCACCGCATCCTGAACGTCTATGAAAAGGTCGTATCCGCCAATCGAAGGTAAACAAACAGGTCAAAACACGCTTTTGAAAAGGACAACTGGACGTACTTGTCAACGTCAATGTTGGGGGGCCGGCCACGAGGTCTCCTCCTGGTGGGACATGTCTGGAACACCTCTAACGGGAGGCGTCCAGAAGGCGTCCTAACCAGATGCCCGAGCCACCTCAGCTGACTCCTCTGGACGTGGAGGAGCAGCGGTTCTCCTCTGAGCTCCTCCCGAGTGTCCGAGCTCCTTACCCTATCTCTAAGGCTGAGCCCGGACACCCTGAGGAGGAAACCCATTTCAGCCGCTTGTATCTGCGATCTTGTTCTTTCTGTCATTACCCAAAGTTCATGACCATAGGTGAGGATCGGCACGTAGATCGACCGGTAAATCCAGAGTCTCGCCGTACGGCTCAGCTCTTTCTTCACCACCACTGATCGGATCAGTCTCTGCTGACGCCGCTCCGATCCGCCTGTCGATCTCCCGCTCCATCGTACCCTCATTCGTGAACAAGATCCAGAGATACTTGAACAGGTTTATGAATTTTGTTAAAGTGTCCGACATTCGATCGATAAAATCCTGTCGTGTACTGAAGTGTTTTACATTTTAAATAATTTTAGCTTAAAACAAAATGTTTAATTTTTTTTTTTTACCACCCCGACTCTTGATTTACATGAAAAAATGAAACCCAAACACTTTTTCCCGCCCGGGTCTCAGGAGGTTTTAAATATTCTCTGCGGTGTGTTTAAGCGCTAAAGGATCTAGTGGTTCTTAGGGGGTCAGTAAACGTCTCTTCTTCTACAAGCTGATCCTGGACCAGGACTCGCTCAGCCGCTTCTAACCTGCTTCACCCCGACCCCCAAACAGTCTGAGAGTCTTCATAAGTGCTGTGAGTCCGGATCAGCCGAGGGTCCAGTTCAGTTTGGCGTGATGGCGCCACCGGGCGGCGCTCACACCTGTTTCCTGTCCAAACACAAACTACATCTACGACTCAGGCCCGAGTATTTAGGAGGAAGAGGTGACGTTCCCTGAGGACGCCGCCGTCGTCTCCCTCTGAGAATACTCCGCCTCTTCCTTGTTGGGGTGGGAGGAGTTATCCGACTTGCTGCGGCTAAACTCCGCCCCCATGATGGGCCCGCTGAGCTTGACGCGCGGTCGCAGGCAGGCGGTGCAGCACAGCAGCGTCTTGATGAAGGCGCGGCGCATCTCGTTGCTGGTCAGCGTGTAGATGAGCGGGTTCATGGCCGAGTTGAGGACGGCGAGCGCCAGGAACCACTCGGCTTTGTAGAGGATCGGACAGGTGAGGGTCTCGCAGGCGGCGTCCAGCAGTAGGAGGACGAAGAGCGGCGCCCAGCAGGCGATGAAGCAGCTCAGGACGATGATGACGGTCTTCAGCAGCGCCATGGACTTCTCCGAGCTCTTGATGTTGGCGCCGGAGTTTCCACGTCCGTTAGTGACTTTGCGGAAGACGAGCTTGCGGCTGCGCGTACGGACCAGCGCGTAGATCCTGGCGTAGAGAACCACGATGGCCATGAGGATGATGCTGAAGACGGTGGTGCAGAAGAGGATGTAGGTCTTGTGGTAGAGCGGCAGAACGGTGGAGCACTGCGTCATGCTGTCGATGCAGTTCCAGCCCATCACCGGGAGGCCGCCCAGCACCGCCGCGATCATCCACACCGTGCTGATCAGCAGGAAGACCCGGAACGTGTTCCCGTTGTTGTGCAGCTTCATCTTCAGCATGGTCAGGTGGCGCTCGATGGCGATGGCCAGGAGGCTGAAGACGGAGGCCGCCAACGCCACGAACATGCTGCCCTCCCTGAAGAACCACTGGGTGGGCGTCAGCTTGTAGGTGTTGGCGCCGGACAGCAGGATGTTGGCGGTGTAGACGACGCCGGCCAGCAGGTCCGAGAGCGCCAGGTTCCCGATGAAGTAGTACATGGGCTTGTGGAACTTCTTGGTCCTCCAGATGGTGGTCAGGACCAGGATGTTCTCCAGGATGATGAAGCAGCAGACGATGATGAAGACCACCGAGTCCGCCTTCAGACCCGAGTCCTGCTGCGTCTTGCGGAACTTCCCGGTGTAGTTGTAGTGTTTGGCGATCAGGTCGGAGTAGCTGGACTCAGCCATGGCTGCAGCTGCGGCAGGAGTCCAGCAGATGGCGCCGCGTCCTCACTCTTCAGTCCCTCATGTCAGTTCGTGAACGTGAAGAGGAGCTGAGAGAGTCCTGAGGCGGGAGGAGGAGGGACATGGTCCTGTAGAGAGACGGAGGACAGTCAGAGACACAAAAACTGATCCGGGATCAGATCATGAAACTGAAACCCTCATAACTAAAGTCATTTGTCCATTTTTTACTATAAACATCATTATTATTTAATTATTTTATTTATTATATATATATATATATTATATATATATTTATTTTATAATTTTATTATCATTATTAATCGTCTTTTTTATATTTACTGTCCTGTTCCCTCCTCTTTTTGTGTCTAGGTTTCTTATGACAAATAAAACTGTCCTTTAATTGAACTGAGCTTTTGTTTTTCATTTGTTTATTTCCATGTACTTCATGACTGTTTGTCAAAGCACTTTGTAGACTTCTGTTTTTAAATGTGTGATAAAAATAAAGTTATTATTACAAATAAAAGTTATCAGCCAGTCTGCTTTATCACTGAGAGACAGAAGGAGGAGGATCAGCTGAGACACGGATCATTAAAGCCCCAATAAGTGAGTCCTGGACCAGGACTCCGTCAGGTCTGTTATAATCCCTGCTGAAGTTTCCTCAGACGGACCTGATAGAAACGGAAAACTCAGATCCAGACGGAGTTCACTTTTAGAGATGTGAGGATCAGCTCGTTAGTTTTAATCTAATCTCTGAGAAACTTTAAACTCTGTAGATGTTTTACTTTTAGGGGAGAGTGGGGTAAGTTGAGCCAAAGAGTAAGTTAGACCAAATCTTTAGGAGATGATCATCAATAAATGGAGTCTGAGAAGGTTTGAAGCTCATGGGTGAAGAAGAGGTGAGACATTTATTTACAAAACAACATTTTTCTTCTCTCTGTAAAGTGAGTTTAGTCTCGTGTTAAAATGCTTCAATAAACAGAAAGATTGCACCAGTTAAATAGAGTAAAATAGATAAAAAAACACATGAATGTGAAGAAGTGACTGTTATTTAGGGAGAGAGAAGGTGAGGGAGGGCTGGGGGGGGTAGTAGAGATACGGCTCAACTTACCCCGCTCCTATGGTCAACTTACCCCATACACGGGGTAAGTTGACCATAGGAGACCCTTTTTGTTGTCCTGCTATATTATAAAGATGACAGTTCTGTGATGAACGACATCCTGAAATATCTGCAGAGACACGAGTTAGAGACAAAACTAGGACTGACTTGATGGAGAGATCCCAAATATGAAACATGGATCATCTTACCCCGCTCTCTATGAACTCTAAGGACTAAAACAGCAAATATGAAACTTAATTTAAGCTTTTTTTTACAGTGAAACATTAAAATATCAGCCGATCGTTAATCCGATCTGATCAAGAAACACGTTCATGTGGACTGATTCAGAGACTTTAGATGAGAGTTAAATACAGAAAAGGATTAAGAAAAATCTTAAACTCATGAATAAAAGCAGAAACATCTCACCAACATTTTCACTCTTACAGAATAAAAATCAAATGCCGATCTCTGATTTTTCAGGTCAATTAATCGAGAGTTTGTTCTTTAATCGGTTAAATCGGCCGCCCTGTGACCTTACCTCCGTCCTCCTCAGTTTTCTCCGTTTTTTAAAGTTTAGCTCAGAGACTTTTTCGCCGTTTTCTCCGGTTAAATCGGGTTTTATTCCGCCACACTGACCCCGGTCTTCCTCCTCCTCATCCTCCTAAAACTAAAATCCTCAAACTGTCGTGATTCCGTCCGGACTAAAGTCCACGAGAGTCTCTGAAGCTGAACAGAAAAGTTCAGACTGAAACAAAAAAGAGATTTAACCGAGAAAGAGAGAAAAGAAGAGATTTTACCTTCAGTGAGAGTCCGCGGAGAAAAACAGTCCGACAGAGAGGAGCGTGAGAGAGCAGAGAGCCACCACACACACACACACACACACACACACACACACACACACACTGATGAAGGTGGTGCCCTCCTCTTTGTATTTTCTCGTCCTTTATTCCGCCTGTAAACTGATCAGATCGATCCTGTTAATGATTATTTTCAATATCTAATAATCTGAGTTGATTTAACAGACAGACATTCTGCTGCTTTTCTGTTTAATGACATTAATTAATTAGAATAAAACGTTAAAAACATGATTTTTTATTTTTTTTTATTTCTATTTTTATCCTGCTGCTCCTAAAAAACAAACTTTTATAAATATAAATATAATAAAATCACAAAAATAAAAACATTTAAATGTCTTTAATGAAAATTATTTGGTCTTTTATTCTCTGTGTGGGAAATAAGCAGCTGAACCCCCCCACACACACTCACTGACCCCCCACTCTTCATATTGACTCCAGCTCTGAGTCATTGACCTCTGACCCCTCTGTGAGGTCAGCAGGGGGGCGGGGTCATGGTTTGTGGGGGGCCTCCGATGGGACCCTGCCCCCCCTCACAGCAGGTGGACGTCACGGTTTAAACAACAGAAGAAGAAGAAGATATCGGACATGATGTCTCACTCTGACTTTTGGTCAGGCGGGTCTTTAACCTCCTCGCTAACGGCGCCTAACAGTCAAGTCAGTCAGTACGTTTCCATGACACTCTAGAAAACCGAATTATCGCGTTATTCCGATTAAGACCGGACAACTAAAGTGCATGTAAACACCTTACTCCGACTATAATCAGAGTTTGAGAACTCTGATTAAAACACCCAGATAATGCGATTGGAATCCGTATTTCTCTACCATGTCACCAGCGTAGTCGGAGAATGATCGGCCGATGCATGTGCGCGTGAGCCACGCCCCTGTGCGCCACAGACGACGCCGGCATCCCTTCCAAGTGAGGGATCGTACAGTTGTTATAAATAAAGAAATGAACTGTTTCTGTTTTAGGCTGAAAACATGTTTTTCTCTGCTGTCAAATTTTAACATGGAGCTCTATGGAGACTGACTCACTTTAGGAGACAGCCTCTAGTGGACATTTGAGGAACTGCAGTTTTTGGGACTTTGATGTTATAGATGAAAATAAGTGACGCAGATTTATGTATGTGGAACTTAAGGCCGTAAACATCAGATATTTTGGTAGTCTACTGGAGTTAAACTGGTAATATGTTGGAATAAACTGGAAATACAACATACTACTGGTACCTTACTGGGAGTCCACTGGGGAAAATTTGATGTAAATCAGACTGGTCAGACTGGGAATGCACTGGGAATATAATCGGTGCTGAGAGGAAACCATGCTGTAAGTATACCTGCACCATGGTGGCACCAAACTGGATCCATACTGGGCCCACTGGGAACGATGGAACTGCACTCCAAACTTTGCAAAGTCAGAGCAGAATCATACTGGGAACACTGGGAACACTGGTGTAAACAGTTAGGGATTGCAAATACATAAACTGGGAAAGAACCACTGGGATCAAACTCCTGGTTGGTGGGAGTATACCTGCACCAACACAGAATGGAGGCGGAGTCTAAAACTGGCTAACATACTGGTAAGACAGGAGCCATACTGGGAACACTGGGAGTATTCTGAGGTCATATTCACAAATGTAAGCCTTGGTACGGACTCAGAACTCATGATTGGACTTCACTGTTCTGTAGAACTGCATTATGTTCTGGTTCTGGTCTAAATGGGCTCCTGCACCACCCCAGTCTAACCAGTACATTCCCACTAAGATTTCCCTCCTTCCACTGTGGTGCCAGTATGACTCTGATGCACTCCCAGTATGATCCCAGTATGGTCCGTTATTGTGTCGACTGCCTCTGTGTTTGGACTGGAAGAAGCTGGAACCTTGCTGATATTATACTGGGATCATACTGGGACCATTCTGGTTGTTGGACATGTGACTGGTCCGCTCTGCTGCTCAGAGTCTAAACTGGATCTGAAGATGAGGAGAAGCTGAAGAGGGTGATGGTGGGGGGGGAGTGAAAGGGGTTGTGGGTAACAAAGGCCTCTTTCCTCTGAGCCGCTGACTGTATTCAGACTCTGCATAGCTGAGCGTCACCATGACGACGGCTGGAGGGAAACAGGGGGAACCGAGCAGCAGAACACGCTCTGAAACTCAAAAACTGCAGAACGGATCACCTACAGACCCACAAACACACAGAAACACTTCAGGTTCTGCCAGAACCCGATCAGAACTCACTGAGAACTATTCCGAACTTTAAAAGTCACTGAAGGCCGATGACTGTTTCAGCATTTCAGAGTGATTCTGGACCTCTCAGAACTTTTTAGAACTCTTTTCAGAGCTCCACCAGAATTCTTTAGATTCCAGAACTAAACCCGGACCACGTCAAACTTTCTCATGACCCTCTGAGAACCGAGTCAGACCGTCAGAACTCAGAACATCCTCAGAGCTCTGTCAGAACTATTTAAGAGTCCCAGTAAACAACTCTCTGTTAGCTCAGTCAGAACTTTTGTCAACTCTGTTAGAACTCTGTGAGAACGAATCAGAACTTTCGAGAACTCTGTTAAATATCAGATAGAGACTTTCAGAACCTCTCAGAACTCTGACAGAACATTGTTAGAACTCTTTTAGAACTCTAATGAAGTTCTCTAAAGACTTTTTCAGAACTCTGTTGGTTTTGATTAAGAGCTCTGTCTGTTGAGACACCAACTCCTAGGAGGACCCATCAGGAGTTCTGTAGGAACTCTGGTAGAACTTTGTCAGAACCCTGTGGAGTTCTCTAAAAGCTCGGTTCAAACTCTTTTTGGACTCTTTGGAGCTCTTTAGGAACCCTGTTGGAACTTGGTTCGTCATCTTTGAGAGCTCTGTTGGACCTTCTTTAAGGCTCTGTCAGAACTCTAGTGGAATGGAATGGTGGTCCTGGTTCTGGTCCTGTCTGTCTTGTTTCTGCTGTAATGTAAACATCTGTGATTCACGCCAGAATGTTCCCGGATCTGATCCAGAACAGGGACCAGTGTAAGGGTTGTAGGTCAGCAGGACTCTGGACTTGGTTCTGCTGGTTCTTGGTCTTGGTCTTTGTTTTGTTGGTCCTGTTTTGGGTCCTTATCCCCCTCTAATCCTGGTCTTTATCAGTGCTAAAGTCCTGGTTGTGGTTCTGGTCTCAGTTCTGGTTCTGGTTCTTGTTCTCGGTCCTGCTCTGGTTTTTACATTTCTGCAGCAGAACATCTGCAGCCTGTAATTATGGTTTGGATTCACTCACAGTGTGTGTGTGTGTGTGTGTGTGTGTGTGTGTGTGTGTGTGTGTGTGTGTGTGTGTGTGTGTGTGTGTGACAGGAAAGCATTAGGCAGCGTCTTCCTCTTTGACTTCCTGTGATGTGATTGGTTGTTTCCCAGGCGGTGAGGAATGTGGCGACTCGCCATCCTTACCCTTGGGGGGGGGGGGGGGTCACAGTGTGTGTTTTAGAGTTGCGTGTGTGTTCATGTGTGTTCATGTGTGTTCATGTGCACGTGTGTGTGGAGGGTCTGGTGTGTTGTTGCATTAAGAGTTTGGACTGTTTTAATCCGTCTCTGTGTTTTAGAGGTCAGCGTGTGTGTGTGTGTGTGTGTGTGTGTGTCTGTGTCTGTGTGTGTGTGTGTGTGTCTGTGTGTGTGTGTGTGTGTGTGTGTGTGTGTGTGTGTGTGTGTGTGTGTGTGTGTGTCTGTGTGTGTGTGTGTGTGTGTGTGTGTGTCTGTGTGTGTGTGTGTGTGTGTGTGTGTCTGTGTCTGTGTGTGTGTATGTGTGTCTGTGTGTGTGTGTGTGTGTGTGTGTGTGTGTGTGTGTGTGTGTGTGTGTGTGTGTGTGTGTGTGTGTGTGTGTGTGTGTGTGTGTGTGTGTGTGTGTGTGTGTGTGTGTGTGTGTGTGTGTTGTGTCTGGAGCTCCTGTGTTCACCCCAAACACCACAGAAGAAGATCTGTGGATGTCTACGTCTACGTTTGATCGTATCAGGTCTGTCTCAGCTGAACTCTGGCGTCCTTTAAAGGAACTTTATGGTCTTGGTTCCTGGTTCTGGTCTCTGGTTCCTGGTTCTGGTCTCTGGTTTGGATCCAGTCCTGTGCCTCCCCCTGTCACCTGGTCGTGTTACAGACTGACGGCGTAGAGAAGTTAACACAGAGAAGATGTTCTCTCTTCTCCTGGTTCTGGTCAGTACTCGGGTTGAAGGATTTTGGACCGGCTGAAGAGTCTTTAAAGACCCGTTTGGACCGGTCTGATCAAACTCTGGTTCTTCTTTGTGGTTCTTCACGGTTCATGTCATTGATGAGTAGACCTGAGTGTCGTCTGCATAAGAGGGTAAAATGACGATGCAGTTCTGAGGTTTCCTGTCAAAGATGTTCTTCAGGAAAGGTCATGAGCCCTCTGCTCTGATTGGTCCTCAGCTGTGGAGAGAGTAAACAAATTAGTGGTGTGTCGGTCTTGAACGAACGGATCAAAAGAACTAGTTCTTTTTGATGAACAAATGAACTAGTTCTCCCCCTCCAAATGACCCGTTCAATCCGTTCAGTTCTTTTGATTGGCTGAAGAGGGACTGCTTGCCTGTCTTATCCTATCGTCGCGCCTCGTTCTGTGTGTGGGTGGGGCTTAGAGAAGCAGCAGCAGTACTACTGAGCTGACTGAAAGACCGGAATGACCGAGTTGACTGAAAGAACGGGTCAAATGAACGAAAGACCCAGACGGATGAACGGGTTGAACGAAAGACCGAGTGAACGAAAGACCGAGTTGAACGAAAGATCCAGACCGATGAACGAGTGGAACGAAAGACCGAGTTGAACGAAAGATCCAGACCGATGAACGAGTGGAACGAAAGACCGAGTTGACTGAAAGACCGGAATGACCGAGTTGACTGAAAGAACGGGTCAAATGAACGAAAGACCGAGTTGAACGAAAGACCCAGACGGTGAACGAGTTGACTGAAAGACCGAGTTAACTCGCCGCCGCACGAGGCCCGACAGCCGAGCCGGAGCGAGCGGGACAGTCACACACACACAAAGGCACACAGCTGCTGCAGCAGCCAGAGGCAAAGAGACAACTATTAATATGCATTTGCACTGTCTGTTGACATTTTGTACTTTTTATTATTGTTTTTAATGCACCTCAAAATAATAAAAAAACCATTAAAAACCTTATATATAAGGTTTATATATATATTTTGTTACTCCTACTATAATTTTATATTACAAGTAGTGCAGTGAGATCGCAGCGTTGGACCGGGGTGGGAAGTGGAGAGTGCAGCGGTCACAGCGTCGGACCGCGGGGGGGGGGGGGACGACGACGACGACTGACTAATGACCGAAATGACCGAAAAGAACGAAATGAACGGGTCTTTTTACTGAACGACCCGAAATGATCCGGTTCACTGAAATGACCGGTTTTGCCCACCACTAAAACAAATGTGAACTCAGCGTGTGTTACAGAAACTCTCATGAGAACGACGAGATCAGATCCTCCCTCACAACAAACAAACAAACAAACAAACAGTGGAGACCCTTCAGTCCTGATAAAGACAGTAACCACGACGACGACGATGATGATGATGATGATGATGGCGGGTGTTCTCTCTGGACGGGGAGGGCGCCCTCTCCTTATCTCACCTTGAAAGCAGGAAGTGAACTCAGACAGAAATCAATAAAAAAATAAAAGTTAATGAGATCCTGAGAGAGTCTGCTGCAGGACGCCAGCCGAACAGGAAGACATCAACCCCCCGCCAAAATAAAAACATGGATGAGAGCAGTCATTAGTGTAAGACTCAGCGTCAGACTCTCAGATCTGGGATCAGTTCGCTTCATACGCATGTTAGATAAACGTATAAATGTCCACAAGAGAAGATCTTGGTTTTTAGATTTATTCTGAATGTCAGATTTTAAACGTAAAGTCATAAAACTGGAGCGTAATTTAGAATAATTATTATTTTTATTTATTTCTCCTCCAAAATAAAGGTGAAGTCTCTCTTAGTCCAGGTCCAGGATCCTCTCAGAGTGCTGCAGCTCTGGATCGATGCGGAGAGAAGATAATAAACCAATCAAAGAATTTAGAGATCAATATGACGACTAAAAGGAAACCAGTTTAATGGTTTAGTGTGAGCTCTGCTGAGTCAGCAGAATCTGGATTAACGAGAGCTGATTTATGGAGCCCGTTATTAGAGCAGAAAGGAGAGAGTCAGAAGAACCAGCCTGCAGATCTGGGATCAGATCTTCACAGGACTTCACAGGTCTTCTGGTTCACAAAATGAACCTTTTTGAGGCTCCAGATGTCGATCAGTTCGGCCCCTTCGATGGAAAACTACCCATCTCTTACGATCCGCAGAGGAACGGAAAGAAGTCGGTGTAAATTGACACGTTAAATTGAATGGTTACGATCAGCTGCGATCGGAGGATACGACCTTTTAGGAGACGATCAGGATGAAGGTGGAGGTCGGGGGTCAGGGTTAGGCTGATGTTTGTTCGGTCTCGTCCTCCAGAGAAACATCTGAACACGTCTCAGAGAAGCAGGTTAGTTTGACGGCTGTCTATGTTAGCTAGCACTGATGCTAACTAGCTGCTATTTTATAACATGACTCAGCAAAATGAAACACGATGAAAACATGATTTATCATCAGCTCTCATGATCCGGTTACGTTGTGAAACTACATCTGTGGTCGTTTTGGGAGTGAGACCCCTAGTGGCTGAAAGTTACCCACTGTGCCTTTAATGCAGGAGGGAGAACACTGTAAAAAGTCGAATATTTAGATTTCCTACAGTGTTCAGGAGTTGGTCTGAGAACTTCCTGTTGGTGCTGAGGGGAGGCCCGGCCTGGATGTACGACTGCAGGAGAACAGAGGGGTTCAGGGGGGGAGGATAGGGGTGTAGGTGGGTGGACTCTGGTGGGTGGATGTTGGGGGTGCTGAGGCCTCTGCTGCACCCCGCGGTCCTCTTAGCATTCAGCGGAGCGCTCATTAGACATGCAAAGCTGCAGAGTTGGAGCTTTGGGCCTGAATGAGCCGCCTTTGTCCTGTAATTGGAGATGTTTCTGTGGGAGCCACAAAGAAAGCAGGGCCCCCTCACCCCCCCTCCTCACCCCTCCTCACCCCCCCCCCCCCCCCCTCTCTGATTCACCCTGTCCTCCCTACACTCTCAGTTGTGTAACTTGTTGCATAAAGATTCAGTTTCCAGGAAATAAACCAATTAAACCTCGAAACTGAAGAAACATCAGAGCGTCACACACCTACGCCTGGTCACATGACTTTTACCTGCAGTGATGGAGTCACCTGTCCAACGCCACACTCAGTACATTAACATGACACTCGAGAAAACCGAATTATCGCCTTATTCCGATTAAGACCGGACAGCTGAAGTTCATGTAAACACCTTAGACGAAGTTTAAAAGACATTTAAGAGTTAAAATGATCGGAAATAAAACAGATTTTTATGGTTTTCAGATGATTTTAAACCAACTTTGTCCAACAGGTTAGTCACATGACTCTGCAGCGGGAATCTACGCTTGGAAAGGACAACAGTTGTCCTTTCAATGTAGAATTAGAAATCATTCAGTCCGTTTCCATGACACACGAGAAAACTGAATTATCGCCTTTTTCCGATTAAGACCGGACAACTGAAGGTCATGTAAACACTTTAGTCCGACTATAATCAGAGTTTGAGAACTCTGATTAAGACACCCAGATAATGAGATTGGAATTTGATTTTCTCTACCATGTAACCAGCGTAGTCGGAGTATGAAGCCACGCCCCCGTAACCCCGTAACAAAACCCCCAGAGTAGAGGAGTAGCGTTGGTCTCCTCTTTAGAAAAAGTGGCGCGTCCATCATGTCGGACAAAAACAACGCTGTACGATGCTCCATCTTCTTGTTTCTCCAAAATGCCCAGCAGCAGTTGTAGACACTTCTGACGTCTGAAAAGACCCATATCGCCCCCTAGTGTTGGGGAGGAGGACACGTTCACGTCAATAATTCGATTTTCTCAGCTGCATGTAAACGAGGACGAGGAGAGAAGTCTGATTCAGAGAAGAAGACGAATTATGAGTTTAGTCTGATTAAACTGAGACTGTAAACGAACTGACCGTCTCCTTCTCACAGACTCCACAGCTTCAGGGTAAAATAAAGACAGAAAAAGAGAAAGAAAGAAAAGTCAGCAGCCATCTTTGTTTACCTGTACAGACAGGTATAAACATCCTCTAACAACATGAGTCTCTGAGCTCCATCGTCCTGGTCCTGTAATTGATGTTTATTGTTGGTACAGGTATATCACTACAGCCCCCCATCCCACCCACTCACCCAGTTCCTGATAATCAGATCTGTAACTATGACTTCTCAGGAGTGTTTTCATTACTCTGCTCAGGTAACACAAACACACCTCACCGCCTCATAACTGAACTCTCATATCGGTCTCCGGTTTACCTGACAGGTAAGAAGGTTTCATCTCTCCAAGACGACGGAAGGCGAGCGATCTGTGCTAATTTATGAGCAAACAGTAATACAGGACTTCCTGTTATAAAGTGTGTGTGTGTGTGTGTGTGTGTGTGTGTTACAGAGGCCCCTAAAGCATTAATCATGTCAGCTGCTCAGCGATCATCAGAGTTTAAACCAGAGTCCTGATTACAGACGAAGAACCGAACCTCAGTGGATTTATGACCCGGTCCAACACGTACAGTATCTCAGTTTATTTCTGTACGTTCACACTTTAATTTCTACATGATTCAGAAAAATATTAAGAGTTAATCTAATTCAATAGATTATAGATTTTTTTGGACTCTGTTGTAAAAGAAAAAGACGACAATGATCTAACAGCAGTGTGTGAGAATGAAACAGAGTCGGCTGATCTGAGGTCAGATTAAACTTTCAGACAAACAGATGTAATCCTCTTTAATCTATCCATCTGTGTAATCCTGTTTCTGTCTGTAACCGGTCATGTGACCTCACACACCTGTACAGAGACAGGTGCAACCCTGGGTTAAAAAAAGAGCGTCAGGATGTAGAGTAACATGTTGATAAAAGGTTCTGATAGAGGAACATCTAAACAGGTTAGTCACATGACTGGGTGGAAGACGGACATTCAGAGAGGCTGACCCCCGACTTTCACCGCATTCACCCGGAACGTCAACGAAAAAGCCGTATCCGCCGATCGAAGCCGAACAAACGGGTCAAAACATTCTTTTGGAAAGAACAACTGGACTTAGTCGAGACGTTTCGCCTCAACTAAGTCCAGATGTCCTTTCAATGAAGAACTAGAAATTATAGATGCTGCATCCTCAGTTTAAAACAAGATCTCCAGGTTTATCTCCAGGTAAATAACCTGCTTTGAGTCTAACCCCCGATCTCCACCTTCATCCTGATCGTCTCCTAAAAGGTCGTATCCTCCGATCGTAGCTGATCGTAACCATTCAAGTTAACGTGTCAATTTACACCGACTTCTTTCCGTCGGACGCCGGAGCATGGCGGATAAATTCAGCACAGATTAACCCGTGCTGGAAAGGAAGTCGGGCACAGACACAAAATAAAACATCCGGCTTCTTTTCAAAATAAAACACAACCTTTTGCTTGTTCGGACAGAGACGAACAAGTGAAAGGTTTTTAGACGTCATTTCACCCCGATGACACCATGGATGAGGAGATGCTGATTCTAGAAGTCTAGAAGTAGATTTCCTCCTCTGGAAGGACACAATCTACTGCTTATATGTCTATGTGTCTGTCTTTAGAGAGACAACTCGTTATCGTGAGATTGAACGTGAATCTGCAGGTTCTTGTGAGTTCTTCTGATTCCTGCTGTCTGTAATCCGCCACGGAATTCGCCTCACAAACAGATCTGGTAGGAATTGGCGGACATTGAAAATCGCAGTCGCTGTCATGAATAAAGACCCAAACTGTTGTATCTGTCTGTAAACATGAATCTCTGTGAGGACCAGCTCACATTAGGACACAGCCTCTAGTGGACACTCCTGGAACTGCACTTTTTGGTGCCTCTGTATTTGTTTCATGTTTCTGCCCCTGAGGTCGGAGGAGGACCCAAACACACTAAGATGACAGGTGTCTGATATCAGAGCGAGGTCTGATCTGGATTATATGTTTACATGTTGAAACAGGATCAGGATCAGAAACAGTTAACAGAGACGGGGCGATGATTCTCTGGATGACCGGAGCAGAACAAGCTCTGAAACACGGCAACAAAAGACCACAATCCTCCACTGCAACCCCCCCATTCTCCGCCCTCACCCACCCTCACCCATCCACCCCCCACCTCCTCCAAAAACCAGGGAGAGGAGCCCATTATATAACCCACCAACCATCATAGCCATTAGTTGGTTCCCAGTTTAAAGATTGGGATGGGGGGGGGGGGGGGTCACGTGGGCCACAGAGGCTTGTTTACCACAACAAGGGGCGAACGAGAGAGAAATAGACTGTGAAGAGAGAGAGAGAGAGAGAGAGAGAGAGAGAAGTTTTTCCCACCAACTCATTCACAACTGAAGGCTTTCACACACCATGCTGCTGACTGTCGTTACCATGGAAACAACCACACTGAGAGAGAGAGAGGGGGGCTAAACTTAAACTGCTTTTTTTTTTTTAAATTAATTACTGCACTTCCATGTTTCTAATTTTAATTAACATAGCCTTAATTAATTCAACTCCACTCCATTTTGTTCATTTCAATCCAAAGAGACTCACTGTCGTGGAGGACTCATGTTAACATCACTAAAGAAAGAGAACAAAACAAATAAAAGCAACAAAACATCCAAAAGTACAAGTTTTAGACATTTGGGGGAATAAAAAATTAGCCGAGCAGAATAATAGCATTGTACCAATCACTAATACTTTATATTTATATTTTAAAACTGCTGATAAAAAAGTGACTGAAAGTGAAAGTCTGTTTAGCCCATTATTTAGAGCAGAAATGTGATTGCAGGTCAGAAGCCAGACTCCGTTTATAAAATCGCCTTTATTGCTTATTTGATTTATTCGTAAATTAAAGTGGTAAAGTAAAGACTCTTTTCCATATTAAACATAAAGAAACTTTTTTCACTTCAGTTCGGCACTGATAGAATTAATCACTTACAGAAATCTACCCAGGTTTTAACTTTTTACCTTCCTAAAACATCGCTCTGCCTTATATGGAGGACGTTAACGAGCAGCTCAAGGGTTCTATATTTATCTGAATTTGTTCGATTTTAAAAGGGAATTTTAAAGCCGAATTAAATATTATATCATACTTTATTTACAAGTCATAAATATTCTCTTTTTTTTACAATTCTGTTTACTGACAATGACTGTTAAACTTTAAAATACTCATTTTGTATACGTAGTTCAGCGCAACAAGTGGCGTATAGCGTCTGTAACTGTCGTGCATCCTAAACAGTTTGCGGCATGCCGTATTCCAGTCAGTCCATAGCGACTACACGTGAAAACATTGAAACAGAATCAACAGGGAGATTTTGGAGTTTAATTTGGGTTTTTTTCGGTCTCCAGTCTGACACCGACTCTCCGCTTAGAGTGAAGCCGGCAGGATGCTGTACCTGATCGGTCTGGGTCTGGGGGACGCGGCGGACATCACGGTGAAGGGTCTGCAGGCGGTGAAGAGCTGCTCCAGGGTCTACCTGGAGGCCTACACCTCCATCCTGACCGTGGGCAAGGAGGCTCTGGTGAGTCCGGACACACACACACACACACACAGGTCTAGTCTCTGTTAAAGTTTCAGGTATTTTAGTTTAAATGTCTCTAACTCTGAATATCTAAAATGTAAAACCACAGCAGGAGACAGCAGCCTGTGAAGACATCATTATTAACTTTAGTCATGTGACCCCTCAGTCTTTGTAAACTAAGGATCAGCTGATTTCCTGCTGCTTTTCTTAAGTTTTTCTAAGCCACAACTATTCCTGCTCACTTTAATTTACAGTTTATTCATAAATGATTTGGTGTTTCTGTTCCTGAAATCATCTCCAAGACTCTAGATCAGTCTGGGGGATCCAAGAGGATTTAGAAATCCTGAGACTTTTAAACATAAACCCTCCTGTCTGTCTAACAAGACATCTAAACCTCTCTAACTCGTCTTCAGGTGGTCTGCAGAGCTCGAAGTATCACCTCGAAGTGTTCCTCCTCCTCCTCAGGATTACAACCAAAAATTAGAAAAGCAAAATAAAAAACGTGGTAAGCTCCTGTAGGGCTGGGCGATAAAATGATAATTATCAATACAAAACATTATCAATATGATTTTCAATAGTCGTCATTCTGCCATGTTTTAGTAGACGATAGGAATAGCCAATGAAAAGGGGAGTTGCTCCGGTTCCGCCTCGCTCTGAACTAGAGGATGACATTTTTCGGGAATTCCCGTGGGTCCCATGGGTCATGTGATTGCAGCGGGAATCCCCATGATTGGGAGTCATTTTTTACTTAATCCTGTTATCGGGACGGGACGGTAAAAAAAAGCAACTCTTTGAACTATGTTTGACTTGTTGAAAAATTATTTATAAATAAAGACTGATTAATATCATCAGATATTACTTTTTATACAGCAAAAGTGACAATAAATGATTTACATGAACAAAAAACCTTTAAAATCGACCAAAACCCTCGTTCATGTTGAAGGTTTATGACAAGGAAACAAAACGAAAATCATAAAAGAAATAAAATTAAAAAAAATGATGAAAAATAAATTAAAAAGATAGATCAGGGCTCGGCACTAACTTCACATGTTCTCCCAAGTTGAAAAAGTAAATTAAAGTATCGACCTTAGTACTATTATTAGAAATCAATTTTAGGTCTTTTGGTCACATGACAGTGAAGCTATTGAAGGAAAACAGCCTTTTCTGAGAACATCAACCGGTAATTTATTGACGGTCCCTTATTCAACACCGACGTTGACAGTGAGGGTGTGGAGTAGATTTAACCGCGCTGCTGTTGTTATTCCCGGTTATGGAGAGTGAGAAGACACCGGTAGATCCTCAGAGAATGTCCGTCAGATATCCAACCTGAAACTAACTTCACCGCCGTATTTACAGGAAAATATATCCAACCTGAAACTAACTTCACCACCGTATTTACAGGAAAATATATCCAACCTAAAACTAACTTCACCGCCATATTTACAGGAAAATATATCCAACCTGAAACTAACTTCACCGCCGTATTTACAGGAAAATATATCCAACCTAAAACTAACTTCACTGCCGTATTTACAGGAGAATATATCCAACCTAAAACTAACTTCACCGCCGTATTTACAGGAAAATATATCCAACCTGAAACTAACTTCACTGCCGTATTTACAGGAGAATATATCCAACCTGAAACTAACTTCACCGCCGTATTTACAGGCAAATATATCCAACCTAAAACTAACTTCACCGCCGTATTTACAGGGAAATATATCCAACCTAAAACTAACTTCACCGCCGTATTTACAGGAAAATAGATCTAACCTGAAACTAACTTCACCGCCTTATTTACAGGAAAATATATCCAACCTGAAACTAACTTCACTGCCGTATTTACAGGAGAATATATCCAACCTAAAACTTACTTCACCGCCGTATTTACAGGAAAAAACAAAAAAAAACAACACTTGAGTAAAATCGACTTTCAAGTAAATCTAAAAAACGGTAAAACTCACTTAAGTGCAGAACTAAAAGGGTCAGAACTGAGTTTGTTTTTAAAAGTAGGAGGACTCATACAGACCCGGACCCTTCATATTGAATCAAACTGGTTTTAACTGGTGACCCATAGAACTATAATGAAACAGTGAGGATGCAGACGGGCCCGATTCTGGTGTCGAAGGCGCCGTCAAACTGGGTGTTTTTGTTTATCAGGGTTGAACCCCCGTCAGCTCCTCCGTCGTCTCTCTAATCGCCGTCTTTCTGCCCTCTCGCCCTCAGGAGGAGTTTTACGGGAAGCCGCTGATCCTGGCGGACAGGGACCTGGTGGAACAGGGGGCTGACGAGATCCTGAAGGACGCTGATGTGACCGATGTGGCGTTCCTGGTGGTGGGCGACCCGTTCGGGTGAGTCAGATCGTCCACGTCTGTGCTCGTCCTGGTATCGATCCCACATTGCTGAGGTCTGCTGCGTCAGCACGCTCGGAGCTCGATGTGACCGCAGAGCCGTTTGTCTCCGAGCCGCTCGGCCTCCATTTCTGCAGATTTCTCCCCAAAACCACCAGATTCCTCGCTGAGCTAATAACAGAGTGCAGAGCGCCTGCAGCTCGCGGTCTGCAGAGTCTCTGCTGACGCTCCTCCATACCAACGTCGGTTTTACAGTTTACATGAAAAGAGGAGCTGCAGATTTCTGACCTACTGAGGACCGAACATGTTGGTTTTGTTTCCATCAGGTTTGTTTAAACCGCCCCTGACCTCAGCGTCTGAAGGTTCGAATGAGCTTCAGCCACGCCGTCCAACATCAGAGAGACATCTGCATCTGTCCTGCTCTCTGTCTTTAGTTTGATTCATCACAATCCTGACCGAGAATGAAGTCCTGTCTTTATCTCAGCTTGATTAATATTCCTCTTCTGCTGCAGAATCAAAAACAGACGTTTCAAACCTAAAATCTACTTTTCTGAGTTTTACTGACGTCCTCCTTCAGCCTCAGATTTCCTCACACTCAGTACATGACACTCAAGAAAACCAAATTATCGCCTTATTCCGATAAAGTCCAGACAACTGAAGGTCATGTAAACACCTTAGTCTGACTATAATCGGAGTTTGAGAACTCCGATTAAGACACCCAGATCATGTGATAGGAATTCAATTTTCTCTACCATGATCGGAAACAGCGCCGCTGAAAAGACCCATATCGCCCCCTAGTGTTGGGGAGGAGGACACGTTCACGTCAATAATTTAATTTTCTCAGCTGCATGTAAACGAGGACAAGGAGAGAAGTCGGATTCAGAGAAAAACAGCGAATTATGAGCTCGGTCCGATTAAACGCACTGACTGCTGCACTCACTCACATTGAGGTGCGCCGGTATAAGCGGTATACCTGAAACTCGTCCAGTAAGAAACGTTCCGCTGTGCAAAAATACATTAGGTGCGATTGATATGCACTAATATTTTTAACAAGATAATATCAGTGTAATTAAATAATCGCAATGACCACGTAAAAATCCCGGTTCTCATTTTTATTGATGTGTGTTTGTGTTTGTGCAGAGCCACCACCCACAGTGACCTGGTCCTGAGAGCTGTGAATGCTGGGATACCGTACAAAGTCATCCATAACGCCTCCATCATGAACGCGGTGGGCTGCTGTGGTCTGCAGGTACGTCACACACCTGTTCGCCCTGAGCGTTGCCTCACAGGCTGAACAGAGTCTCTAAAAGACTGAAAATCTTTGACATATAATCCAAGTATTAGTCTGGTCCTAGTCGAACAAAGATTTTAGGACTTTTTCATGTTTCTCAGGATTAGAGTGTTCAGTTCAGCGCTGTGCAGCGGAGAGCGGAGATACTGGCAGACATCTTGGTTAGTTAGTTACTCAGTTCACCATTGTATGTCCTCCCTCCTGGATATTATTTTTTATCGGATGGTAGGGGAAGGTCCCGCCCTCCTTGGCCTCTGATTGGCTGGAAGTGCTGGGCTCCAATTTGTTATTCCTTATGGCTGTGAAACGTCATCATCTGTCGCGTCAGGAGATTCAGACTTACGATAACGTTCAGTAATGTTCTGTTTGATGTACAGAGCCGACAGCCTGCGCTCGGCTTAAGCGTGTATTGACGTTTTACAGCCATGAGGAATAACCAGTCGGAGCCCAGCACTCCTAGCCAATCAGACGCGAAGGAGGGCGGGACCTTTCCCTACTTTCCTAAGAAATAAAATATCGCTTTCTGGACTGTTCAGGTGGCTTAAAGCCTGTCAGTCAGAGCTCAGGGCCCAACACCCCCTTCATTTGTCCATTATATATATTTATATATACGTGTGTGTGTGTGTGTGTGTGTGTGTGTGTGTGTGTGTGTGTGTTCGTCCCATCTGCTGATGAATCCCATTAAACTGATGTTGTTACTAATGTTACCTCATCAATAACTGACCTGTCACAGCAGCCAATCAGAGAGCAGGACCCAGCTGCTCCCCCCCCACCCACACACACATACACAGATTAGCCTTAGTGCTAACAGTCTGGGCAGGGGGTCCACTGAGGGGGGGGTCGTTAAAATGCTAATGAGGGGGCGGGGCATTCCAGTGAGCCCCTCTGGGAGTCAGTCCCATCAGCCCCTGCAGTCTGAGGTCATGTGTGTGTGTGTGTGTGTGTGTGTGTGTGTGTGTGTGTGTTTGTGTGTGTAGAGGGAGTGTGTTTAAATAATTTATTGTCTATACAGCTCTGAAAAGTGTGTGTATTTCTGTTCGTGGTGTTAAACTCTGGAATATTCTGGATCATGTCACTTTATAAATGTCCAAAAACATCAAAATATTTAAATCAAACTATAGAGAAGAATTAAAAGATCCATAGAAGTTAATTAACAAAAATATGGTTTTACACTAAAGATACTTGATACCATAGAAGTAATATTATATTAAATTATAATATACCTACATAGTAATATTAATTATTATGTAGGTATTTATACAGATCTTTGTCATTTATATAATTAGATTTGTTTTTAAAAATCTCTAATTTGTGAGGAAGGGTCAGGACTAGTTCATCTTTGCTTCATTCTGTTTCTTCTCAAACTGTTTATTTTGACATATATATATTGTGTAAATTGATCTTTAACATGTACACTTGTTGGCGTTTTTGTTTGTAGTTGTTTTTTTGATGTTGTTCTTAAAGTTTGAGATAAATAAAGAAATAAAGATCTATAAACAGATTATTTTAACTCCATAAAAACACTTTTTTTAATTATAAATTTCATGAATCAGGATTTGACTGTTTAGTTTTTCTGGGTCAAACTGAAGCAGACTCGATCAGAAGAGTTTAATCTCACATTCAGGCCGACGGTTTAAAAGTAGATTAATAAAAATAAATAAATGTGGTTTATGACCAGCTGACCTCAGATCAGCTGTTCATCATGTTTTTGGTGATCTGTGAGGTTTTAGTGTCACGTTCATCTGAACCAGATAGAACCAGCGGCCTCAACTTCCTGTTTAGTTTCCTCTTTAAATAACCACCTGAGACACCTGACATTTGTGTGTGTGTGTGTGTGTGTGTGTGTGTGTGTGTGTGTGTGTGTGTGTGTGTGTCAGCTGTATAACTTCGGGGAGACGGTGTCGTTGGTGTTTTGGACGGACACGTGGAAACCGGAGAGTTTCTACGACAAAATCTGTAAAAACAGATCAGCTGGACTTCACACACTCTGTCTGCTGGGTGAGACACACACACACACACACACACACACACACACACACACACACACAACACACACACACACACACACGTTGTGCAGTTTTGGATCTGACCTTGATGGTGTATTCGGGGTCCTGGTGTCTGTTTATCCAGAGGAGACCATCATCATAAATCAGACCTGCAGACTCCCCCCCTCAGGGAATCCACAGACCCCCCCATGAAAACAGTCCTGAGGGAGGAGAGTAACCTGCTGGTGACTCTGAGTGTGTGTGTGTGTGTGTCCCAGCTGGTTCTTAACATTCATTACAGGAAATAAAAGAATAAAAGCCCCTAAAATCACAGACACTCAGACACTCATCCATCATCCTCTCAAACTGCATCAGTCCGTGATTTCCATAAGGAGTCCATGCTGTGATTTCCACTACAGAGACTCTTTCTTATTAATAAATCAGGCCCTATAAACTGGGCCAAAAACCTTCTACTGTAGTAAAATGAAAAGGTAAAGGTGTTTTTATTGAGCCGAATTATCAATAAAATCATGATTTTGTTAACAGGTATGGATTTATGTGCTGTTGAGTTAATATATTTGAACAAGAGCACAGTAAAGTTAAATCAGCTAATTTTCCAATGAGGTTCTGTTACTGAACGGAACTACACCATGTTCTACTGAGGTTAGTACATATAGGGTCCCAGCCATAGTACTAGACACCAAACATCTTTTCAACTTTGACTCATTTCTTTAGCAAAGAGACTAAACACAACTCACCTACTCTCTTCCAGCAGACGCTTGTTTGTAGAGAGACCTCAGGCCAGGCCATTACAGACTACAGCGGGGTGCGGCAGCTCAAGGAAGAACATTTATGATCATTTCTTTATCATTTCCTTGAAGTAATAATCACCATATTGATCATTTTACAGACGCGGTACTTCTTCTGTCTTAGCGTCTCTGTCTGATTGTATTTCCATGAAGAAATGATCATAAATGTTCTTCCTTGAGCTGCGGCACCCCGCTGTAGTCTGTAATGGACTAGCTTCTGTTTTCATATCCCTCTAAAGTAGAAACACATAATCCCGCAGAAGCTCTTGTTTGTTAAAGGATAATTCTCATATTTTTTCTGTGTTTTCAGATATTAAAGTCAAAGAGCAGAGCGTGGAGAACATGATGAGGTAAGATCTTTCTCCTGAGTGGACGCTCTCGCTGATGATGTCATCCTGTTTTTATTAACGCCTTTAAATCTCTCTGAGGTGAACCTCACTGAGCGTGTGCGGTGGCAGCAGGATGAGCTCATGGTAGTAAACTGTCACGACCACAGAGACACAAACAGATCAGTGACCTGCTGAGTAAACTAACGTGATAAAACTCTGAATGTTTTTAACTTTTTTAAGTCCTAAAAGATCGAAGGGAAAGTTTGTGTAAAGATGAACCACAAAATAAGTTTAGAGACGTAAAAGTTTCAGACAGAATATACTTTTGTATTTTTATTTTAAGATGAATATTTGTGATTAGAGTATTTCTTTATTTTTATCTTTTAGAGGGAGAAAGATCTACGAGCCTCCTCGGTACATGACGGTCAGTCAGGCTGCAGATCAGCTGATTCAGATCGTCCAGCGAAGGAGGGAGGAAGGGGAGGAGCTTGGTGAGTGGGACTGTCACATTTACAGTTTTGCACACTTTCTTCATAACTTTAGTGCAAAAACGTTTCTGTTTTCATTTATGAAGGTTGAGAGTGTATGCAATGGTCGGGTTACGATCGAAGCTCTTTCTCCTCGGTCAAACAGCGTCAGACGACGTGAATGTTTTAACCTGAAAGATTAATTTCAGGGCAAATCTGAGTCAAAGTTAAACACAAATAGCTTTATTAGTGAGTATAAGCTTCCCTGTGATTGGCTCGAAGATGCAAATATGATGCTAACGCTGCTAACGAGTTTGTTTTACTTAAAGAAGTTACATCCACAGGTACAAAAGGTCAGGGTTACAGCACACCGTTAGCGTGCCAGCTAACATTCTCTGTTAGCATGATTAGCTCAACCGCTAACCTACAGAAAAATCGTTACATGTATCGTCTCTTTTGCTGTACGGGGGGCCGACTCTTGTTTTTTGTATGTGTTGCACTCAGGAGTCAAACCTGAATAAGATCAGCCTCTGTGTCCCCCACAGGTATGACGGAGGACACTGTGTGTGTGGGCGTGGCCAGGCTCGGCGCTGACGACCAGAAGATCTGCGCGGCAACATTACGTCAGCTGGTGTCATGTGACCTCGGGGGTCCACTCCATTCGCTGGTCATCACCGGTAGACTCCACCCGCTGGAGGTGGACATGCTGAAAGTGAACGCAGAACCAAACGCGCTTGAACACTTACAGATGATTGACAGCTCCACCTACTACTCCTAACACACGCACGTTTGTCTGTGAGGACTTGAGGACCATTGATGACGTGGATCATCTCTTCCTCTCAAACCAGAATCTAACCTGGGAAATAAAACTCACAGGTCCGTCAAACTCAGACGGAAAATTCTAGATGTCCTCATAATTCAGAAATGTCCCCACTGTGGGTCCCAGAGCAAAGTACTGGTCCCCAAAAATACAGCAAAACAAGAATACACTCACACACAGTTTCTTCACCAACAGAATGATATTAAATTAACATAAGTCACTAATTATCTGTGAATCTGATTGGTTCTGATAAACTCATGCTGCGTTCGAGTTACCTTGGAAAGTCAGATGTCGGAGCTGAAAATGACGTCACACCCGAGTTCTCAACGTTTCAGTTACCAAGCCGGAAAAAAGCGAAATCGGAGGCCTGAAACAAGATGGCTACATCTACCAAAGTTATTTTAGCACTTGCCTAGTTATTTTCGGTCAAGGCAAAGCGCTAAAACAACTTAAGTAGATGTCGCCATCTTGTTTCCACCTCCGATCTTGTTTTTTTCCAACTTGGTAAATGAAACGCTGGTAACTCCAGCATGATGTCATTTTCAGCTCGAGTTTCTGACTTCCAGAGTAACTCAAACGCGGCAGATAACTTGCCCTGAAACTCACAGGAAGAAAATTCTAGATGTCCTCATAATTCAGAAATGTCCCCACTGAAGGTCCCGGAGCAAAGTACTGGTCCCCAAAAAGACAGCAAAACAAGAACACACTCACACACACAGAATGATGTCATGTTAAAATAATCAATTTATAACCCATGATTCTGATTGGTTCTGATGGACTCACACCTGTTAAACAGGTGAGCATGTTGATGTTGACGGTTTTCACTGTGATGTCATCAATAAAGATGGAGGACGGCGATCGGCTCAGAGAAACAGAATTATTTATTACAGATGAAAAAGACAAACCTTCAGACTGGTCACATGGTTTGGTCACATGGTTTGGCACATTAAAAATAAAGGGTGACATCACAAGCGTGGACACCGCTGACCAGTCGGCAGTCTGGTGCGAGCAGTGATGTCACGAGGGGGAGGGGCATCCATACAGGAAACAGGCTCAGATTGTCTCTGAATCGTCACGAAGGCACTTACCCGGAATGCTCTGCTCCAGTCTACAAAGTGCAGCTGGTGGAGGAGGGGAATAACTCCGCCCACCAACGCTGACAGGTGAGGTTAAAAAAGGGGGAGGGGCAATTTGAGTTCATCCAGGACGCACTGAGCAGGAGCATCATGGGAGATCACAGTCAAGTTCTCACTGCCCCCCCCCCTCCGACAGTCTCAGTGTGACCTAAAGTGACCCTGAGAGGGGGAGGTCAGACGTCACCTGCAGCAGACTGAAGGTGATTGGTCCCAGGTGTTCAGAGGAGGAGGAGCTTCTACATGGCGGCCGTGTCTATCTGAACGTACAGCTGTCGGACTCCGGCCTGTGGAGACACCAGACAAACACCGATCAATACAACCAGGGGTTCTCCGATCTATGACTGTTATTGATCGGAGTTATCAAAATGACCGATCTGACAAGGCCGATCAATGACATGAAATCAGGAGAGAAAAAAAAGGTTAAAATCCGTGAGAATGACCATCATGTATAAATATGTTTGTACAGGGATAAACGTTTCAGTATAAAGATCATTTTAGGCTTTAGGTCGCTGAAAGAAAGAAATCATTCTTCTATTGGTCACGTAAAAGGCAGCTTGTGATTGGCTGTCTGGCTTTGTCATGGTCATGTGGTTTGAGCACGCCCTCTGTCTCTTTAACTTTGACTTAAAGGTCCTTTTACACCGGGAACATTTTTTTCATGTAATTATTTTGGACATCAATATATTTTTTTGAACCCGTATCCTGTCAATACAAGCGTTCACATCAGCGACGTTTTCCCGTCCTGCGATATTGCGGCATTTATATCTTTCGTATCACGGTCGATTTTTCTAAACGACCTGAAGGACGACTTGTGGAGAGTCATAGTGTCGGATTTCTCCGATGACGATGGTTTGTGAGCTTTAACAGTTTGATAAACGTCTTTGTTTGAACTTTCATCTGTGCTAAGTAACTTTAGCTCTAAGCTAACCTGTTCAGATACAACAGACCATCTGTATTTTCACTGTAAACTCAATCACAGCGTTGCTGTCACAGCACCATTAGGTCTCAGTTGTTCCTCGGCCTGTCACGATAACAAATTTTGCTGGATGATAATTGTGCTACAAATTATCGCCAATAAACGATATTATTGACACCGTTTTTTAAATTATAGATAATGATATTATATGGCATAATAATGCGAGTACACCATGTCAAAAGTGATAAACTTTAATTTCCACACGAGAACAACACTAGTTGTTTTCGTTGACTAAAATATTTCCCTTTTCTCCCACGACGAAGACGTAACGTTGACGAGCTAAACATAAGTCGGAGATGACTAAAATGTGACGAGACGAAAGTGCGTTTATGTTGATGGGACGAGACGAAAATGACGAACAGAGTTGCAAAACTCAGTCAGTTAAACGCTAAACATACAGGAGCAGCTTCAGTCCACTCTGACAGCTCTCATCAGCCTGCTGTGCTCCTCCAACACACAGACACACACGCACGCGCACACACACGTGGAGTTTTGTGTTTGACGAAAACAAAACTGGTTTAAAGCCGAAATATTCCCACACTTGGGCTGTTGCGTTCGGTTTAGACATCAAAGCTGTCGTGTTCATTCTGTTTGCTTGCTTTTCACTCACTTGCAGCACTGTATCAAAAAGTCTGTGTCTGTGTGCCTGTGCGCGCCAGCCCCCTCGTAACAAAGACACTGAATGACTGACAGGAGGGTTCACTAACTCCGTTCATTCCGCTATAGAGCCAACGCCCCCAGGTGCCGAGAACAATGCGCAGAGTGAGACCTCTTCTCTCATCCAGCGTGTTTGGTAGCGAGAGAGGAGGAAAACAAACGCACGTCAATTATCGCGGCTGGCAAAATGACCGACCTCGTTTTTATTTATCGAGCGATAAGGCGATGTATTGATTATCGCGACAGGCCTAGTTGTTCCCTTACGTTTATGGATTATAGTTTAATGTTCTTATCTGGTTCTGACCCGACTCAGTCCATGCTATCATGACAGGCAGACATCTCAACACTAGAGTCTGATCAGAACTGAAAAACACTCAGTCTGCTGTTGGATCAGTCTGTGTCTGAAATGGATCCCTAACCCTTATATGGGCGACTTTTAAATTGTTCAGCACTTTTCCGTCTGTCTCCTCAAATTCAGACACTTTTAATGACTTTAAACTATATTTTATATTTTGCCTGTTTATTTAATCTCCAAAGGAAATCTATTGTGTAAACTCCAAGTTCAGGAGCCTTGGATGGAAGAAATGTTGCACTTATGAAAAGTATTTGATTTGATTTATGATTATACAGTCTATATAAACTTAAAGTTGTCTCTCTATGAGGGTTATTATCTCATCTAGAGTGGAATGTTACAAATTCCCTTCAATAATAAAGATTGTTGTCGATTCATAAAACTTTATCATCTCTTATTTTAATACTTGTTACACAATAAATGAAATGCTTCAATAGCTGCTTTCGACGCTGTGATCGGAAATATCGGATCGGCAGATACTGATTTCAGTAAGATCGGATCGGTGATCGGAACCAAAAATCCTGATCGGAGCATCAGTAACTACATCACATCTGAGACAATAAATACCAACATTTACTACGACTACATCAAACACTTTACTATAACTGATGCTGAAGCCTAACTCCAAAACAGGCCCGTGTGGTGCATTCAGGTACCTGTGTGAATATGTGGTGCGTTTGGCTGAGGATCCAGCGTGTGTCGGCGTCGGGGGCGACCAGCAGCTTCAGTGTTCCGATGTAAACGTCCGTGCACAGAGTCCAGAAGTGAGGCTCCTGCAGGTTATAAACTCCCTGCAGCTGCTGCACCTGAACGCATCACAGGAAAACATCAAGATGTGGTTATACAGAGGGAGGTGATAGGGGGCGGGGCTAAAAGAGGGCGTGGTCTGTACTCACCCTTTGGTAACACTCTGGGAGGGCGTGGTCCAGGGAGGGAGGAGTTCTCTGCATCAGGATTCCGATGGACTCTCGCAGTAATGGCACCACACTGGAGGTTAGAGGTCAAAGGTCAGGGAGGACCGAGCACGTATCAACACTCGTACGCTGTTAAACTTCTGTCGAGGTCGCTTTGAGCGGACTTTGGTCTGAGTAAAGCTCTGGTCCGCGACTAGATTAGGTTGATTTCTGGATGTAGTTCTGTCTAAATGAGCATCTGAATCTCTGAGCAGAATCAGGAGATTTTTGAAGGACGTTTGGTCAGAAGAAAAGCTGAGATCATTCTCTAAAACTTCGTAAAGCTCAGATCTGTGAATAGAATCAGGAGATTTTTGACTGGGTTTTGGTCTTGGTTGTCCTCCAAGTCAAGTCCTGATCCATGAGAAGTTTTAGTCGATTTTTTATCATTTTTATAGGAATCAGTAAATCTTAGGTGAAGTTTTGTCGTGCTGAAACCTCGGGTAAATCTCATGGAGATCGGTCAGGGAAGCACTTAAAGTAAAGCCCAGAATTATGACAATAATCAGTAGATTTCTGAGAGAGGTTTGGTCCCATTAAAGCTCAGATCAAGAGATAGATTATCAAGTTTTGTCTGAGTTGAGCCGAGCTATGAGAGTAAAATCAGGAGATTTTTGAAGGACGTTTGGTCTGAAGAGAGCTGAGATCTTTTCTCTAAAACTTGGTGTAAAGCTCAGATCTGTGAATCAGGAGATGTTTGAAGGTCGGGCTGGGTGAAGTTCAGGTCAGAGTTTAGTTAGAGTAAAGCTCAGATCTGAGGGCAGACTTGGTGAGTTTCAGAGGGAGGTTTGGTGTGAGCCGTTCTCCGGATAAGGTCGCATCTGTGAGGAGAATTAGTCGACTTTGGAGTGATGTCATGTCTGGGTCTGAACCTGGAAAAACCTGAACTCTCTTCATCAGAAGCTGGTGAGTTTTGACAGTTTGGAGCAGGTGAAGGTCTCAGGTTGAGCTCAGACCTGAGAGTAGAATCAGCTCATTTTTGGGTGCAGTTTTGTTTGAGCTGTAGCCTGACATCTTTGGGTGGAAAAAGCAGATTTTCTAAATGGAATTTGGTCCAAGATGTAACTCGGAACAGCTCTGGGCTCTGAGAGGACTTGGTGGATTTTTGAGTCCAGTTTTGTCCTGGTGAAAACCTCGAGGATCTGTTATCAGTTAAGTGAATTATGAGTAACGCTGAGGTTCATAAACAGAACCAGGAGATTCTGGAGTGGAGTTCTGTCTGGGTGAAGCTCAGAGTAGCACGGGTCCATATTTGAGTAAAGTTCAGCAGTTTCCAGCTGCAGTAACTCGATGCCTGTGGTTGTTTTCAGACCTCGGCGCTGACCACAGCTCTGCTCTGCTGACTGTTTGAATCTGCAGCTGCGTTCAACTTCCAGCCTATCAAACCACATCAGCACACAACCTCTCCATCTATCACGGAGGATTCTGGGAAATCTGACTGCTGCATTTACATCCAGAGGACCAGAGAGCCCAGGCCGGACTCCAGAACCCTCTCCAATCTCATACCAGTGGCTTGGCAGGTTGGAGTCCATTAAATACTAATTACACATTCCTGACATTAGTGGAAACCATTTTCCAAAGTCTCCATCAGAGATTGATTTCTTCTTCTTCTTCTTCTTCTTCTTCTTCTGCTGCCGACTGGTTTCAGACTGAAACCTGAGAGAGAATCCATCACATCCCTGTTTACCTCAGAGGTGACGCAGACGCAGCACGAAGTTTACTAAAGCATCTCATGGTGCGTTCAGGGACGCTCGGACATTATTATAGGTGTCAGTATAAGAACATTATTGGAGAAGTTTTGGACTGGAGTCGTTCCAAAAGATGTTTGAGGAACGTGTTTTAAAGCGGGTCCTGGTGGTCCAGGACGCGGTTCTGACGGTCTCCTGAGCTTCACTGTTTTCCGTTTTTAAAGGTCTGGAAGGAAACTTTCACGGTTTGGGTCACAGAGGATGTTTTGGTCGTGACAGGGGAAATTCTGGGGTCAGCACCGGCTGCTGTCAACAAGCGGTTTCTCCGGGTTACGACCCAAACTCCATCAGAGCGAGGAGGCTCTTTAAATGTTGACAGAACCAGGATGAGGTGGTCCACAAATCATCTAAGGAACGTGAACGTTTTTTTTCTTTCATGGAAATAATTTTCTCATTTGAGTTTAATGTGAGGAACACTTTTCTAAGAGGCAGTTTCAGGGTCGTGTTTCTCATCAACTCTTCTTCTACCAACGCTCAGCTGCTCAACAATTCAGGTCCAAACAAGTCTCTGGTGGTTCTGGATCCTGGTTCCATCTGGTCTCCTCCTTTCACGGTTCAGTTTGAACCTCATTAGTGGATTCACAGTCAGAGGTCTATGAAGAGAAATCTGAAGATGCAGCTTCTATGATTTCTAGTTCTTCGCTGAAAGGACAACTGGACTTACTTGAGACGTTTCGCCTCAAGTAAGTCCAGTTGTCCTTTCAACGAAGAACTGGAAATCATAGATGCTGCATCCTCAGTTTTAAACAACATCTCAAGGTTTACCCCTAATCTCCACCTTCATCCTGATCGTCTCCTAAAAGGTCGTATCCTCCGATCGTAGCTGATCGTAACCATTCAAGTTAACGTGTCAATTTACACCGACTTCTTTCCGTTCCTCTGCGGATCGCCGGACTCCTCAGCTGATCACAAGAGTTCTATTTTTTCTGGACGCCGGAGCATGGCGGATAAATTCAGCACAGATTAACCCGTGCTGGAAAGGAAGTCAGGCACAGACTTCAAAATAAAACATCCGGCTTCTTTTCAAAATAAAACACTCCAGAGGAGACGAACAAGTGAAAGGTTTTTAGACGTCATTTCACCCCGATGACACCATGGATGAGGAGATGCTGATTCTAGAAGTCTAGAAGTAGATTTCCTCCTCTGGAAGGACACAATCTACTGCTTATATGTCTATGTGTCTGTCTTTAGAGAGACAACTTTATTCTGAAACTGTTGAACTGTTCGCTCACACAGTCTCTCTCAGAGTCCTGAACCTCTTCCATCTTTCCTCCTGAGACCCTCAGCCTCTCTGAAGGTCCATCTTAGACCCAGTCATGTGACTAACCTGCTGGACGGTCACCTCAGTAGTTGGGAGATGTTCCTCTCGCCGTTTTCATTCAGCATTTTGACTTTTTAATGATTTATAGTCACTGTGGAGAATAAAAGGGTTTCCTGGAAAGTTTTGAAGTCATTAAAGGACTTTTAAGGGTCTTTAGGGGGTGTAGAGGTCACTGTTAGGGGTATCGGGCCAATCCTGAGGTTCTTCTTAGGATGACGTGTTTTTTTCTAATGTGCTGTGATTGGACGGGTTCTACTGAGCCTTCAAAACGTTCAAGAGGTTAAATACCTCTACGAAAGAGACAGAACATCTCTCTGTTGTTCTTATTTTAACACACAAACACACACACACACACAAACACACACACACACACACAAACACACACCCTCTGTATGTAGAAGCCTCAGACTGACCTGCAGTCTGTCATTACACAGAGAGAAGCTGAGGAGGACGACCACAACAAAGAGGCAGCTGGCCCCGCCCCCTCCACAGATACACACACACTTAGTGGTCACAGCTGGCCACGCGGCTAGTTTAAGCCCCGCCCACCCTGCTCTATTATTCTATACAACATAAAAAAAAACATCTTCGTTCTTCTGCCTTTCTTGTGAACTACGACATGGACGAGTGGCGTCACCTGACTCCGATGAGCAGAGCGATCAGCATGGAGCAGATCGGGTCGGCGATCATCAGGTCGTATTTCTGCATGAGGAGAGCGGAGATGATCACCCCCACGCTGCCCAGAGTGTCGGCGATGATGTGCAGCAGGACGCCTGTTGATCCGAAAACAGAGAAATCATCTGATCGGACTCAGAGCTGCACCATCATCAATCACAGTCTGTCTAAAATCATGTACACATGGTTTTCAGAAACCAGCCCCTCTACTTATGGCAGCAGAAACAGCTGTGATGTGGTGCTGCACTGAGTGACGGTGTGATGGCGCCCCCCTGTGGTAGCCTCTCTGTATAACGACACTGTTATCAGAACAGCTGTAGATGTTTCTGCTGAATTAAAGTTAACCCCCTGAAGAAGATATTTGTAATGTGTGTGTGTGTGTGTGTGTGTGTGTGTGTGTGTGTGTGTGTGTGTGTGTGTGTGTGTGTGTGTGTGTGTGTGTGTGTGCGTGTGTGCGCGCACTCACCCTGGAGGATCTGTTTACTGGAGCCTTTCCCCGGAGTTAGCAGCTGGTCGTCTGAGAAAAACAGAAAACTAATGAGAATTTAAAATATCTCTGACTGTACATGCTGCTCACGCCACCTTGTGGTGAGACGTTAGACTGCATTCATTATCAGAAAGCCTGTTCAACCCGTCAGTGACTCTCACCATGACAGTGGTCGTCATGGCCACCGTGGCTGTGTCCATGTCCCCCATGACTATGTCCGTGACCATCGTGACTGTGTCCATGCCCCCCGTGTCCGTGTCCGTGTCTATCTGCGTGTTTTTGGTCATGACCACCATGACTGTGTCCGTGATTCAGACTGCCGTTAAACAGAGAATGGCTGTGACCGTGACCTGAAGGAGACAGGATGGAGAAATATTAGGAGGGTTTGATTGTGTGAAACAAGGTTCTAGACATCTGTGACAAGGTTTTTAACATCTGCAACGGGGTCAAAAAACATCAGTAACAAGGTTCAAAAACATGTTAACAAGGTTCTAAACATCTGAAACAAGGTTCTAAAACATCTCAAGCAAAGTTGTACAGATCTGCAACAGAGTTCCAGTAAGTTTCTGCATCATGGTTCTAAACATCTGAAACAAGGTTCTAGACATCTGCAGGAAGGTTCTAAAACATCTCAAGCAAAGTTGTACAGATCTGCAACAGGGTTCCAGTAAGTTTCTGCATCATGGTTCTAAACATCTGCAACAAGGTTCTAGACATCTGTGACAAGGTTCTACAAATATCTGCAACAAGGTTCTAGACATCTGCAACGGTGTCAAAAAACATCAGTAACAAGGTTCAAAAACATGTTAACAAGGTTCTAAACATCTGAAACAAGGTTCTAAAACATCTCAATCAAAGTTGTACAGATCTGCAACAGGGTTCCAGTAAGTTTCTGCATCATGGTTCTAAACATCTGCAACAAGGTTCTTAACATCCTTCTCAAGGTTGTTAAGAACTGCAACAAGGTTCTTCTAAGCTTTTGCAACAAGGTTAAAAAAATTCAGGAAGGTTCTAAGATCTGCAACAAGGTTCTAAAACATCTGCAGGAAGGTTCTAAACATCCCAAGCAAAGTTGTAAAGATCTGTAACGAGGTTCTTTTAATCTTCTGCATCAGAGTTCTAAAAATCTGCATCAAGGTTCTAAACATTTGTGACAAGGTTCTAAAAAATCTGCAAGAAGGTTCTAGATATCCTTTGCAAAGTTGTAAAGATCTGCAACAAGGTTCTTTTACGCTTCTGCATTGAGTTCTAAACATTTGCATCAAGGTTCTAAAACATCTGCATCAGTGTTAGTAGTAACATACTTTTTCAAGCTCTAAGTATCTACACCAAGGTTCTAGATGTCTCTATTAGGATGAGGTTCTGCACATTTACAGTGAAGATCTACTCATCTGCAGTGAGGTTCTGCATTTCTCCTCATTCAGAGTTGAACTTTTCACGCTAATATTCTGGATGCTCTGCAGACAGTACCTCCTTCTCCGTGTGAATGTCCATGACCTCCATGCTGGAACACGAAGATCCCGACCAGGTTCACCAACAGACCGGCCACAGAGACAGGAAGCAGACGCTCATGGTGAACATCAGGAGGCTCCAGAGCTCTCTGACGGACACAGAGGAACACGTTTTTATTAATGAGTGTGTGTGTGTGTGTGTGTGTGTGTTTCTGTGCCTTACCTCTACTCCTTCTGAGAAGATGAAGAAGGCTGTGAAGATGAGGAAGAGCCCGTTGACGAAGCCTGCCAGAACCTCTGCTCTGACATAACTGAAACCCAACATCAGCATCACTATCCTCATCAGCATCATGTTCACTGTCAGACCTGACTAAACGAGCACAGACTGATGTCTCACCCATAAGAGAAGCTGTCGTTGGACCTCCACCTTGAGATGACGGAGGCTGCAAGACCTGCCAGCAGGGCGGTGCAGTCAAAGAACATGTGGAAGGAGTCTGAAATCAGACCTAAACTGGAGAAGAAGGATAAACCGGGTTATTATCATGAACAAATACAAGTGAGAGAACAAAGACGATGGTTTTAATGATCAAATTAATCAGCATGAGAGAGTCAGTGTAGGACCTCTGTCATTGTGCGGCCCCTTTATTTTATTTTTAACCATTCTGTCAGAGTTATATTCAGATTTTAGGTGATTAACATGATGATTCATGAAACAGGAATGATTGAGAGAAGAGAAGACAGACTGGTGACTTAACTGTGAGTAGTAGACCACTGAAAATACTGTCAGGAAAAATATAGGTAAACATGCAGCCTGTCCTAAATAATCAGAATGAAACGGCCTTTAACCTTCCTCCTGCGTTAGCTTTTACCACAGACCCACCATGTTAAAGGTCGGTTTTGACCCGTGTCTTAAATCAGCTGTAAATGACACTAAAAGCAATTCTCTATCATCCAGTTTGGTTCTCATCTCTAAGTTTCCTTGTTCGGCTTCATTATCCACAAAAATATTGATTATAATAGTTTTTGTTGTTGTGGTCCTCTGGGCCTTTCTTTGTCAGTATACCCCTCACACAGACATCTATACTGAATTGATCTCACATGTCTGGACATGCCTGACGTTGTTTTTTTTTGTGCAGGGTAAAACATGAAAAAAATGATAAGATAGATAAGAGATATAAAAAGAATATATAAAAGAAAATATTTTGATATATAACCGAAATAAAATATATATATATATAAATATATATATATATATATACAGATTTAAAAAAAGACAAACATATAATAGATATAAAACAAATGTATAACAGAAATAAGATTGAGATATATATATATATATATAAAGATTTAAAAAAGATATGTAAGAAGAAAACAGACATATAAGCGAAAACACATACAAGAAAAAATTCAGATATATAACTAAAATAAAAGATAGATAAAGATTTTAAAAAGAAATATCTTTTTTATGTTTATATATATTTATACGCATGTTTTGTTTCTGTTATATATGTTTTATTTCTCCTATATATACATATATATTTTTATATGCATATTATATATATATTAAGTATATAAAAATATATATGTATATATAAGAGAAATAAAACAGATATATCACATTAATCACACACACACACACACATATATATATATATATATATATTTACATACATACATAACAGATCCACATGAATGTAAATGTTCAGCCCGTCGTGAGAAAAACCAAATATCAGAACAGCTGACTACAGAGATTGACAGGAAGTGATTCAGGGACCTTTCAGAATAAACGGACTCACATTCCCCCTCTGTCTCACACACACACACACACACACACACACACACACACTCTGACAGAGTGGGCTCCTCCACGCTAACACATACGTGGCACATCATCCTGGTCCACAGCAGGACAAACAGAGATCAGCTGCTAACAGTGAGTTAACCTGCTGTTACCTGTTACTCCAGATGCCATAGGTGAGCTCCACGAAGGCGAACGACAGGTTGAGGCAGAGGAAGAAGAAAAGGTTCCTGGAGGTTTTATCGGCGAGGATCGACCTGAAAAAATAAAATCAGAAAAACCAGTCACAACATCACAGACAGTCAAAAAAAACCCGGGAAAAAACACACCTGACTGCGTCATTCACACACAACTACCTGTCCGTGACACACCTGAGAGACTGACACTGAGATGAAACACCTGAACTCTGAGATAATGTTATCAGAGGAGAGGTTCGAGAGGCTAACCGGTTAGCATCAGGCTAGCAGTGTTCAGAACAGGGTTAGCATGTAGCGGGTTAGCACAGGTGTGATTAACTCACCTGAACCATCCGGACAGTTTGAGCAGCAGGTTAAACTTGGCCGGTTTGTACTCGTCGTCTTTAACAGATAACGGCAACATCTTCACACCTGGACACACACTCTCTCTCGCTCTCTCTCACTCACACACACACACACAACACTGAGGAGGAGAGTTAGCAACACTATGCTAACTGACAGCTTCCGCTTTAGTCGGATTTCACAATAAAGGCGTCTCACAGCGCCGCGCGCAGGATTTAAAAAAACCCTCTCCGTTTGGTTGTGGACTCATTTAGTATTATTCTTACATTTCCAGTCAATAATGATAAAGTTCAGTTTTGGACACTTGAAATGACAGAGTTATTTGGATGTAGTATAGCCTTTAAAAACAGAGATTTGGTCTTTTTAATGATTCATGATGGGGGTGTCAGTGCAGAAACTGTTCTCAAACCTGTTCTTCCTTGTTCTGACAGACCTGTCGTGCTTGTCAGAGAGGAACAGGTCCAACTGGGGAAATCTGGAGTGGAAGTGGGTCTTTACAATTCAAATTCAACTTTATTTGTGTGGCGCTTTTCTGACAAAAAAATGTAGTTCAAAGTTTCTCACAGAGGCTTTATTTTTTCTTCTCCCTTTTCTAATTTTTTTCTTAATTATTACATTTATTTAAGTTCTTAATATTAGGACCCTTATTGTTATAACTGCATTTTTGCACTTTTTGGCTTGTCTGTGATGCTGCTGTGACAAAAAAATTTCCCCCATGGGGGATCAATAAAGGAATATTCTATTCTATTCTATTCTATTCTATTCTAAAAACAACAATTAACAACAATAAAACCCGACCTTAACACCCACACACACACAGACAGACACAGACACACACACAAGCGCACACAGAGTGAGAATTTAAGATATATTGTTAAAGAGACACCGAGACTTTATATGAGGAAAGAGCGACCTTTAGGAAACACTGGAGATAAAAAGAAAGACTAAAACCTGATGGACTAAAACAAGAAAATAAAATAAGTAAAAGCTCTTTACCGTGTAAAAGAGGTAAAAAAAAACCTTTCAGACAGGAGTTAAGAAAAAGAATAAGAACAGAGATAATTAATAAAATGACATAAAATAAAAATTAAGAACTTTGATTAAAATGAACATTTGCAATAAGAGAAATATAAAAAGGTAATCGGTAAAAAGCCGGGTATAAAAAGTGAGTCTTGAGCCTCTTCTTAAAAACATCAACAGCCTCTGAGGATCTCCAGTCTTTCTTACTCAGGAGCTAAATATAAGTGAGAATACTGCTGATCGTCTGTGCTGTGTTTATCAGAAATAGTCTGACTGTTTATCAGATATAATCTGACTGTTTATCAGATATAATCTGACTGTCGACAGGATGAAACACCTGCAGAAGCTCTTCCTCCTCCTTCTTGCAGACTCAGTATCTCAGTCTGCTGCTCAGACCCTTTAGTGTCATGAAGGGAGTGAGAGGGATCATCGATGATGGATGTCAGGTTGGCTAACATCCCCTCTCGGTGGGGGAGGGCAGCTCATGGTCCACCTAAAGTTCCTGAGAAAATCCTCTCTGTACATTTGGGCTCCATCCAGATGGGATCTCACATGTTCTGACTGTATGGAACAACTTTCAGACATCTATTCAGTCATGATATTAACCAACTTTAACAAGTAATAAAAGCCCAAAATACTGAAACTAAACTAAAAATGTTCCTCACACACACAGCAGCAAATACACTCTTGGTAAATCAGTGCAGTTGGACTCATGGTTCAGCAGTGAGGAGTCCTGTTTACAGTCTCCTGGTTATACTCCGATCGTGATGAAGAGCTAACCTGCAGATATTTCAAATGTGACTGATCAAGTTTGGAGTTCCTCTGGTGGACGAAGTGTGCTGCAGTAACGAGTGTGAACAGCAGGGGGCGTCAGAGCTCTGTGTGTGTGTCCAGGTCCTCAGCGGGCCCCTCTTTCTCTCTGCGGAGCCTCTGAGTTTGTTGACTCTGAGTTTCATCATGAAGGACAAAGTCTGAGCTCGGTTTAGGAGAAAAACGACCACTGAGAGATCTGCCTGATCTTCACACACACACACACACACACACACACACACACACACACACACACACACACACACACACACACACACACACACACACACACACGACTAAAACAAACACAATAACAGACACAAAAAGCCAAAACAATCATGGATAACTCAGAAAAACACATGATCAGGTTTCATGGAGTCTCCTCATCAAGTTCAGTGTTTCTCTGTTCGGTACTTTCTGCATCTCATGTGAAGCAGCTTTAGTTGATAATAGACCCTAAAATCTGTGATTTTTTTAATGACTGTGTGAATATTTTGTCTGTTATTGAAAAAGAAGAAGGAGAAGAACTTTACTGACCCTCAAAGTTTTATATTAAAAATATTACATACATTTTTTTTTTTTTTTTTTTTTTGAAATGTTATTTATTTATTGTTGTTTTCATTTGTATTTTTTAACCCTTTTGTGTCTGTGTATATGTGTATGCATGGGCATGCATGTATATTTAGATGTTAATATATATACATATATATTAAGTTGTTATGGGTGTTACTTTAATGATGTTTCCTGTTCTGTTATAACTTCCATTACTATCTATAGTCTTTTTTTTTTTTTTTTTTTTTACCCATTATTTTAAATTACTTGCTTATTAGGTGTTTGTATGTATTCAGTTATTTTTATATATTTATTTATGTATTTATTTATTTTTATGTATATATCATTTATATTTTGTGAATTGATATAATTATAATTACATATAGTATATATATTGTATATTTTTTATTACTATAGTTATTATTCTATTTTATAGTATGTGTATGTATATGTATATTTATTGTTATATACTTATTAATATTTTTTTTATTATTTTATCTTATTTTATTCATATATTTTCTTGTATCTCAACGATGATTTGTGTAGAGATTGTGATTGCTTTATGTTTAGCTACATTGATGCAGCCGATCCAACAAGGCAAGTGGTACAAGGAGTAGCACAGTGGCGTATTTTGCAAACCAGAGAGGAATGAGTGCAGTTGGTGTTGACTAGGGGAGGGAGGGAGGGATGTTTTGTGTTTGTGTTTGTACTGTTTAAAAGAAAAATGGAAATAAAAAAATGTTAATCATAAAAAAAATATTACATAAATAAAGTCTGGAGAGACTGAAGCCCCTAGTTTGATACGTTTAAGGTAAATGTAATCATATCACAGGAGGATAAAACTGTGTTAGTGCAGTGTAAGGATACACAAGAATAAAGTCTTGATTTGTTTGAAGATGTTATCAGGAAAAGTGTTTCTATTACAGGATGAAGGAGGTCAAAGTCTGAATATCCTGTCAATGAGGTCAAAGTCTTACGAGATCGAAGACAAACGTCTTCAGAGGATAAAGTCTTAATGAAATGAGGATAAAGGTGTGATACTCGGAGTTTGTTGTGTTTTATTGTAATCACACCGAGCATGAATAAATTCATCTACACGTCTGAGAGGAACACGCTTGTCTGACGCGTCTTTGCTTTGACTTACATGTGATTCACTGACATGTTTGATGTGAACGCCACATTAGGAGAATAAAGTCATGCTGTTATTGTAGAATTATCCAGTGTAAGTCTGATCAAAAGGGATCTGTGTGTCCTTCTCCAACATGGGGTGGAGCACCGAAGGTCAAAAACCAGCAGCAGCAGGTCAGCAGTGAGGGGGTTATTTTATAAATCATAAATGTGAGGGAAATCAACAAAAGGAGGAAAACTCCAGCCTCACAGCAGGCTCTTACCTGCCCCACACACACCCCCTCTGGAAACGGCTGCTCTTTTTAAAGCTCACCTTGGCCCCGCCCCCGAGAGAAAACACCTGGAAAACCAGGAAGAAGAAATCTCATCAAACATGACGAAACACCAAAACAAAATTAAACATTTTAAAGTAGAAACTCAAAACAGGATTCGTTCAGTTTACAGGGAGCTCCACTCTGACCACTCAGGCACAGGTGAACTCACCTGAAGTCATCAGAAGGCTGTGGGGAGGGTGGGTCTGCTGAGGAGGAGTGAGGAAGTCTTTTCACAGTTAAGAATATCAATAAAAGGATATTTTATAAGATTTAAGCCACGATAACTTCAACATGTGGTCATGGCGTCACAGGAACGAGAATAAAGTTTTCATATTACAACAAATCAGTTTGTGTGAAATCGAGTCCCAGTATAATAAGATAATGATGACGAGATTAAGGATTAAAGTCGTAGTATAAATGAGTAAAAGCGTGTTATCACAACAAAATAGGGCGGAGTATGAGGAGGATGACGTCTTTGTGTTCAGTAAAGTCGTCAAAGTTTCAAATCGGAGAAATTAAAGAAGATTCATGTGATAATATCATGAGAATTACATTATAGTATAACATGATCAAAGTTATAAAAGTATAAAAGTTAATTTTTTTAAGTATAAAAGTCCTTAGAAAGTGAAGTTTTTTAAGAATAAAGTTAAATCTTTCTGAAAATAATCACTTTATTTGTGTATAATTAAGACTTTATTTTGTAACATGATGACTTTCTGACATTTTGTCATTCACAGTTTGTAACTTCAGGAGTCAAATGAAGTTACAGTTTTGAAGTTTTAGATTCACAGCAGCTGTCTGTCTCTGATTCCAGGAGGAGGAGCAGATGTCTGGATGTTCGGGTTTATGACAGAGCAGAACTCAGAACTCAGACCCGGACGGTTTAGATGCAGACCTGATGAATAAGGAGCAGAGTGACCCACTTCCATAAATATAACCGTTCCTGTCTCTAAGTATAGTTTACAGTTTGTTCTGTGAAAGAAAGAAAGAAAGAAAGCAGCCTTTACCCTCCAGATGATATAAACATCAGTCTGTGTGTGTGTGTGTGTGTGTGTGTGTGTGTGTGTGTGTGTGTGTGTGTGTGTGTGTGTGTGTGTGTGTGTGTGTGTGTGATGAGAGGAATCACTCATCAGTTTCCATGGAGACCACAAACCTCAGTGACCTCATCAAGAGGAGACGCCGACGCTCTGTCAGCAGCAGCTCCGTCCTCCTCCGCAGCTCGCCATCCACGGGTCAGACGGACGGAAAGGAAGTGGACGTGATTGGTCGGCCGCCTGCTGTTAGAACCCGCTGCAGGTCTGAGGAGGAAGATCCTGGACCGAGAGGGACTCATGTAACCTGGAGTTATTATACGCTGCTTCGCCTGTAGAGGGCGCCACATCCACACCACTCTGAATCCACTAAAGTTAGTCATGGAGTTCCACAGGGTTCAGTTCTCAGACCGAGTCTCTTCTCATTATCAGAAACTCTCATCAACTCTCACAGGCGTTGAGAGAATTTTCTCATTTACTGAGAGATAAACAGAGATCTCCAAAGTCTCCTCCCCCTTCTGACTCTAGTCTGTCAACAAAATAAAACATGAATCTTAAAGGCTCTTTATCTATCGTTCAGTTTTCTGTAAATGTCTGTAAATCAGCTGAGGAACCTTTGTTAGAATTATTTTAGGGTTGGTGTTTTTTTTTTCATAAATGCAGACAAACTCAGATCCTGAATCAAAGTGATGCAGAAACTGTTAAAGACTCAGACTGCTGTTAGATAAGACTGGTTTAACCTTAGACTCAGACTGCTGTAGGCTCAGGCTGTTTTAGACTCAGAATACCTGGGGACCCGACACACCGAGCCCCTCTCTCTCTCCCTCTCTCTCTCTTTCTCTCTCTCTCTGTCCCTCTCTCTCTTTCTCTCCCTCTCTCTCTCTCTCTCTTTGTCTACAGTGAGTCATGTTCCGGTTTTCAGAGTGTCTCGTTTTGTTGGAGTTACTTGTCTGAGGCAGACAGGAGGTATTTCTGTCCCATGTTGGGATGATGCACACTCACACTCACACTCACACTCTTAACTTTGGTACTAGAGTATTTACTTGTTGGTATTAGAGTTAATATATCAAATGATTTTAACCTGAGCAGGTTTCATGACTCATAACCTTTAATAACCTGTTCCTGTGAGTCAGAGCGATCTTCATAATCCATGATGAGCTTCATTTCCTCTCCTCAGTCCGAACACGATGACACAACATCTTCTGTTTCCTCGTGAGGGGGCTGTTAGTCCGAAGTGAAAGAAACTGTCCTGACCTTGTATTTGTGTCCCTCTGATGGATCATCCGACAGTTTTAACCCTCCACCATCTTAACCTTTTGTTTCCTCTTAAAGGAAAAGTTCACTTTTCTTAAGGTCACCCTGAAAATAGAGACGGACACTTTCTATTCTCACTGAGTTCAGATCAGATCAGTCTGAAAACAAAACGACCATTTCACCCAAAGAGAGGTTCATCAGCCTGCAGACTGTGACCACGGGAAAGACTCCAAACACTGTCAGAACCTCCAGGCACTTCTATTCTATTATGTTCTATTCTACTCTATTCTATTCGATTTAATTCTATTCTGTTCTGTAAAATTCTATTCAATTCAGTTCTACTCTATTCTATTTTATTCTTTCTTCTCTTCTATTCTTACTGTTATACTGTCATACTGTTCTTTTCTATTCCACTTTATTCTACTCCATTCTTTTCTATTCTAATCTGTTCCATTTTATTCTATTTAATTCGATTTTATTTTGTTACACTCTATTTTATCCTGTTCTATTCTATACTATTCTATAATATTGAATTCTAGTCTATTCTTTTCTATACTATTTTGTTACATTGTATTCTATTCTATTCTATTCTATTCAATTCTATTCTATTCGATTTAGTTCTATTCTATTCTGTAAAATTCTATTCAATTCAATTCTACTCTATTCTATTTTATTCTTTCTTCTCTTCAATTCTTTTCTATTCCACTCTATTCTACTCCATTCTTTTCTATTCTAATCTGTTCCATTTTATTCTATTTAATTCTATTTTATTTTATCCTATTCTATTCCTGTTCTATTCTATACTATTCTATAATATTGAATTCAACTCTATTCTTTTCTATCCTATTTTGTTACATTGTATTCTATTCTATTCTATTCTATTCTATTTTATTCTATTCTATGCTGTTCTGTTTGATTCTATTCTATTCTCAGGAGTCTCAGAAAACCCGCTCAGGTCTCATTTTCCCGCTCAGGTCGGTTTAGCTCCTCTTTGTCTTCGGCTCACCTCTGCAGAGCTCTGATTGGCCGAGGTCTCTGATTCACCGACATCGTCATCAACATCGTTATAAACCATCCAAACCTGCACAGCTCTGATTGGTCGAGGTCGATGACGAGTGAAGGATCTTAAATATTCGCCGACAGCGTCACGTTTTATCACCCAACCAAACCTCAGAGGAACGAGTTTAAATAAAGTTTTATGAGTTTGAATCAGCTGGAGTCTGTCACAGAAGATGATGATGATGATGATGATGATGATGAAGATGATGATCTGTGCCCTGGTCCCCCTCCAGCTGCTGACTGAGACAGGAAATACCAGCAGCCCTTCAGATTAAAATGACAAGACGCAGCAGAACACTGTCCGCTCTTACACAACAGAGGTCAGAGGTCAGGGCGCCTCCGCAGTGAAAAACAGCAGCAACACATTTATCAAGATTTTCTCCTAAAAGAGACTCAGCTAAAGAGAAACGCCGCGACCTTTGACCTTCAGAGCCTACTGTACGCTGTCTCATAAATCAAGACGACGCAGATTTACAGGAAACAGGAGCTGCTGTTTGTCCTCCTGAGCCTCTCACTGATCTACACAACAGTCAGCACACCTGTCAATCAACGCCGTTACCACGTCAGTCAGCCACGGCGTGCAGCTGCTGCTTGGCAGTGTTGGTGTTCGCTGTTAATCAGAAAAGGAAGTTGATGTTCTCTAAAGAGTTCCAGAGGAGTTTTGTTTCCTTTGGAAAGTACCAGGGAGCTGAACTGTTGCTCATTTACCTCAGAGTGAAAATAAAACACTTTCAGTTGGCAGAGTGGAAATTAAACAAAAGGCGAAGAGTGAGATGGGCTGAAGGTGAAAGTGCAAAAAAAAAAACCTACAAAAACAGAGGTACCATGAAAGTGGAGCGTCTCTACTTCAGGTCTGAAAATATAGTTACCACCACAGTCTGGAGAGCAACCAGCAAACTCTGGGAGCACCTGAACGCAGCATCAGACCGCCGCTGAGAAACCCGAGAACACACGAGAAACTCGGACTGGTTCATCATCTGAGGACCGGTCTGTGAGGAGGAGAAGAATCTGTTCTTAGTGAGACTGAAAAAAAAAAACTGCTCCACATTCACACCTCACATCTGAAGCCTTCCTGTCTCCATGACGACCAGCTGAGAGCCAATCAGCTTTGTGCTGGAGACAAAAGCAGGAACATTTAATTTATTCGTTTGGCCCATTAGAGAGGCTAGGTGTTAACGATTCAAAAGATACTGAAGGATGGGGGCCGTCTTTGACAGGAGCGGTTAATGGAGACCGTAAACCAGCCGGTCCTCTTTCTCAGTTAGAGACCCACAGATGAGAGAAAACATGAACGTCAGAAATAAAGACATGAAGTGACCACAGAGCTTTTAACCTTCAAACCAACCCTCCCTCTCAGACCGTGTGTTGAACTTCTCATATCTTAGTAAGTCTCCTTACAGGAAGTTCAGCTCAAAACACTCTTTCCTGATCCAAGACAGGTGTCTGTGAAAACCCTCATTTCAGCCTCTGAATCACTGAATTTCAGCTACTGTCTCTTTAAGAAACTTCAAAGCACTTTGGAACACGGAAGTTTAGAATGCAGCGTTCTAGAACCAAACATTAAAGTCCCAGTGTTCTAGAACCAAACGATTAAGGCCCAGCATTCTAGAACCAAATGTGTGAGGACCAGCATTCTAGAACCAAATATTTAAGGACCAGTGTTCTAGAACCAAATGATTAAGGGCCAGTGTTCTAGAATCAAATATTTAAGGCCCAGTGTTTAGGAACCAAACGATCAAGTCCAGGCGTTCTAGAACCAAACGATTAAGGCCCAGCATTCTAGAACCAAACATTAAAGTCCCAGCATTCTAGAACCAAACGATTAAGGCCCAGTGTTCTAGAACCAAACATTAAAGTCCCAGTGTTCTAGAACCAAATATTTAAGTCCCAGTGTTCTAGAATCAAACGAATAAGGCCCGGCATTCTAGAACCAAATGATTAAGGCCAAGCATTCTAGAACCAAATGTGTGAGGACCAGCATTCTAGAACCAAATATTTAAGTCCCAGTGTTCTAGAACCAAATATTTAAGTCCCAGTATTCTAGAACCAAACATTTAAGTCCCAGCATTCTAGAACCAAACGATTAAGGCCCAGCATTCTAGAACCAAACATTTAAGTACCAGTGTTCTAGAATCAAACGAATAAGGCCCAGTATTCTAGAACCAAACATTTTAGTCCCAGCATTCTATAACCAAACGATTAAGGCCCAGCATTCTAGAACCAAACATTTAAGTCCCAGCATTCTAGAACCAAACGATTAAGGCCCAGTATTCTAGAACCAAACATTTAAGTCCCAGTGTTCTAGAACCAAACAATTAAGGCCCAGCATTCTAGAACCAAACATTTAAGTCCCAGTGTTCTAGAACCAAACAATTAAGGCCCAGCATTCTAGAACCAAACATTTAAGTCCCAGCATTCTAGAACCAAACAATTAAGGCCCAGCATTCTAGAACCAAACGATTAAGTCCGGGCGTTCTAGAACCAAATGATTAAGGGCCAGGATTCTACAACCAAATATTTGAGAACCAGCATTCTAGAACCAAACATTTAAGTCCCAGTGTTCTAGAACCAAACGATTAAGGCCCAGCATTCTAGAACCAAACATTTAAGTCCCAGTGTTCTAGAACCAAACGATTAAGGCCCAGTATTCTAGAACCAAACATTTAAGTCCCAGCATTCTAGAACCAAACATTTAAGTCCCAGTGTTCTAGAACCAAACGATTAAGGCCCACCACTCTAGAACCAAACATTTAAGTCCCAGCATTCTACAACCAAATATTTGAGAACCAGCATTCTAGAACCAAACATTTAAGTCCCAGTGTTCTAGAACCAAACGATTAAGGCCCAGCATTCTAGAACCAAACATTTAAGTCCCAGTGTTCTAGAACCAAACGATTAAGGCCCAGCATTCTAGAACCAAACATTTAAGTCCCAGCATTCTAGAACCAAACGATTAAGTCCAGGCGTTCTAGAACCAAATGATTAAGGGCCAGGATTCTACAACCAAATATTTGAGAACCAGCATTCTAGAACCTGACCTGCCGGCTTCAATCACCCTGGAAACTAAAACAACCGAACCCAACATTCCAGAAGCTGGTGCTCTTGAACCGAACATCCTGAAACCTGACATGCTTGAACCTGCTCATTCAAGGTCCTCCCCTGTGTAATTCCCCTGTAAGTGGGACCATATTTTACTGCATGAAGATCATACTTTGTTGAAGAAGACTGTAGACTTCAGATTTAGACCGTAAACTCTGCAGGAGGATGAATTCAACAGCTGAGAAGGAGACTTCAACGTAATGTCAGTTCCTCTGAACAGCCTCTGAAGAAAGAAAGAAAGCAGGTTTAAGATGCTCGAATGTTGCCCTGATAGCAGTGACTAAGTCTGCCTCTTTAAAACAGTCTAAGACTTGCTCCGTGTCCCAGTGAGTCCTGTAGAGTCCTGCTGGTTCACACAGAGACTGCTGCTAAAATTAAAGGTTTAGGTTGTCTGGGAAAACAAAGCAGGAAGTGACAGAGATCTGGTTGTATCTAAAAGAGACAAATTTATTCACACTTGTTACTTCATCACATTCTTTCAGCTCATAAACACACAGCAGACGGGGGCGTTCGGAGTCCTTGGGGATCTGGGGTTTTATGACCCACTCCTCTGTGAATCTGAATCTCAGCAGCTGCTGATCGGACGGTCCTGATGTTCCTGCTCAGCCCGTTTCCTCCAGACCGTCCCAGATAAACAGAGAGTTTTCTTTAAGAGGACTGCTGTTTGAACAGGAGCGTCTCCGTGATAACCGGCTGAGCGGTCTTGAAGACTTCCAGTAAACAGTGAGAGTGGGAGAAGTGAAAGGGAAAGCTGCTGAGCGACTCGGAATCAGAGGAAATTCCCAGAAAATCTGATCGTGCTCCAACAAGCTTCAGGACAAAAGACGAAATAAGTACAGTCCAAACATTCATCCGTCGGAAAAGTCGGAGTTTCACTCATTTACCAACACCAACACACTTTATTACTAATATAAAAACTGAAGGTGCAGCAGTACCAAACTAACAAAAACAGGGAAACTTTCTGTTCCAGCTTTAGTTTCACCTCTGACCGTTTTCCTGGTCACTCGGTGGAGGGACACCCCCTGAGGTCGGGGTTCTTGGAGGGGGGACACGGCAGCTACATGTGAAGTATCGGTCCCGCATCAGTCTGCTCTGCTGTTGTGAAATAACTGTAGTCTAGTGGGAGCCGCATGTCCAGGCAAGATCGTCACACCTCAGGATACTACAGCCAAGAGTCTGAGTCTTAGTCCAGGAGGAGGATGATGAAACGTCAGCCACGTTTTACCGATACCTAACCACGAGTTTAGAGATGGTGGCCACATGACTGGACGTAAAAGTCACGTTTAAGATAAAGTAACAGGTGGCGGCGAATGAGGAAGTCTTAGTCACATGTTGGTATGAACTAGGGTGACCAAATTCTGAATCCCCAAAAAGATCGGATCTGGTTGTTGGTTTTTTTGCGCGATTCTAACTCAGTAAGTCAAAACTTTCGTACAAAACCCCGGACATTTAAAGGATTTCATAAACTCTCCCAGACGAGGCCAGACAGCCCCCAAAAAGAGGACATGTCCGGGTAAAAGAGGACGTATGGTCACCCTATATGAACTGATGTCCTGGAACAGCTGATGGTTCCAGTAGACACATGTTCAGGCATGGTGGTCAAATCTTTTGGCCATCAGAGCCTCACAGCTTGACAAGCGACATTTCAATACTTGGTTATGACGTGTAGGTAGATGGTGTCACATGTTTGAAGTTCGGAGCCGTACGATAAAACGTGAGATCCATATTTACGGTTAGATTGTCACATTTCAGGACGATAAAGCCACGTATTCGGCAGTGCTGATCATCGATGAAAATTAGCAGCTAAAGTTCGGCAGCGTAGAAGGACGTGAGTACAACATGAGAGCTCAAGAAAACCACAAGGCAAAGACAAAGTGGTCAAACATACTGGCCATAAATCACGGATGGCACAAACAGACTTGATCGTGGCGTCATGTTAAGGCATGGTCGTCTTGAACCCGACTTAGCCACATGTTTTCCAAAAAGGTCACATGACGGACGGATGAAGACGCCGCACGTTAGCATTTCAAAGCTATGAGTGACGGTCAGATGTCACGGACGGAGATATAAAGGCCACATGATGAACGTTGGTCGTCACATATTCAGACATGACATCCAGATTTAAGAGCACGGCGGCCCCATGATGGAACAGTTTGGGGTACTGAAGTGGTCCAGGATCGGTTTTAGGCTGAGGGTGGAGCGGACTGAGGCAGCTGATAGAAACCCTTCTTCCTGGATCTCCTCAGGTAGTCGATGAGTAGAGCGGCAGCAGCCAGTCCGGCGGCTGTGCAGAGGATGGGGATGATGACGGAGCTGATCCTGGGAGGAAGGTCAGATCTTCTCTCTGCAGACACCAGAAGAAGACTTCAGAATAAACTCAGACCAGGTTTTCTTTATGAAGAAGAGCTGACAGGTGTAACTTACCTGTGACGTTGATCCTGAACACTTTGACCTGGAACCCAAGGTCGTTGGTCACGTTGACCTGATAGACCCCTGAATCTCTTGCTGTGACGTTGACCAACAGGAAGGTGCCGTTGGATGAGTATAACTCCATCCCGTTGGTCAGCTTCTTCAGGATCACCGCCGAAGGAGGGAAACTGACAGTGTGGCAGCAGACGGTGATGTTTTGGCCCTCCTGGACCACCGTAGATGGCAGGACGAGGACTGTGGTGTTCCTGGGAGGAGCTGGACAGAAGGAAACAAGTGAAAGTTTGAGCCGTGATTCACAAAGAGTCAAAATAAACCCTCTGAGGAACGAACGTTCAAGTCAATGAACCAACGACCCGCACATGTTTTATCCTGCAGTTCCTCTCCTGGCCAACAGAGGCAGTGACTAACCCCGAATTTCCACCGCATCGGAACAGCAGCAATTTTCGCTGTTAAATTGACACGTTAACTTGAATGGTTCCGATCAGCTACGATCGGAGGATACGACCTTTTAGGAGACGATCAGGATGAAGGTGGAGATCGGGGGTAAAGCATCAAGGCTGAGGAACTCACGGAGAACAAACATTCAACATCCTCTCTTTGATCCAAGTATTTTTAATGATTTTATTGATTCAGCTGATTAATGCGATGGAGTTGTTTCCAATCTAAGTGTGAAGTTGTTCTGGAAAGTATCAGTAGCTACGTTTACATGGAGCCAAATATTCCGAATATAATCGGATTAGAAGCCCAATCGGAATGAAAATGCTCCATATAAACACCTCATTCGGAATAAACAGGCCCATTCCGAATGGAATTTCATTCCGATTCACAGGGGTAGAATATTCCTTTTCCCATTCCGATTAAAAGCAAAATCCTGTCATGTAAACGGTGAATCGGAAATTTGTCAGGCTGGGTTCTGTCTGCGCATGCTCTGTCCTGATGTAAACAAGCAGTGACGTATGACTCACATGGAAACATGATGGCGGCTTCGAGGCAGAGCACGAGGCACTGGTCTGTGTCGGAGAGTTTGTTTTTGATACAAACTCTCAAAGAACTAGACATTGTCGCACGCTTAGACGGTAGGAAAACACGAAATGCTGAACTATTTAAAAAAGTTCATGAAAAACTCTGCGAGGCAGGGGTGGACCGTAACGTCGAACAGATTAGGAACCGCTGGAAAAGTAAGAGTAAGTAAGAGCGTCCAGTAAGAGCGTCCAGTAAGAGCGCGTTGGTGGCAAGCTGTTGCTTTAATAAAAGTGAAAAAACAATCGCTACTACTCTGCTTAACAGACGAAAGACCTCCATCTTTGATCAATCACGTGATGTTTGAAGGTATCACGTGTCTGTAAATAGCTGTTCCGATTGAATGCCGTGGCACATGTAAACACCAGATCAGAATAGATCGCTTCCATGTAAACAGTTCGCCTGGGAGCTTCAATCGGAGTGATTATAATCCGAATGAGAAAAAAGTCTGCATGTAAACGTGGCTACTGACACTTTAGTCAGCACCACTTCTGCTCAGAGACATCATTAGTTTATGCAGTAAGTCATATTTGGTGGTACAGCTCTGTGCTAAAAGTTTCCTGCCCTTCCAGATGCTCATGTGAAGGAGCAAAGGTGGGGAAAACACACCTGCTCCACCTTATTTCATGTGCATATATGAAAAGTCCCGGCAGGTAGAGAAGCAGCAAAGACCGCTGTCGTACAAAGACCGCTGTTATCAGAAGCAGGACAACTTTAGCTTTGCACAAAAACTACATGAGAAAGGAAACTGTTGCCTACAGCTCTGTTAGATTCACAGGTTTTTGATCTGAGGCAGGTAGAGAAGTAGCAAAGACTGCTGTCTCACATGGACCGGTACCATCAGAGACAGAGCCTGGACAGTTTTAGCTTTGCACAAAAAAAAGATGCAGATACAAACTGTTCATTTAGCTCTCTCCAGTTCCTGAATTTTGTCGGCACACATGAAAAGTCAGTGCAGGGAGAGCAGCAGCAAAGACCCTGAACAGGCATTAGATCCACATGAGACTGTTCAAATCAGAGACAGCATGAAGAGCTGGGTGGGGCCGAGTTCCTCTGAAGTGTAAATAAAGGATGATAATAAATTCAGTGAAGTGTGGAGGACAGGGACAGTCTTCTCCCTGCTCCTCGTCTCTGTGAACCACCGAAGGAAAACGGACCTCTGCTGCGTTAAAACGTCTCTACAGTAAGGCGTGCAGCCGAGCGCGCTCAGTGAAGTGTGCAGGAACGGGACGGTGCCGCCGTGTCCTCAGCAGCAGCTCTGTTTCCTCGTGTTCAGCTGTTTTTAACACGGTGACTCTTTAGTTCTTGGCTCTGAATCAGAGTCCTCTTTGTAACTCCACTATCTCCCTCTCCCAGTGTTTGAACAGGTCTTAATCTTCAAACCTCTTGTTGTTTTAATACACTTGGATTGGACTGGACCCAGTTTGTGTGTGTATGTATTTGTGTGTTTCTGTCTTTTGGTTGTTTTTTAAATAAACTCTCGTCTCTCAGTTCAGGTCCTGTCTGTGTTTCCCGCTCCTCGGTTTACTCTCACCTGTCTTACCTGTGTCTTATTATCCCCACTCCTCATGTGTATTAAATCTGACCCCTCCTCTCCCTCATCTTGAACCTCTGCGTCCCAGTCTTCTCCTCATGTTCGTTCCAGGTTAGAACCTCCTGACTCTGACGTTGCCCCTGGAAACCTGTGCCTGTGCCAAACTAATATTAAACGGACTTGAACTTTTGATTTCTGCCTCCTCCTCTGTTGGGCGTGTTTCACGGTTTAGTTTTTCAGAAAGAATTTTAATCACTTTATCCTCCTTTTCTTCTTCTTTCAAACCGTCTTTGTTTCTAAATCAGAGTTTTTCATCAAACTCTGACATCTGGGTTGCATGACTCCGCTCTGCTCTGCTCTGCGGAGGATTGTAGGTCAACATGCTCAAGACGGATGCTGGTATGCATACTAAAACGTGTGACCTGGTTTAGCAGAGCATGCTGGGATTTCTGGCACACATGTTTTGGGACATTTAATATGGAGGAATGACGTCCGAGTGAAGCAGAGCTGTTTTTTGTGTTTCTGCAGTTTTTTGCTCCAGTTTCCTTTAAATCGAAGTTCTCCACATGATTTCAGTCAGGAGGTTATACACAGATCAAACTCATGAGGACATTCACTACAGGCCAAAAGTCTGGAAACAAGATTTGTACAAAACAAGATCATAGTTTCATAAATATAATTTGTGTAAAGAGTAACTTATCAGAAGACATTCTGACTATAATTCTAAGGTATTTGAGTTTTTGTTGTTAGACTTTCTTTAAAGTTACCTCCTCTGGCTTTAACAACAGCTCGGCATATACCAGGCCAAGTTCACCAAGTTTTCTAAGGTCTGTTCCAGGGATTACATTCAAGCTTTCTTAAGTTCATTAAAAAGAGACGCTGATTCGTGGGACGAGTTTTTCTGACCGATCGATCCGATTCATCCGCACAAGTTCAACTGGAGAAAGGTCTGGAGACTGAGGGGGCCAAACCATCTTTTGAAGAACACCTTCCTCTTCTTTTTAGTGTAGGTAACCCTGACAGAGCTTGGCAGAGAGCTTAGGGTCATTGTCTTACTGCAAAACAAACTTATGAGCCACAAGTCTGAGTCCAGATGGAGCAGCATGGTGCTGGAGGATGGAGTGGTACTGTTCCTTCTTCATGATGGTCTGTAGTGTATATGCTGCAGATTCTCGCTCTCTAAAAGCACCTGTGGGGCTCCGCAGCTCTGCTCAGTTTTTCATTTTACTGTGAGATTATCTGTCGGCATCTTCCCTCTCTGCTGCACAGAGCTGTGCTGTGCACTCTCTTCCTGACAGCCTTAAATTCTTCTCACGTATACGAGCTGGATTTAGAGGGAAAGTTCTCTTAAAGTTTATATCCAGGTTACTTTAGAGGCTAAGGCGCTGCTCCTCAGTTTGTGGCGCATTAATCCTTTGCACATGCTCACTGATTTAGAGGAGACCTTTCTCAAATCCTTGATTTAGGTCCTCGACAAACAAGTCACAGCTGAAGATGTCCTCCAGATGAGAGAAACATCTTTACAAACTTTATCAATGTCAATCAATAACTAAACTTTGTTCTCATTTAAGGGTCTGGCTTATTATGGTGGTGGTCAAATGTGACGCTGTTTCTTCAGACTCCTGACAGACGGTTTTCTGTAACCAAACAATCATTTATACATCAATTGTTTAATATTTTGAAGACCATTCCAGTTGTTTAGCCGACTATATTTCTGTTCATGCCATTGCATTAGTGTTCTTACAAGCTTTTTTGTTACTTTATTCTACAGATAAACGCCACGTTCGCCACCGCCACTCCAATAAATCTGTTGAAATGTTTTTTAATTGTATTATTTTACACGGATGTCTGCTTATGACAAAACTAAAATATTAACATTTATGTTTGGATATGATAGTTAATTTCCAGTTAATTCCCATGGACAGTTTCCAATTTGGAATATTTCCAAAATTTCCGAGCTTAACTTTTTGGATAATTTCTGAAAACTCCAGAGTGGACCCGAGCTGCAGACCCTCCCCTGATAACTCAGTCCTGTCAGTGAGCTGCTGAGTTGACCCTATTGACCTGTTGTTAACCCTTTAACACACTCACGTCATCACCTGATACTGGACCCCCCCAATCATCATCATCTGACCACATGAGTGTTGGTCACACAGCTCGCTTCCTATTTAAACAAACATTTTAATCTTTTCAGTTCCTGTCATGTTTACAGAGAAGTCTGTAAATGCTGTTTCCTAAAATCATTATTTAATCACACACACACACACACACACACACACACACACACACACACACACACACACACACACACACACACACACACACACACACACACACACACACCTGGACCTGGTCGTAGAGTAACTGTCAGCTCGGTCTGCAGAGAGCCTTCACAGATTCCTCAGAGGTTATTTCTGTCTGCTGAAGCTCTCAGCTCTTCATAAGGAGGAGTGAGAGGTCTGCTCCTCTGATAACAGCCGTCAGCACAGGAGGAAGAAATCACAGCAAAACACAAAGCAGAAGAAGAACTGTCTGGAAACTCCCCTTTTTAATGTTTCTCATCAGAGAGATTAGACGGGGCCCCACAGGGCTCTGTCCTCGGTCCTTGACTGTTTCCAAATGTTTTTAGTTTCGACATCATCTCTTAGTATCGCCATCCTTTTTTAACATCCTTTAAGTCTCTGTGAGAACAGATCCGACTCTGTGATCACAGGAACTGAAGGCAGCGAGCTCAACAAGCAGCACAGGAGGAATAAACCCCCTCTGTTCACAGCTCTGTCTCTTTAACTGCATACAGGTGTCATCTACCTGACAGGACTCTGACAGGCCAAGATCTACCTGTAGACTCTGAACAGAGCTCCAGTATATCTACTCAAGCTTTGTTTTATCAGCAGGAATGTTCCCCTACATTCAGCTCTAACTGACAGCACAGGTGTGCTAATTTAAAAAGGTGCAATACTGTAGGTCAGGTGTTAATGAAAGACCAATGTAAGGTAAAAGTGAACTCAGTTCAGTCAGGTGTGATAAAACAGCAGGTGCTTTAATCAAATACAAGTTTGGATTATGGAGTAAGGCGTGTGTAGATTAAGGTCAGGTGTTTATAGATAAAGGTCAGGTGTGTGTAGATAAAGGTCAGGTGTGTGTAGATTAAGGTCAGGTGTGTGTAGATTAAGGTCAGGTGTGTGTTCATTAAGGTCAGGTGTTTGTAGATTAAGGTCAGGTGTGTGTAGATTAAGGTCAGATGTGTGTAGATTAAGGTCAGGTGTGTGTTCATTAAGGTCAGGTGTGTGTAGATTAAGGTCAGGTGTGTGTAGATTAAGGTCAAATGTGTGTAGATTAAGGTCAGGTGTGTGTAGATTAAGGTCATGTGTGTGTAGATTAAGGTCAGGTGTGTGTTCATTAAGGTCAGGTGTGTGTAAATTAAGGTCAGGTGTTTGTAAATGAAGGTCAGGTGTGTGTAGATTAAGGTCATGTGTGTGTAGATTAAGGTCAGATGTGTGTAGATTAAGGTCAGGTGTGTGTTCATTAAGGTCAGATGTGTGTAGATTAAGGTCAGGTGTGTATAGATAAAGGTCAGGTGTGTGTAGATAAAGGTCAGGTGTGTGTAGATTAAGGTCAGGTGTGTGTTCATTAAGGTCAGGTGTGTGTAAATTAAGGTCAGGTGTTTGTAAATGAAGGTCAGGTGTGTGTAGATTAAGGTCATGTGTGTGTAGATAAAGGTCAGATGTGTGTAGATTAAGGTCAGATGTGTGTAGATTAAGGTCAGGTCAGATGTGTGTAGATTAAGGTCATGTGTGTCTAGATTAAGGTCAGATGTGTGTAGATTAAGGTCAGGTCAGATGTGTGTAGATTAAGGTCATGTGTGTCTAGATTAAGGTCAGGTGTGTGTAGATTAAGGTCATGTTTGTGTAGATTAAGGTCAGGTGTGTGTAGATTAAGGTCATGTGTGTGTAAATGAAGGTCAGGTGTATGTTCATTAAGGTCAAGTGTGTGTAAATGAAGGTCAGGTGTGTGTAGATTAAGGTCAGGTGTGTGTAGATTAAGGTCAGGTGTGTGTAGATAAAGGTCAGGTGTGTGTAGATTAAGGTCAGGTGTGTGTTCATTAAGGTCAGGTGTGTGTAGATTAAGGTCAGGTGTTTGTAAATGAAGGTCAGGTGTGTGTAGATTAAGGTCATGTGTATGTAGATTAAGGTCAGATGTGTGTAGATTAAGGTCAGGTGTGTGTTCATTAAGGTCAGATGTGTGTAGATTAAGGTCATGTGTGTGTAGATTAAGGTCAGATGTGTGTAGATTAAGGTCATGTGTGTGTAGATTAAGGTCAGATGTGTGTAGATTAAGGTCAGGTGTGTGTTCATTAAGGTCAGATGTGTGTAGATTAAGGTCATGTGTGTGTAGATTAAGGTCAGATGTGTGTAGATTAAGGTCATGTGTGTGTAGATTAAGGTCAGGTGTGTGTAGATTAAGGTCATGTTTGTGTAGATTAAGGTCAGGTGTGTGTAGATTAAGGTCATGTGTGTGTAAATGAAGGTCAGGTGTATGTTCATTAAGGTCAGGTGTGTGTAAATGAAGGTCAGGTGTGTGTAGATTAAGGGCAGGTGTGTGTAGATTAAGGTCAGGTGTGTGTAGATAAAGGTCAGGTGTGTGTAGATTAAGGTCAGGTGTGTGTTCATTAAGGTCAGGTGTGTGTAAATGAAGGTCAGGTGTGTGTAGATTAAGGTCAGGTGTGTGTAGATTAAGGTCATGTGTGTGTAGATTAAGGTCAGGTGTGTGTAGATTAGGGTCAGGTGTGTGTAGATTAAGGTCAGGTGTGTGTAGATTAAGGTCAGGTGTGTGTAGATTAGGGTCAGGTGTGTGTAGATTAAGGTCATGTGTGTGTTCATTAAGGTCAGGTGTGTGTAGATTAAGGTCAGGTGTGTGTAAATTAAGGTCAGGTGTGTGTAGATTAAGGTCAGGTGTGTGTAGATTAAGGTCAGGTGTGTGTAGATTAAGGTCAGGTGTGTGTTCATTAAGGTCAGGTGTGTGTAAATGAAGGTCAGGTGTGTGTAGATTAAGGTCAGGTGTGTGTTCATTAAGGTCAGGTGTGTGTAGATTAAGGTCAGGTGTTTGTAAATGAAGGTCAGGTGTGTGTAGATTAAGGTCATGTGTATGTAGATTAAGGTCAGATGTGTGTAGATTAAGGTCAGATGTGTGTAGATTAAGGTCAGGTGTGTGTTCATTAAGGTCAGATGTGTGTAGATTAAGGTCATGTGTGTGTAGATTAAGGTCAGATGTGTGTAGATTAAGGTCATGTGTGTGTAGATTAAGGTCAGATGTGTGTAGATTAAGGTCAGATGTGTGTTCATTAAGGTCAGATGTGTGTAGATTAAGGTCATGTGTGTGTAGATTAAGGTCAGATGTGTGTAGATTAAGGTCATGTGTGTGTAGATTAAGGTCAGGTGTGTGTAGATTAAGGTCATGTTTGTGTAGATTAAGGTCAGGTGTGTGTAGATTAAGGTCATGTGTGTGTAAATGAAGGTCAGGTGTATGTTCATTAAGGTCAGGTGTGTGTAAATGAAGGTCAGGTGTGTGTAGATTAAGGGCAGGTGTGTGTAGATTAAGGGCAGGTGTGTGTAGATAAAGGTCAGGTGTGTGTAGATTAAGGTCAGGTGTGTGTTCATTAAGGGCAGGTGTGTGTAGATAAAGGTCAGGTGTGTGTAGATTAAGGTCAGGTGTGTGTTCATTAAGGTCAGGTGTGTGTAGATTAGGGTCAGGTGTGTGTAGATTAGGGTCAGGTGTGTGTAGATTAAGGTCAGGTGTGTGTAGATTAAGGTCAGGTGTGTGTAGATTAAGGTCAGGTGTGTGTAGATTAAGGTCATGTGTGTGTTCATTAAGGTCAGGTGTGTGTAGATTAAGGTCAGGTGTGTGTAAATTAAGGTCAGGTGTGTGTAGATTAAGGTCAGGTGTGTGTAGATTAAGGTCAGGTGTGTGTAGATTAAGGTCAGGTGTGTGTAAATTAAGGTCAGGTGTGTGTAAATGAAGGTCAGGTGTGTGTAGATTAAGGTCAGGTGTGTGTAGATTAAGGTCATGTGTGTGTAGATAAAGGTCAGGTGTGTGTAGATTAAGGTCAGGTGTGTGTTCATTAAGGTCATGTGTGTGTTCATTAAGGTCAGGTGTGTGTAGATTAAGGTCAGGTGTGTGTAAATGAAGGTCAGGTGTGTGAATTAAAGTCACATCTGTATTTTTTGGGTGAGCAGTACCTCTGACTGTGAGCGAGCTGCTGACTTGCTGAGATCCGTGCTGATTGGAGGCTTCACACTGATAGTGGGCGGAGTCTTCCAGACGTGCGGAGGAAACGTTAAAGGAGAGCGAAGAGGATGAGGGTTCAGATCTTTGGAGCTCCACCCCGTCCCTTCTCAACACCAGAGCGGCAGGTGGGACTCCCTCTGAGTGACAGGTGAAGGTCACCTGCTGGCCCTCCACCACCTCCTCACCTGGACTCAGGGAGAAGGAGGTGTTCCTCGGAGGATCTGAGAACCAAACAGACCCGGACTGAGTTAAAATCCTGAATCAGAGTATGAACCTGTGATGGAGGGATTAATGAACGAGAGAGGGGTCAGCTCTTAAGATTTATTAGACCGTCAGAGTCTCACAGATTAAAAACTCCATCGTCTGCATATACGTTTACTCTGCTCGTCGTCTATGTTCAGAAGAGTCTGTATGACCCTGACTGAGTCTGGAGGTCAAAGGTCACAGATCTATTTAAACATGCTGATAACGTGTCACATGTTCACACAGACCCACTGAGACCTTTCACACCGTTCACTCCAGCTGTCTGCAGACTAAAAACGACAGTGACGGGAAAATGTCCACCGCCTCCTCACCGCTGACCAATCCCTGCTAGAGGTGGGAGTGATGTCACAGTCGGTTTAAAATAGATTAACACAACAATTCGACCCGAGCGTCAGCTGTGAGGAAGACCCGGGTTTGAAGAGTTCAGAGAAGATCTCAGGAAGTATGAAGAAAGATACCAGGAACCAGGATTTGAACAATTTTAACGAATTTTAACAAATTTTAACGAATTTACCCCAAGATAAATAAAGTCTATCTATCTATCTATACTAATCTATACTAATCTATCTATATCTATACTAATCTATCTATATCTACACTAATCTATCTATCTTTCTATACTTATCTATCTATCTATCTATCTATCTATCTATCTATCTGTCTATCTATACTTATCTATCTATCTATACTTCTATACTTATCTATCTATCTATCTATCTATACTTATCTATCTATCTATCTATCTATCTATTTATCTATCTATCTATCTATACTTATCTATCTATCTATCTATACTTATCTATCTATCTCTCTATCTATCTATACTTATCTATCTATCTATCTATCTATATTAATCTATACTAATCTATCTATATCTATACTAATCTATCTATATCTACACTAATCTATCTATCTTTCTATACTTATCTATCTATCTATCTATACTTATCTATCTATCTCTCTATCTATCTATACTTATCTATTTATCTATCTATCTATACATCTATCTATACTTATCTATCTATCTATACATCTATACTTATCTATCTATCTATCTATCTTTCTATACTTATCTATCTATCTATCTATCTATCTTTCTATACTTATCTATCTATCTATCTATCTTTCTATCTATCTTATATCTATGCTAGATCCTCTCCTCGGACACTCACAGTGGACCTGCAGGTCAGTTCTGGTCTCTCTGGTCCTCCACAAGTCCCCGTCCCCCGTCAGCAGCTCGGCCCTGCAGGTCAGAACCAGCTGCTCCTCTGTGACCCGGTACTGAAGAACAGACGAGACGTTCTGTAAGGAACCCGAGAACGTGAAGGACTCTGACGCCAGCGTCGTATTTCCCATCAGCCACTGGAGCCTCATCTGATTGGCTGAGAAGACATCGCTGACATCGCAGCTAAGGACCAGCTCCTGATCCAGCAGGATGGGACCGGGGTACCTCAGAGCTGGATCGGATGGGAAGGCTGCAGAGGGAACACAGAAGACGCTCAGACCTCAGATCTTAGAAATCATTCAGTCTGTTTCCATGACACTCAAGAAAACTGAATTATCGCCTTTTTCCGATAAAGACCGGACAACTGAAGGTCATGTAAACACTTTAGTCCGACTATAATCAGAGTTTAAGAACTCTGATTAAGACACCCAGATAATCTGATTGGAGTTTGATTTTCTCTCCCATGTAACCAGCGTAGTCGGAGTATGATGCCACGCCCCCATAACCCCGTAACAAAACCCCCAGAGTAGAGGAGTAGCGTTGGTCTCATCTTTAGAAAAAGTAGCGCGTCCATCATGTCGGACAAAAACAACGCTGTACGATGCTCCATCTTCTTGTTTCTCCAAAATGCCCAGCAGCAGTTGTAGACACTTCTGACGTCTGACACCGACCTGCTGTTGTTGTTGACGGTTGGATGGGGTCGGAAACAGCGCAGCTGAAAAGACCCACATCGCCCCCTAGTGTTGGGGAGGAGGACACGTTCACGTCAATAATTCGATTTTCTCAGCTGCATGTAAACAAGGACGAGGAGAGAAGTCTGATTCAGAGAAAAAGACGAATTATGAGTTTAGTCCGATTAAACTGAGACTGTAAACGAACTGAGTGTTGGCGCTTTAACAGGAGAGGGAGAATCAGCTGATGGCAGGTGTGACTTCAGACGTTTTCACCCTGAGGAGTGAGACCAGGTCTAAACACAGCTGGTCACCCTCATGAAATCCAGTGTGGGCGAGTGGGCGGGGTCAGGATGTTTACTTCATGTACTTGTAATGCTCTTCACAAGAAACAGAGATATACAGCGCCAGAACTGTCGCCATAGAAACGGACTCTGCTTCACTGCAGCTCTGAGATCTTTAACGGTCGGACTCGGACTGACACAGAGTCACCGAATATCTCCGCAAAGTTTCAGGGACAGACTGTCCGAAGTTTCAGGAGAGTTCGAACAGTCTGAGTGTGTGTGTGTGTGTGTGTGTAACAGGATCAGACTGTCAGATCTTTAACTTATTATGAGACACACTGTCTCTGCGGGGGAGGACCTCACTCTGCTGTGTGCGTGTGTGTGTGTGTGTGTGTGTGTGTGTGTGGGAGGAGGTCTTTGGATTCCTCCTCTCCTGTTGTGTCACTTCCTGCGGGGTCAGGACTCAGATTAGAAACAGATCTGTGCGAGGAGGAGGTGTGACCTCTGACCTCCTCTCTCTGTCCAAACACACTGACTCGAGTCCAGGACGTGGACTTACAAGGACCCCCCTCTGAGACCTGCAGGAATGTGGTACCATCGGACCTGATCCAGATGCTGCTCCTGATTACTGCTGAATTAAAGGTGCAGTCTGGAAATTCATCCCTGTGTTTAAATATCAATCTAGAATGAGCATCTAACTCTAGAATCTAGCAGCTAGATGTCCCCCCCATCTATCAATCTATCTATCTATCTATCTATCTATACTTAGGTATCTATCTATCTATACTCACAGTAGACGTGGATCTATCAATCTATCTATCTATACTCACAGTAGACACAGATCCATGTATCTATATTCACAGTAGACGTGGATCTATGTATCTATACTCACAGTAGACGTGGATCTATGTATCTATATTTACAGTAGACATGGATCTATGTATCTATACTCACAGTAGACGTGGATCTATGTATCTATACTCACAGTAGATGTGGATCTATGTATCTATACTCACAGTAGACGTGGATCTATGTATCTATACTCACAGTAGACGTGGATCTATGTATCTATACTCACAGTAGATGTGGATCTATGTATCTATACTCACAGTAGACGTGGATCTATCAATCTATCTATCTATACTCGCAGTGGAAGAAGATCTATCTATCTATACTCACAGGAGATGTGGATTTATGTATCTATACTCACAGTAGACGTGGATCTATGTATCTATACTCACAGTAGACGTGGATCTATGTATTTATACTCACAGTAGACGTGGATCTATGTATCTATACTCACAGTAGATGTGGATCTATGTATCTATACTCACAGTAGATGTGGATCTATGTATCTATACTCACAGTAGATGTGGATCTATATATCTATTCTCACAGTAGATGTGGATCTATGTATCTATACTCACAGTAGATGTGGATCTATGTATCTATACTCACAGTAGACGTGGATCTATGTATCTATACTCACAGTAGACGTGGATCTATGTATCTATACTCACAGTAGATGTGGATCTATGTATCTGTACTCACAGTAGATGTCGATCTGTGCGTTGGCGGTCCTGATGACGGCGTCACACTCGGCCTCACAGGTGAATCCTCCTCGCTCCTGGAGGTCCAGGTCCTGCAGGTGGAGCAGGTAGAGGCCGTCCTGTCCCTGTGTCCCTTGGAGGACCACTCCTTCATCGTCTGTCCTCCTCCAGGTGAGGGTGGGGGGGCGGAGACATCCAGACGCTCTGCAGGTGAGATTCAAACCTGAACCCCGCTCCGCTGCGGAGAGAGAAGGACTCACCTCCACCTGCAGAGGGTGGGCTGACAGAACCACAGAACAAGAGTCAGGTGAGTCAGGTGAGTCAGGTGACAAAGCCGTGTGTGTTTGATGTTTGGACTCAGGTGTGAACAGTGAAGATGAGCAGCACCTGTGACTGTGAGCGATCGGCTGACCAGCTGAGATCCCAGCGGATTGGAGGCTTCACACTGATAGTGGGCGGAGTCTTTCAGCTGGGCGAAGGAGATGTTGAAGAGTAGTGAGGAGGAGGCGGAGTCAGACTTCTTGAGCTCCACCTCTCCCCTTTTTAGCACGAGTTCGGGGGGCGGGGCTCCCTCTGAGAGACAGGTTAATGTCACCTGCTGGCCCTCCACCACCTCCTCACCTGGACTCAGTAGGAGGGAGGTGTTGGTGGGCGGAGCTGTGGGATGAGAGGCGGACAAAACTGAGGACAGGTACAGAAGAAGGGGCGGAGCCCAAACCTTTGATATTAACGTTTGATTAGCGCTTAAAAAAAGTGATAATAAGATAAATAAAAATAACAATACAAAAAAACTAAATACAAAAAAAATAATAATGATAATAAAGATAATGAAATAATAATAATAATAATAATAATAATATTAATAAAATAATAATAAATATAATAATAATAATAATAATAATAATAATAATAATAATGATTATTATTATTATTATTATTATTATTGTTATTATTATTATTATATTATTATTATTATTATTATTTTTAATATGTAAAAACTTGAGTGCTCTTTTCTTATTGGCCGCCCTCAGAGATCTTCTATAAAACAGACGCTTCACTCTCACCATGAACTTTGACCTCCACAGCTGCAGTCTGGTGTCCTTCACTGTTCTCGGCTTCACAGTCATACTGTCCAGAGTCAGACAGACTCACGGGGTCCAGGACCAGCTGATGGCCTTGACCTCGTACCTCAGACCCCCCACTGGCTCTCCTGAAGGTCCAGGTGAGTGTGGGCTCTGGGTTTCCTTGGGCTGAGCAGTTCAGGGTGAGATGAGAGCCGGCCATCACGACCATGGAGTTTGGGGTCGCCGTGACGACAGGAGGGTCTGCAGAGGAGGAGGAGGACGGGTAATCAGGGTTCAGGATTTAGGTCTACAATAATCTGAATTAAGAGATCAGACCTGGTCCTCAGTCTGGACTCTGTGGTCCAAACCAAACCCCCTGAGGACATGTTCCCCTCAGGATCAGACTAGAGAACTGTGTGGGACTCACAGAGTGGGTTTAGGGGGACGGTGGTCTCTCTGGTCCGGTCCTGTGGGTCCAGATCCTGCAGGTCCAGTGTGGCTCTGCAGCTGATGGTTCCTCCTGAGTCCTGGTCCTGAGGGGTAAACCTGTACTCAGACTGGACCGAGCTGGACTCAGGATCTCCGGTGATGCTCTGCAGGACGTGATCTCCTCTCAGCCAGGTGAGGGTCAGCAGCTCAGAGGGATAAACCCCAGACGCCTGACAGGTGAGAATAGACTCCACCCCCAACCTCAGGCTGTCCTGACCTCTGATCACAGGGGCTGATGGGAAGGCTGAGTAAGGGAACCAATCAGAGAGCAGTTAGCTGATGACTGCAGGGAACTAAGATACGTGAACCACAGACGACCAACATGGATATGAAGGTCTTTGTTAAAAACCCACCTCCATTAAAGTTTGGAAATTGTGATAAACGTAAATAAAAACAGTTTCCTGTTTGAGTCCTGACAGTACTCATTGCTCAGACTGACGTCTGGACTCACCGTAGACTCTGACGGACGCCTCGATCTGCCTCTTCTCTCCTCCACAGTCCACTTTGCACAGCAGCGCCCCCTCATGCTCCATCATCACGGGGTCAAAGGTCAACACGGAGCCCGTTCTGTTGGTGCTGATGGAGGCCGTCAGGGGGCGGTCCCCCAGCGGAGACCAGGACACGCTCGGCGTCGTGGGGCAGTCCCTGACCGCGCACACCAGCTGGCTCCGCCCCCCCAGCTCCATCAGAGGATATTTGGGAACGACGTCCACCTGCAGACCCTGAACGCACCGCCACGAGATCAGCAGGAGCGCCGCTGTGGAGGTCAACAAAAACAAAAACAGCTGATTTAAACGCCTCAGCTGTTTCCTCTGTTAGCGCTCGCCACTTCACTGACGATGTAAACAAAGACCGGTATAAGCTGGATCAGAGTCTCAGCTGGTCCTCCAAAGACCTTCATGAAGCTCGGAGACACAAACTGGAGACAAAAGCAGCAGGAAACGACACAGCTGTGTAAAAAGGAACACCCCACAGAGGGATGTGGGAGTGTCTGATGGAGGAAGAGCTGATGTTAAAGGGACATTTCAGCGTAAAATTAGGGTCAAACCCACCGTAACACCGAGTTAGACCCCCCCCTCAGAGATGAATGTTGTCGACCGCTTGCTTCTCTAGTTATACCAACTTTAGTAACGACCGCAGGATAGCAATACAGAGAGCCACGCCCCCAACCAAAACGCCACTCTATAGACACAAATAATGCTCAGAACAGCACCTAACTTCATCAACAGGACATATAGGGTCACAGACATAGTACTAGACACCAAACATCTTTTTAACTTTGACTCATTTCTTTAGCAAAGAGACTAAACACAACTCACCTACTCTCTTCCAGCAGACGCTTGTTTGTAGAGAGACCTCAGGCCAGTCCATTACAGACTACAGCGGGGTGCCGCAGCTCAAGGAAGAACATTTATGATCATTTCTTTATCATTTCCTTGAAGTAATAATCACCATATTAATCATTTTACAGACGCAGTAGTTCTTCCGCCTTAGCGTCTCGGTCTGATTGTATTTCCATGAGGAAATGATCATAAATGTTCTTCCTTGAGCTGCGGCACCCCGCTGTAGTCCGAAACAAGCGTCTGCTGGAAGAGAGTAGGTGAGTTGTGTTAGACTCTTTGCTAAAAGAATGAGTCAAAGTTAAAATTCATCTCTGGTGTTACGGTGTGTTTGACCCTAAATTAATTTTACACCGTCGATCAGAACAACACGACTCTTTTTTCAAACACAGAAAAGTGAAAAATTTCAGTAAATTCACTTTCTTAGATCTGAAAAGAAAGTTGAATGAATCTGTTTCTCCGTCTCTGGGTTTGTATTAATCCAAAGTGTTTCAGTCTGCAGACCCGGATCTGCGCTCTGTCTGTTGCCGTGGTAACCACTGACCCAGCAGAGAGCTGATGAAGCAGACAGCTTCGCCTCCGTCTCTGAACGTGTGAATTTATTCATCTCACTGAACAGACCGGACGTTTCTGTAACCGAGAGCATCGAGTCTGAAATTCGGAGATGAGTCTGAGCTTCATCGACCTTCAACACTTCAGGACCTTCAGACACGTGGGCGCTCTCAGACAGGATGTGACATCATCATACCCTCTGTCAGGATGGTCACATGATCACGACATCCATCGTCCCGCTGCCCTAAATATCGAACAAACACAGCTGACTGTTTACACCTGAGCTGACACAGGTGAGGCCAAAGAAGGGGCGGGGCTTAAGGCTTAAAATAAACCGCACTGATAGTTTCATGTAAGTAATAACAGCTATGTTAGCTGTTGCTATGGAAACAGTTCAGACTATTTTTAACAGAAGTGATATGATTATTTTCAAATCATCTTCATATTTGGTGTAAAAATATTGATCTTTGAGTGAATGACTGTGTTCTGAAACTGTTTCACTTTTGTGGTTCCTCCTCTATAAGATCCGGATCAAACAGAACCAGCAGCTGTCTGACTCCAGAACCGGGTCTGCTGGGTTCACAGGGCTTGACACTTACTTTTTTCACAGGGAGCACACGTGCTAGAGGAAAAATTAGGGAAACAAAGAGGTGTGTCTTATTGATCGGCCTAAGTACTATTATTAGAAATCAATTTGAGGTCTTTTGGTCACATGACAGTGAAGCTATTGAAGGAAAACAGCCTTTTCTGAGAACATCAACCGGTAATTTATTGACGGTCCCTTATTCAACACCGATGTTGACAGTGAGGGTGTCGAGTAGATTTAACCGCGCTGCTGTTGTTATTCCCGGTTATGGAGAGTGAGAAGACACCGGTAGATCCTCAGAGAATGTCCGTCAGATATCCAACCTGAAACTAACTTCACCGCCGTATTTACAGGAAAATATATCCAACCTGAAACTAACTTCACCGCCGTATTTACAGGAAAATATATCCAACCTGAAACTAACTTCACCGCCGTATTTACAGGAAAATATATCCAACCTGAAACTAACTTCACTGCCGTATTTACAGGAAAATATATCCAACCTGAAACTAACTTCACCGCCGTATTTACAGGAAAATATATCCAACCTGAAACTAACTTCACTGCCGTATTTACAGGAAAATATATCCAACCTAAAACTAACTTCACCGCCGTGTTTACAGGAAAATATATCCAACCTAAAACTAACTTCACCGCCGTATTTACAGGAAAATATATCCAACCTAAAACTAACTTCACCGCCGTATTTACAGGAAAATATATCCAACCTGAAACTAACTTCACCGCCGTATTTACAGGAAAATATATCCAACCTAAAACTAACTTCACTGCCGTATTTACAGGAAAATATATCCAACCTATATCCAACCCAACTTTTTACAAACATATGAAAAACACACGACCTTGTCCACAGGTGGCGCCAAAACCTGAGCCGACTCTAAGATCCTCAGAGGAGCTTTAAGATCAAATCAAATGAACTGATCAGCTGATTAAACGGATCAATAACAGTTCACACAGTTGTCTGGCTGGCGGGTCATGACCTTTTTAGAGTCACCTTTATGTTTACTGAACTGATCACCTGATAAACCGACTGATCAATAATCAATACAACAAACTGGGAACACGGATCAGTCAGAGAGGACAGTCAGGGTTTAATAAGGAGGAACAATAACCAGGAGAAACAGTCACTCTCTCATCAATCATCATTATTATTATTGATCATTATTATAGCAGTGGTATCATATTCAGTCCTCACACACACACTCAGACACACAAAAACAAAAACACACATCCATCCCAGAAAACAACAAAAATAAAAAATGACAGAAACTCGAAATAAATCAAATTAAATATAATAATATTTAAAGATCTGACCTGAGAGCAGCTGAGGGTGAATCCTGCACACATACATCTCCACACTGATGATGAACGAGTGAATGAATGAAGGAGTGAGTGAAGGAATGATGATGATGAAGGTCGGAGCAGCTCCTCTCTGTGAGCGCGATTCTGGAGAAACTGCCGATGTGAAGAAAGAGGAGACAAAAAAAACACAAAAACACAAAAAACACCTCCTCTCTCACTCTGTCTCTCTCTCTCTCTTTGTGTACTCCGCGGACCACAGCGCCCTCTGTTGGACACATCTCCGTCTCCCTGTCAGTCTGTTTTTCTTTCATTTGCTCCACTTTCGGTTTATTTTCTAGCACAGAGTTTTAGGGCAGGGTTTTGTTTTTCAACCTTTTTTTAAGCCATGGTACATTTTTTCATTGACACACTACAGTTTTTACTGTTTGACAATATAGTCTCTCAATTTATCCAAACTCACTCAGAGTGAAACCTGGAAATACGTATTTAAAAAAATAGACCAATGAAGTGAAATTGGAGAATTTTTCAGGGCTCACCTGATTATCTGTCATTGCACACTGGTTGAAAAACACTGAATTAGGGCCACATTAAGAAAATAATAATAATACTTTGAGATTAAAATCATTACTTACGAGAATAAAGTCGACAAGAGAGATTTATTTATTTATTTATTTCTAAATACTCCATGGCTCTCATTTCAACAACTGTCATCTAAAACAGCAGGTTAGAATATAAGGACTTTATTCTCATAATTACTTTATGACTTTATTCTTGTAAATTAATGACTTTAATCTCAAAGTCTTATTTTTTTCTTAATGTGGCTCTGATACTCTTCTACTTCTGCGTTAAAAAAAATCTAATACAATTTTAAACATTTTTCTATTTAATAATGAAGTAAATTAAAAACTGTCTGATAGTTTTAGCTGATCATGATGTCGGTTTGAGTGTTTTTGTTCTTCACAGATTATCTTTGGATGAGCGCTCACTCACTTTGATTTCAAACATCTTTAATTCTTCATAGAAACCTAATTAATCTGTTTTAGTCTGTGATTGATTGATTGGTTGATAATTGATTGATCTTCAGTGTGTCTGATAACAGGCTGTTGACCTCATGTGATCACTTCACTTTCACTGATTGGTCTGATTAGTTTAAACAGAAAATCAAACACTGATGTTGACAGTTCGTCTGGATGATGATGAAGATTATCGCTCTGAGAATTATTTTATTGGAAATCTTTCAGGGAAATAAGAAACGACACTTTTCTCCTTTTTAAACCTCATCTTCATGGTCTGAATGAGATTATGAGAAATGAAACAGGAAACAGGTTGAGAAGAATAATGATTTTATTTTCTGTTATTGCTCAGATAGAAACTCAGAAACATCGACTAATGATTTTCTAACTTTTCTTCTCGTCATAAAAGACTTCAGTAGCTCTTTAAAAACACAGACAGGATATAGAGTGACTTGAAACAATCAAGTTCTTCATTTAAGTGTGGGGTGACTTTCAAAATAAAAGCCCTTTGATGTTGTGGATATCATAAACATTTGGACAGTCGATTAAACTCTTTAAAGGCACTTCAGTGACTTCAGCCTGAGAGGATTTACGTTAATGAGAGAGACCGACACAGGACAAACTTCCTCCTTCAGCTTTTATTTTGAAAGGGTCGGCTAAGTTTCCTATAAACACGATTTAAAGACAGATCAGTGACGATTTTCCGACGGGTAAACTTTTAATCTTTCAGTGCGAACAGGAAACAGAAACCTTCATCAGACGAGGTAGAAACTTAAACATCCGTCAGATATTTTTATACAAACATAAAAAAAGTCAACCTGCGTTTGTCGTTTCAGCCAATCAGGGCGTTTAGGTCAGGTCGCTGACCTCCAGACAGCCAATCAGCTGGTGTTATATAAAAACAACTTGATTCTGTCCTTAAATTAGTTTGTTTTTTAATCTTTAAACCTTTAAACAAAAAGTATATTTACTTCAAACTTTAATACTGACTCTGATCACTTTAAGTTAATAATTAATCCTTTTTTAATCCATTAAATCTAAATCTAAAGTAAACTCTTGAATTTATTCAGATGACTGCAGTCTGGATTTTCTGTATTTCTCATCGTCTTCAAAGAAATCATAAAACAAACAAAAACTCTAAATTAATAAATGAAATAAAAGGAAAAAATCTACTAAACTCTTTCATTTGAAGTCCTTTAGTTTCTTTAAATTAGCAGAAAAATTAAAAATCTCTTTTCTTTTTCTCTTAAAACTCGACTTTGAAACTGACGTCCATCAGGCCGCCGTAAACTGACCTGTGCTGGTTTTAGACAGGCTAACAGAGGTCAAAGGTCCCCATGACATACCCTCAATCCTCAAATACAGACCAGGACCTGAACTAACTTCTACTGCTGAAGGTACCGGGCTTTTATAAGAGGCAGGTCAAATAATTCCTCTTTCCTCTGTAAATGAAAAAAAAAAAAACAGAAATACGAAGTTAACTTTGTATAAACTAAGAATTTTGAGTCTCATCTGCCGACCTCGTAATCCAGCCTGCGAATCAAATCTCTTTGGTCTGTATTAGAGGATTTACGGTAATTAAACAGTTGGGAGTTTGTTACAGTTAAAAATATCAGCTGTGGGTTTTTACCAAAACTTCACCTGAGTGGAGACGCAGAGACAGAAACGACAAAAACGATAAAACGATGATAACATTCGTCTTCATGGTCCCTCTGTTCGTTAAACACGTGTTAATTAAGTTCTACAGATAATCAGGTGTGTCTTCACGTCCACCTGAGGCTGAGTTACACACAGTTAGTGTTTTAGCTTCTTCATTATCCACTGGAAGCCCCGCCCCCTTCGATACAGACCCCGCCCCTCCCCTAAAATTACAAAAATAGATGTAAAAATCTCTCTGACATCAGGCCACACAAAACGTTTCAACAACCAATCAAACTGCTTCGTTAAGGCTGAGTGGGCGGTCCCTGCTGCTGGCTCCGCCCCTCTCTCTCTCTCTCTCTCACACACACATACGAACACACACACCTGAGATTTAAGGTCCCTTCTTCTTCTTCTTCTTCTGTCGTAATTATTGCTGTTTTTTTAAAGATTTAAGTCTTTCAGAAAATAAAATCTGCTGCTTGTGTCTCGCAGGTGGGAATTAAATACTGTTACCATGACGACGGAGAGGCGCCGTCAGCCGATCCTTCAGTTTATCAAAAACGTCTTCAAACAAAAATAAGTTTTTTTTTTTTACGTCACAAATAAGAAATATAAAATCTGTCTTCTTTATGGAAATAAATCTTCTGTTTCAGCCGAACACGCGTGTTCATGTGACGACATATTTACAAAAACAACACGTTAGCATCGAGCTCGTTAGCATTCACTTCATTTACACACACACACACACACACACACACACACACACAGTACCGCAGTACTCAGAGTCTCTTCAGTCACTGAGCCGAACTCTGCTGCTTCCCTTTGAGCCACCCTCACAGCGGGATTATGGGTAATGAGTCCTCAGGTCAGGGCTGTAGTTTTAGTACTGGACGTACTCAGACTGAAGCGACTGAAAAGAAAGGAGAGAAGGAGAGAGAGAGAGAGAGAGTAAATACAGAGAGGTAATCACAGGATACTAGCGGGTTATTTTAGCCCTCAGTGATGTCTGCAGGTGTTCAATATCTTTATGTTGCTGTGATTGACAGGTGATTGAAATTTGATTGACAGGTGACACAAACGCTCGATGCTTCAGTCGTCTTCTTGGACACAAACTGATCGTCTCTGTGATATATTATTGATCAGAGACTAAAGCTGAAAACATCCAGGATCCGTTTTGGGCGCGTTGTTCTGTATTTGCTCCGTACAGCAGCGTTGGGTGTCTCCTACAGGATCAGTGTATTTGGAGCGTATGAGTCGTGATGTTTAAAGTGTCCTATAGTATGATATTTATCAGGTCTGCTCAATAAATTGGGCTTCAGTTCGTGATTCGTTCACTGAACGTTTAAAAGAATTTACACTGAACATGAACCGTTCCCTCGCAAACCGCTGCAATGATAGATGCTGCGGGTTTAATGCACTACTGTTACATGCTGAGTCCTATTGTATGAAAATTGTTTTGGTGGCAATTTAGCAGTAAAAAAATAAGAGTTAGTTTGTCCTACAAAAGTGATTCCAGAGAGTGAAGTTCAATGTGTGATTCGTTTGTGCATTCAGTCCCTCGCTCACCTGGTGATGCTGCGTACCAAACCGTCTGCTCTGCTGACAGCTCAACTGGAGTGAGGAACGAACGAATCACTTGAGGAAGTGATTTGGTTCAGTACGTTCACTTAAAAGATTCGGTTATTTTGAACAAATCGTTCGCGAACGACACAACACAACACTTTTATTTTGAAATACCAGATCACATGCGCATTTTTCTGCTTGACTTCCTGTCTGGAACGATCTTCTCTGTGTGGATTGACGCCCATTGGAAGCGTAGAGCAGCGGAAATCAACTCGCCGCGTCTCTTCAGCAGAGCTGCTCTCGATACGATACTGCGGTGGAGCTGATACACGTCCTGTTTGCTCTGCTGCAGTGATTAGATTTGAAACCGGTTTGATACGAGACGCTGCTGATTCGCTCCAAATACACATCCTGGAGGTTTTAACCTTCAGACTGATTTGATTGAGTTCGATTTCAGTCCCACTATCGTGTTTACGCGTGTTTTAAAAGTCCCGTTCCAGTCGGACTTGATCATTCGTTTTCTGTATATGTACCATGAGTGTCACATGACCGTAGAATGTAAACACGCACACAAGCTGAAAACTGTTTCAGGAAATAAAAGGAGCGCAGAGGAAGGACAGAGATGGTCGTCTGTTTGGTCGACATGATTTACTGGAATGAGCTCACTGGGTCACATGACCAACATCTATGAAGGAGACCTGATTGACAGGTGAGAGGAGAGTTCATGGTTCTGTGATCAGGTTTCTGATCGCTCATGATTGATTGATTTCTGACGGTTTACTGAATCCTCCGCTCAGCAGCAGCTTCCTGTTAGTGTGAGAGAACCCGCCGACCACCCACCGTTAACACACACACACACACACACACACACACACACACACACCCACACAACACCCTGAATACACACACACACACACACACACACACACACACACACACACACACACACACACACACACACACACACTCATCTCACACACACACACACTCAGCAGGTCTCCCACTCACACCTGAGAATGAGCGACATCACATGACGACCAGGACACGCCCACTGAACTGATGTAACAGCGCCTGGTCATGTGACCTCAGTTAGAGTCGAGCAGACAGACAGAAACCCCTGAAGACATCCTCAGGCTCTGATTGGCTGACAGAGCGTCAGGTAAACGAAGGTGTTAAATCAGACGGATGGTTTCGTCGTCATCAGGAGGTCACGGCGTTTCTCGCCCTTAAAGGGACAGTTACACATTTTTATCATGATGTCTGGGGTCAGACCAATCACTGACCTCTGAGGGTCTGCTGAACCTCCTGATGAAGACGTCGCCATGACGACACTCAGGTATGAATGAAGGTGTGTTAGTGATGTGAGGAAATAGAGGGGGAGGGGCTAAGCTGCTGCTGCTGCGTCAGAGGACTTACAGGTATGGAGCGGCTCAGGTAGCGTCCTGTGTGGCCCTTCAGACCGCTGTAGGGGACCCGATACGGGATGAAGTCCTGAGGCCCCATCCTGCTCAGGACCAGGCCCGAGTTTTTCCCAGCGGGGGGCGCCGCAGAGCCCCCGAACACGCCGCCGTTGTTGTTGTTGACCTCGTGCTGTAGGCTGCGAGGGCCGTTACCATAGCGACTCAGAGAGGGCGGGGCGAGAGAAGAAGGGGAGGGGCTGAGAGACACAGAGGAAGAGGAGGAGGAGGGGGGAGGAAGGGCGGAGTATGGAGAGGTCTCCTCCTCCTCCAGGTCAGCAGCGTACAGGTCACTGAGAGAGACCGCCAACCGAGAACTGCAGGGGGGGAGGGGGTACAGGGACACATCAGAACCTGATCCATGTCAGACCTGATCCATGTCAGACCTGATCCACTACAAAACCTGATCCATGTCAGACCTGATCCACTACAAAACCTGATCCATGTCAGACCTGATCCACTACAAAACCTGATCCATGTCAGACCTGATCCACTATAAAACCTGATCCATGTCAGACCTGATCCACTATAAAACCTGATCCATGTCAGACCTGATCCATGTCAGACCTGATCCACTATAAAACCTGATCCATGTCAGACCTGATCCACTATAAAACCTGATCCATGTCAGACCTGATCCACTATAAAACCTGATCCATGTCAGACCTGATCCACTATCAGACCTGATCCACTACAAAACCTGATCCATGTCAGACCTGATCCAATATAAAACCTGATCCATGTCAGACCTGATCCATGTCAGACCTGATCCACTATAAAACCTGATCCATGTCAGACCTGATCCATGTCAGACCTGATCCACTATAAAACCTGATCCACTATAAAACCTGATCCATGTCAGACCTGATCCACTATAAAACCTGATCCATGTCAGACCTGATCCACTATAAAACCTGATCCATGTCAGACCTGATCCATGTCAGACCTGATCCACTATAAAACCTGATCCATGTCAGACCTAAACCACTATAAAACCTGATCCATGTCAGACCTGATCCAGAATCAGACCAGGTTCAGGTGAGTTGATTGAAACTCTCTAAAGTTATTCAGACTGAGGCTGGAGGTCTTCACCTGTTCACCTGTAGACTGAGGTCAGTCTTTAAACCCTGTGAGCCTCTCAGATCAGCTGATCAGCTGTTACTGACGGTCCCCGGTACGAGGCTGAAGCTCAGAGGGGACAGAGCGTTTGCTGCAGCTGCTCCTAAACTCAGGAATGAGTTACCCCTGACAGTTAGACGGGCGTCCTCGTTTCCTGTTTTTAAAAACGCACTTTTACTCCTCGGCTTTTAAACACACTGTAGTTTTATTTTGTCTGTTATCATCGAAGCACCTGCTGTGAGCCTGCTTATTTATTTATTGAGACCGACAGGAAGTGGATTTGGACACTGACCTCCTGATGTTTGACGCAGACGACGACGGACTCCTCCCGATCCTCTTGGCGGCAGCGGAAGCAGAGGATGATGGGAACTTGGAGGACTTGAGGGGGGAGGAGGGGCCCTGACCGGCACCCATGGACATCCTGAAGATGGTGAGACACAAACGTTATTGGACCGTCTTCACAGCTGGAGGTCCAGGGAACCCCCTGAGATCTCAGTTTAATAAAAGGTCAGAGGTCAGAGTTACCTGAGCGGCTGAGAGGCCGACCTGCTGTGAATCTTCATCTCCTCCACCCTGAAAAACAAACATCATCATCATCATCATCACTCAGATCTGTGGAGCGTTTCAAGAAATCTGACTGTGTTCTGGGTTTGGTTCTGGCTCTAATCTTGGTTCTGGTTCTGGTACCTGAGGGCTCCGGTGGTTGCGGGTCGAGGGGGGCGTCGGCTTTTTAAGGCTCTCAGTTTGTCTCCCTGAGTCAGCGCCGGTCCGCCGTCAACAATCTCACCCTGAGAGACGAAACAAACGCACCATCGTCACACTGACGCCTGACACAGAGGTGTGTGTGTGTGTGTGTGTGTGTGTGTGTGTGTGTGTGAGACCTCAGTCAGACGGTCTGAGCTCAGGACGCTGTTGTGGGCGGAGTTTTTGGAGTTGTAGGTGGTTTTTATGGAGAGCTCCTCGATGCTGGTGATGATCTGAGGCATCGCCTTCTCCTCCAGCTTGGCCTTCTGGGAACGCTGGCCGTCGCCTAGCAACCACATAGCTGACTGTTTCCTGTCGACACACAAACGCTCTTTGAGACGAATATGAACAACGAAAACAGAAACACACTCTGACCTCTGACCTGCAGCTGATCCAGAGTCAGGGTCTGCAGTGACTCCTTGTTTCTGGGGGGAGCCCTGACGAGTCGATTGCCGAGTGCAGCGGGGTTTCGCAGCTCAAGGAAGAACATTTATGATCAGGCCGAGACACTAAGGCAGAAGAGGCATGTGTCTCTCTGTATTTCTATCCTGCGGTCGTTACTAAAGTTGGTATAACTAGAGAAGAAGCGGTCGACAACATTCATCTCTGGAGGGGCGGTCTAACTCGGTGTTACGGTGGGTTTGACCCTAAATTAATTTTACACCGGAATATCCCTTTAAGAGTTTATTTTAATGCACTCAGGGACATCACAGAGATCGAGTTTCCTCACCAAGATTGAGTGGAAAAGTGAAAACCACCTGCTGCCTCAATGTGGTTTAAGGAAGTTTCATCATACATGACCTCTGAAAAAAATCTGTTGAAGATTAAAAAAAGAAACCCTGTCTTTTTAAAAATGCTGGAATGACTTTAAAATGTATCTGAATAACGTCTCACAGATGAGAACCGTCGATGGTGTGGTGGTGGTTGTTGGTTGTAGAACATCTGCAGGAGTAGCTCTGCTTTTCCATTGTCAATGTCTTGAACTTTGCTGCATGTTTTTTTCTGTTTCTTATTTATTTAATTTTTTAACTAATTTGCTTATGTATTATTTAAAATATAATTATTATTATAACTGTGATAATTATTCTAACTATTATTATTATTGTTTTGTTATCCTTTTATTTACATTTCTTTAATATATTATTATTATTAATTTTTTATCCTTTTATTTAGTTACATTTATACTTTCTTTTATATATTTATCTTTTTATTATTATTTTATCTTTTTATTTATTTACATTTATTTTTTCTTGTAGATTATTATCATTATTATTATTATTATTATTATTATTATTATTATTATTATTATTATTACTTATTTTTAGGGATGTTGGTAAGAGTTGACCAATGGGGTTTGTTCTGGGAGGGGGGTGGGTTCGGATGAAATTTGTAGTTCTATTATTTTTATTAAAGTTTTATACTGTTTATGAAATTATGTTAAAGAAATTGTTTTAAAAAAAAGTTTATTTTAAGTTATTTTGGTTCTAAAAATTTAATCCTTTGATTTCTTCTACAAACCTGGTGAACCTCAGAGTCACTGTGTGACAGCAGAGTGTGTACATGGTCCACATCAGAGTGTGTGTGTGTGTGTGTGTGTGTGTGTGTGTGTGTGTGTGTGAGGTGGAAGGAAATGTGCAGTCGGCTCAAAATGAAACAGAAAACAGGATCGAGTTTGTCAGAGAGCTGGAGGCCAACATAAACACAGCAAGAGATACAGACTGCTACTGAAGCAACAGACGCTGATAACACACACACACTTGTACACACTAACACACACACACAGACACACGGCAGAGTGAGGAGAGCTCTGTGATGATGTGAGCTGAACTCTGACCTCGTTCCTGTTTGATAAATGATCCAGTTCACACTCACAGAAACCTGTCAGCTAAAGGTCACTGAACATCACACAGGAACTTAAACTTCAGAACACGCTCACAGATACGGACGAAGGTTTCTGTTCGCTCACTTTGTGTCTCAGTCAACTGGACGAGGCGTTCAAGGACACACTTATCAGACCGAAACAATAAAAAAACAGAACAATCAGACACTCACTCTTCTAGAAAGTTCTGCTGCGGTCCGATCACAGAACCCGGTCTGCACATCCTGATCCAGGCGATGGCCTCACCTGCTGTGAAGCGGTAATGTTTCATCAGGTAACAGCCAATCAGAGTGCCCGTCCTGCCCAGGCCAGCTGCACAAACACACACACACACACACACACACACACACACACACAGACACAAACACACACAGTCAGTATGTGGTCCTGTACAGTCAAAGTTTTTGCACAAATTCAGGTTTAAAACCACAAAAATCAAAAGTTTAAACAGAGTTGATGGAAGTTTGATCGATCAGCTGTTTTTAATGATCAGCTGACGTGTCACTGAATGTGTTTCAGCAGGTGATAGACAGGTCCCACATGAGGCGCTGAGCGAAACAGGAAACAGAAACATGTCGAGCGTGTTTGTCAGAGAGTCGGAGTGAAGTCTGAAAATACTGAGAGGACAGAAACAGACAGGTGTGAGAGCTCCCCCTGCTGGACAGACTGAGAACAACAAGACCAACCAGGTGTCAGACACACGTCTCTCCTACGACCCGTCTGATGAACGGCGTTTTGAGACACGCCTCAGAGAGGAAGTTACAAAGAGATCAGGAAGTAGTCACCCTTGCAGTGGACGGCCACGGCGCCGTCTGTGCTCTCACAGATGTGCAGGAAGCGGCGAGTGATGATGTCACTGGGCGTGCTGCCGTCTAAGAAGAAGAGGTCGTAGTGGTCGAAGCCGGCGTCTGTGAAGCGTTTGGCGTCGTAGATCTTCTTGTTCAGGCGGATGATCGTGGTCACGTTGTGTTTCCTGAAGTACGGGAAGTAGGCCTCGGGAGCGTGGAGGGGGTAACCTGCGAGGGGGGCGGGGCAAATACAGGTGTTACAAACACACACACAAAAACACACACACACAAAAAAAACACACACTCACCGTTCTCTATCTTCGTTTTCGGGTGAGGACCGCTGAAGGCCAGAAACTTCCCCGGGACGATCCAGTTCAGATCTCCGTTCTCGACCCGCTGTGGACACACACACACACACACACACACACACACACACACACTTACAGAGTGAACACATGATGGCAGAAGTCAAACACAGTCACAGACAACGACTCAAACCTGAGCACTAAAGCTGCGAATGGCGTGATGACTCAGCAGAAATCAGTCCAGAGTGACCAGCTGAGAGAAGGTCGCCGACTCTCTGAGAGGATCACGAGGAGGACCACAGAGTCTCAGACCACAGTAAAACTCAGTCTCTGTGTTTGCAGTTTGTATTTGTTTAAGTCTATTATTATTTTAAGGTCGTTTTTTTTTTTTTATTTATGGCGTAAACGACCCCGACGATGATGTCACGGTTTACCTGTTGGCCCTTCTTAAATTAAAAGTTCATGTTGCCTTTTCCTGTATGTTGTGATGGTCCTCCGCTACGGTGGCCCAGAACCGCCACTGCTTAAACAAAAAAGAATGCAAATAAGAAGGAGTCACAACGGAAGTTAACGATGAAAAAAAAAGAAACCGAAGCCCGCTGCAAATAAAAAAGAAACGGTGCGTCAACAACGCAACAAAACGTGGCTATGAAAAAAAAACAAGTTACTCACTGTGAAAATAAACGGATGTAAATAAAAAAAGCCACGACGGGAGTGATCTGCCGGGGACCAATAATGGCGATGCAGCGGAGTTTTACGATCTAGGCACAGAAGTGTTTTTTTAGTGCGATTATTTCAGACGTCAATATTTTTTTTAACCCGTATCCTGTCAACACAAGCGTTCACATCAGAGACGTTTTCCTGTCCTGCTCTTTTGCAGCATTTATTTTTTCGTATCACGGCCGATTTTTCTACAGTTTCGCATACTGTGTGTCCACTTCTGACCGCGTCTTCTGTGCCTCGATCGTAAAACACTGTTGCATCATCATTATTTATTATTTTGGCATTACCACTTTTTTTTGCGTCATTAACTTCTGTTGTGTTATTTATTTATTTTTTCTGCACCATTTCTTTTTTTCTTTTGCATCAGTAACTTCCATTGTGACTTCTTTTTTATGCTGCATGTTTTTTTCTGTTTCTTATTTATTTAATTTTTTAACTAATTTGCTTATGTATTATTTAAAATATAATTATTATTATTATTATAACTGTGATAATTATTCTAACTATTATTATTATTGTTTTGTTATCCTTTTATTTACATTTTCTTTAATATATTATTATTATTATTATTATTATTATTATTATTATTAATTTTTTATCCTTTTATTTAGTTACATTTATACTTTCTTTTATATATTTATATTTTTATTATTATTTTATTTTATCTTTTTATTTATTTACATTTATTTTTTCTTGTAGATTATTATTATTATTATTATTATTACTTATTTTTAGGGATGTTGGTAAGAGTTGACCTATGAGGTTTGTTCTGGGAGGGGGGGTGGGTTCACACTGGGAGCGTTTTTTTTGTGTGATTATTTCAGACGTCAATATTTTTTTTAACCCGTATCCTGTCAACACAAGCGTTCACATCAGAGACGTTTTCCTGTCCTGCTCTTTTGCAGCATTTATTTTTTCGTATCACGGCCGATTTTTCTACAGTTTCGCATACTGTGTGTCCACTTCTGACCGCGTCTTCTGTGCCTCGATCGTAAAACACTGTTGTTGCATCATCATTATTTATTATTTTGGCATTGCCACTTTTTTTTGCGTCGTTAACTTCTGTCGTGTTATTTATTTATTTTTTCTGCACCATTTCTTTTTTTCTTTTGCATCAGTAACTTCCATTGTGACTTCTTTTTTATGCTGCATGTTTTTTTCTGTTTCTTATTTATTTAATTTTTTAACTAATTTGCTTATGTATTATTTAAAATATAATTATTATTATTATTATAACTGTGATAATTATTCTAACTATTATTATTATTGTTTTGTTATCCTTTTATTTACATTTTCTTTAATATATTATTATTATTATTATTATTATTATTATTAATTTTTTATCCTTTTATTTAGTTACATTTATACTTTCTTTTATATATTTATATTTTTATTATTATTTTATTTTATCTTTTTATTTATTTACATTTATTTTTTCTTGTAGATTATTATTATTATTATTACTTATTTTTAGGGATGTTGGTAAGAGTTGACCTATGAGGTTTGTTCTGGGAGGGGGGTGGGTTCACACCGGGAGCGTTTTTTTTGTGTGATTATTTCAGACGTCAATATTTTTTTTAACCCGTATCCTGTCAACACAAGCGTTCACATCAGAGACGTTTTCCTGTCCTGCTCTTTTGCGGCATTTATTTTTTCGTATCACGGCCGATTTTTCTACAGTTTCGCATACTGTGTGTCCACTTCTGACCGCGTCTTCTGTGCCTCGATCGTAAAACACTGTTGCATCATCATTATTTATTATTTTGGCATTGCCACTTTTTTTTGCGTCATTCACTTCTGTCGAGTTATTTATTTTTTTTTTCTGCACCATTTCTTTTTTTTCTTTTGCATCAGTAACTTCCATTGTGACTTCTTTTTTATTCGCAGCAGTGGCATTTCTCGGCCACCGTACTCCTCTGAGTAAAAACACGAGGAGTTTAACTCTGAGAACGGAGAAACTGTTTTGTCAAAAGTCACACACACACACACACACACACACACATATATATATATATATATTTAGACCCCTCTCCTCCTGTATTTTACTCTTATTGGACTTTTTTGTGTATTTTTAAATGATTCTTTGTATTTTCTGAAGACAAACGTCTTTTTTTAATCCTGTGTTTGTACGAACGAGCTGCAGTAACTGATGATAAAACCCTTGAACTTTGAAATATCAGCTTCAGTTTGTTTAAAGTTTCCACCTGTTCAGAGCAGAGTCACTCAGTGAACCTTTAAAAACCAGCTGATTCCTCGCTGCCACCGTCACACTTTCAGAAATCCAAACCCAAACATTCGCACCTTAAAGGTCCTTACACACTGGCGAATTTGCGGAGCGAAGCGAAAAAGCGAGACGAAAATTGCGAATATTCACCGGTCCGAAAAATCGCTTTCGCCTATACACATCGGCCGCGAAGCGAATATGCGTAAATTTTTTGCAAAGCGAATTAATAAAGTCGTTTTGCGGCACGGAGGAGAGGAGATGCGAGGTGGAAGACAAGAGAGTGTCATCTTGTGAGGAAACTACTTCATTAGTAATTAGAAAGAGTTTTGGATGCACCTCAGCTGCCTTTCTCTGCGTATTCATAATCTCAAACTTCTCCCCCTACTCCAGCCCAGTATGGGTCTGTGACGTCACCAACAACATGACTTTTGATTGGCCAGAGGTCTAGCAGGTCCAGATATTCGCCTGCGAATATCCGAAAAATTCGACACAGGAGCGAAAAAATAAAAGCGGCTTTTCGCCCCGCGGAAAAATCGCCGCCGGTGTGGAAGCTTGCATTGACTTTATGCTGTTTTAAAAAAAGGCGAACAATTCGCCTGGCGAATTCTCGCCCGGTGTGTAAGGACCTTTACTCCTCGCCTCCAAAGACGAACAGGCGAGCTGACATTCCAGCCTCCTGACCTCACCTGTGACCTGAACCTGTCCTAAACCAAACACTCCTACCTGAGCTGCTGTCACTCACGGCTGTTTGTGTCCTCGTTGTAAATCCATCAGGATGTTTTTCATCGCTCTGTTACTACAATAAAGAAACAAACTCTCGCCTTCCTCCTGTTGACAAAACCTGTTTGTTTTCTCTGCTGCAGGTACAAAAGGATCAGAGACCTGAATCACTGCGCAGGTACAACAATAACAGAGCAGACCGCACGCCAAAGAAAACCAGGAAGTTTGTTCTTCAGCGTGTTTTTAAAGACGTGAAACTAACACCAACACTTTAGAGTTAAAGGGATATTCTGGTGTAAAATTCATTTAGGGACATCTATGATTTATGGTTCTTTCTTAGAAGGACAACTGGACTTATTTGAGACGTTTCGCCTCAGAACAGAGACCGTTTTACTACAGGACAGTTCCAGGATCCATCCTGAGGGGGGCGCCCTGTGCTGCTCAGACTCTGCAGCTGATCTAGTCCGGAGTAAAGAACCTCAAACCAGCATGTTTCTGTGTCTGCAGATCTACACCCTCTCATTCATAATCCCTTCACCTGTTTACATTTACCACCCGACACCGTGAACCAGCTGAGCTCACCTGTCCTGCTGACTCAGGTACGACTATCTGATAAAACCCGTGGAGTCGGAGAGACCGAGCTGACCCCCGACACGTCACAGCGTTTTATTCTGCGGACTCAATTATTCATCAGTCTGCAGCTCTGCAGGGTTCAGGACACACACACACACACACACACACACACACACACACTCACCTCGTAGTGTTCGTACTCGTCCACGTCGAACCTCTCAAAGTCAAAGAAGCCGTGCTGCAGGGCCTGAAACACAAACACACACATGTGGGTTTAAAGGTGTGTGACAGGTGTGTGTGTGTGTGTGTGTTTAACACCTGCAGGTAGACAGGTGATGTAAACAAAGAGACCTGATCTGTGCTCCTCCTGTCTTCTCCGTTCATCAGTAACAGTCTCAGTTCTCACATGAATAAAGCTTCTGTTGTCTGTTTCTGTTTGATGTCCCATAATGCACCACCTGCCCACCTGGACAGGTGTGTGTCAGAGGATCTGAATCAGCTCAGTGAGCAGAGACTGAAGCTGCGTCCACACATGAACTCCTGACATTTCCCGATCATTAGAGGACACTCGGATATTTCTGTTCACTCAGTCGTCTCACAGCGGGGGATTATCGGCGTCACTCACAACCTAAAATACTCAGGAGAAGAGGGGGCGGAGCCTGTGTGACGCCTACAGGAGGAGTGTTGGTCCAAGTCTTGGTTCATGTTTAATTTATTTGTTTTATATTTGATAAAGGAAAACTCAGAGTCTTTTTAAAGAGGTCACAGAGTCTGAAGGGAAGTCTGACATACAAACAGAAAACAGAGTAACCTGTAAATCAAGACGATCAGAGTCATAAATACACCGACAGTCCGCCTCTAAATCATCCTCTCAGAGCAGATCCTTCAGTTTCAGATCTTTTTGTTCTTCTGAATAAAACGAAACAACAAACAAACTTTTGTTTCTGTCTCAGTTTTGACTTTAGAAACAGAGAAGAAGAAGAAAACGTCTCAAAGATAAACTCCTGAACAGATCAGAGACGACTCTTCCTCACAGACCAACGTGTTTATGAAGCAAACAGTGAAGAGTGAGGGCTTTCAGATGAGGGATCAACCTCAGAGACACCCAGTTCAGGAGTCCTGAATGTGGTCCAGCTCAGACAGGACCGTGAGAGAGAAACCCGTCTCATTTTGAAAGATCTGATTCAAATTAAATCCAGTTTAGTTTTCAGCTGCTGAATTTGACGAAGTGAAGAAGAACGAATCAGAGATATGAAGATATCCGCAGTGAGACACAAACACACGTTTAACATTTAAAGATTTTAGAGTTTGGGTTAGGTATGAGAGAAAAAAGAAACATGATTTTTGATTTGTTTGTGTTTGAAACTGTTTTTTAAAAGTCTGGAGCGGGTACCGAGCTGCAGGTCCAAAAACTGAAAACCAGCCTCAGAGACATTTTGTTTAATATTATTTAGATAAAAAACGAAGTGAAGTGGTCTGAGGACGGAGCCCTGTGGAACTCCTCTGTCTGTTTTTAGTGAGGTGGAGGTGAATCATAACCCCCGACCTCCACCTTCATCCTGATCGTCTCCTAAAAGGTCGTATCCTCCGATCGTAGCTGATCGTAACCATTCAAGTTAACGTGTCAATTTACACCGAGAGAGTTCTATTTTTTCCGGCAGAAAGTGGCGGACAGCGAAAATTGCCGCCGTTTCAGGTGCGGTGAAAACTGGGGGTAAGAGTTTGTGGTTGTTTGTCTGTTTGGACAGTTTAGTCTGACTGTACGATAGTTCGGCTCTGAGGAGTTTGATTAAAGTCGGACTGACGTGTTTTACAGGGATTTTAAAAGTCCAGTTTCAGCCTGAAGGGGGCGCTGCATCATGCCCCTCCCCCCTTTCCTGTCTGTCATATCACAGAGATCCACTTTAGGAGAGTCTGACTGTGAAACTGCTGCTGAGCGACAGCTGCTCTGTGATTGGCTGTCCAGGCGACCTCAGAACAACGGCTCGTTGTGCTGCAAACTGACTCTGTTACATAACACAGATCAGCTGTGAGCCGGGACACACACACACACACACACACACACACACACACACACACACACACACACACACACACACACACACACACACACACACACACACACTTAGAATAGCTGAACTCTGGTACAAACACGAACTGATACAAACAGAGGGGTCAAAGGTCAGACTGAGCCTGTCACAGTCTCACGCAGACCTGGACCTGATCGGTGATCAGAGGGGGCGGAGTCAGACTCACCTTCCTGATGCCCTGCAGACAGTCCAGCACTGTGAGGTTGAAGGTGCAATTCCCAAAGGAGGCGTCCCTGCAGAGACAGACAGCAGCTCGTTAGTATGTGCATGTACACACATTAACACACACACACACACCTGCAGCTGACAGGTGTGTGTGTGTGTGTGTGTGTGTGTGTGTGTGTGTGTGTGTGTGTGTGTGTGTGTGTGTGTGTGTGAGAGAGTAAAACTTTTTTCTATAAGTTTTTCTATAAAATCACGATAATCTCGGTTTTCTGATATTTTAAGGTCATGATATTTATGAGGTTTTAAAGAAGTCGAGAAACTCTGAACTGCTGAACTTTTAAAGCTTTCTCCACCAACGTGAGACACTGAAAGAGGAGACAGACAAAGTCCAAAATGTCCACTAAATATCTCCAATAATAAAGACAGTATGAGACAACTGACACGGGGCTGAAGGAAATCAACACACAACCTTTAAATGATGTGAAGTTTTGACTGAAATGGAGACGAATCCAAAGAAGAAAAAAGAAAGAAGCAGAAGAAGACAAACTGATGTCCTCGTCTGATTTTTAGGACTTTGGACGACGTCCTGATCAAACTCTTGGCCGATCAAACCCCTCGATTATAGATCATTCTCCCACTTTCTCTCTCATGTCTCGACCACAACACCGTCCGATCAGCTGATGTTCTGTTCCAGTCTTGGACGTTTTCTAAAAGTTTTCAGGCGAAAGTGTCTCAAAGTTTTTCACCTTGACTGTAAATCTACAAATATGATCAATCTCAGTGAAAACTAATAACCAGGATCAGCCGACCCGCTCCAACAGGGAGGAGCCTGAAGATAAAAGACACGAGGACCTGCAGGACCCGAGGTCGACACTTATCTACTTTAAGTGACTTCTTCCTTATATAATCTGTGGAGAAGGATCGTCACGATCGTCCCGCTCAGACTGGACTCAGGATCATCGCTGAGGACAGATCCTGCTCATTATCACCACTCTGTGATGAAGTGAGACACGCTCGCCGTCCTCAGCGCTGACACATGTCTCACTTCTTTATCCGATCTTCACACCGCCGTCTGAAATGTCTCCGACACCGTCTGAATGTGGGACCATCATCATCATCATCAGCTGTGAGGGCAAAAGGATCTGATTCATAATCTCCACCGTCTCCACCGCTCTGAACCTAAAACACGGAACAACACTAAAGAGATATTTACCCAGAATCCTTCACTCCCTTAAGGGCAGCTGAGGGAGGCTTTAAACAGCATAAAGGAGAGGAAATGAAAATAGAGCGGGTTGGATTATTTAGATTTGCTCCTTTTTTCAATAATACTGTAAATGCCGACGTTACCCAATCCCAATAATCTCACACAGACGTGCGGGGAACTACTGCCTGTCTGTGGACTCGCTCTAAAGTCCGTCTGCTCTGGGTGGAGAAGAGGGTGGAGCTGCAGACAGTCACAGGTTCTGATGTTTAACGCTGATGTTCTCAGTCATGGAGGATTTTTCTCCTTTTAACACTTAAAACTCCGCTGACACCATGAATATAGTTCACAGTTTCTCAGGAACTATACCGTGTTTCTCTACGGGATGAAAAGTGTTCAGACGTTTACCCTTTTGGCGATCTATCGAGGGTTTCCAGACGTTTCTACACCTGCCACAAGGTTTACAATCCAGCCACAGAAACAGGTGTTTGATCAGAGACATCTTTCTCCGTGGAGAAAAGCTGCAGGAGTCTTCCAACGACTCGGGAACATCTGGTCGTTGAAATCCATCACCACGGCCACAAAGCTACACCTCTATATGTCAGCGGTCATCCCTACAGCGACCTACGCCTGTGAGACGTGGACGAAGACAGCCAGCATCACCAACAAGTTGGATCTCCTCCATCGACGGTGCCTCAGATCCATCCTGAAGATCTCATGGAGAGACCACATCACCGATGGAGAGGTGATGAGAAGGACAGGTGAAGCACCTTCGTCTGACATCGTCTCTGACAGGAGACAGAGAATGACCGGACATGGACTCCGACCGCCAAGAGAGAGAGACCGGCAAGTGTGGCGATAGAGGGACGCCAAAGAGGACAAGGAGACGAACAGCCGAGGAAGACCTGAAGGAGACGGGAGTCAGCTGGTATGGAGCAAGAAGGGTCGCTAGGGACCGGAGCAAACGGAGGGGACTCGTCACCCAGTGGTCCAATAGGAACAGGAGGAACTAAGTCGAAGTAAATAAGTAAGATCAGAGACGTTTGACGGTAAATCTGCAGTGAAATACCAGTGAAAACAGGATTATTGATCAGATTACTGTGATGAAAAAAGAACTTTATCGCTAAATGCTGCTAATGTCTTCCAGGTTTGACAAGCTGTTTTCGACCAATTACACGGTCTCACATTCTTCTTCTGTTGTTCCCTTGACGGTAGTGTCCAATAAGAGACGAGAAAGTTCCCTGCTTGTCTGCAAAATCAGAAATAATGTTCCTCAATGTTTGGAAACAAGCAAAGAAGAGATTCTGAGCAGGATGATGTGGTCCTCTGTCTCATCACAGACAGGAACTGAAACGCCCGGAAGAATGAGTGTAAATATGTCAATAGTTTCTGTTGTGTGTTTGTTCCAATAGATTTATGTGTTTTTGATCAAAGTTCTGTTGGGATCAGTTTCTGTTTTAGTTTCTTGGTTGACTTTGATGGTTCTGAATCTACTGTCTCATTTATTTTACATCATTTTTGCTCCATAAACTGAATCTGAGGTTGTCCTGAAAATAAAGATGTGTTTATATTTGCTGTGATTGAAAGGATAGAGATTTTTACAAAAACAAAAAAAACAAGCGGACCAAAAAAAGAAAATTATAGCAGGGAGTTTAAAGGGTTAAAGAAAATAGTTTGCGACATAAATCACATTTTATTTCACCTCTCTGTCTTTAGTTTTGGTAAAACGTCTTCTTCACGTAGCTGAACACCTGTTAGCTGCCGATTCACCTTTAGTTTTTTATAACACAGGCTGCAAACTGAAACATCTAACTCAGCGAGTATCATCGTCAAAATGAAGTCAAAGCTCTGACACTGAGGTGAAAAGTGAAGTGTGAGCCCGTCTGTGTTTTTCTCGGTACAGCTGAAGACACAAAGAGAGGAGGGGGAGACAAGCAGCGAAGAACTGAACCAGTAAATAGATTTCCTTGTTATTAAACGTCCTTTTTTTGTGTTTTTAAAGAGTCCAGGCGGTCTGTGTGTGGAGCAGCTGTTCTTAAATCTGGAGTCCTCATGTTTAATAATCCTGATGAAACGTTTCATTTCCTCTCAGTGATTAATGAGGAAAGCCTCCTTCTTCTTCTTCCTCTGCCGTCAGAGGGTCAGTGAACGCCTCAGTGTTGTGTCACAGAGTGTGGGCGGGGCCTCCTCATGTTTAATCTAGCAGCGGCCTGCAGAGAGCTCAGAGACGGACTCCGCACAGCCGCTCACACACTGCGGTTACATAACGGCTGAGACAACAAGCAGCCCTTTATCCTCAAAAACACACACACACTGAAACACACTGAAACACACACACACACACGGGTCCACAGTGGGCTCTCTGCAGTGTAACCTGTGTGAACAGCTGATCAGGCTGACAGGATGTAACCGTCTGTATTTTCACATCAATGTTTTAACCTGATGAAATGTTATATAAGTTTGTTATTTTAAGCTCCTTCAGAATAAAACAAAAAAAAGAGAGAGAGTACACTTTGTCTGAGAGGGTCTGCTGCAGTAGTATTATAGTAGTATTACAGCAGTATTACAGTAGTTTTACAGCAGTGTTATAGTAGTAATACAAAAGTATTAAAGTAGTATTAAAGTAATATACCGGTAGTATTATAGTAGTGTTATAGTAGTATTAAAGTAGTATAACAGGAGTATAACAGTAGTATTAAGGTAGTATAACAGTACAACAGTAGTATTATAGTAGTGTTATAGTATTATTACAATAGTATTAAAGTAGTATTAAAGTAGTATAACAGTAGTATTATAGTAGTGTTATAGTAGTATTAAAGTAGTATTATAGTAGTATTAAAGTAGTATTACAGCAGTACTATAGTAGTATTACAGTAGTATTACAGTAGTATTGAAGTTGTATTACAGTAGTATTTCAGTAGTATTACAGTAGTATTAAAGTAGTATTATAGTAGTATTACAGCAGTATTATAGTAGTTTTACAGAAGTATTGAAGTAGTATAACAGTAGCATAACAGTAGGATTATAGTAGTGTTATAGTAGTATTAAAGTAGTATAACAGCAGTATTAAAGTAGTATTAAATCAGTATTACGGTAGTATAACAGTAGTATTACAGTAGTATTATAGTAGTGTTAAAGTAGTATTATAGTAGTATAACAGTAGTATCAAAGTAGTATTAAAGTAGTATTATAGTAGTATTATAGTAGTATAACAGTAGTATTACAGTAGTATTACAGTAGTATTAAAGTAGTATTATAGTACTATTATAGTAGTATAACAGTAGTATTAAAGTAGTATTATAGTAGTATTACAGTAGTATTAAAGTAGTATAACAGTATAACAGTAGTATTATAGTAGTGTTATAGTATTATTACAATAGTATTAAAGTAGTATTAAAGTAGTATAACAGTAGTATTATAGTAGTATAACAGTAGTATTACAGTAGTATTATAGTAGTGTTAAAGTAGTATTATAGTAGTATAACAGTAGTATTAAAGTAGTATTAAAGTAGTATTATAGTAGTATTATAGTAGTATTATAGTAGTATAACAGTAGTATTATAGTAGTATTACAGTAGTATTAAAGTAGTATTATAGTACTATTATAGTAGTATAACAGTAGTATTAAAGTAGTATTATAGTAGTATTACAGTAGTATTAAAGTAGTATAACAGTATAACAGTAGTATTATAGTAGTGTTATAGTATTATTACAATAGTATTAAAGTAGTATTAAAGTAGTATAACAGTAGTATTATAGTAGTATAACAGTAGTATTACAGTAGTATTACAGTAGTATTAAAGTAGTATTAAAGTAGTATAACAGTAACATAACAGTAGTATTATAGTAGTTTTATAGTAGTATTTAAGTAGTATAACAGCAGTATTAAAGTAGTATTAAATCAGTATTACGGTAGTATAACAGTAGTATTACAGTAGTATTATAGTAGTGTTAAAGTAGTATTATAGTAGTGTTAAAGTAGTATTATAGTAGTATAACAGTAGTATCAAAGTAGTATTAAAGTAGTATTATAGTAGTATTATAGTAGTATAACAGTAGTATTACAGTAGTATTACAGTAGTATTAAAGAAGTATTATAGTACTATTATAGTAGTATAACAGTAGTATTAAAGTAGTATTATAGTAGTATTATAGTAGTATTACTACTGTAATACTGCTACAATAGTGGGACTGACCTGAAGGGCAGGTAGGAGGCGTTGGAGCCGGAGATAAGTGCTCTGTAGGCTTCTTCTGGAGTTTTCTTCAGGTAGATCACCTAACACACACACACACACACACACACACACACACACACACAGGTCAGCATCAGGTGCATCAGTGATGGGAGGGGCCAAACTAACACTTCCTTCCTGCTTCCAGAGCAATAAAACTGATTGAACCTGATTGGTCCAGCAGCCAATCACACATCAGATTCACCTTGTTAGATTTTTTTTTAACCTGCTGTCGTTAAAAGAAGATTTTCACGCTCAGTGACGCCTCTGACAGTCCTGAAGATTTATAGACAGCAATCATGTAGAGCGGCGAGCAGCACCGACAGGTTTACTGAATCTGAGCGAACGTGGAGGTGACGACGGAGTTTCTGGAGGAGGCGGTCCAGTTTCACAGTGACAGATAGACACGTGATGTACACACACACACACACACACACACACACACACACACACACACACACACACACCTATATATAGACACAGTCACACAGAGCGAACACACCCGTCATTGTTGTAAGTTTTTTTGTCTGACTGTCAAACTCGTCACTCCAAACAGGAACTGTCACATAAAAACCTGATGTTCACTCTCAGCTGATGGATGTTAATACAAGCTCTCTCTCTCTTTGTCTCTCTCTCTCTCTCTGTCTCTCTCTCTCTCTCTCTCTTTCTACTGGTTCAGGTTGTTCCAGTCTCGTCCATACGTTCTCATAGGAAGCGAGCGTTAAATCAGAGAGACTCGGGATAACATCTGATTTCTATTTCTGTCTGTTGGGAAAATTCCTGGAGGTCTCAGTGAGGGACGCGTTCCTCCGTCCTTCCCCCACGAAGGTTTTCAGAGATGTTAGAAAAAAACCAACAAACTCCTCATAAACACAAACTTCAGTTCAGAGCGGAGAACCTGACCTTATATCATTTTGGTTCTGGAGCTGCTGTCAGTCTCGACGGTTTCCCCCCGTCGTCAGATTCGCTGGTTCAAGTGTAATAATCTGATGTCGGGGGTTTAAAGCTCCTATCAGGAGTTTTTCAAATGTATGAAATAGTCTGGAGTTGTAAGGATGCCTCTTTATGAGATCCAAACACAAACAAGACCAACAAGGACGTTTTTATTTTGATGCCTGAAACTGACGTCAGCCGAGCGGCTGAAGAAACAGACCTGATTTTAAAATGTTTAATAAAATATTCATGATAAATAAAAATAAAAAAGTTTTTGTCTAAAGGCGGAGCTTAAAGGCACAGTAAGGAGTTTTAACTGGCTGAGAGGGATCAGGCTAAGACTCGTGCCGATGAAAATATTATCTACCAGACCACCGATTTCTGTGTTGGAGAGTTTAATGCCTGAAGCTGCGGTGAGGGGGCGGGCATCAGACCAGATGATTGACAGCAGGCTGGACAAATAACCTCCTTTTACTTTTACCATGTTTCGTATTCTCGTTAATAGATGCAGTTCATTTTTCAAAGACAACAAGACGAGGTTTCAGTCTAAAAACCTTCATAACTTTGTCCACAGGGGGCGCCAAAATCAACACAAACCTCAAGTTCCTCACAACTGCTTAAATTGTCATGTAAATATCTCCTCCATCAGCTGTGTCACTGCTGTTACTCCACCCACTAACCCTTAATCCCACCCCCCTTAAACAGGAAGAGGAAGTGAAGACTCACGGCGTAGCCTCCAATCAGCACAGCGGCGTTAGATCTCCTCCTCTGGTCGAAGCTGGTGTAGTGAACGATTCTCTTCCTGGTCAGAGTGAACGACTGCACCGAGAAAGAAGAAGAAGAAGAAGAAGAAGAAAGGTCACATGAGCACAGGTAAAGGTTAGAGGATCCACCAACCAATGAGGAGACAGGAAAATCATTTTAAGTCATTGGTTGTGAGGCGGACGCTGCTCCCCCGTGTCGTTCAGGAGCCCAAACAAAGTTAGCGTGCTACAATATCGGACAGTAGAAACCAACCAGAAAGTTCGGAAAATTGTCTGAATCCTCCTTTGGCCACGACTGCCGACACAAGCAAGAAAACACTCAAACATAAACAGTCAGCAAGAAAACAGTCAGCAAGAAAACAGTCAACAAGAAAACAGTCAACAAGAAAACAGTCAGCAAGAAAACAGTCAAACATAAACAGTCAGCAAGAAAACAGTCAGCAAGAAAACAGTCAACACCAAACCGGTCAACAGGAAAACGGTCAACACCAAAACAGTCAACAAGAAAACAGTCAGCAAAAAAACAGTCAACACCAAACCAGTCAAAAAGAAAACAGTCAACAAGAAAACAGACAACCATAAACAGTCAACAAGAAAACAGTCAACCATAAACAGTCAACAAGAAAACAGTCAACAAGAAAACAGTCAACCATAAACAGTCAACAAGAAAACAGTCAACCATAAACAGTCAACAAGAAAACAGTCAACAAGAAAACAGTCAACCATAAACAGTCAACAAGAAAACAGTCAACCATAAACAGTCAACAAGAAAACAGTCAACACCAAAACAGTCAACAAGAAAACAGTCAGCAAAAAAACAGTCAACAAGAAAACAGTCAGCAAGAAAACAGTCAACAAGAAAACAGTCAACAAAAAAACAGTCAACAAGAAAACAGTCAGCAAGAAAACAGTCAACAAGAAAACAGTCAACCATAAACAGTCAACACCAAAACAGTCAACAAGAAAACAGTCAGCAAAAAAAAGTCAACAACAAAACAGTCAACAAAAAACAGTCAACAAGAAAACAGTCAACAAGAAAACAGTCAGCAAGAAAACAGTCAACACCAAACCGGTCAAAAAGAAAACAGTCAACAAGAAAACAGTCAACAAGAAAATGCTGCTCCCCCGTGTCGTTCAGGAGCCCAAACAAAGTTAGCGTGCTACAATATCGGACAGTAGAAACCAACCAGAAAGTTCGGAAAATTGCGACTGCCGACACAAGCAAGAAAACAAAGTAAATACCGGAGACTCTGGAGGAATAACGGGCGCTTAAAACGGAGGTAGACCGGACAAGAGCTAAAAAGACGGGTCAACATAAACGATGGGGGACGCTTGGGGATCTTGGTGACCCTGTAACCTTTCTGCTGGACAGGTAAACCGCTTTAACAAAGTAAGACAAGTGTCTGTAACAGAAGTGTTTCTTGTCAAACGGACCTGCTGTAGCGTGTTGTAGCGCCATCGCTAAACTGTCCTCCCTCGGGTCCTGGACTATGTCACTTTATCCTCGTTGTAGAAGTCCTGCAAACATTGTGTTTGCTGGTAGTCTGTTGGCATCTACAGTAGCACCAATGCTTTTGACTTTCACCTTGACTGGGCCCCATTTGTAATGATCTGAAGGATTTATCTGCATTATATCTGAATTTAATTGGAACGATACGAGCGAGCAGGAGCGTCTGTTTGTGGGCGGGGCTTGAGGGGAGAGGAGGAGCTGAGGGGAAAACTGGTTGGGAGGGGTAGAGTTTACATTCAAGATTTCTCCTAAAAACTGGAACTAACTCAGATCCTGACTACAACACCTTTAAACTAATTAACAGTTAATAAAAATGACTGAAGTTAAAATAAGTTCGATGGCGGTCTGAGGTTAGAAATAAAGTGAACATGTGAGAGAAAGACAGGAGGCTGCAGACTGTCACACTGACCTGTTACACTGTCAGCTCTGTGTGAACTGATGCATTAATTAAACATGAGTACACTGTAAAAAAATGGGCCTCCACTGACTGACTGAGGGGGTCAGAGTGTGTTTCTGTGGAGAGACACACCTGTGTGCGGCTCACCTGTCCTCCTCCTCCATCCACCGACAGAGTGATGATGAACAGGGTCACAGTTTCTCTCTGTCTCACCTGTCCTCACCTGTTCTGCTCTCAGAGTCTGACTGTGACAGAACAGACGGAGCTGCACAGCAGGTTTACCTGCGCAGGTGACATCACTCAGGTGAAACTGAGCAGCACATGTCTCCACCAATCACAGCTCACCGTGAGGTTGTTTTATTTACACACCTCTGTTTGTTCATTTGTTTAGAGATACAAACAGTCCTAACTCCCATCATGCTTTGTGTCTCAGGTGTTTTAAACCTGGACAGGTACGCTCTGTAGTCACATGTGAAGAGTCTGAACAGGACCTGGTATCAGGGAGTGAATCCAGACCGTCCAGTCAATCAGTAACCTTGACGAATGACAACAGTCCATTGAAGGAATGTCATCGCTACGGCAACAGGAGACAAACAAAACTCACCAGAGGAGCGTTTGAGCTCAAACATCCAAACGTTCACCTGTTCACTCTGACTGAACCAGGTGAGGCCCTGAGCCTGAACACATCACAGGACAGAGACAATCTGAACAGGGATCTGTCTGCTCAGCAAAAGCAGCAGAGGAACACGTCTAAGACCAGTCTAAGGGGAGAAGGTGACTCCAGAACTGGCAGATGGAGGATTAACCAAGTCAAAGGGAACAGAACATGAACGATCCACGACACAGGTCACCTGAACAGTCAGAGGTCTGTAAACCTCACAGGAGGACGGACTCTGATGTCTGTTCTGGATTAATAGACGGAAATAAACTTCAGTACAACAATAAATAACAAACGTCACAAACCCCTCTCATGTGGGGTCCCACAGGGGTCCATTCTCGGCCCTATTCTCTTCTCCCTCTACCTGCTGCCTCTTGGACACCCCCATCACAGTCACATCACTATCATTCTTCTCTCCCTACACTGACTCCCAGTTAAATTCAGGATCATTTTTTAATGTTTGTTTTTAAAGTTATCCACGGTCTTGTTCCAGAGTATCTGTCCGACTGTATAACACTAAGACGACACTGTAGAGCCCTCCGGTCCACTGACAACCCCTGTTGGAGGTTCCTGTTTCAGATTTTTAAAGAGTAGGGGGGGTCGTGCCTTTTCAATAGCGGCCCCGAAATTATGAAACTCTCTTCCCCCTGAACTACTTTTGATCAAAAACTCTTTAAAACACACCTTAATATCTAGTGTCATTTGCTAATTGATCGTTTCTGTGTTTTCTCACCTTTTTATTGTTGTGATATCCTGGTACATTTGTCACTTGTCATGCATTTTCTTTTCCTGTATTTGTGTGTTTGACTGTATAAAGCACATTGTTAATCATAAACCTTATTATTGTTTCCACCGATCACCAGCAGCAGGTCTGCACTGATGTGCTGCCTCACTGTGTGTGATTTTAATTATCGCATTTATTCATTTAAACTTAATGATCTGAATCACAGCATCGAGGATCAAAACCAGGTGTGGTGTGTTGTGCTGCGACGAGATGATCCGAGTTACAGAGGTAAGTACTGGACCCAGAGTGGGTTCACCCTGGTCCAGGTGTGTGACAGAGTGAGCAGAGCCTCACCTTCAGCTTCTTGTTGAGTTTGCAGCAGTATCTGTACAGCATGGCGAGGTTGAGAGGACCAAAGTCTGCATAGAAACTGACACACACACAAACACACGCACACAGACACACACACACACACACACACACATATAGTGAGACCTGAACTCATCCTGTTTCCTGCTGATCAGCTGATTTTACACGAGGACAGCCATGACAGGCAGCAGGTTAGTTACACATATTTCTTTAAACTGTTTTTATCCCTGGACTGGATCAGGACTCAGACTCGATCCTGATCCTGGTCTCATGTCTTAGTCTTAAGGTTCGGTCTCTGAGCTGGACTTACTTCTCGTAGATGAACTCATCGTCGGTGCAGAAGTAGTGTGTGTTGGCGGTGCTTTTGGGTTTGCTGCGTAACGTGGCGAAGTACAGACGGTCTGTCAGAGACACAAAGAGGGACAGGTTAGAGAATCTAAAACCTGGACCTGGATCGAGCGCTCCAGTGAAATAAAAGGTACAAACTGGAGCTTTAAAACTGGATTTTTCAAGAACTCACATTTAAAGATAAACAAACATCAGAAACACAAAAACAAACAAATATCAGCTTTTTCTGGACTGAACCAAAACTCTTCTCGTCAGAGACAGAGTCAGACAGATCTCCAAACTCCAGAGCAGGTTGATAATATTTTATATTAACGTTGTTCAATGACTTTTTCTTTAACTCAGTGATAAACATTTTCTGTGTCTGACTTTAATTTTCACTTTCAAGTAAAAAAATAAGAACAACAATAATTTTGTTCTTGTTTTATTCGCTCTAAAATCCAGTGACATCTTACCCCGTCACATGATCACACTCTCTATCTGATTGGTTATAACTCTGCACTGATACAAGATATGAAAATGACATGACTATGAAATATAAACCTGACAGTTTGCTCTTCAGTCTGGTTCACATTTTGTTTATATCTGATGGATTGATTCTGAGAAATATACGAGAGAGTAAAAAGTGTGACAACAAGCCCCGGTCTCCCCTATGTAGTTGTGTATTACTGTGCGTATTTGTACTTCGAATGAGTTGAGTATGACAGTTAAACAGTTTGTTTGAGTGTGCATTAAAACATTTCTGTTTTTTAATCGTGTATGAGTGTCTGAACATTTATATTTTGTGTCGTATTTCGTGTACATACTTGTGTATCATCTCTTTATTTTTACTTATTTTATCTATTATTTATCTCCTCTTTCTACTTTATTTACACTGGAGTTACTGTGACAAAAGCTAGTTCCTCCTGGAGATTATTAAAGTATTTCTGATTCTGAATTTGTTCTTTTAAAAGAAGTAAATTGTGCTCTGGTATAACTATTTTAATCCTTAAAATAACTCCTTTAATGTTAAGTTAAACCAGTTTACAGCACTGTTGTATTTCAGCATGTATTACAGTGTGTACTTAAGTACATAGTTGTGTATTACTGTGCGTATTTGTACTGCTAATGAGACAGTTGAACAGTTGGTTTGAGTGTATTAAAACATTTCTGGTTTTTAATCGTGTATAAGTGTCTGAATATTTATATTTTGTGTCGTATTTCGTGTACATACTTGTATATCATCTCTTTATTTTTACTTATTTTATCTATTATTTTATCTCCTCTTTCTACTTTATTTACACTGGAGTTACTGTGACAAAAGCAGTTTCCTCCTGGAGATTATTAAAGTATTTCTGATTCTGAATTTGTTCTTTTAAAAGAAGTAAACTGTGCTCTGGTATAACTATTTTAATCCTTAAAATAACTCCTTTAATGTTAAGTTAAACCAGTTTACAGCACTGTTGTATTTCAGCATGTATGACAGTGTGTACTTAAGTACATAGTTGTGTATTACTGTGCGTATTTGTACTGCTAATGAGACAGTTGAACAGTTGGTTTGAGTGTATTAAAACATTTCTGGTTTTTAATCGTGTATAAGTGTCTGAATATTTATATTTTGTGTCGTATTTCGTGTACATACTTGAATATTATCTCTTTATTTTGACTTATTTTATCTATTATTTATCTCCTCTTTCTACTTTATTTACACTGGAGTTACTGTGACAAAAGCTAGTTCCTCCTGGAGATTATTAAAGTATTTCTGATTCTGAATTTGTACTTTTAAAAGAAGTAAATTGTGCTCTGGTAAAACTATTTTAATCCTTAAAATAACTCCTTTAATGTTAAGTTTATAATACTGTTGTGTTTGAGTGTGTATTTCAGTGAGTGTGTGTTTATTAGCTCTGTAGTATTATTATTCGTACCTTTAATGTTAACAGCAGTGTTGCATCTGAGTGTGTATTTCAGTGAGTGGGTGTTTACTAGGTGTGTAGTAGTTAATAGCAGTGTTGTGTTTGAGTGTGTATTTCAGTGAGTGGGTGTTTATTAGGAGTGTGTAGTATAATTAGTACCTTTAATGAACGGAGCGGCTCCCAGCAGCTCGCTTTGCTCCTCACTCATGCCGAACAGGGCGGACAGGATCGGGGAGTGTCGTACTCCCTCCACCGTCATGGATCCGTCTAATTCCTGGCCTACTCGCCTCAAACACCGACCTCCAGAAAACTTTTTAAACTGTTAGCCGCTGGGGTTAGCCGTTAGCGGGCTAACAGCCAGGTAAACGGAGACTGTTAAAACAAGTTAAAAACTTTCTCCTCAGTTTCCCATCAGTCTCTGCGGCTGGTCCCCCCCTCACAAAGACTCATTTTCACCGTCTTTTCCCCGGTAAACTCTCCCGGGTTAGCATGTTAGCTCCCTCCTAATTCCCTCTTCGTCGAGTCTCTCTGTTAGTCTGAAACTCTGATTGACCAAATCCCTCCTTAAGACACGTTACCACGACAACGGGAGCCGCTCCCATAGCAACCCCAGCCAATCAACAACCGGGACAGGCTGTGCTGCCTTCACGGTCCGCTGGGAAACAGCAGCAACAATGAGGCTTTCAAGAGCCGACGGAACAAATCATGTTTGTCAGTGAAGCGAGAAGAAACCAAGAACACTCATTAAACTTTCAACGTTTTTATCACACATACTGTCCTTATATTATATAATTTAAACAGATTTAAACACTGAGATGACTATAAAATGTTCTAGTTATCACAGTGAAGTGACAGAGTTAGTTAAAGTTCACATTTATGCCTGAGGCGGTGAGAAAAGAAGAGTGTAAATATGACTTTTCACCTCCTGAGTAAACTTTTTAGAGCTCAAGTTAAAATTTTGAAGTTTCTGTTTATTTTTTGTTCCTTTTTCAGAAGTTTAAATCCTAAAGGAGGTCTGTAAAAGTTTGAAATAACTCTTTTATTGTTTACATGTTTTTATATTTACCTGTTGGTACCATTAGTTATGTGGCTGTAGTCATTCTCCTCTGAATATATGTTAAATAAGTTTTTTAAAAACAGACCTTATAAGAAAGTTATTTTACCTGATGACAAACATTACATTTGTGACTGACTGAAGAGAAGTTGTCTGTTTTTTACGGTGGCCAAGAACTGCCACAGCTGCAATATAAAAGAACACAAAAAAAAAAAAGTCAAAACGGAAGTTAACGACGCAAAAAAAAGTGATGATGGAAAAAGAAGTTACTCACTGCGGAAATAATAGGATGCAAAATAAAAGAATGCAAAAAAAAAGAAGTCACAATGGAAGTTACCGATGTAAAAAATAAAAGAAACCAAAGCCTGCTGCAGAGGAAAAAAGAAACGGTGCAAAAAAAAAAAAAAAAAAACGCTGCAACAGAAGTTAATGATGCAAAAAAAAGTGACGATGGAAAAAGAAAGTTACTCACTGCAAAAAAAAAGTCACAACGGAAGTTATCGATGCAAAAAAGGAAACCAAAGCCTGTTGCATATAAAATAAAGAAACGGTGCATATATATATGTATATATATATATATATACACATATATATATATATATATATATATATATATATATATATAAAAAAGAAGTAAGTGGAAGTGAGTGAGTAACTTTTTTTTTTCCAATGCCATTTTTTTTTATCATCTTTAACTTCTGTTGTGGATTTTTTTTATCAGCACCATTTCTTAAATTCAGCGGGCTTCTGTTTTCTTTTTTTTTGCATCAGTATCTTCCATTAATTTTCTTTTTGCATTATTTCTCTTTTGCAGTTCTCAGCCACCGTATAAACCCTACAGGAGGTCTGTAAAAGTGTGAAATAACTTTTTGTTTACATATATTTACCTGTTGGTACCATTACTTGTGTGGCTGTAGTCTTTCTCCTCTGAATATATGATAATAAAGTTCATAAAAAAAGACCTTATAAGGAGGTTATTTTACCTGATGATCAACTTTACATTTGAGGCTGACTGGATAAAGGTGAGTCTGTTTTTAATGAGATGATAAAATAAGTTTGTCTGTTTTGAAAGCTCGGCTGAACCCTCACATGTCGCCTGCTCTGGACCTTGTTGAAAGCAGGTGGAACAGATGACATACTCTCACCTGATTGGTTGTTCTGGACAACCAATCCAAGTGAAAACTCTGGATTGTCCCTTTAATCTAAAGCATCAGATTCTCACCTGCAATCAGAGAGATCCACACATGGTTTGGAGCTGTTCCTGGTCCCGGTCCCGGTCCTGGTTGGAGGACCCGGGGGCCGTCCTGGTGCGTCCTCCAGGCCCCGGCGTCCGCCATGCTGCAGGGCGGCCAGCAGACTGCAGAGAGGCGGCCGGGCCGAGCTGAGGGGGTGTCAGGTGATCCGGATCAGGTTGCTCCTGGTTCCAGAGGGGACAGAGGTGTGAGTTTACAGCCTCCTCAGGTTTCAACACACATTCAGGTCTAAACTGGACTTCCTGCTGTACTCACTGTACACCAGCTCACCTGCTGCAGGTGAACGAAGGAGGTTAGAGGGTCGGTCAACACGACACCGAGGTGGTGACATCACGGAAACAGAACCAGGACCACGGGTACTCCAGATCCACCAGGGGGGTCCACTGTGAGACATACAGGTGTGACTGTGGACAGACAGGAGACAACAAACTACAGTACCCAGAATGCCACACTCCCACAAACACACTGACCTGGTCTGTGTGAGACTGAAGCATCAGGAGGAAACAACAAAAACACCATGAAATCAAACAGATTTGATTTTATTCTGAAAGGGTTAAAAATGTATTTAATTTAAAACTTCAACAGAGTTTTTCAAAATAAAAGCAGAATTTACTTCAGTCTCAGAGTGTCTGTTTGGATTTATTCATCAAACTGCCTCTCACACTCAGACGTGTTATTCTGACTTTAGACCTCATCATGTTTGGAGCTCATTTGTCCAATTATTCTGTCAGCACCTGAACACAGCACTGAAGACAGCAGAACTCAGTCAGTAATAAAAGTTTACAGAAAGAAGTCTGTTTCTGTTTATGACTATATTAGTGAGAACTCGTGAATTTATAAAATTTACTGTTTTTAATCTTAATTTTTAACCACAAAAATTCAGTTTATACATCTCAATACAACACATTTCTTTTCCTTTTTTGTGTATTTTCACAAACATCCATAGATATTGTAGGATTCAATCAAAGAAAATAATCATAGTAATCATCACAAATAAACCATGTCCACTCTAAAATACAGATTTATGGGAACAGATTCTAGTCAGAGGCAGGATGACAGTATTTTTGATATGGATAAGAAGTTCTTACACCTTTAACATAAACTGTCATTGCATTAATTAAAGTTCCATTAGTGAAAATGTGATCTGCTCCATTTGATAAAAATCTCAGACTTTTTAAATCCAGATATTGTATCAGGAGGTTCTGATGGTCCTAGACTCAATAATATGTTTAAGATGTATTTTCCTGTAAAATGTACTTTTATACGTCTTCATGTCACAGTCAAGCAGGAAGGAAACAGTGTAAAGGTTCATAAATAAATCAGTAGACAGGTCTTCGAATCAATCTCATCCTGCTGACTTTTGAATTTATCATTTAACAGGAATAATCGCTGTGAAAATGTCAAACAGGTCTGTTTGTTTTTTTCCAGCTGCTTGGCCGACACTAACCTCCTCACTGCAGGTTCAGGTATTAAAGATGACAGCAGTGAAATCATCGTCTTATCACTGATGGTCATGTTTATGTTTGTAGGGCACTAAAACGCATCAGTATGAATCTCAGTTTATTTCATTAACATAAAAACTTTTCACTGAAGCTTCAAACGTCAAAGACTAAATCAATGTTAAAAACTGAAAATACGACTTTTTGTAATAAATATGTACCTGAATCAGCCTTTATGTCACAGGATTAAATATTCACAGCCTCCTCCTTCTGTCTGACACTCTCCTGTATTCACAGTTCATGTTCAGAGGCTGATACAGTTTCATGAAACCCTCTTCTGTCTGCAGCTGTTTTCTGGTGTTCAGATTAAAGTCAGTCCTCTTGCGACAGTTTTGAAACGTGTCAGCGCCCTCTAGTGGTAGCAGACGGCTCCTGAACTGAGACTAAACTCTCTTTTGATTTCCTCAGAGGGGAATCTTCTTGTCCTATCCCCTCAGACCAAGCCCCAAACTTGGGGGGGACAGAGCTGCCCCCATCCTCTGGAATTCACTCCCCAAACCCATCCGAGACTGTACAGACCCCCATACTTTCAAATCACTCCTAAAAACGCCTTTTAAAATTGGCTTTTAACCTGTGAACAGCTTTTTTATTGTCTTTTCATATTGTGTCTTTTTTAACCTTTTACATCGTTGGTTTTATTTCTCAAAATTTTCTGTATTTTAAATTGTTTTTTCTTTGTAAAGAGTCTTTGAGCTCCTGTAAAAGCACTTTATAAAATAAATAATCTATTAAAGATTAAATCCAGTTTTATCTGCAAAGCATTCACAAACCTGAAGATACCAGAAAATACCATCCAGGTTTCAGAGCAGAACTTTGTTTTCAGACGTTTCTGTGACAGTGAATGCCTCACAGCCGCTCACACTGATACTGAAATGTTTTTTTAACTTGTTTTTAGAGCAGCAGCATTACAGACTTCATAACACACCAAAGACCCTGCACAGGTGCATCATGGGACATGTAGTGACAGACAGAGTCAAACACAGTTTGATTTCTTTATTCCAGCATCAGAGAAACAAGAAACACCCTGAGAGACAGAAGCTGAGAGACGGCCATGACGGAGCAGCTACAGAGTCCACAGAGAGAGAACTGGTGAGTGTGTGTGTGAGAGTGTGTGAGTGTGTGCGCATGCTACAGGTGAGGGTTTGTTGCTCCTGATCCTTCACACTCGATGATGTAGGTGTCGTTGCTGCTCAGCTCGTCGTCGCACTTTGTGATCGTGAACTTCGCCTGAAAACCAAAAAACAACATTTAACGTGTTTACAGAGAAAATCACATCATGTGTGTGTGTGTGTGTGTGTGTGTGCGCGCATGTCTGACCTGAGTCAGCTGCTCCGCCATGTGGATGGCGGTCTGTGTGTGCAGCGTCACCGCTCCGGTTCTGATCCGGGACCTTCCCTTTGCCAACGCCATGAAGATGATGAGCTGCAGGGAGGGAGGCGAGAACACTACTGAGCACGTGCAATGACCTTCAGTCTCGTATTCTGACCTTTTAAAGCTGTACACCTGTGATGTCATCAGGTGTTTGTCTCACCTGATCCTGCAGGAACTCGTCCACGCAGCCGTTATGTCGAATGTTTCTGAGCAACATCTCTGCAGCTTCGATACCGACTTTATCTGCATACACACCTGAGACACAGACACACACACGCACGCACACACACACACACGCACACACACGCGCGCACACACAATCTAGGTTAAACTCTGCAAACAAACCACGACTAAAGAAGAGGATGTTTGACTGTAACCATGGCGACAGAGGGCAAGCAGCGAATCAAACCGTCATACTGATCACAGAGCTGTGTGTGTGTGTGTGTGTGTGTGCGCGTGCGTGTGACCTCTCACCTTTCTTCCCCAGAGCCGACCCCGCAAACACACAACCTGTAGACGACTCCGCGATGATTCTGAAACACAGAGAGGAGACCGACCAATCAGAGAGCAGCTCACCAGTCTCACTCAGACGCCGCGTAAAAAACGTCGATTTAAAAACAAGAATTTGACGGTTTTATAAAACGTCCAGATTTCATTAAAATGGTGGAAAGGAAACTCTCCAAACCGCTCTATCGGACAGTTATGCAGCAGGGACGTCGTGGCGTGGGCGGGGCTTACATGATGCCGTTGCCGTTGCCGCAGGCCTTCTCTTTCTCCTGCAGTGATTGGATGTTGATGTACAAATCTTTGATTTCCTTCCTGATGGTCCGGACCGCCGCCGTTGACATGTCTTTCGCCAGCTGAGAACAAAACCAGTTTCAAAATAAGCTCCACTGTAAGTTTAACACGTCCTCTTTACTGTCTGATGACATCATTTCCTGTGTAATGGCGGTAAATGTACTTTGAAGGGCAGCACGCCAGCGACGAACGCCCGGCCGTAGATCTTGGTGATGTTTCCTCTCTCCGTCATGGTGACGGGCAGCAGCTCTTTAACTGGGTTCACCGTCACCATCACCTCACCTCCACCTTTAGGGTAGTAACCTCTGATACACACAAAAACACACAACGTCACGCACACACATACACACAGGTGGGTGCTGTCACTCATGAACAAACAGGAAATTACCTCATCCTGATGTCACAGTCAAAATTAACGCCGAACTTCTCTACGATTGGTTTGAACACCTGAGGAGAGAAAAGAGACGTTTACTGATGAGAGAGAGAAAGAGCGTCGGTCTGTCTCTGTACAGAAATACAATAAACTCAGATAATAACAGCACAATTAAAGGGTCAATAACAATATTATAACATCTTATATATTATTAGGGTCATAAACAGTAAAGTATGGGGGCATAAACAGAGTCACAGCTGAAAGGACAGAACATTTAAAGGCTCATTACACTCTAATAAAGAAATATTAAATGTTACGGAGATGAAGGAATATGTTTTAAGCTCTTATTTATTTGTTCATTTTATTTTCTTGTTTTAGTCCATCAGGTTTTATTCTTTCTTTTAGCCATTTTTTAAAAAATATATTTTTTTATTTATTTTTTATTCATTTTCAAATTTTATTTTTTATCTTTTATCTCGAGTGTGTCCTTAAGGTAGCTCTTTGCTCACTATAATAAAGAAACAAAATGTTATGGAGACGCTGATGACAGAATATTTTAATTTTATATGGTAAAGAGCTCTTACTTATTTGTTCATTTTATTTTATTTTCTTGTTTTAGTCCATCATGTTTTAGTCTTTCTTTTAGGCATTTTTTTATTTTTTATTTATTAATTTTAAAATTTATATATTTATTTATCCATTTATTTTTTAATTTTACTTTGTTTCCTAAAGGTCGCTCTTTCCTCACGTCGGTGTCAGGCCATGGCTCTTTAACAATATTTCTTAAATTCTCACTCTGTGTGTGCTTGTATGTGTGTGTGTGTGTGGGTGAGTGAGTGAGGGTGTGTGTGTGTGGGTGGGTTGAGTTTTATTGTTGTTTAATTGTTGTTTTTAGCCTCTGTGAGAAACTGAACTACATTTTTTTTTGTCTGAAAAGTTCCATAAAAATAAAGTTGAATTTAAATATTTATGGGGTAATAAACACAGCATATAATCGGGTTATTAAACAATGTGATGAGAGATTATTTGTAGGGTTTTTATCACTGTAATGGTCGATATTTAAAGTGTCTGACCACTATAATGACAGTTTATTTAAAGGGTTTTAAAGACTGTACATATTTGTGAGGGGTTATTCACACTTACGACAGAATATTTAGGCTGTTATTCACCGTATTATAACAGTTTATTTATTGATTTATTATCACATTAATAACAGTTTCTTAAGGCTGTTATTGACAGTATTATAATAGTTTATTTATTGATTTATTATCACATTAATAACAGTTTCTTAAGGCTGTTATTGTCAGTATTATAACAGTTTATTTATTGATTTATTATCACATTAATAACAGTTTCTTAAGGCTGTTATTGTCAGTATTATAATAGTTTATTGATTGATTTATTATCACATTAATAACAGTCTCTTAAGGCTGTTATTGTCAGTATTATAATAGTTTATTTATTGATTTATTATCACATTAATAACAGTTTCTTAAGGCTGTTATTAGCAGCGCAGTGACGTTGTGACAGACCTTGACAGTGTAGTCGATCTGAGGAGCCATCTCTGCGTTGGTTCCTCCCTTCAGACAGAGCTGTGAGGACGAGTCGGCAAACAGAGCGCAGGGCAGCGCCACCTGCAGGAGGAGACACACACTCCTGACACGCACACACACACACACACACACACACACACACACACACACACACAGTGTTATTACAAATTACATTATTAGTGAGTATTATCACATAGTCCTACTTGATTCCCAGAGTAAAAGTTCATATGATGAGTGTGCCCGTGTTTGTGTGTGTGTGTGTGTGTGTGCGCGTGCTCTCACCCTGCTGTCTGCGGGTCGGCTGTGTGGTTCCCGGACTGGATCTTTCCTGGACTCAGACTGATGTCTGTTGATCCGATGGTCGCTCCCTGAAGACTACCAGAACAAAGATCTGACACCAGCTGCAGGCCGCTCAAGTGCTGTGGCCTGAACACACACACACACACACACACACACACACACACACACACACACAGATAAATTCTCTCATCAAACCCAGAATCAGAATCAGAAATACTTTAATAATCCACAGGGGGAAATTGCTTTTTGTCTCAGTAACTCCTGTGCAAATAAAGTAGAAAGAGGAGATAAATTATAGATAAAAGAAGTAAAAAATAAAGAGATAATATACAAGTATATACACTATATACAACACAAAATAGTAAAATAGGAAAAAAAGTTGGAAAGTTGGAAACCTGGTGTTTTAATATCTCATTAAAGTTCATTTTTTTCTCTTTTTAGCTTTATGAGTAACTCTCCTAACAAAGGCCTGGGCACAAATTTCCAGCTTGATTTAGAGTCAACACCTGTGATACAGATTTCTGTCTGTATTTTTGGATGTTTACAGTCAGACTGTGAAATCGGCACATTGTTCATCCTTCTGTCATCCAGCCTGATGGTCAGAGATGATCTCAGCTTCTTTTCTGGAACAAACGCTGCAGCATGAGCTCACACTGATCACTCTGGGTTTTGGCATAATTACAGCACATTATTAGTCAGCTGAATAAAGAGGATGGATGCCGATGTTAAGAGCTACTTCAGCAGAATTCAGATATATAAATATTTATGTGACAGATTTTACCTGACGTTTGATTTTGAGACAAACATTCTAAATTTACGCTTTTTTAAAAACGGAGTTTGGTCGGGCTCTTCTCACAGGCCAATGACAGGAATAAAGATGAACTTCGGAAGCTGTGCTCTGTCCTGGATTCTGGATCAGGTCCGGTCCGGTCTCAGACAGAGTTAAATAGACTGGGGTTCGGTCTGGGGTTATTGTTAGACTCTGCTAACTAAGCATGAGCTCACACTGGTCACTTTGGGTTTCTGGCTTTATTTCAGCACATTATTAGTCAGCTGAATAAAGAAGATGGATGCCGACGTTTAGAGCTACTTCAGTAGAATTCAGATATATAAATATTTATGTGGCAGATTTTACCTGACGTTTAACTTTAAATCAAACATTCTAAATTTACGTTTTTTTAAATGGAGTTTGGTCGGACTCTTCTTCTCACAGGCCAAAAACAGGATAAAGATGAACTTTAGCGGCTGTGCTCTGTCCTGGATACTGGATCAGGTCAGGTCCGGTCTCAGACAGACTGGGGTTCGGTTCTGGGGGGGTTATTGTTAGTCTCTGCTAACTAAGTTAGCCGATGACCAACTTTAATGAATAGGCTAACGTTAGCCTGCTAGCCAGTGAACTCACCTAAGCCCCGGTGTGCTCCTACCGGCCCGGATTTTGGAAATTTTGATGGCGGTTCCGGTGATGCAGCTGAGAGCCGCGGACATCCTGAGGATCTGTCCGCCCTGAGGAGAACCGACACCGGGACACAGAACACACATGAGACACCGGCTGCTAACAGTGTTAGCCCTCTGTTAGCATAAAGAGCAGCGGGGAGAGTCCGCCGCGGGTTCGATACTCACTCCTTCCATCACACTGCCGTCTATCAGAACCGAACCCTCCATCTGGACCCACGATCTCAGAACTTTAAAGACTCTCACACGATTCAGACTGAAGGATCCGGATCTCCTCACTGTTTGTCTTCTTCTTCTTCTCTGAACTTCTCTGGATCAAGTTAGACAAAAAATAAGCTACATAATCTTCCGGTAACCTTCAAAATAAAAGCTGGCTTTAGTGACGGACTGACACTGAGCTGCTGAGAATATAAACTAACTGTCTATATCCACAGAGTCAGTGTTATAAAATGTTAAAAAGATGTTTCTGAGTAATAAAGTTTGGAATTTAAACATCCTAAACAACGATAGTCCTGAACAGATATTCATCAGTTATTGTTCGTTGGGCTTTATTCTGGTTTTTATTTTGCTTTACAGAGGTTTTTCATATTTACATTACACTAAAAAAATAATTCTCAGTCCAGTTCAGCACACGCCGTGTTGTTCTGAGCAGTGACTTGCTTTGTTTTGATTCAATAATATTTGCTTTTATTTTGAAAGTAATTTCCGGTGTTACTGTGGCTTTTTAAACCTATTGATGTCTTCGGTGGAGCTGTGTAGTCGCCCCCTGTCGGCAGAAAGAGAAACAGTAGCATCTGCAGGATGCTGTGAGCACAAATGAATTAGATCTGATCATGATCGTATGACGTCAGTACCCCTCGTTTTTTTTATCCCTAATGTTTTTATTATTATACGACGGAGTGTTAGCCCACATAAAGGAAAAAAAAATTAAGACTTCAAGATTAAAGTAATTAATTTACGCGAATAAAGTCGTAGTAAATTCATAATGATACTTATGATAATGTGGTTCTGATGTACCAAAAATTAAGTATCTTAAAACTTAAATTAAAGTACATTTTCACTCAATGCTCCTGTCATCTTAACAGGTTAGTATATAACGACTTTATTCTGACTTTACTCTCATAAGTAATGATTTTATTACGACTGTATTCTCCTTAGTAATTACTTATTTTTTTCTAAATTAACGACTTTAATCCCAAAGTCTTAATTTTTTTTCTTAATGTGGCCCTAATACTCTGTTGTATACCCCACATTTATTCATCCCTATTGTTTTTATTATTATCCCTACATTTACAGTATTATGTACAAACTATAAAAATTGAAAATGCTGTAAAAATAAGAAATTCATAGAATTCAAATTTCAATATTCTCTCATGTTGTTCTGATTTGATTTGGTTGACTGTTTGTTCCTCTATAACAACTTTTTACCTGTTGTTTTGGTTCTCTAACCTCTTTTTTAAAACATGTTACTGACACTGAGGTTTAAATGAACATGTAATTATCATAAACCAGTAACTTGTGGCTTGTTAATTCTACTTTGATCTGTAAAAGAGAGATATTATTTTTTATTTTAAAAATAAAAAGAACATGAACCTAAGTCATATTTTTTTGATAAACCTTTTTTACTTTGTATGGAAGATTTTATAGAAATAAATCTAAATGATCTAAAAAGAAACCAAATATCCACCAGTTTAAATGAAATGAAGATATATCTTAAAACACTGTCTGGACTAACGAATAAGAAAGAGATTCGAACGATGACTTTCCACGAAGGCTTGAGGTCCTCTCTATGATCTGAACTGAATTTATGTATGACCCCAATGTCATAATTTATATTATAACTTATGTATCTTTTGTAGGCCGGACTAGGATTTTTTGTTTTTTCTTTTCTTTTTTTTTGCAAAGTCTTGATTCCTCTAGTATGAATGAAGGTAAGTATGCACATTTCGTCGCTGAAGAACTGAAATAAAGGTTTGGAAAAGAAAAAAAATCTACTTTGAGGATCATTTATTTTTGATTATTTATTCTATTTTATTTTATTTTATTTATTTCTGATTATCTGATGATTGAATTGACGCTGTTATCCTGTTGTAGTTCTCCTTCTCACCGCTGGGTGGCAGCCTGAACGCTGAGGATCAGACAGGTCATCAAGCCGCCGCTGCGCTCTGATTGGCTCCTGGTGGGGGCGTGCAGCAGCAGCGGCAGCAGAGGAGAGGAAAGATGGCGGCGGTGACCAGAGGCTCCTTCAGTGTGTTCAGACGGCTGGTGAGAAAAATAAACTTTACTTAGTCTCTGTTTGTCTGATTCTTTTACCCCGAGGCTGAATGTTTGTCTCCGCTGCTGCTGTGAAGTTAACGCGGGTCACCGTCATCATCCTGTTAGCCTGTTAGCTGCCGGGCATCCTTGATGCTAATGCTAAAAGAATAAAATAAACAAACTAATTCACTGACAGTCGGTTAGTTTACCTGTTTACGGAGAATTCAGGTACAGACAGGTGTGTAAACATGCTGTGAGGTTTTATCAGCATCCTTCAGGTGGACGAGCTGAAGGATGAGAGATGCTAAGGAGGCTAACAGCTAACAGGGTGACACGGGTCCGTGGGTTCAGACCTGTCCGTGGGTTCATACCTGTCTGTGGGTCAGGTCTATGGAGACAGGTGAGGGTCCACTCAGACTGAGGTTTGATAGTTTCTGCAGGTAAATACAGACACAGGTGATCAGTTTCTATGAGGGTTCAGAGCTCCTACAGTCCACCTGCTGAGGTGTCCAGACCAGGGCTGGACGATATGGGAGAAAGTTTATCCCGATGTTTTTACATATCGGCGATATCGATATATATCTCGATATAACAAATGAAATCTTACAGTGCTTATTAGTAGCACGTCTTTTCCAATACAATAAGTCTACGTTCACACTGCAGGTTATGATGCACAATTCAGATTTTTTGTTAAATCCGATCTTTTTGTGCGGTCGTTCACATTACAACAACAAATGTGGCATCTAATGTGAATGGGAATGTGTCCGTGAAGTGACCCGCATGCGCACAAAGCACAAATTGCTCTCTGCGCCTGTTTGTGTTGTTGAACAATGGTGACGTTTATCGCACAATGAGCACGTATAGGTCGGATGAACGTGACCTGAGAATGGCTTCTGTCTGTCTTAGAGATATGTTTAGCTACCGGTTACCGTTGTTGTGCCGAGAAACACATGCCTGTAAATTTTTGCGTTGTGCGTGCTCTGCGGCGTGGCGCTGCTTCAGGTGGTGAAAAAGATTTGAGGTATTCCCCGACTTTGTGAGAACATGTACTCGACATAATTTACAGTCCACATTACTCTGCTTCATGTCCGACCTCCAAAAACCAAAATACCTCCACACCACCGACGTTTTCCTAACGCCAGTGTTGTGGTTGACATTGATGTGGTCATCTGTTGAGCCTTCATGGTCATTTCTGTCGGGGGTAGCACTCATTTTCTTTGTTTCTCACCAACAGTGCTGTCGGCTTCACCTGTTAAAGTGCTATGGTTGGGTGGAGCTGCTGTCTGCTACGACGCTGCAGTTGGTTGATACTTGGTTCTAATTCAGAACATGATTGGTTCAGACCCCGAGAAACTCCACTTCTCATTGGCTGTTCGGATAGTCGACCAAAACATGTCAGAAATACGATTATTGAAAAGCATATTGATCATTTTTGATATTGATATTGCGGGAAAATAATTTTGGATATATTTCGTTCTCGTTTTATCGCCCAGCCTTTGCTGAAAAAAAGTCGGTGGATGAGAGCAGAGTCATATCTTTGTGTCTTTGTTTGTGTACTTTAGTCAGCAGTTAAATAAATAAATAAATTCCTGGTGTGATCTGTTTCCTCCTCTCAGCTCAGTCAGCAGTATCGGCGCCGGTGTTTCCGCATTCAGAGCCTCAAATCTGACCGAACTTTGCAGCCGCTCGCCTTCAGGTGTGACAGAAACCTGCTGATGTTCAGCAGCAGGACGCTGCACACCTCCACAGGTGAGTCCAGACCCACAGGAACAGAAACCTCAGCAGACGTCCACACGGATCAGGACATTTATGTTGTTGTGTGTCTTTACTGTGACGATGTTAATAATGTGTTTCCTCCTGCAGTGAGTCATGGACCCATCGTCCAATTCAAACTGTCCGACATCGGGGAGGGCATCATGGAGGTGACAGTGAAGGAGTGGTACGTCCACAGGCTCTCCCAGCCAATCACAGAGCAGATGGTTACCTGTTACCTGTAGGACTGCTGTTTACAGTGCTAGGATTTGATGCGTTTCTCCTCACTCTGGTGTCTCATGAAGGTTTTATAAGAATCTAAACTGTGACATCATTCAGGCGGCGTCACAGTTTGGCGCCCGACTCTCACCTACTTCGGTAAATCTGGTGTTTTCAGGTACGTGAAGGAGGGGGACAAGGTGTCTCAGTTCGACAGCATCTGTGAGGTTCAGAGCGACAAAGCCTCCGTCACCATCACCAGCCGTTACGACGGCGTCATCAAGAAGCTCTACTACGACGCAGAAGCTACCGCACTCGTGGGTAAACCGCTGGTGGACATCGAGACGGAGTCCCGCTCAGGTGAGACATCTTAACCTGGTCTTAGTCCTGAACCTGTTCTTCTAGTCTGACCCAGACTGAACCCCGAATTGTTGTTCAGAGTTGATCCAGGAGGAGGACGTGGTGGAGACGCCCGCCATGGCCCGAGAGGAGCACACCCACCAGGAAATCAAAGGTCACAAGACACAGGCCACGCCCGCTGTCAGACGCCTCGCCATGGAGAACAACGTAAGACAGTCCTCAGCTTGTCTGTAGACCTAGTCTCTCCTCTGTCAGTCCTCTCGGTCTGTCTCGTGTCGGTCCTGAGTCCGTCCCGTGGTTTTTCAGAGACCGCCCTAAATGTCCGCCCAGTCTGTCCTCAGTCTGTCCCCGTCTTGGTTTTAAAAGGTTGGACAAATAAAGTCTGTAATGTCCCTGATGTCTCTGGTCTGGTCCGTCCCCTCAGATTAAACTCAGTGAGGTGGTGGGGACGGGGAAAGACGGTCGGATCCTAAAAGAGGACATCCTGAACTATCTGGCGAGGCAGACTGGCGCCATCTTACCTCCGCCATTCCAGGAGATCCAGACTCCTCCTCCAGCCCCGCCCCCAGCTGCTGCTGCTGCTGCTAAACCTGTAAGCGCTCCCGTGGCCGTCAAACCTCCGCCGACCACACCTAAACCCGTCTTCACCGGCAAGGACGTCACCGAGCCGCTCAAAGGTGAGGTGGTACAGACGAAGACCATGACCCGATCTGGTGCAGGTTTGAATCCCTGAGCAGGTCATGTGACGTATGTTTTTGACTTCTTCAGGTTTCCATAAGGCGATGGTGAAGACGATGACGGCGGCGCTGAAGATCCCGCACTTTGGGTACTGTGACGAGGTGGACCTGAGCCGCCTGGTGGCTCTAAGGGCGGAGCTTAAGTCCACAGCAGAGGCTCGGGGGGTCAAACTGAGCTACATGCCCTTCTTTATCAAGGTGAGACTCACACAGGTGAAGGTACTTGTTTAGATGCTGATTGGTTGCGTGATGTTGACGCTGTGCTCTCATTGGTCCAGGCCGCCTCCCTTGGCCTCCTGCACTTTCCCATCCTGAACGCCTCCGTGGACGAAGGCTGCCAGAACATCACCTACAAGGTGAGAGGGACGCACCGATCAATTCACACCTTAAAACGACCACGGACGATGTAGGGCGGAGTCAAACGGCTTTAAAAACCAACATTAGTATTCTGTCTGTGAGAATATCAGTGAGAACCGTCCTACCAGCAGGTCCACAGAAACCATGGTCCAGAAGATCCTGGTCCTCAAGGATAGAAACATCTAAAATCATCCACACTCTGCAGAAACATTATTCATAAGAGCTCTTTGTTATTTTTATACTTCTTCTTAAAACCGTGTTTTTATTTCAGACGTTATCTAAAAACCAGGTACTCGCCTGTTTCATTTCCTGATATTATTCTTTCTCACTTATTTAAACCGCTGGAGCTGCTGTCGTTTTAATCCTGTTTTAGTAAGTTTGAGTTTGTTTCCTGTAAATAGGGCCAGACCATATCAGTGTAGGCCAACAACTGTCTGAGCCTATAGTAGTCTGAGCCTATAGTAGTCTGAGCCTATAGCAGTCTGGGCCTATAGCAGCCTAAGCCTAGCGCAGTGTTAACCTATAGTAGTCTAAGCCTAGCGCAGTGTTAACCTAAAGTAGTCTAAGCCTAGCGCAGTGTTAACCTATAGTAGTCTAAGCCTAGCGCAGTGTTAACCTATAGCAGTCTAAGCCTAGCGCAGTGTTAACCTATAGTAGTCCAAGCCTAGCGCAGTGTTAACCTATAGTAGTCTAAGCCTAGCGCAGTGTTAACCTATAGTAGTCTAAGCCTAGCGCAGTGTTAACCTATAGTAGTCTAAGCCTAAAACAGTGTTAACCTATAGTAGTCTAAACCTATAGCAGCCTAAGCCTATAGTAGTGTTAACCTATAGTAGTCTGAGCCTATAGCAGTGTAAGCCTAGCGCAGTGTTAACCTATAGTAGTCTAAGCCTAGCGCAGTGTTAACCTATAGTAGTCTAAGCCTAGCGCAGTGTTAACCTATAGTAGTCTAAGCCTAAAGCAGTGTTAACCTATAGTAGTCTAAACCTATAGCAGCCTAAGCCTATAGTATTGTTAACCTATAGTAGTCTGAGCCTATAGCAGTCTGAGCCTATAGCAGTGTAAGCCTAGCGCAATGTTAACCTATAGTAGTCTAAGCCTAGCGCAGTGTTAACCTATAGTAGTCTAAGCCTAAAGCAGTGTTAACCTATAGTAGTCTAAGCCTATAGCAGTGTTAACCTATAGTAGTCTAAGCCTATAGTAGTCTAAACCTATAGCAGCCTAAGCCTATAGTGGTCTGAGCCTATAGCAGTCTAAGCCTAGCGCAGTGTTAACCTATAGTAGTCTAAGCCTAGCGCAGTGTTAACCTATAGTAGTCTAAGCCTAGCGCAGTGTTAACCTATAGTAGTCTAAGCCTAGTGCAGTGTTAACCTATAGTAGTCTAAGCCTAAAGCAGTGTTAACCTATAGTAGTCTAAGCCTAAAGCAGTGTTAACCTATAGTAGTCTAAGCCTATTGTAGTCTAAACCTATAGCAGCCTAAGCCTATAGTAGTGTTAACCTATAGTAGTCTGAGCCTATAGCAGTCTGAGCCTATAGCAGTGTAAGCCTAGTGCAGTGTTAACCTTAAGTAGTCTAAGCCTAGTGCAGTGTTAACCTATAGTAGTCTAAGCCTAGCGCAGTGTTAATCTATAGTAGTATAAGCCTAAAGCAGTGTTAACCTATAGTAGTCTAAGCCTAGCACAGTGTTAACCTATAGTAGTCTAAGCCTATAGTAGTCTAAACCTATAGCAGCCTAAGCCTATAGTAGTCTGAGCCCATAGCAGTCTAAGCCTAGCGCAGTGTTAACCTATAGTAGTCTAAGCCTAGCGCAGTGTTAACCTATAGTAGTCTAAGCCTAGCGCAGTGTTAACCTATAGTAGTCTAAGCCTAAAACAGTGTTAACCTATAGTAGTCTAAACCTATAGCAGCCTAAGCCTATAGTAGTGTTAACCTATAGTAGTCTGAGCCTATAGCAGTGTAAGCCTAGCGCAGTGTTAACCTATAGTAGTATAAGCCTAAAGCTGTGTTAACCTATAGTAGTCTAAACCTATAGCAGCCTAAGCCTTTAGCAGTGTTAACCTATAGTAGTATAAGCCTAAAGCTGTGTTAACCTATAGTAGTCTAAACCTATAGCAGCCTAAGCCTATAGAAGTGTTTACCTATAGTAGTCTAAGCCTAGCGCAGTGTTAACCTACAGCAGTGTTAATCTGTAGTAGCCTATAGCAGTCTAAGCCTAGCGCAGTGTTAACCTATAGTAGTCTAAGCCTAGCGCAGTGTTAACCTATAGTAGTCTAAGCCTATAGCAGCCTAAGCCTTTAGCAGTGTTAACCTACAGCAGTGTTAATCTGTAGTAGCCTATAGCAGTCTAAGCCTAGCGCAGTGTTAACCTATAGTAGTCTAAGCCTATAGCAGCCTAAGCCTTTAGCAGTGTTAACCTACAGCAGTGTTAATCTGTAGTAGCCTATAGCAGTGTTAACTTAGGGCTTTACCTTAACTCTTGAGACTCCAGATACAATGAACTGTCCTGTGTTCTTGGAGCAGAGAGTCCTTAATGTTTGTCCTTGAAGGGTTGTTTCTTTGACGGGACTCAAAGTTATTATTGACCCATAGCTGACATTTCCACGTTCCTCTCACTGTTCTCCGGACGCGGCCGTAATCCTGATGTTGGTGTCGATGGTTCCTGTGTTTTAGGCATCTCATAACATCGGTCTGGCGATGGACACCAGTCAGGGTCTGTTGGTTCCTAACGTGAAGAACGTTCAGCTGCTCAGCGTGTTCGAGATCGCTCAGGAGTTAAACCGCCTGCAGACACTCGGATCTGCAGGTCAGCTGGGAACCAGTGAGCTGACTGGAGGAACTTTCACCCTGTCCAACATCGGCTCGGTGAGTAAAACAGAAACGACGATAACGACGATAACGACGATAACGACGACACATCATCATCAGAAGGTCTGCAGGTCTGACTTTGGTCTGTTTCTGTTTGTTTGTGGATCAGATTGGAGGGACGTACGCCAAACCTGTAATTCTTCCTCCTGAAGTAGCAATTGGAGCTCTGGGAAAAATCCAGGTGGGTTCCAAAACTTTCCAGGCAGACAAACCTGGAAAACAAAGTGAGGCTGTGACTGCCCCTCTTTGACCTGGTCTGGTTTTAGACTGTGACCTGGTCTGTGTGGGACTGTAGTAAAAGCAGCAGTAGAAGCTGTTCCTCCTGAGGTCCGTGGAGCTGATAATCAGGGTCTACTTTACCGACAGGAGTATCATCTGCGTATAATCTGATCGTCGAGGAAAAATCAGTGGACCTGGCACAGAGCCCTGTGGTTCACCTCTGTGTGATTATCATATTTCAGACTCTTCTGGGTTAAAACTCAAACAAAAACCTTAAAAAAAGAGACTCATGACCTCCCAGATCAGTTTTTGACCTCTCGTCTGGTTGTTGTCTTCAGGTTCTTCCTCGGTTCGACTCCAGCGGTCAGGTGGTCCGAGGTCACATCATGAACGTCAGCTGGTCGGCCGATCATCGGATCATCGACGGGGCGACCATGTGCCGCTTCTCCAACCTGTGGAAGGACTACCTGGAGAACCCTTCCACCATGGTGCTGGACCTGAAATAGACAGAGGGATATTACCCACAAGCCCCAGGGGGCGGGGCCACCACACTAACAGACCTTTGCTCCTCCTCCCCTCGGCGCCTCTGCTCCCTCTTTCTGTTCGGGGCCTTCATTCATTAACTCTGTCATTTCCTGTTGCCTTTGAGCGAGGTGCCGGGAGGGGGAGGGGTCAGACTGTCAATCATGTTGTTTTCATGACAACCACTAACACACACACACACACACACACACACACGAAAGCACAGTGGAGTTTAATGGTAGGTAGTTACCCAGAGCCGGGTGTGAGCTCACCTGACCTTTAATTCTGTTATCACAGTCTCTGAGCTGATCCGGAGTCGATCCGGTTTCGTGGTTCTGTAGAGTCTGGGTTTTGGATTGAAGCTGCTGTCTGCTGTGACTTGAACCTCTGTATCTCTGATGACCTTTAACCTCTGTATCTGTGATGACCTGTTGGTTAGTGTGGCTGAAAGGCTGACCGTACCCGTTTCCTCTCTTATGTCACTTTAACCTCATCTCTGACACTAAACCGTTTCCTGTATGACCACGCCTCACCTGTTGGATTCTTCCCAGGTGATACGACGGCTAAACGCGGTGGTCGCCATATCGGAAATGCCGACTTTAGCTAACTTCCTGTTAAATCTGAAACAGAGATGGAAATCAGGCCATAGCCGAGCCTCCTAACCAACAGCTCCAAAACACTAACCTGTCACTCAAATAGGCCACGCCTCTTTTTTTGTATGTAACTGTAATCCTTAATGTGATGTCATAAATACAGGTGGTACAGGTGTCATGAACAGAGAACCGTCTGTAGAGTCTAAAAACTCTTATATCACTGCTATAGAGTTGAACATGTTAACACTGAGCTCCATGGGGATGGCCTCTAGTGGACACTGGAGGAACTGCAGTTTTATGCATTTTACATGAGAATAACCACATCAAAACTTAAAGGGATATTCTGGTGTAAAATTAATTTAGGGTCAAACACGCCGTAACACCGAGTTAGACCCCCCCTCCAGAGATGAATGTTGCCGACCGCTTGCTTCTCTAGTTATACCAACTTTAGTAACGACCACAGGATAGCAATACAGAGAGCCACGCCCCCAACCAAAACGCCACTCTATAGCCACAAATAATGCTAATGATGAAGTTAGGTGCTGTTCTGAGCATTATTTGTGGCTATAGAGTGGCGTTTTGGTTGGGGGCGTGGCTCTCTGTATTGCTATCCTGCTGTCGTTACTAAAGTTGGTAAAACTAGAGAAGAAAGCGGTCGGCAACATTCATCTCTGGAGGGGGGGGTCCAACTCGGTGTTTTATTAAATAAATTTAAATTAATTTTACGCCTGAATATCCCTTTAAGTCTTTCCTTTACGTTTCAAAAACATCGGCCTTCATATGATGTCATGGAAGTGGTCAGCCAAATTTCCATGTCTCTAAATATCCATATTATCAATAACTGTAGTGATTGATCTGATGTGAACAGCTGAGTTCTCTCTGATCAGCTGTTTTTAACAAAGAATGAGCTTTAGAGACTAAGACTGTTTTTGTACCAGGCTGATTGTTCATGATCATTTCTGCTGTGACTGTTTATAGTTTAACATTAGACTCAATGGATAACAACTCACTTTAAGATACAGCCCCTTGTGGACACTAGAGGAACTGCAGTTTTCTTTATTTTACACTATGAAACACTATTTCCTCGGCGTTTCAAAAACAAGTCATTTGACGACGGCATTAAAAAACACCTGAAGTTTGCACGCCAGGTCCAACTTTGTCACCACAGAAGAGGAAGAGGTGACGACTCAAACACTAAAACTGAAACAGGTTCAGGGTTTTAAACTGATGCGGTTCTGGTTCCTGCAGATGTGAAAGGGTCAGACTGTCTGCAGACTGTTAGTCCCTCTCACATCGTCTCAGATCTGACCCGAGATCAGCCCTCTGCTAACATGATTACTTTAAGCTCAGTTTGGTGTTTCAGCCCTTGGTACCGGACTTGGTTCTGGTGGTTGCTGGGTAATTCCCACATGCTATCAGCTGGATGTTACACGTCTGTTTGTCTTTTTGTGTTTTTGTTTTTAGCGACAGATTAAATGTGTAAGTGTAGACTGAACGGTTGGGTTTTGTATTTTTGGGGATGTGTAGGGTTGTTGTTTTTTTTCTGAAGAGATAAAATAATAAAAGAAACGGATGAAAAACTTTAAATAAAGTTGAAGTGCACAAACATCTGAATACTGCTTTTGTTTTCATGAATTAAAAATCCGATGAATTTTAAATCAGAGCCAAAAAGTTTCAGCAAAATAAAAAAAGATCAAAATCTGAAACTGAAAACTTATATTTCCTGCAGAAACAGCAGATCTGAGCAGAGATTCTCTTTAATGAGACATGTTTGTTTTCTCATTTATGTATTTGACTGACTTTGGTAGTTTATAATAAAACCAAACAAATCTCCAGTTCCCATCATGCCTCTGTGCTTCTGTAAAGTAATTTTAACCCTTTTAAGCCTAAAACCACAAATTATGGCCAGAAAATTCACATTTTTTGGAGCTGAAATGTTTATTTAACTTTTGACTGAAAACCAAAAAATCAAAATGTCCTTAAAATTTAACAAATATGTTCATTTATCTTGTTTGATACATTCGATGTTTTTGGAAACTGATAAACCACAAGAGGACATTTTTATCATTTATCAGACTGTATTCAGGTGTTTTTTAGTAATTTGTTGATCGTATTAATTTGATAAAAGTATCATAAAAGTAATTATCAAATATGATATAAAAGGCATTAAAGGGTTAAATATGGTAGTTAAAAAAATAGTTCAGATTTGGACCCTTAAACACTTTGAATTGAAATCTTTGGTGAGTTAATTTTCCTATTAAAAATATTGTTTATACTGTCAATAAGGTCATGTGACTGGGCCTGGTATCAGTGCGGTCATGTGACCTCTGGTCTATAATTACCAACAGGTCTGAGGTCAGATTTCAGCTGCAGAGACGCAGCATGGAGGACTGCTGCTCCAACACAAGGTGAACACCGACACGACTGACAACACTAACCAGAGTGACAATAACAACAACAACAACCCATACTAACGACTGTGAACTACACTAACACTGCTACAACTACACTGAGTGTGTGTGTGTGTGTGTGTATTTATGGAAAGCAGGAAGCAGCGTCCATGATTTCCAAAACAAATGTTGAAATTTGTTCATCAGACCGCCGTAGAGTTTTCAACCATGTCTGGATCCTGGTTCTGTCTGGTCTCCTCTGTCGTGGTTCAGTTTGAACCTCATCAGTAGATGCAGTGATGATCTGGTTTTTAGTGATTCTGAGTCCATGCGGTCATTTCCACTCCAGAGTCCTGTCTGTTTTTAATGCCCTGAAGATCAGGACCATCCAGTCCTGGTTTTATAGCGTTAACTCTTCGGTACAAAAACTGAAACGGTTGAACTGTTCGCTCACGCGGTCTCTCACAGGGTGTTGAACCTCTTCCGTCCTTCCTTCGTACAGACTCCGCCTCTCTGAACGTCCTTCTTACCCTCAATTTTCACTGCTCCCCCGAACGGCTCTGATCTGGAACGGTGCAGATTTTTGCCATCCGCCAATTCCTTCTGGATCTGTTTGTGAGGCAAATTTCGTGGCGGATTACGGACAGCAGGAATCGCGAGAACATACAAGAACCCGCGGATTCACGTGCGATCGTTGTCAGGTTAATCTGTGCTGAATTTATCCGCCATGTTCCGGCGTCCGGAAAAACAGAACTCTTGTGATCAGCTGAGGAACGGAAAGAAGTCGGTGTAAATTGACACGTTAACTTGAATGGTTACGATCAGCTACGATCGGAGGATACGACCTTTTAGGAGACGATCAGGATGAAGGTGGAGGTCGGGGGTTAGACTCAGTCATGTGACTAACCTGTTAATAAAACACTGAACTGCTGATTTCTGTCGTTAATAATTTTTTTCTATCTTTTCAAACAGGATGGTGAGAGGGAGGACACGACTGCAGGTCAAAGGTCAGAATTCATTTAACCTGTCCGCCTGTGAGCAGTGACATCATCCGGCCAACAGGAAGTGGTCATCATGGTGGGTGTGGTGGCGTGCGGCTCAGTGAGCTCCATCAAAGCTCTGTGGGAGACGAGGATCAAGAAGATCAAACAGGAAGATGAGGAGCAGAAGAGCAGGCAGGCTCGGGGCGGGGCCACAGGCAGGTGAGGCTCCACCCCCTTATCCAGGAACACATCTTATTGGTTAAGACAACAGGAAGTGAACCCTTATCTGTATGGTGGTGTTTACAGTCATAATCAGAGTCTGCTGCACCTGTTTGCGCAAAGCTAAACTAAGCTAAGTTCTTTCAAGAGTGGGGGACTCTAAAGGACTCAGGTCTGACTGTCTGGTCTGTAAGGTCTTCTGTGGTTCTGGTTCAGGTTGAGTGTTGGTGTCTGGGAGGACCGGGCGGTTTTGGCTCGACTAAAACAAAAGCTGCAGACCGAGGACGGACGTCTGATCCTTCGAATCGAACATGAAGAGTGGAAGGTAAGGACCAGAGAGGTGGTCTTGTGGGTCCTGGTCTTCAGGATCCCTGGTTTCTGCTGTAGTTGAACCTTAACGGTTATACTTGTATCTTCTGCCCCCTCTTCCTCCAGTCTTTTCCAGGCTGTCTGGTCCAGCTCAGCAATGTCCAGGAGTGGCAGATTCACCGGACTGGACTCCTGAAGATCCCTCACTTCATCTCCAGCTTCCAGAACCTTTTGGTTCTTGACCTGTCTCGTAACGGAGTCACAGAGATCCCCAAACAGATCGGTCAGTAAAATTCAGTCGCTCCTGGTGAGTTCAAGAGTTTGAGGGTTCATGTCCTGGTGTTTGAGATGAGGGTCTGGTCTGTCTCTAACCCCCGATCTCCACCTTCATCCTGATCGTCTCCTAAAAGGTCGTATCCTCCGATCGTAGCTGATCGTAACCATTCAATTTAACGTGTCAATTTACACCGACTTCTTTCCGTTCCTCTGTGGATCGCCGGACTCCTCAGCTGATCACAAGAGTTCTATTTTTTCCGGACGCCGGAGCATGGCGGATAAATTCAGCACAGATTAACCCGTGCTGGAAAGGAAGTCGGGCACAGACACAAAATAAAACATCCGGCTTCTTTTCAAAATAAAACACTCCGTGTTTCAGGAGGATCGTATTTCACACCATGCAAACGGGCGGAGACGAACAAGTGAAAGGTTTGTAGACGTCATTTCACCCCAATGACACCATGGATGAGGAGATGCTGATTCTAGAAGTCTAGAAGTAGATTTCCTCCTCTGGAAGGATCTACTGCTTATATGTCTATGTGTCTGTCTTTAGAGAGACAACTTGTTTTCGTGTGATTGAACGTGAATCTGCGGGTTCTTGTGAGTTCTCCTGATTACCGCTGTCTGTAATCCGCCACAAAATCTGTCTCACAAACGGATCCGGTAGGAATCGGCGTATGGCGAAAGTTGTTGCCGTTCTGGATGCAGAGGAAATCCTGGGTAACGGGCAAAACCCACATGATCCGGAACGGCTCTGCTCCACTAAGTAATGTGAGGGATTCCACAGAATCCGTCCGCTGTCTGGTTCTGCTGCAGATCAGCTCCACCTGCCGGTCCAGAGCGGAGCAGAACCGTTCCGGATCCAGTGGAATCCCCGGGTAAGTCCTCTCTTGTCCTGGTTCTGGTCTCAGGGAAGCTGACCCGGCTCAGAGAGCTCCTGCTGAGCTGCAACAGAGTCCGGTTTGTTCCTGAAGAGCTGAGCGGCTGTGAGAGTCTGGAGAGGCTGGAGCTGGCCATGAACCACGACCTGAACCAGCTACCTGACCAGGTACAGACCACCAGCTCAGACTGTCCTACACCAGGTACAGGTCTGTAGATCTATATCTGGTGGTTCTGATCTCTGTTCCCTGAATCCAGCTGCAGAACCTGAAGAACCTGAGCCACCTGGACCTCTCCATGAACGACTTCACCTGCATGCCCGACTGTGTGGTCGCTCTGCCCGCGCTCGAGTGGCTGGACATGGCAGGAAACCGGCTGCAGCACCTACCTGAGGACATGCACAGGTGAGTGGAGGAGAGAGCATGTGTGCCCCGCCCCCTTTCTACCATCAGCCAATCAGCAGTGAGACGTTTCTGTGCTCAGGATGGAGAAGCTTCACACTCTGTGGCTGCAGAGGAACGAGCTGGAGAGACTCCCCGACAGCATCAGCAGGATGGCCAGTCTGGATACTCTGGTCCTCAGCAGCAACAGACTGAGAGACATCCCCCCTCTGATGGAGGACATGTCCAACCTCAGGTCCTGAATGTCCTTCCAGTTGACCGATATCCAGATGTCTCCCTCCAGATTCACTCATGTCCACGATTCACCCGCAGGTTTGTGAACTTCCGGGACAACCCTCTGACTCTGGACGTGACGCTGCCGATCAGGAGGACCGAGACTGAAGACGGGGAGGACGACGAAGAGGACGACGACAGAGAGATGTTTGGACGAGAGTTCATGCACATGTACATCCGGGAGGCCAGGAAGCGAGCGTACGCCGTCCTCAACATGCACTGTGTCAACCGTTAGTATCAGCAGAGACACGCAGAGACAATAACCCTCATCCCTAAACCCTCATCTAACCCTGTTTGGACTTCACTGAGACACTTAAACTCTGTGTGTCCCCTCATGGATCATAACCGCTGTAACCAACATGCTTTTACTGCGACATGACGTCTGCTTTGAAGGCTGAATGATCCACTTTCATCCTCCTCTAAGTTCAGTTTTTAAAGGAGTTTTGATAATTATTGTTCTTGTCCCTCTGATATCTTCACATCCCTCAGCAGCTTCACGTGGTTTACAGGTCAACAAACTCTGGACATTAACATTATTTCAGAGCCGCTGTCCCTTTAAGCCCCCCCAGCATTCCAGAACCCAGTATTCTGGAAGCCTCCTTCACTGTTGCCGTGCAACAAAGTTGTTTCTTTTTATAAAATGACAAATTTGACCTTTTAAGGAGATTAACGCTGCGTTCCAGTTGTACTCGGAAGTCAGGATTTGCGAGCTCTGAGTCGGGAATTCATCTGAAACGCCCCCCCTGAAGTCGGATTTCCAACGACAACATCAAAATCTGTTTTTGTTAAATTAAATAAGTGGTAAATCCTGTTCTGCCCAACGTCTAACTGTGAACACTGATCTGTGGTGTTTGTGTAGAATACTGTGTTGTGCGTTGTTTACAACTGGTATAGCTAACAACAACCAACAACAGCTGACAATCGCAAAAAAAAACAGCTAACAACGGCTAACTTTAAATGGCCATCCTGGTTTTCCAACTTGTTAACTGGAACACCGTCAACTCGGGTCTAACGTCATTCCCAGCTCCAACATCTGACTTCTGAGGTAACTCGCACGCAGCATCAGATGTCGGAGCTGAAAATGACGTCACACCTGAGTACCCAGCAAAATCAGAGACGTAAACAAGATGGCTACATCTACGAAAGTTATTTTAGTGCTTGCCCTGTTCTTGCTTATATTTGGACAAGGCAAGTGCTAAAATTCAGGTCCAGAGAACTGGACCTGGACTTTCACAGTAGATCGGTTCTTTTGGGTTTGGGTTAGCTGAGTGTTTGTTTTCAGGCGACCTCTGTGATATAAAACCTGTTTGTTCATCTGATTTAATCCGTTAATCTGTAATCTATTTCACAAGAGCAGGTCTGAAATACTCACAATGATCTGATCCTTTAATCCAGTTAATCCTGCGGTGACCCTCAGAGGGGCCCAGACCCACAGGTTGGGAAACTCTTAGTTTTCTGCTGTGAACGCTGCAGGTTGTTTATTCTTGAACATGATGGTTTTAATTTCAGGTGTTTGATCACTTAAAACTCTAACGAATTAACCGCCGATCATAATCATCATCTCATTTCATTTACACTTAAACAGCTGATTAACTAAAGTTAAAGGGATATTCCGGTGTAAAATTAATTTAGGGTCAAACACGCCGTAACACCGAGTTAGACGCCCCCTCCAGAGATGAATGTTGTGGACCGCTTTCTTCTCTAGTTATACCAACTTTAGTAACGACCGCAGGATAGAAATACAGAGAGCCACGCCCTCAACCAAAACGCCACTCTATAGCCACAGATAATGCTCAGAACAGCACCTAACTTCATCAACAGGACATATAGGGTCACAGACATAGTACTAGACACCAAACATCTTTTTAACTTTGACTCATTTCTTTAGCAAAGAGACTAAACACAACTCACCTACTCTCTTCCAGCAGACGGACTACAGCGGGTGCCGCAGCTCAAGGAAGAACATTTATGATCATTTCTTCATGGAAATACAATCAGACCGAGACGATAAGACAGAAGAACTACCGCGTCTGAAAATGATTAATATGATGATTATTACTTCAAGAAAATGATAAAGAAATGATCGTAAATGTTCTTCCTTGAGCTGCGGCACCCCGCTGTTGTCCGTAATGAACTGGTCTGAGGTCTCACTACAAACAAGCGTCTGCTGGAAGAGAGTAGGTGAGTTGTGTTTAGTCTCTTTGTTAAAGAAATGAGTCAAAGTTAAAAAGATGTTTGGTGTCTAGTACTATGTCTGGGACCCTATACCTGAGTAGAGCATGGTGTGATTCTCTTTAGTAACAGAACCTCATTGGAAAATTAGCTGATTTAACTTTACTGTGCTCTTGTTCAAATATATTAACTCGACAGCACATAAATCCATACCTGTTAACAAAATCATGATTTTATTGATAATTCGGCTCAATAAAAACACCTTTACCTTTTCATTTTACTACAGTAGAAGTTTATTGGCCCAGCTTATAGACTACAGAAGTGGAGAAACGCCCCCGCTTAAGTTTATGTTTTCTTAGGAGTTAGAACAACTCTGAATATAGTACTATGTCTGTGACCCTATATGTCCTGTTGATGAAGTTAGGTGCTGTTCTGAGCATTATTTGTGGCTATAGAGTGGCGTTTTGGTTGGGGGCGTGGCTCTCTGTATTTCTATCCTGCGGTCGTTACTAAAGTTGGTATAACTAGAGAAGGAAGCGGTCGACAACATTCATCTCTGGAGTGGGGGGTCTAACTCGGTGTTACGGTGTGTTTGACCCTAAATTAATTTTACAACAGAATATCCCTTTAAATTGATGAACTGACGTCATGTTTCTGTTTCAGAGCCGACCGACGAGCCCTCAGAACAAAAATGATTTTCTTCTTCTGGACTTTTCCCTCAGAGCTCAGCTACAGGTTTTAAAATCAGAGAAGAAGACGCCAACCCACAGCTTTTAATGTGAAACTTTTCATCCGCTCTTGTATTTCCTGTCGTTTGTGTGTAGTTTGTGTGTAGTTGATCACCACAGTGAACGCTCAGACTGAACCAACGAGGAGCTTTAATTAAAAAAAACTTTACAAACATTCAAACAAAAATCCGTTTTCTGAGTTTCTGTCAAAATTTTAAAAAATAACTTAATCAGCGAGTTTCACCTTCAGGGCGAGGAGACGAGGGCGAGGGGACGGCGGTCAGGAGAACGTTCTCCAGAGTCACCTGAGAGTCCACGTACTGAGACAGTTTCCCGTCAAACCCCCTCGCCTTCAGGAAGTGAAGTCTGCCCGCATCGATCAGACGTTTACAGAGACGCCCGATCTGCTCGCGCTCAGAGGACGACAGGAAGCTGCAGAGGAAACAACAACGAGACTTCAGGATGGGAAACACGCCAACCAGGCCGCCATCGGTCAAATATTTACCCGTTCACGGCGTCCTTCTCTTCTGCTGGTTCGTGCTCGTCATCGTCTCCTCTTTGATTGGTCGGAACCTGAGGCTGAGGCTCCTGATTGGCTGGTCTGAGTCCACATGTTGCCCAGCTGGACATCCGGCAGAAGGCCGAGAACTCTTCAGGTCCGAGTCCTCGCTGCAGGAAGAACTGTTTACCCACGTAGTGACGCCATTCGCACCGATGGTGGCAGCACAGAGCCACTGCCAGGCCCAGAACCGGACCAGGACCCGGATCCGGATCCTCTGATGGTGAATGCTGCTCTGGATCAGCTGGTTCTGATGTCTTTGGGCGTTTGGGGGGCGGTTCACTCTCCTTTCTGGGTTCTGAAGTTTCCAATAAGCAGCGTAGAGCCAGATCTGAAACAGAGACCAGAACCAGTTATTGTGAGGTTTTTCTGAGTCTGAGGGAACACAGAGTCCGGTTCAGACCTGCCCCAGATAGTGACCCATCAGAAGAGAACTTCTGTTGGGATCTGGATCATCAGAACCTGATCCAGAGTCGTCCTCTCTCACCTGTCGCTGCTCCACACAGATGTTTCCCGACTCCCACCAACGGAAACTTCTTCAGTCTGAGCATCTGGACCCGACCTGTGAACACCCACACAGTCAGACCAGAACCAGAACTAGATGAGACCATTTGAGTGGGTCTTACTTAAGTCCAGGTGCTGAATGTCCACCTGCAGACGCTCAAACTGGACTCCAGGGTCCTGATGTTTCCCGTCCACCTGGATCAGATCAGACCAGATTCACTGAGACAAACTTTAACTCTGCAGCTGTTTCTGTCTGAAGCTCAGGTCTGTCGCCCTCTACTGGTCTGGACTGTAATCGTCCTGATGAGGACTTGGGAGGAGTAGGGGAGTCTGCAGAACTGGAGAGCCCAGCAGATCCACAACCCTCTTTCTAACAGCTGTTCCTTTACTTTAATAAACAAGTTAATAAATCAGTCCCCACAGTCACATATTTAGATATTAATCTAGATTTTATTAATTTTACAATTTTTTACTTATCGTCTTTTTATGTATTGTCTGCCAACCTTTAATATTTTGGGTTTATTCGACCAAAATAACATCATATTATCCCAGTATCATATGGATTGTCCTCACTTTTATCCTCTTCATTCCTCTTCGATGATTTTGACCTCCTGAATGTGACAGTCTGTGTCTGCAGAGCCGATGAATCGGAGATTTTCCGTGTTTTTCTCGTATATTTTCACGTTCAATCTCATGCACATTATTAGTCTCCACACTTTTGTTTCATTCACTACAACACTAGTAACCTACGGGTCAAATCGTACATTTCCGACTTAAGACAAGCTAATGTTAGCATTAGCTTCATCGAGATTCGATGTGCATTTCAGACTGTCATGGAAAATGGAAAAATGTCATAAACGAAGCCGATTGTTGACATATTTCAAATTCAAGACAAAAGTTTTATTAACGACTAAAAATGATGTGATTCACGTTTGATACTCGATCGTGACGTCGCTTCATTTGGGTCGATAACTGTCATGAAAGAAGCAGCAAGAAGGGGGCGGTCACGGGTTTCAGGTTGTGGATCTGTCATGCAGTGACCTACTCCATCCAGCAGGGGGAGCAAAGAGGGTTGTAGATCTGTCACAGTTGTGGATCTGTTGGGCTCTCCGGGTCTGCAGACATGTCCTGTTGCTGGGAAACCTGATTGAGAATTTAAGACTTCAAGAGGAAAATGGTCGTCTGTTTTGACGTTTGCCTTGCCTTGAATCGAGTGCTGCTGCGCTCCACCAGCAGGATCTGCAGGTCATCTGCGGTCTTCAGGTGGTCGGGGGTCTTCAGGGCTTCATGGATCCAGTGAGAAAGTTTCCCTCGACCCGCTCCGAACTCTATGAAGCACCGTCTTCTACCCAGCAGCCCCTGCTTCTCCATGTGACCTAGGATAGAGGACTGATCACCTGAGAGGTGAGACGGGAGCAGAACCGAGGGCTCCGCCTCCACAGTGGGCGTGGCTTAGAGAAGAACGCAATATTTTGTTTTTGTAGAATGGTAGGGGGAAGGTCCCGCCTCCTTCGCCTCTGATTGGCTGCTGCTTACCTGCTGCTTCAGGTGTTTGTGGGCGGAGTCTCCGTTCTTTGGGTTCTTCAGTTCCTCCTGGACGACGGGATGAGACAAAACGCTTTCCTCCACGTCAAACTGCAGACCTGAAACATCCTCATCTTCATCACCTTCATCGGTAAACCAGCATGTTTTTATCAGAGATCAGAGGCTCTCAGGTGTGTCGGCTGATTTTAACCTTAAAGTTACAGGTGACAAAAGGGTAAGTCTGACCTTTGACCCCCGCCTTCAGTTTGTCCACGAGAGACTCCAGCTGAGAGCGGCCGAGCTCGCAGAGGCTCACCTAAAAACACACAAAAACACACACACTGAGGCACGCGTTCATTAATAAGGTTGGATTAGTGAGTGTTTGGGTCAACAAGTGTGTGTGTGAGTGTGTGTGCGTGTGTGTGTGTGTGTGTTACCTGTGGGAGCATCTCGTCTCCATCAGCTGATCCCGCGTTTATGTTCTCCACATAATACACCTGCAGATCATTTTAGAGCACATCATAACAGATCAGTTTATGATAAGTGTCAGTGAACGCAGCACAGAGGATAACCGGAACGGTCAGTGAACGCAGCACAGAGGATAACAGTAACGGTCAGTGAACGCAGCACAGAGGATCACAGTAACGGTCAGTGAACGCAGCACAGAGGATAACAGGAACGGTCAGTGAACGCAGCACAGAGGATAACAGTACAGTCAGTGAACGCAGCACAGAGGATAACAGGAACGGTCAGTGAACGCGGCACAGAGGATAGCAGTAACGGTCAGTGAACGCAGCACAGAGGATAACAGTAACGGTCAGTGAATGCAGCACAGAGGATAACAGTAACGGTCAGTGAACGCAGCACAGAGGATAACAGTACCGGTCAGTGAACGCAGCACAGAGGATAACAGTAACGGTCAGTGAACGCAGCACAGAGGATAACAGGAACGGTCAGTGAACGCAGCACAGAGGATAACAGAAACGGTCAGTGAACGCAGCACAGAGGATAACAGGAACGGTCAGTGAACGCAGCACAGAGGATAACAGTAACGGTCAGTGAACGCAGCACAGAGGATAACAGTAACGGTCAGTGAACGCAGCACAGAGGATAACAGTAAACGCAGCACAGAGGATAACAGTAACGGTCAGTGAACGCAGCACAGAGGATAACAGTAACGGTCAGTGAACGCAGCACAGAGGACAAGAGTAACGGTCAGTGAACGCAGCACAGAGGATAACAGTAACGGTCAGTGAACGCAGCACAGAGGATAACAGTAACGGTCAGTGAACGCAGCACAGAGGATAACAGTAAACGCAGCACAGAGGATAACAGTAACGGTCAGTGAACGCAGCACAGAGGATAACAGTAACGGTCAGTGAACGCAGCACAGAGGATAACAGTAACGGTCAGTGAACGCAGCACAGAGGATAACAGTAACGGTCAGTGAACGCAGCACAGAGGACAAGAGTAACGGTCAGTGAACGCAGCACAGAGGATAACAGTAACGGTCAGTGAACGCAGCACAGAGGATAACAGTAACGGTCAGTGAACGCAGCACAGAGGATAACAGTAACGGTCAGTGAACGCAGCACAGAGGATAACAGTAACGGTCAGTGAACGCGGCACAGAGGATAACAGTAACGGTCAGTGAACGCGGCACAGAGGATAACAGGAACGGTCAGTGAACGCGGCACAGAGGATAACAGGAACGGTCAGTGAACGCAGCACAGAGTGGTCTCTTACTGGTTTGGGTTTCTCTCTGGAGTTGCATTTCTTCAGGTGTTTTTCCAGTTTGTCTTCATCCACAGTGCTGCACACACACACACACACACACACACACACACACACACACACACGTGTTTGTACAGAAACCATTAGACTGATAAAGTGATTGATTGCTGATTATTGCTGACTCACTGTTTGGGATCCAGAGGACACACAATCCTCCTGCTGACGCCTTTCTCCTAAAACAGGAAACAGGAAACAGTGAAAAGGCGGGTCATGACATCACAGCCCACCTGACATCAGCAGGTACACAAGCAGTGGTAAGTACTAAAAAGATTACAGTAGTAGTAGTTTGGGTTAAAACACAGTCACTAGGGGGGCTTAACTGAAGTTGCGCCAACGCCCTCCTTTGCCTCTGATTGGCTAGAAGTGCTGGGCTCTGATTGGTTATTCCTTATGGCTGTGAATCGTCATTGTCTGTCGGGTTAGGGTTATGCTGCCTTTAAGTTACTTTGGAAGTCAGAAGTCTGAGCTGAAAATGACGTCACACCTGAATTCCCAGCGTTTCAATTACCAAGTCGGAAACAAGCAAAATCGGAGGCAGAAACAAGATGGCTACATCTACGAAAGTTATTTTAGCGCTTGCTTTATATACAAGTTGGAAAAACCACCTTGGTTTTCCAACTTGTTAACTGGAACACCGTCAACTTGGGTCTAATGTCACTCCCTGCTCCGACATCTGACTTCCGAGGTGACTCGAACACAGCATCAGGTGTCTGAACCGAAAATGACGTCACAACCATTATAACCATATTCGGACAAGACAAGCGCTAAAAAAACTTTCGTAGGTGTAGCCATCTTGTTTCTCCGATTTTGCTTTTTGTCCAACTTGGTAACTGAAACGCTGGAACTCGGGTGTGACGTTTTTCAGCTCCGACTTCGGACGCACCATTAGGGTTCAGAGATTTAGAATCGCGATAATGTTCTGTAATTTTCTGTTCGATGTACAGAACCGTTAGCCCGCGCTCGGCTTGAGCGTGTGATGACGTTTCACAGCCAATCGGAGGCGAAGGAGGCGGGGCCTTCCCCTACCATCCCACGAAAAAAAATATTGCCAGCAGCAGACCTCAGTGGACAAGTGTTTACCTGTCGTATTGCGTTATGTCTGCGTTAACGGTGTCCCTGAACGTACCAACTGCACTTGAACTCACCATGGTGGCGTGTTCTCCACAGTAGACCTTCCCTTTCCCCACGACCATTTTACAGAAACGTTTCTTTTTCTCCACGAAGAAGCCACATCTGCCAGGCAGGGGGGCCGCCATGTTGGAAAACACGCAGGCAGCTGACCTCACCGTGCTGCGTTCATGTACCCGGGGAAAAAAAATCAGTGGAGGTGAAGGTTGTTTTTGTTATTTTTTGTTCTGCTTAAGATAACATGGAGCTCTAAATCAGGTTACTTTTATTCTTAATTTTTCTGACTGCATTTCAAATATCTTCAATTCTATGCTATTTAAATTATACAGTTTTTGGCTTTTTGTTCAGAGTTTTGTTGTTGATGTTTTCACCCTCATTCAACTGTAAGATTTAGAATAATCTATCTATCTAAAATAAATGATAGTAAAATTAGAAAAGTAGAAACAATACTACACCCCTAATCATTTATTAATCATTTGCAATATCAGTATCATCATCATCACATCTAGACTTGTTTTTTTTGTTGTTGCCACTGATCTTTTCCTCTCTTTTATATTTTTCTTATACTGTCCTTCCCTTGCACTGCTCCTTCTTTGTTATACCGTAGTTCTTTATCTTATTTGTGTTTTGTACCCGGTATGAATGTGCATGTTGTGTACAACTTAATTTCCCCACTGAGGAATGAATAAAGGAAAGTCTTAAAAAAAAGGAATGAATGAATAAAGGGAATCCTTCTGTACTTAACTGAGTTGTTTTCATATTTCTATTTTTCTGAGTGTTTTTTTTTGTTCTTTATTCGGAGGATAGGGCAGAGTTTTGGCAGCAAATAGAAAGAGAAAGTGGGAAGTGCTGTAAATGACCACAGGTTGGAATCTAACCGCTTTCAGGACTGTGACCTTTGTACCAGGGGTGTGATTTAACAACTAAACCAAACTACCCGCATCCCAGACTGTCTCAAACATTTCAATCAAACTTTTTAAATCACGTCCTGAGCCTAATTTTTTCTCTCAAAGGTTCCTGTTGTCAAGTGTAGCCCTTAAATGCCTGAAACCACAAATTATGGCCACAAAATTCACATTTTTTGGAGCTGAAATTTTTATTTTACTAACTACTGAAACCCAAAAATCAAAATGTCCTTAAAATTAAACAAATATATTTATTTATCTAATTTGATACATTAGATTTTTTTTGGAAACTAATAAAGTATTTGACTGTATTAAGGTGTTTTTTATATTAATTTGTTGATCATATTGATTTGATAGTATATTAAATTCAGTATCAAATATGACACAATAAAGGTTTAAAACTCTAAAGTTTGTACAGCACTTGAATGCGCCTCTCTCCTGATTGGTTCTCCTATCCCGCCCTCGTTTCTCAGTTCCCCCCTGTGATTGGTCATCTCATATGTCAGTTAAGTTTTCCCGCCTCTGACGATGACTGGGCGGGCTCCGTGCTTGAGTCTGGGCGGACTGTGCCCAAACCATGATGGCGGCAGCAGCAGCAGCGGCGGAGCGGGGCGGCGGCGGTCCCGGTTCTTCTCCTCCCGGCTCCTCGCAGCCCGCGGTGGATTACTCGGTGCTGGTGGTGGTCGGAGTGCTGCAGCCCGCCGGTTTGCTGGAGCGGGTTCTGTGGCAGATAGACTCCGGTGAGTTTCCGTTAAGTTAACCGGCAGTGGAGGCACAGAAGGGAAGTGAGCGGAGCCTTTCAGAATAAAAGCCCCAAACTGACGTCATTGCTGCTGTTGTGCTGCTGTTAGTCGAAATGTTATCTTTATTGTTCATCACAGCGGGGTTTATGTATGTTTTAGAGTAAAATCAATGTCCGACGAGCGTTTTCACAATATACGTGGGTCAAACTTCGCTTCAAACTTTTCTGGGACACAAAGATGAACGTAGCACGCGCTAACCTAATAACGTGGACCGTACGGAGCTAACTTTGCTTCCTCTGTAGTTTCCCTCTGAGTTTAGAGTTCACTCAGACACACACAGAGCCGTTTCTGTGGAGATAAACTCGTGTTTAAGGTCGTTTCTCAGAGTTAAGTACTTGTTCGTGTTTGCAGTTTAATGTAACGGGTCACAGTTTTCATTGCGTCTGTCCGCCATGCAGGGGCGTGTACAAAGGGGCGACGTAGTGGGGTCCCCCTCTTAGGCACAGTTGGCCACCTCAAAACTCTTTACACAACAATATTTTTATTAGTTTTATACAGATTAATACAGTACAGCTCTTGAAACAGCACGATACAAAGGAAACACATCAGATAGATAGAAAGATATTTTATTGTGATTGTGAAAAGCACAACGAAATTAAAAAGTGCCTTTACAGCCAGTGCATTAAAAAAGGACAATAAAATATTAGATAGCAAAACAGTAAAACCAGTGCAGAGTTAAAACTAGTAAAATAATTTAAAAAAATAATTTAAACAATAAAAATTATGTTCAAAAGTTAAATTTTTGAATTGAATTGAATTTTAAAAATGTAATTATTATTTAAAAAATAATTAAAATAATAAAACACCCCCTTTCCCTAAAGAGCCTGTCTACTGATGGATATTCCTATTATTGTGCTTAAATAACCAAATCTGGAGCTAAAACAAATAAACAACAAAAAGTAAATGCTGGAATTTGGGTTTTGTAGATCTTGAATTATATAAGACGTTGAGAAATAAAAAGTAAGAAAATAAGTTAAATGAACTACTGTATGTTAAGAGAAATACAAATGTAGACAAGTCACTGAAAACTGAAGAAGTCCATAAAAGAGAAAAGAATTTAAATTATATGATTATAAAACATCACAGATATTTCAAAAAGAAAACAACTAGAAGAGGAGAGTTTCTGAATGTGGTCCAGAAAAGGTCCCCAAACCTTTTTGAATTTTTCGTCATCACCTGCGACCGAGTAACGAATCTTCTCAAGATCTAAACAAGAAGTAAGGTCTGTCAGCCCACCTCAAAACTTTCACCGTGAAATTTGCTTTTTGAGCATTTTAAAAACAGGCCACAGCAAGCTTTGTGTGAATGTGAATGTGTTATTAAGTTGCTGAGAATTTATTACATTTTTATATTAATATTTATTAAATAAGGAGAAGAAACTAGGAAGTCTAGCATTACAGTAAATCCCCCGAAAACTTTACAGCATCAAATGTTGACACTCTGTAGTGTCACATTTGAATGAATAGAGAAAATATTTAACATCTGAGCACAACATCTTCATACTCTTTATTTTCCATGGAGTTAAAACAACGTTCAAACAGTTTAAAATGAGGAATAAAGACACGAATTTGAAGAGGTTCAGGGATGAGGAAGGTGTTGGATCATACTAAGTGTGATGAGGTTTTTGTTTCTTTTGTTTTATTTTTTGTTGTTTTTATGTGTGTGCTGTATTAATGTAGGTTTTGTTTTTGTAAAACAAAGTCATGAACGTACTTTATTTATCTATATTTATCAGGTACATCTAAACAAGTTGAAGGAAGCTTGGTGTGGGCTCTTCTTATTTAAAGGGAAGGGGTGGGAGTTCATGAGTTATTCTTCTTCTCACTCCTTTTCGAACATATATTTCTATGTTTTATGTTTAAATGTTTTGCCTTAATATTTTTGGTTTATTCGAAATAAACTTCAATTAATCAATCAATCAAAATTCAGGGAAGTTAAAGAAATAAAATTAGTTGAGAAAAGAAGGGTAAACAGATATTGTTCATGTAACTGTGTGTCCACACACTTCACACCACCCCCGCATCGTCGGACACGAGTACAGAAACTGTGAAGGTTTCCCTGCTGCAGCTCAGCAGCTGCTTCATGTTTGAAGATAAATTTAGAGGTGATATCAGAGCAGACTGTCCGGACATCCTGTCAGACACACCGGGCACAGTTTCAGACTTTTATGTGAGAAGTTTTCGTAGGAACTTTGGCAGAAACTCACTCTGACCCTCAGTTTGGTTGGTTGTTTCAGCTGTGAGTGTGTTATTTTGGGTTAATCAGATTTTCACACCGTGGTTAACCCGCAGCGCTCGCTGCTGTTTAGCTGTTCGCACACAGACACTTCGCTGACGCCATATATAGATGTGAGGAAAACATTCGGTCATCTTAGCCCTGAGTACGATCACTTTTAAAGAATCATCTCTGTTTAACACTGAAAGAAGCTGCAACAGTTTTTCTCTGGGGTGCTTTTATTTTGAAAATCCCTCCCACTGGCTGTTGTGCATTTATGTAAACTTGACCTGTGTGTTTTTTTTTGTGTTTTGTTCAGTAAAAGTAGGTTAACAGAGTGAGTACAGCTTCATAATCCTGTTACCTCATCTGCATTTCACTTGATTAGAATGATCTAATTCAGCCGCCGTGATCCTCGGCGTGTTAATTATAACTGTTTATAATCACAGGATGAATGAGCAGCTTTATTGTGATAATCAGATTAGTGAGGTGTCGATTTCACCCTGCTGTGAGTTTGTGCAGAAACAGAGCGAGGTCGAAGTGATGGAGTAAATCTAACCCCTCTGTTTGGGTGGAATAAACTGCAGCTGCACTAAATTAATGATGTTCACGTTTGCTTTTTTATATCCAAGATGTCAGACGGGACAGGATCTGACTCCACGGTGACAGTTTTTATCTTTTTATCTCTGCTACATGTGATCGGAAACGTTCACAGTTATCAGCATTATCAGTTAATGTGTATAACTGTCACTTTAAATGTCAAATCTGTAAATTAAAGCCTTTTTTTTTTGCTCTCAGTTCTCTGATGATGAATCCCCTCTTTACATCACTGTTAAGAAGAATGATCTGTTCGATGAAATATGCAGCTGTATTTGTTTGTTTTCTGTCACGAGGCACGGAGCAGGAAAACACTGATATGAGGGTTTGCTGCCGGGGAGTCACGCCCACTTGCTCGGTGTTTGCAGAGGGTCTGTGATTACGTGTGCTCCGGCTGCTGATATTGTTTGAAATAATGGAAAGGGTTCACGGTTTTCAGCCTTTCAGTCCTAAAGTCAAAGATTAGCAGCATAACACTGTTGTGAAGGGAGATACGACACGTCTCAGTCTGTTCAGAGTCCTGATGACAGTGTGGAGCTGAGGTAGGGCGGCTCGGAAAGCATATTGATCATGTTTTATTTTGATATTGAGGGGAATTAATTTTATATCGTTATTTTTTTATCACCCGGCCCTAATGTCAGGACATTTAGCTTCGTTTAAATCGTATTAATTAGTGCACGTTAACGAAAACTCTTTAGTTCAGTTTTGGGGTTCCACAGGGCTCAGAGTTAGGACCAATCCTTTTCATCTTATGTATTCTTCTTCAAGATAACATTATCTGGAAACAGTTCATGAATGTTCACCACCATGCAGATGACACTCAGTCAGAACATTTCCATGACACTCGAGAAAACCGAATTATCGCCTTATTCCAATTAAGACTGGACAACTGAAGGTCATGTAAACACCTTAGTCCGACTATAATCAGAGTTTGAGAACTACGATTATAGTCAGAGAACTCCGAAATCTGAGGGACGAAGTTTAAAAGACATTTAAGGGTTAAAATGATCGGAAATAAAACTGATTTTTATGGTTTTCAGATGATTTCAAACCAACGTTGTCCAACAGGTTAGTCACATGACTCTGGAGTGGAAATCTACGCATGGAAAGTCCAGTTAGAAATCATTCAGTCTGTTTCCATGACGCTTGAGAAAACCGAATTATTGCCTTATTCCGATTAAAACTGGACAACTGAAGGTCATGTAAACACCTTAGAACTCTGATTAAGACACCCAGATAATGTGATTGGAATCCGATTTTCTCTACCATGTAACCAGCGTAGTCGGAGTATGATCGGATGATGTGTGTACGCGTGCTCCCTGGAACAAAACCCCCAGAGTAGAGGAGTAGCGTTGGTCTCATCTTTAGAAAAAGTAGCGCGTCCATCATGTCGGACAAAAACAACGCTGTACGATGCTCCATCTTCTTGTTTCTCCAAAATGCCCAGCAGCAGTTGTAGACACTTCTGACGTCTGACACCGACCTGCTGTTGTTGTTGACGGTTGGATGGGGTCGGAAACAGCGCCGCTGAAAAGACCCATATCGCCCCCTAGTGTTGGGGAGGAGGACACGTTCACGTCAATAATTCGATTTTCTCAGCTGCATGTAAACGAGGACGAGGAGAGAAGTCTGATTTGGCGAAACCAAGTCCGATTAAACTGTGAATGTAAACGTACTGACTAACAAAGACCAGGATGACCTGAAACTTTCTGCTCCTCTATCCTGACAAAACTGAAGTTCCTGTTCTCAGAGAGACACTTTCTAACGATATCACTGCAGTCGATGATCTCTTAGCCTCCCATGAGCTCAAATATTGACCACACTGATTATTTCATAAAGTCAGTGATCGGCCTGACTGACCAATCGGTCTGTTTCTGGTCTGTATCCTCACACAGACACTCCTACACACAGACTAAATGACCTCATTAATCTTCACATTTACAGCCGATCATGTTTTCATCCATGAGTGATGCTGCAGAATCGGTCTGTGTGTTTAATGTTTCAGAGACAGTCAGAGGACTGAGCTCTGAACCAGCTGTTCACAATGATCCTACTGTGACTGCACACACACACACGCACACACACACACACACACAGTCTGCCCTGAGCACCTTGTGTAAGAGCTGTTGAAACAGGCGGACCTGTGGCAGCAGCAGCAGACTGTATCTCAGTGTTTTTACAGCCTGTTATCAGCCTGTTTCTGCCCACTCCCTGTGTGTGTGTGTTCAGTGTGTGTGTTCAGTGTGTGTGTGTTCAGGTTGGTTTTCTGCCTGCTGATACAAAGAGGAAGTGGCGTTTCTAAATATCTTGAGCTTCCTGTTTGCTGAGGAGGAAACAGGTCATGTGACAGAGATAGGAGGAAACATGGGGGGAGGTCTCACTCTGATCTCTGACCTCTCGTTGGACCTTCTGGGTGTCTCCATCTGGAGAGTTTGGACTAGTTTGGGTTAGATCATGTTGTGTTAAAGAGTGAGACCGTAAACTTTTACTGAGGGAATAAATCAAGAGAGAAGGGGAACCGTATCCTCAGACTGAAAACAGAAGTGTAAAATGATTGGTCGTCTGTGTGTGGTAAACGCCATCTGCTCTCTATCCCATCATAAAGATATCTGTGTTTGTGTGTTTGTGTGTGTTCAGGTGTGCGGTGCTGGCCCGTCGACCTGCAGGTTTCTGTCCTGGACCAGCAGCTGAAGCTTTTCGTGTCCAGACACTCGGCCTTCCTGTCAGAGGATGTCCCAGGTGAGCACAGACCCCACCCCAGGTGACGTCCACCCCACACACACAGACCTGATCAGAGAGTCTGATTGGAGTTCAAACATGATCACATGACTCTGAGATCGATCGTGTCATCGTATGTGAGTTAATGTTAATGTGTTTGTTTACAGGAAGTGGTTAGTGTGAGTGAGACTCATGAACACAGTCAGCTGAGACTCTGCTGAACAGCCTGCAGACACACACACACACACACACACACAGAGTAAAGTTCAGTGTGAGAGCTGAAGGCCTCTCTTTAACTAAATAATCAGGCTGAACCCGTCAGATCGTCTCTGTGGTTGGGTTACCTGTGCAGGTACGCTGTGTCCTCGATGTCGGGAATGAAATGTGGAGCAGAATTCAGGTCAATATTTACCTGCGAGGTGTTCAAACGGCAGAAAGACAGAACCGGCAAATGTCAGCCTCGTCTTCAGTCGCAGTAAACAGCTGATGTCTCTGTGTCGCCCCCTGCAGGTCAGAGGACTCTGCAGCACCGCGGGGACGTGTTGGACGCTCAGGTGGTCGTGAATCCGGCTCACGACTTCGTCTGCTCTGAGGTGAGACAGACAGACAGACAGACAGACAGACAGACTGTGTGTGTGTGTGTGTGTGTGTGTGTGTGTGTGTGTGTGTGTGTGTGTGCGTGCGTGTGTCCTGATCAGCCCTCTGCAAACAGTCTGAACACTGTGATTTTATTCGTCCTCTTCAGTCCATGAACTGCATATGAGAAGTGGGCGTGGTCAGTGATACCTTTTATAAACAGTGAGACGCCCCCTGCTGGACATTCGATTTCTCAAACTCAGTTCAGTGATGATGTGTTTCCTGTGATGATGTGTTTCCTGCGTGTTGCGTTCAGGTGCGACGGCTGCTCTGTGATTCGTCGCGTCATAAGCTGCTGGTCCTGGCGGGTCAGTGCGTGGAGGAGAGCGGCGACATCGTGTTACAGAGAGGAAGATTCTCGCTGACGGACCTCGTCCACATCCTGTCTGATCCAGAGGTCAGCAGACACACACAAAAAAAAAACAGTCAGAAACAGGCAGTAAACATCAGACACAGTCAGCAACAGTGACTGTCACAAATAGTCAGTAAAAGTAAGAAACAGTCAGTATAAGTCAGAAACAGTCAGTAAAAATCAGAAACAGGCGGGTAATGTCAGAAACAGTCAGAAACAGTGAATGTCAGAAACAGTCAGTAAAATGCTGAAACGGTTAATGTCAGAAACAGTCAGTAAAAATGAAAAAGAGTCAGTAAGATTCAGAAACAGTCAGTAAAAGTCAGAAACAGGTGGGTAATGTCAAAAACAGTCAGAAAGAGTGAATGTCAGAAACAGGCAGTAAAAATGAAAAAGAGTCAGTAAGATTCAGAAACAGTCAGTTCATGTCAGAAACAGTCAGTTAAAGTCAGAAACAGTCAGAAACACTAAATATCAGAAACAGTCAGTAAATGTCAGAAACAGTAAAAGTCAGAATCAGGCTGTAAAAGTTAAAGACAGTAAGAGTCAGGAACAGTTAGTTTAAATCAGAAACAGTCAGTTAGTAAATATCAGAAACAGGCAGTGAAAGTCAGAAACAGGCATTAAAAGTCAGAAACAGGCAGTAAATGTCAGAAACAAGCTGAAAAGTCAGAAACAGGCAGTAAAAGTCAGAAACAGTCAGAAACAGTAAAAATTAGAAACTGTTGGCAAAGGTCTTAAACCTTTAGTAAATGTCAGAAACAGTCAGTAAATGTCAAAAACAGTCGATAAACATCAGAAACCTTCAGTAAACATCAGAAATAGTCAGATAGTGTCAGAAACAGTCAGTAAAAGTCTAAAATCTTCAGTAAACATCAGAAAAAGTTAGTAAAAGTCATAAACAGGCAGTAAAAGTCAGAAACAGGCAGTAAATGTCAGGAAACAGTCAGTAAAAGTCTAAAATTTTCAGTTAACATCAGAAAAACAGAAAATGTCAGAAACTGTTGGCAAATGTCTGAAACAGTCAGTAAATGTCAGAAACAGTTGGCAATGGTCTTAAACCTTCAGTTAATGTTAGAAACAGTCAGTAAATGTCAGAAACAGTCATCCCACTTGAAGACTTTAGTGAAGAGAGTTCCTCTTCCAACCACTTCGATGTTATTTTCACAGAAAAATCCAGAATCTGTAATTCCAGCTAAAAAATGTGACCCTGTTATTTATTCTGAGAAATCTGTGAAAACAGAAAACAGCCTGAGGGTATGAACTGTGACATGTTTCTGCGAGGCTGTTTTTCTGTAAATCTTCTCTAACCGTGGTCCGTCTCTGTAGTTCAGTGTTTATTGTGTTTGTCCTGCTCTGACCACAGCGAGTCTTTGTCCGTCTGTTTGTCTCTGAGCTCAGGGTCTGCCGTTATCTTCACTGTAGGAGGAAGTTCTTGTTGTTGTGTGTTCTCGATATTTCCTGACTTACTTACAGCCTGATCGTTGTTGGTGGAGGTGTTCAGGCCCTCCAGCAGGTATGTCTCTGATACAGATGGAGCACCAGCAGGACAGGTTTTCCACACAGACTGGATAAAGTCATGAAACTGGTTCAGAAGTTCAGTGTCAGTCAGCTGTTCTGACAAGAGAACCCCCCCTGATTTCTCATGCAGTTCCTCTCTGTTGCAGGTGGGGGAGCAGTTGCGCTCTGCAGACCCGGCAGTGAAGGCCAGCCTCACCCTCAGCTGTCCACAGTATGGCGTTTGGAAGGACTGTGTGTTGGAGAAAGAAAACCTGCAGGACTTCATCGACATCCAGATCAACCCTCCTCCTCTTCACCCAGAGATGGAGGGTCTCCACGAGTTCACCGAGTACCTCTCCGAGTCTCTGGAGCTCGAGTCGCCATTTGATCTCCTGGAGCCCCCGAGCACCGTAGGCTTCCTGAAGCTGTCCCGGCCCTGCTGCTATATCTTCCCGGGGGGGCGGGGCGACTCCGCCTTCTTCGCTGTAAACGGTTTTAACATCCTGGTGAATGGCGGCTCTGATCCGCGCTCCTGCTTCTGGAAACTGGTGCGACACCTGGACAGGATCGACTCCGTGCTCCTGACTCACATCGGCGTGGACAACCTGCCGGGGGTGAACAGTCTGCTGATGAGGAAGGTGGCGGAGCAGCAGGAGGAGGAGCCTGCTGAGGAGGACTGGATGAAGAACCTGATCTCCCCTGAGGTCGGGGTGGTCTTCTTGAACGCTCCCGACAGGTTGAAGTCCATTCAGGGAGATTCTGGCGAGATGCGGAGCTGTGACCAGGCGGCGCTCACTCTGCAGCACTTACAAAGACTGGAAATCAAACCCGAACCTCTGAGCCGGTCTAACGGACCTACCATAGACCCGGTGATCCTGTTCCAGAAGATGGGAGTGGGCCGCCTGGAGCTGTACACGCTGAATCCGGTCAGTGGAAGCAAAAACCTGGAGGCTCTGATGCAGACTTGGCCAAATAACGGGTCTCACGTGAAGGGTTCCGACCTCCCGCTGCCGTGCCTTGTTTCCATTTGTGCTTTGCTGGTCTGGCACCCATCCAGTCCTCAGGACAAGATCATTAGAGTCCTTTTCCCAGGGTGCACCCCACAGACCAAAATCCTGGAGGGACTAGAGAAACTCAAACATCTGGATTTTCTCAAACACCCATCCGTGTCTTTGAAGGACTTAGAGACGCCCAAAACGGAGAGACAACCAAAAAGAGCAGAAAGTCGAGAAAGCCTTAAGTCGCAGTCCAAGGAGGTCCGGATCATCAGTGCCTTACCGAAAGACAAACCGGGACGAGTGGACGTCAAAAAACAGGAGGTGAAGATGAAGCCAAAGGCAGCAGAGGAGAAGCCCAAACCGAAGGAGACAGACGCCAAATCAAAGCTGCAGAAACCTGCGGAAAAGCTCGTCCCAAAGAAAGACGTGTCAAAAGACGAGAAGAAGGAGGTGAAGAAGGAGGAAAAGAAGATTCCTGTGACTGCAGGGAAGAAAGAAGAGAGCGCAGAGAAGAAGAAAGAGGCGGTTAAGAAGGAAAGTTTGAGTTTGAAACCAAAGAAGGACGTCAAACCTGAACCAAAAAAAGACAGCAAGAAGGATGTCAAAACGGAGGACAAGAGGACGACAAAACCAGCCGTCAAAGACGTGAAGAAAGCGACGGGCGGAGCGTCGACGGCGAGTACAGACGTGAAAAAAGCTCCGGGTAAGAGCGGGACTCTGAAGAAGGAGGGGACTCTGCAGAGAAAAGGGACCAAAGGTAAACCAGGTTCTGCAGAGCAGGGGAACCAGAAGGACGGCTCAAAGGTGTCCACTCCAGAGGACATGACGGCGGAGTTCGAGAGACTTCGACTCGAGGACCACAACGGGAACAACGGCCAAAACTCAGAGGTCACAGCAGTCCTGAACTCTGACGGAGGAAAAGCCAACGGGAACCAACCCGCCAACGTGGAGAGTCCAGAGAAGTTCCGCAGCCAGGAGACGGACCAGGACCAGGCCAAGGACCGCCTCAGCGCCGACTTTGACCTGTCCAAGCCAGTCCAGGACTCTCTGAAGAACGGACAGGACGACGTCTGCGTGAGCCCAGAGGAAAAAACCCTGGAGCTGGTCTCCCCTGAGGAAGACACTCAGGGATCAGGGGACCACAACCAGGGAGGTTCTTGTAGGACATCAGACTTTGGTTCCCTGAGAGACGGTCTGGAAAACTCCATGTCCCCTCAGGACAAACAGTCCGGCCTCCTGATGCTCAGTCCCGTCAGAAACTCCTCCTCCACCCTGACCTCCATGCCGGCGGAGATCGGCTCCCCTCACTCCACAGAGGTGGACGAGTCCTTGTCGGTCTCTTTGGAGCAGGTGGCGTCCCCCAAAGGACTCCTGGGGGACAGGGTCTACTCGAACGGACACGCAAGTGACTCGGACTCGAACACGGGGATGATCTTACCTCTGAGGTCAAACCATAACGGGCGCTGTGGAGACGGATCAGAGGAGCACATCCACACGCTGTCGGAGCTGATCTCAGATGTCCCTCACGATGTGGACCTCTGTCTGGTGTCCCCCTGTGAGTTCCAGCACCCGAAGACCTCAGAGAACCACCAACAGGGTGTCGGTCCACATCCCACCTCCGGTACTTCTCCAGACCTCTCTGACAACATCAACCAATCACAAGACCTGAGCAGCAGCAACTGTCCCTCAGCCTACAGCCAGGAGACTCCGCCCACATCTGTCAGCGAGTCCCTCACCACGGCCACAGACTCTGACGTCCCCCCCGGGACAGAGGACTGTCCCTCCATCACAGCAGACATGGACTCTGATGATGATTCCAGCGGACTGAACCTGCCTGATCATCCCAGTCCACGTCCGTTATCTTACAGGGCGGGACAGCTGTCCTCACACGACCCGCCCCCGGCCCCCGTCAAAGACCTGCCCCCCTTACCCCCCCAGCGTGGAGCCTGCATGGCTGACTCTGAGGCTGATGGATCCACCAAGAACCTGAAGAGTTTGGCCGCAAAGACCAAGAAACCGACCGGGACGCTCCAGAAACCAACATCTACGGCGGCGCCGAGCAAGATCAAGACCAGCTCCACCGGGTCCCTGAGGACCGCCTCCAGCTTTGACGCCAAACCCTCAGCCAGAAACTCACTGGGAGGGTCCAAGATTGGAGCCCCTAGACCTTCATCCACAGGTAGGTGGGCTCAGAGAAGAGGGTCTAAGATGACGGCAGGACTGAGGGTTAAAAATGGCGGTTAGTGGTCCTTGATTGGCTCTCGTGTTTGACCAATCAGGACAAGTCTTTTTACCACGTTCAGATTTATCTGTTTGGAGAGTTTTATCGAAGTTCTCTGCTCTCCTCACAGGAACCAAAGCTGCAGGTTCTACAGGTTCTGCAGGTTCTGTCTACGTGGACCTGGCCTACCTGCCGTCCGGGTGTGCGTCCTCCTCGGTGGACCAGGACTTCTTCAGACGTCTCCGCTCGTCTCATTACATCATCAGCGGAGATGATCATATGAAGGCCAAGACCATGAGGACCCTCCTGGATGCTCTGCTGGAGGGGAAGTCCAGTTGGCCCGAGGTCCAGGTCTGTGGAACTCTCCGCCATGTTTGCTCGACTTGTTTTCCCATGATCTGCGCTCTGATTGGTCCTTTTCTTCGTCTTCCACCAGGTGACGCTGATCCCGACGTTCGATTCGGTGGTGATGCACGAGTGGTACCAGGAGACGCACGACCGGCAGAGGGAGCTGTCAATCACCGTGTTGGGTAGCAACAGCACCGTCGCCATGCAGGAGGAGACCTTCCCAGCCTGTAAGGTGGAGTTTTAAGCTCGAAGCCCCGCCCACCTCAAAGACGGACCCGAAGACCAAGAGAGGGAGAGTAGACTTTCATTGTTGCCATGGTTACATTGAATAGAGACCAATGACGGGACGTATGAAAGCCCCGCCCCCTTCTGGAGAGTGATTTTAGTGAGCATGCTCAGTCGCTGCACAGCCCTCACTGTTCACCCACAGGTAGACGAACAGGAAGTCCAATTTAAGACGACCGGTTCTATCCTGTATTTCCTGTTTCTGTGTGACATCACTGCACGGTAAGGGTATTTATTTTGTAGGATGGTACCTGAAGGTCCCGCCTCCTTCGCCTCTGATTGGCTAGAAAAGCTGGGCTCCGATTGGTTGTGAAACGGGTTAGGAGAGTTAATGTTCTGTTGGATGCTTTTCCAGCCAATCAGAGGCGAAGATGGGCTGGACCTTCCCCACCATCCTACGAAAAAAAAACATCCTGCGCACGGTAACCACCTGTCACGATGTGTCACTTCCTGTCTGCTGGATCAGGACCTTTTAGCTCACCTGTGGACCAATGTTAGCGTGATGTTCACGGACTCCGAGTCCCTCTGAGGTCGTAAAAAATGACATTTGGAGTTTTTGATTTCAGATTAATCTAGAAACCGCCGTCAGTCCAGTTAGAAAACCGCCATGTTTAACTGTCTGAGATCTTCCTCATGTGATCATCTCACGTTTGAAGATCTCATAATTTCACAGTTTGTTAATATAAGATAAAAACGAAAACAACAGGATCTTTATTCGATGAGGATATCCGTGAATCCTCGTCAGGCTGCCTTAGAGTGACCTCTGTATCAGGTCATTTTTCATCTTTAGATGTTTTTATATCTGAATTTTTAGTTTTCATCGTGTTTTAGTTACGAGTGTTTTAACAGGACGTGAGCGGTGTCCTTGTTTCTGATCCGGCAGACACCGACGTGAAGTTTGAGGAGATAATCCGGGACCACACCTTCTTCTTCTACTGTTTTATCAAATGCTGTTTGATCTCAGATCAGATTTTGTGAAGGAAAATCACTTTAAAAATTTTACACGAGGACTTTTTTTCCTTTGAGAATTTTTTTAGTTTTTATGTTTTTCGATCTAAATCCTACATTTCCCAGGAGCCTCAGCTTCTGGATGTTATTTTAAAGGAGACCTGTTGTACTCGTCTGACACCAGTAGAGAAGATCTGCATGATTTGCTGCTTTAAAAGACTTTATATTTATCTCTGTAAAAGCCGTTTTTCCACTTTAGCTGCTTTTCCACGGGTAGGAAGTGAGACACGGTCAGTGGGTGTTACTTTTTACACAGCTTTGTAGTCCTGAAACAGCGCATTAGTAATCTGAATGTGTAAAGCTACAGATAATGAGTTGGTATTAGATAATTTTGTATACTGTAATGCGGTTATTATTCAGACATTTCTGAAGGACGTCAGTTTCTCTATGATGTGGTTATCTGACGCAGCGCGCTTCTACAGCCTGGCAGTTTTACCCCCAACTGTTAGAAAGTTCAACGAAACTTCTGGGTGTTACTAATTACACAGCTTTAAAGTCGTACAACAGTCTTAAAGTTCTGTCTTTATAGTAAATGTCCGAGATCTGCTGTTTGTGCCCACCTTAGACTGTACGAAACAGACATAGTCATTGCGACTTCACCTGAAGTGAAGTACTTTTGCAGCCAGCCTCTAGTGGACACAATAGGAACTGCAGCTGTTAGTTGCGAGAAAAAATATCTGTTGATGTCCTGAAAACGATCCAAACTTCCCGCAGTTTTCTGTAGGGAAAATATCTGAGACTTTCCAAAAGAGGACTGAGAGAGACTTAGCTAAAGGTTTAGTAAGTATATCCAACATTTTAACGTCGTATATGTGTGTATATATATATATAACACAGATTAGCAGAACAGGTCTCCTTTAAATTAACCTGAAGTTAGTTAAATGTGTGAATCTGTTCAATAAATCCTAGAAACCTCAGCCTGTGCTGCAGCTCCCTGATTGGACGGTTCATACAGCAGGGCTTTCTGGGAGTTGTAGTTCTTTAAAACGGTTTCAGTCAGTTTCCTAAATCTGAGGAGCGACGATGAAAACGGTTCTGAAAATGTTCTGAACGTTTTGTTTTGTTTTTTATATGATGATGAATTTTAGTTTTTGAATCTGAAACGACTGAAACACAGAAACTCGATCTGCCTAAAAACAAACATTTCAATCTTTAACTTATTTATTTATTTGAATTTTTCTTCGTCCTTTTCTGAAATTCACGTCTGTGTTTTGATCTCTGAAGTGAACTTCGGTACGAGCTCCTCCCTCCATCATCAGAAATGAACTTTAACTTTTTCAAACACAGTATTTCAGGAGTTTTTCGACCCTTAAGAGCCTTTAAACACCTTAAGAATTTCAGAGTAAAGGTCTCTATTAAACCTTTGGTAAAAGATTTAATGACAGAGATGAACTTTAGCCGTCATTTCTCTAAAATCAAATTAAACTCAAACATTTAAATTCTAAATTTTATCTCTATAACTTTATTATCAGTCTGTCGGATTATTTTCTGATCCTTAAATGTTCAAAACGTTCAATCAGACGTTCAGAGTTATTTTATTAGAGACATGATTTATTTTCGTAATGTTTTACACCCGGACACACACACACAAACACACACACACACACACTGAAGTGATTTGTGTATTTAAACACTAATTGTAATGATTCTTTCAAAATAAAAGCTGCCCATCAACAGACTGCCTACAGTGTTTTATTGTGAAAAGATAAGAGGGAGCTCAGACTGAGTTTGGATCAGAAATATTTACAACTTCAATTCTATCAAAGTCAAACTGCTGAACATTCGCTTATTTTAAACTTAATGCTGGAGAAAAAGTCTGAAGGGGGAGATTAAACCTTAAAATTAAAAGAGTTAAAGGTTTATGTTTTAGAAAAAATCTCTCCAGGTCTTCATCAGTCAAAGTTTTTAATTTATCTCTCAATAAAAAGATTTGAACTCTGGATAGCTGGGGATGTTTTCACAGTCAGACTCTGCTGCCACCTACTGGACCCCAATGGACTAGCAGCAAAAAACACTTGAATGATAGATGGTACTTACAACAGTATCACCCACTTACAAAGAGTAAAAGTCTGACTTGTGTGAAAACTAAAACAAGAAAAACATCTTTATACACTGTAATTGATGGTGATTGAAAAATCTCATCACATAACCGTTTAAATCTTCACCATATCATCACCTAACACCTTCACAAGCATCTTCATCATCAGCATTATCATCGTCTTTAACATCATTATTGTATCAAAAAGTGTCATAATTATCATCATCATTATTAACACCATCATTTACATCATTATCCTCATCAACATCTCTGTCATCATTACCTTAATTTTATTACTTGAATCATCTCAATCATAATTACCACATTGTCTTTTAAAACTTTTCCTATCCTCATCATCCTTAATACTTTATTATAATTACATCATTATCATCTTAATCTCTTTCATTTTTAATCATTTTAATCATGATCGTCATTATCTACATCATCAACAACTTCATTATCAACGTCATCGTCACCATCATTGTCATCATTATCTTCGTCATTATTACAAACATCATCTTAATTATGATGATCATAATCATTGTCATCGTCACATTTATGTCTTCTGCATCAAAGTCTTAATTTTCACCATCATCTTCATCACCATCAACTTCACCGTTTTGGTCATCATCAACATCATTGTCACCATCTTCTTCATCATTATTATCATCATCATCACTGTCATCAGTATCTTTGTCATTCTTATTGACATCATCTTAATTATTATTATCATAATCATTGTCATCATTATCTTCATCATCATGATGATCTTCATCACTGTCATCATCATCATCAACATATTTTTTTTCTGCATTATCATCTTTATTTTCTTATCATTATTATCTATGATCTTCATCACTCTCATCATCATCATCATCATCATCATCATCATCATCTTCATCATCATCATCATCTTCATCATCATTACCATCATCTTCTTCACCTGCTCTCACATTTATCATCGTCATCCTCCCATGTCTCCTTCTTTTCTTCCTTTCCTCATTTTCCCTAATATCTTCTCTCTCTGTAACCTTGTTTCCTCATCACCTTTCCTTCACTGCTGTCCCCTCCCTCCTCATCCTCATCTCCTCTCCTGCCTCCTTACTTTTCTCCCTCGCTCACTTTTTTTCTTGTCCTTTGTGTCCTTCCTATCCTTTCCTTTTCTTTCTTATGTTTCCTCGTCTCCTTCCTCTGCCCCTCTCCCTCACCCTCATCATCTTTCACCCTCCTCTCTCTCTCTCTCTCTCTCTCTCTCTCCCCCCTCTCTACTGTCTCTCCCCCCTCCTCCGCCCCCAGCACAGTGGGCGGGTCTCCTTTCTCTCTCGGATGTGGATCAGATGATTGGGGCTGCAGCGGACTGATCTGCAGTCAGACATGGAGTGAGTACACTTTGATTTCTTTTCTCTCCATCATTAACCTTCCTCTCCTTCTTCCCTTCCCTCCTTTCCTCTTCTTTCTTGCCTCTTTTCTTCTTCGTGTGTTTTTTCTCTGTAAGTTTATCACGGAGGGTGTGACTTTAGTGTGAGCGCGCGGAGCCTCGTGTGTCGTCATGGTGCGGCATCAGTCCGTCAGAGCGCTGAGTCAGGACCATCACCGGGAAACACGCGGGACACTGCGCCACGCACTGCGCCAAACAAAGCGCAAAGAAACGGCGTGAAGAGAGCGAGAAGGAGGTGAAAGAGGAGATGAGGAGGTGACAGGGGGAGTCTGGGGGGTGTCCGCTGCGGCACGTGAAGGGTTAAAGTCATTAAACAAGGCGGAGGGACACGCTGTCTCTGAGATCTACTTTTCTGTGCGGATGGAGCGATCTGATCCGATCACTTATTGATTAGCAGAGAGGCCGATTTTATTCTTGATTTTCAGGGTTAAAACGGGGGGGGGGGGGGGGGTGTTCTTTATCAATCACATGTAAAGATAAACACCTGAGGCACAACTTCCGGTCACACCCTTCAACTTAAAAGTTTCAATCAGGTCCTGAAAACATCAGAGTGAGCATCATTGTTCAAACAGCAAAGTCATTACAAACCTGACAATAATCCAACAATTACTGCTGTAGGGGTTTCTTTTTTAATGTGTTTTTATCTGGGGTTCAAATGTGGACCTCCCTACAGAATAATTTAAAGAACAAACAAATATTAAATATTTCAGTTTAAAACAGTAAAACAACAAAATATGAAGCGGACGCTGACTTTGCTTTTGTTTGTTTTCTTAAATGTGGTGGTAATATTGTTTACAGTGGACGGACCGTCTCATGTTGTTGTTTATTTCTGTTTTGAGTGAGGGACAGAAAAAAAAGGTTTGTCTTCCAGTCATGGCCACGAGCGAAACGAACGAAAATCTCATGATTAATCGATTTGGTTGCTCAAAAGAAACTTTTCTATTTCAAAACCTCTGTCATAAACTTCTTTTTTTTAATTATACAGTATAAATAAATTGTTTTTTTCAGTTAAAATAACATTAAACTTAAGAGCCCCACTTCTGCGATAAGAAAAGGTGGAGTTAGCTTTCTGTGTGAGTATCGTCAGGGGTGTGGCCTCAGGGGTGTGGCCTCTGATAGGTCAAGGACAGTTTAGTATATCAGAAAAAGTTCAGCTTTCACTCCAACAGAAACTTTTCATCTTTTCCAAAATATTTTTAGGACTCTAATTTTGGGGAAAACAAACATAAAGCAAGAACAGAGCAGAAATAAATCGACTTATGCTGCGTTCGAGTTACTTCGGAAGTGAAATATCGGCGCTGAAAATGATGTCACACCGAGTTCCCAACGGTTTAGTTATTGAGTCGGAAAAAAGCAAAATGGAAGGCCTGAAACAAGATGGCTACATCTATGAAAGTTATTTGAGTGCTTGTCTTATATTTGGACAAGGCAAGCATTAAAATAACTTTCGTAGATGTAGCCATCTTGTTTCCGCCTCCGATTTTGCTTTTTTCCGACTCGGTGTGACGTCATTTTCAGCTCCGATATTTCACTTCCGAGGAAACTCGAGTGCAGCATTATTCTCCGATCAGCTGATTATTTGACTCGTCAGGTTTTAAAAACACCTGATTTAGAAATAATCAAAATGTTCTCAGTACTGATGTGTCATCGTCTCCTTGAGTTTTATTTTGAAGTTTCTCAGTCACTTCCTGTCTCACTGGTTTCCAGCCCTCCCAGAGTGTGAATGTGTGTGTTTGTGTGTGTGTGCGAGTGTGTATAGCTCAGATGGTCTGTCGGTGTGTCCGGTCTCCATGGAGACGGGCTGCAGCTTTGTTCAGGATCCTTTGAGTTCAACAGAAACAGAAAACTGTGCTGAGATCAGCAGAGACCACCGCTCACCCCCAGACCACCACTTCAATCTGTTCAACTACTGTAACTAGTTTAACCTGCTGCACCAGTTTAACAGCTTCACCAGAACAAGTTTAACCAGTTTGACCAGTTTAAACTGGTTTAACCATCTTCATATTTTTTTATGTTTATTTGTGCAAAAAAGACCCAAACAGACATTTACCTAAAAATACAGAAAATTATCTTTGAGTGTTATTCAGAGGGATTCACCTGACGGAAATTAAAGCTTCTGCAAAGTCCCGTCAAAATAAAAGCACCTCTAACACTTCTTTAAAAAGTGCAACAAAATGTTTTTCTAGTTTATTTAGTTTAAAGAGTCAAAGTATTTAATCCAGACTTAGACAAGTTTAACTAGTTTATCTTATTTATTTGCTATACATATAAATAATTTTAAAGATATTTTGGAGTTTTAATAATTGTGAATGATTTTAATGTTAAAATTATAAAATGTAGTTGTAAACAAATGTTGATTTAAACGACACAAATAATGACAAAAAAGTTAATTACATTTATAAATTTAGAGAGTTTAGGTGATAAACTCACTCTGTTATTGTTGGTGTTTCATTTATGGGTGTACTTTAGAAGTGGGCGTGGCCACAGTGACATCACTTATTGGATTGTTGATTCTAGTTTAATTTGTAGCTGCTGAAACAAAATTAATATGGATTAGTTCAACTGTGTGAACTAAACTTTAATCCAGCTCACTTTTAGGATAAACCTGCACAACACTGCTGCTACACAACACTGCTACACAACACTCCTGCACTATGCTGCTGCTACACAACACTCCTGCACAACACTCCTGCACTACACTGCTGCTACACAACACTCCTGCACTACACTGCTGCTACACAACACTCCTGCACTATGCTGCTGCTACACAACACTCCTGCACTACACTGCTGCTACACAACACTCCTGCACTATGCTGCTACTACACTACGCTGTTGCTACAGAGCACTGCTGCTACACAAAGCTGCTGCTACACAACACTGCTTCAACACAACTGCTGCTACACAACACTCCTGCACTATGCTGCTGCTACACTATACCGCTGCTGCACTACACTGCTGCACAATGCTGCTGTTTCACAACACTGCTGCTGAACTACGCTGCTGCTACATAACACTGCTGCACTATACTGCTGCTACACAACACTGCTGTTACAGAACACTGCTGCACAACGCTGCTGCTACACAATCAAACCAATCTAAACGACCTGTGGAGTCGCCTCACACTTCACAGAAGAAAAAACTCGGGGTTAAGTTCCACAGTCTGAAACATGGCGGGTGTTTATGTCCAGAATCTGTTTGTAGTTATAATCAATAATTTGACTGTAGCTCCGCCCACACTCACACAGTCAGTATGAGGGCGGAGCTATTGCACACTGGACTCGAAGCTTTTTGGAGAGCCGCCCATATGTCCCTGTTACTTTCTGTCCTGCACACTCGACAAACTGCAAATGAACCTGTTCGCTCATGATGGTGTGGTGGTTAAAAAAAAGGGGCGTGGCCTTTGGACAGTAGCTTTCCTGATCTTTAGATGGAGAAACATGCAGTAACAGTCTGCCGCGCTGTCATGCAGGTTCCCCGCGTCGAGTCTTGATTAGATCCTGTCGCCCGTCTGCAGGTTGACCCGGCTCTTAAAGGGAATGAGAGCAGACACACTGATTGGTTTAATTCCTGTTAAACACACCTTTAAATCGTCAAGGGACTTATTCGAACCTCTTTGCGCCGTCTTCCTCACTTAGAGCTCAGTTTGTGCGCCACTTCACCAGCAACATGAGGGCAGACACGCCCTGATTCACTCTGCACCATCACCCGCCTCCAGTTCCCTTTAGAGGTTCAACCAAAGTGCTTCATCATGATGTTTTATTAAGATATCGTTAACCAACACATCTGTGTGTGTGTGTGTGTCTGTGTGTGTGTGTGTGTGTGTGTGTGTGTGTGTGTGTGTGTGTGTGTGTGTGTGTGTGTGTGTCTCAGGGTGGGCGAGGCTCTCTGTCAGCAGGATCGACTGCAGCTCCTCGCAGTGAGTCTAATTTACACACACAACAGTACACACGCTTTGATACACACCTGCATGAACACACACACACACACACACACACACACACACACACACACACACACACACACACACACACAGCTCTCATTGCATGCGCCGATCTCTGACTGAAGCAGATATTTAAACCTCCAGACACCAGAGCTCTCAGACTAATGCACTTATTGATCCACAAACACACAGAAACACACTCTCACACACACACTCTCACACTCTCTCTCTCACACACAGACCTGTTTCCTGTGTATCCCTGTCATGCAGTACCTGTAGTACTGTAATAATACTCTGTACAGACAGAAAGTTTACACGGTCAGTCTTTGTTACTCTATAATATTTCAGTATAAATCTGGATGATCTGCTTCATGGTTTTAAATTTAAAAAAAGTAAAAACTGAAACAGACTTTGGCTGAAATACTCAAAGTTAAAGGATCAAATGTTCTCGTAGACTGTTGTTGGTACAAACATGTAAAACAGTGAAGCCAAAACTCATCAGAGCTGCTGAACTGGAGTGTTTCAGTCTTCAGAGTCTGTCTTTTTCTGAGTCTGAGCTCCCTCAGGTGGGTCCAGTCCACAGCAGAACAGGTTCTTCTCTGGGTTTGAATCAGACATCAGGGTTACGGAGAGTTCAGTGACTCTTCCTCCTTTTGCTCTGATAGTCTGAAAGCTGCAGCAAACTCACTAACCAACAGAGCTGCTGATCACGGTGTTGACGATCTGCAGAAGCTCAAACAATCTTCTTTGGCAGAATCAAACTGCAAATGCAGAAAAAACACAACTTAAATAATGTCTGCTAAAGTCCAACACACAAACACAAACAGTGGGAACACAAATGTTTCAGTAGAGCTGAGTCACTGTCCTCTGCAGGTCAGGAGCTCTTCTGCTGAAACGTCGTGTTTGCAGCTGTTGTCTGCTCGTCTGGGTGTTTTTTATTGGTGTTATTTGCTGCATGTTTGCTGTTCATGCAGCTCTTCTGACTTTTTGCTGCATGTTTTTAATGTTTCGTTTACTTTAGGCCTTTACAGTCCGTCAGATTGTTCCTGTTTCAGATATAAAATGATGACAAAATAAAACCGAACACTTGGACATAAACCAGAATGAAGTCAAATGACAGAAACCCTGTTTGACGAACTTTTATTGGATTTTATAGTCTGACTCATGTCCCATCGGCTTACATGGAGGCCCATACTGCAGCTCTAAATGTTTTGGTTTCACTTTTGGGGAGCTGTCATGTCATCCTCTGTCTCTGGTTTGAATAGAAAACATAAACTGACATGATATTCGGACATGAGCTGATCTAAGAGCAGCTGAGATGTTTTCTGTTTGTCTAACTCCATTTCCCATCATCCCTCAGGAGAAGAGGAAGAGACAGACAGAGATCGAGAACAAGAAACGTCAACTGGAAGACGACAGGAGAGCTCTGCAGCACCTGAAGGTGACACACACACACACACACACACACACACACACACACACACACACACACACACACACACACACACAGATCAGACTGATATAATGTTCAACATGAGGAACATTAAGAACATCATGAATAAGCACAAAGTGAACCTGGGGGCCCCCAGGGGCCGGTCTGCTTCTTCAGTCCAGCTATTGTTCCCAGTCAGAGTTTTTTTCACAGCACAGTGATTTTAACAGTGAGGCTATTTTTACTGAGGCTGATGCAGAGGAGTGACCCTGCAGACCGACAACAGCTGCACCGTAAACATATCTGATCTAAAATGGGCCGAGACTGAAGCAGACTCACATACCCGTCTGAATAACTCCGAGTCTTTAACAGCTGTTCTCTGATCACATGACACACACACACACACACACACACACACACACACACACACACACACACACACACCTAAAAGGTGACTGTCTGCCTGCACCTATAGAGTTCAGGGTTAGTTTGTTATTGTACTCACGATTACCTGGACAGGTGAGTGCTGTGGAGGCTCATGATGATACAAGTTTAATGTTATTATACATACTTATACCACATGATAAATCAAATTATAAAAATAAATAAATGTAAATAATAAATAATATAATTTTAAATAAATAACAAAACTAATAAATTTGGACAGAAAAATATGAAAATAAAATAAATAAATGTATGTTAGTCTGATTTGTAATGTTTAAGTTTTGATGGTTTATTGTCTCAGTTTTTGGCAAAATTTTTAGATTTTATTTTGATCAACTTCAAAAAAAATTTTATACCAGTGCTTTTATTTTGTTGAATCGGATGAACCCGATGACTCTGTTTCCTGTTTCAGTCTAAGGCTCTGAGGGAGCGCTGGCTGCTGGATGGAGCGCCCTCCGCTGGACCTGAGCAGAATGAAGTCAAGATACAGCTGGAGCAGGACGAGACCAAGACCAGGACCCTGGAGGACACCATCAACAGGTCTGAGATAATCTAGTCCGAATAACCTGATCCAGGATACCAGGTTACAATAATCTGATCCAAGATAATCAGGTTACAGTAATCTGATTCAACACAACCTGGTGCAAAATATTTTATCCAACTAATCCAGTCCTGAACATCAATTATATAAATGTGACCTAAAATGACATTGGTCTACCTAACCTGATGAAAAATAATCAGATTTTAAATAATCTGGTTGAGATAATCTGATCTCATAAACTCTTATTTAACATAATCTGATCCTCACAGTCCAGTCCGGATGTGATCCAAAATACTCTGGTCCAGAAAATCAGATTTGAACAAAATAATCAAAATAATCTGATCCAAAGTAATTGGGTGCAAAGTACCAGACTGAAAAAATATGAACTAAATAATCTAACCCCATTTAATCTGGTCCAAAAATCAGATCCCACCAACCTGAACCAATCTGATCTAAATTATTGTAGTCCTAACAATCTGATCAGAATGAATCTGGTCCAGATAATCTGATCCTAATGAACTGATCAAAATAATGTGATCAGAATATCTGGGGAAAAAGATCTGATCAGAAAAATCTGAATATCAGGACCAAAACCCCCTGGATTAACTAATGTGAACCAACTAATCTAATCTGAACAATCTAATCTGAATAATTTCTCTCTTCCACAACCTTGGGCAGACATCTGAACTGAGCTGATCAGCTGAGTTTTGATTAAACTTTTGTGTTCAGATTAGGATTTATTAGATTATTTAAATTGGATTAAGTTTAAAATTTCTTATGTTTGTGTTCAAGGCTGGAGAAAGAGCTGGTCAACCTGGAGACTGAAGCTGTGTGTGAGACTATAATCCAAACAGCTGTGAGTACAAACACACACACACACATTCACACAAGTGGAAGATCTGGTTTATGTTGGACTTTTATTGTGAAGTTGAGCTTCCTGTCTCTCTCTCTCTCTCTCTCCGTCCGTCTGTCCTCAGGTGTCTCCACAATCAGTTACAGGTAAATTCCTTCTTCTCTGTCTCCGTCTGTGTCTCTGTCTGTGCCGTCTCTCTATCTTATTGTGTGTCTCTGATCAGCTGTAGAGGTCAAAGGTCACAGCGACCACCTGCAGGACCTGCCCGTGATGTCAGAAAAGGTCGTTCGAGGTGAGACTCAGCGTGAATCTCCTGAGATCTTCTTCTAAAACCTGATTTTAGTGAAATTGACTGAGCTCCATGAGACTCACACAAACATGGCCGACCTTGACGAGACTCTACTGGACTCAACAGACCTCAGAGAGTCAGATTACAGATCTCAGATTACAGATATGACATCCTTGTGACAGTATTTGGACTATTTGGTAAAGGAGATCAAATTATAGTAACCAGATTACAGTAATCTGATTACAGTATTAAGGGTCCAATAGTCTGATTAAAGTCCTCAGATTGCGGTTGTAGACAAGAGTTATCAGATTACGGTATCTAGTCTGATGATTGTAATATAATGATTAATCAGATTACTTTATTCAGATTATATTATGACTGTGATATTTATTACTGTTATTTCATTACAGTCTTCAAAATAAAGTTATTCAGTTTACGCATTAAATATTAGTAATCTGATTACTTAAGTCAGATAATAGTAATTTAAATAAGATGTTGACAGTCATCAGATTATCGTGTTCAGATTATAACAGTAGATTAGATGTATTAGATAACCATGTTAAAAATACTGTAATCAGATTATAGTAACCAGATTATACTAAAAAGGCACTAATCTGATCACAGTATTCAGACTATATGCATACCTGTACAGTTATCTGATTACTGTATTTACATTATATGTATTTGTTTATAATAATCTGATTACGGTATACAGATTGTAGTAACTGGACTGCCTGTAGTAGAATACAGTAATCTGATTACAGTATTCAGATTATATGTATTGGTTTATAGTAATCTGATTACAGTATTCAGATTACAGGCCGCTCTTGATGACCTCAGAGTTTCAGTCTGTCTGTCTCTGTGCCCGCCTCCTTTCTGTCCCATGACCCCTTGCAGAGGTCAAAGTTCATAAAAGTGCGGGGGTGAACATACGGAAGGGGGCGACGGAGGAGATGAAGAAAGGTGAGTCAGGAGGCGGAGTCAGTGTATCCTGATAGTGACGGGATGATGTCATGCCTCCACCTGATTGGCTGGTTTAGTTCGACATAATGAACGCTGTGTTAACGTAAACATTAAAGCCTGTTGCCGTGGTGATTTACCACACACTTTAAGGTCATGTTAGCTTCCTGGACTAGCCTTTAGCTCCAGCATCTTCTAGCCAATCACAGGAGGTTATTTCAGGTAACTGCAGTGACAGAAAGGTGTCACATGACCAGCTGACATGACACCTGACCCACAATTGCTCACCTTTACCTGTTCATCAGTCAGGTGGTTCAGGTGTCAGAGAGGTCAGAGGTCAAGCATGCAGACAGGTGAGACGTAAAGGTGAAATCAGCGCAGAGAGTAAACATGGAAGTGTTTGTTTATTAACACCTGTCTGTCTCTAACACCTGTCTGTCCACCTGTGTGTGTGTGTGTGTGTTCATGTGAGCTTTCATGTTTTATGTGTGTGTGTGTGTCTGTGTGTGTGTGTGTGTGTGTGTGTGTATCTTTCTGTTGACCCTGTGTACCCTCCTCCTCCTCCTCCTCCTCAGCCATGTACTCGGTGGAGATTAAAGTAGAGCGGGACAAAGTGACGGGGGAGACCCGGGTTCTGTCCACTAACACCACACTTCCTGTTGACCTCTCTCACCAAGGGGTCAAAGTTTACGAGGACGAGCGGAAAGGTGATGTCATCAAACAAAAATAAACACCTGAGTTTAGCAGAGTTCACCTGCCGAGGAAACAAAGATGTTTATTTTAGAGCACTGACAGAGATCGTGATACCGGATCAGGTCTGGGTCAGCTCAGGAAGTTCTGATGGGCGCCATGTACAGGGTTCCAGTGCATCCTGGAAAACCTGGAAAGCAGTTGACCAGTTTTCCAGTCATGGAAAAAAACATATTTCATTTGGTTTATTTAGATCTCCATTTGCTTCGGCTAAGGCCATCGCTCTTCTTCATGGAGTTTACATTTACGGTTATTTCTCCATCTCAGTGCAAAGACACAAAAAAACATCACGCCACAAACGCAAAGACAACGTCAGTAACCACAACAACTCACAACAGCCAACAAAACAAAAACAAAACAACAAAACTAGAACAATACAAACAACATACAAATATTAGGTCTGTGTATTATCCTTCCATTTAATTATTCCATTCAATCTACTAAACAAAAAATAAAAAAAAAACAAGTTAATAGTTTGTTTATTTGTTTTTCTGTATAACGAAAAAATAAAAAATTAGTTTGTTTTTATATTTTCAGCTCAAAACTGAATATATAATAGAGAAGGAAACGAAAACACAATAACAAATCTTAGTCTGTGTTCACACTGCAGGTCAATTCTGATTTTTTGACCCTATGTGACACATATCTGATGTTTTCATGTAAGTGTGATAATATGTCCGGGTAGATCAGTCCACATCACCGTGGTTTTATACATTACCGTATTTTTTCATCTTGTTTGTTTTTACTTAAGAGGAATTTACCGTCCGTAGCATGTCTTGTTCTGTAACCGTGTTCATCCGAACCGAAAGACTAACCATCGTGACGAACCCTTGGTAATTCCGTCACAGATAGTCTTCTTATTAAAGTTCTTAACGATCAACCAGGAAAGACAGTTATGCCTTTGACTAACATTGGATCTTTATGGACAGCGAAGTAAATATCTCGCTGACTTGTTTTGAGCTGTTTGCAGTTTCTTTATAAGTGATGAAGCGGCACACGACCGAACCTGTGAACGATAATCGAGGTGTGATAACAGCGGACTCTTAATCACACTTCCTCTAACATTTATAGCTGAGCAGATAAGGAAATAATCGTTCACTTTGTTATACAAGCATGAAATTTGGTACATATACTCTTCAAACCCCACTCTTATTCTTCTTCCATGTTTATATATTATCGAGTTTATAAAGAGACACTGAGGTTAACGTTACCGATGTCAGGACTGCATGGCTAATGCTAAAGCTAATGCTAATGCTAATGCTAATGCTTATACTACAACTTATATGACAAGTTTCATCCTTCTGAATTCATGATTCATCTCTGCTGAATTCATGATTACTTCAGGGCAATGGCAGCCATATTGGACACCATCTTGGTTTTCATATTTAATGTTATAACCCTCATGAAAATAACAGATAATGAAAATGATATTTTCATATAACCAGATGCACGTAACAACAATCGGTGTTACATATTTCTCACTCTCCCAATTCTGTTCAAGTATCTATATGCTGTATCTCGAGAACCGTAATGGATACAGAGATGTACTAGGTACCAAAATGTCCGCAATACCCAACTTTATATTCAACTTTAATATATGTATGGGGCTTAAAATCAAGTCATTTTGAGTTATAAAGGAAAAACCACATTTTGGGCGGATATCTTGGATTTTGGGGCCGCCATCTTGGAATTTTGCGTGGCCAATGTTATTTTTAAAAAGAGTGGGGTTTGAAGAGTATATGTACCAAATTTCATGCTTGTATAACAAAGTGAACGATTCGGGCTATATTATGCATTTGTCTGCTCCACTATTACAGGTAATAAATCACGTCTCCTAATCACCGACAGACTCCTGCCCAGTTTATTTATTACTTTCTTAATATTTTTCGCCCATGTCCGTTTACTATCAAAATTATTCCTTTAAGTTTGGTTTCGTGGACTTGTTCTACCGTCACATCGTTCACATACAGCTTCAATTTTGGTTTGTTAACATGTTTTTGTCCCAGACTCAAAGCTGTTTGTCTTCGAAGTATTAAAAACTCATTTATTATCAGTTCAAGTTATTATCCGTTTCACCACGACTCGAAGTTCCTGATTTAAAAAACTGCAAAGTTCATCTGTTATGGTTTTAGCCGCATCATCTGCATACATTGAAAGTTTTGCGTCCTTTAGGGTCAGAGGTCAGTCATTCGTCAATATTGAATATAGCAAAGGGGCCAAGACTGCTACCCTGCGGGACGCCACAGTCATTTACTTTTGCATCAAACAGACTTCCATTAAAAAAATGTCATCATCTCATAGAAAGTGGAAAAAAAGGCGGGAAAAAGTGGCGCTATCCTGGATAGCTACAGTAAGAGCTACAGGACGCCACTTAGCATCGTGGGTACGTAACTACCTCTGATTGGCTGGAGGACTGAGACCCCGTAATGAAGTCTCTGCAGACCCTCAGAGTCAGGTTACCCCCTGGTGTCAGTAGGAGGATAAAAATCTCAGCTCTGATTGGTCCTCCCGCTGCGTCCGGACCTGGACTTAAATTCTGACCCCGTCCATGTCTGTCTTTTAGTGGTCCACGAGATGAACGGTGAAGATGGCGTCCAGCTGCTCAGCTCCTCCGAGGTCGAAGAGCTCATCCACGAGGCCTCGATGATGTCACAGACTGTCGCCACGGTGACATCCCTCCCCACAGAGGAGGTTCAGGAGGAGGCGGAGCCTGAAAACCTGCAGCCGGTTCCAGCGGAGATCACCGGGCTGGAGACCAAACCGAGAGGCGAGCCGAGCGTGGGAGAGGCGAGCGCAGAGAACCCGGTTACCATGGTGTTCATGGGATACCAGAACGTGGAGGACGAGGACGAGACCAAGAAGGTTCTGGGTCTACAGGGGACGGTGAAGGCGGAGCTTGTGCTCATCGAAGACTACAACGGGAAGACGCCGCCGAGCGAAGGGAAGGAGGACGCCACCGTTCCCTCGACCACGGCTCCGACTCTTCCAGCCTCGGCCGCCTCCACGGCTCCGGCTTCCTCCACCAAAGCTCCAGAGACGACGAGGTCAGCGAGCAACGGGGAGACGGCGGGGGAGGCGGGTGAGGGAGGCGCGGTGCAGATAAAGAAGGAGAAGCAGCCATGTAAGTGCTGCAGCATCATGTGATCCTGCAGGGGGCGCTGCCTTAACGTATAGAATGATAATCTAAATAAGAAAAAAAAAGGACGGAGACTTTCCAGGACAAAACTACAGGAACTAAACTCCACCCACTGCCCTAAGCCCCGCCTCTAACAACATGACATCATTTCCTGTTTTTCATTCTGCTGTTTTATAAAACCTTTCCTCTTTTTCTATTTTATTGAGGCCTTTTAACTTTTGTACACCTCCTGTTTCCAGTAGTATAAGCATTAGCATTAGCATTAGCTTTAGCATTAGCCATGCAGTCCTGACATCGGTAACGTTAACCTCTGTGTCTCTTTATAAACTCGATAATATATAAACATGGAAGAAGAATAACTGCAGAGTTGTTTGGAGTTTCTCGGCTGCAGAGTTTGATTCTGTCTGTCGGAGAAACTTTCACTTTTGTTTTTGTTTTTTTTTTTTTAAAGGGAAAATAAAAAATGACCTGACGGTGCTCTACACAACCCAGCTTTTTGTTTTTTGTTTGCAGATGCACGTCACAAACCTCCCTCCCTCCATCACCACCACGCTCTCCCCTCCTCCCATCACACTCCCCCTCCTCACCCCCGTCACGTTTCTCTGCTCTGTTTCAACATGAGTCTCTGTAAATGTCAATAATTCTCTGTACTGCGCTAACCTGAGCAGGTGTTCGATTCTCAAAAACTGATTCCGGTTTGATTGGAAAACGGACAGAAATGCAACAACTCGGCTAAAACCCACAGGATCCGGATCGGCTCCGTTAAATTTCAAAATAAAATAAAGTGAATACGTTAAACTGTTCTTGGTAATAGGAGAGGTCAGGATTGTGGGGTGTGGGTGTTTGTAAACAACGATCGGCGGATCTCATTCAATGTCTCATGGGAAAACACGTGAGATCTTGTTAGATCTCGTCCAGTAATATCGCAAGAGTTTCTCCTCCGATGGCGGCGGATCGGATCAGGTGGGCGCTGTTTGTTTGCGTATTTGATTCGCCTGCAGGTCCAGAGCGGAGTGGAGCCGTTCCGGATCCTGTGGAATTCCCCCAGTTAGTCATTAAGGTAGAGTCTCACCTTTTTATTCAATCAATTTGTTTGATCTACCATCAAGCTCCGCCCCCTGAGTTCCTGAGCTAACCTGAACAGGTGTTCAGTTCTCAAAACAGATTTTGGTTTGATTGGAGAACGGATAGAAACCTCATCAAACTCAACTTAACTTTAATTATAGAGCACTTTAAATACAACTAAGGCTGACACAAAGGGCTGGACACAATAACATAAAAACATAAAACAACGATAAAAAAAAAAAAGGGTTTTAGAGCAGATTGAACATTACACCTGAAAGAAAGTACTGGCTCCGACCAACAGGTGGAGCTGTGCAAGTTAAAGCTCATGTGACGAGTTTTCATGATAAACAGAAACAAAAAAGACCAATTTGACAAAACCGTCGATTTATTTATCCTAATTTTTAATCCCTGACCCGGGTGCGAGGGGGGAGGTGTGAGCCCAGCAGCTAAAAAAAACATTTTACCAAATAAACGAGTTTCAATAAATGAAACTTCATCAAAAACCAACAGGATCTCATTTCTGAGTTTACCGTGTGTTGTGATGATCGTTGAAAGTCCGGACGCTGTTCCTCGGATTCAGCAGGAAACGTCGGCAGTTCGCGCCACGACGGTCAAAAACCTTTTGCGCTTCCGGGTCAAACACCCGCCCACAACAGTGACATGGCGACCTTCATCCCTGAGCCTCCACATAACAGCACAGCGACAACCAATGGACACAAAGTGAACTGCTACTCATAATTTGTATCACAGCAACATTTGTCTCCTACAACACCAATAATCATGTAGAGGACATGATACACAGAGACCACAGGGGGCGCCAAAACTGACTGCGTCCAAAAGTTACTTACAGTGGCTTTAAATGTTGATGCATTTCAGGGAGTTTGAGTCAGAAGTACAAACAGATGAAATCCCCACATTAGCATGCCAGACCAGCAGGTGGCGATAATAATAAAGCTCCATAGAGGAACACTGTGCGCATGTAGACCTTTAAAAAACATCAAAACTGTGTTCTGGTTTCAGGTCTGAAGCTTTGCTAAGCCCGGTGTCGGTCCAGATGAGGTTCTGTGTTAACTCAGACTCAGACCTGTATGTGAACTTTACTTCCATCCTGCTGTCAGATCAAACAAACATTTAAAAAGAAGTTTTAGACTTCAACTGTTCACCTTTCAGAGGTCACCTTTTCATGTTTCCTAAGACGTGACAGCGGTGCCGTCCTGCCGTCTCCATCGGGGTCTGACCCGATCAGAATAGTGATTGAAATCTGATTATTGGCCCAGGTCTGGAGCAAAACCTGTGATGTAGTCCAGGCGGTCTCACATTCTCCCTGTAACCATGAGGTGAGTCCAGACTGACCCCGATGGGCGTGTCTAATACTCATGTTTGATCAGAGCGCTCGTCTGTTTCTCGCCATCACTCCCTCCTCTGTGTTTATTCTGCTCGTCTGCTCTCAGTCTGACGTCCTCACGCTCACCAGGTTTACACCGCTTCATGTCTCATTAACAGATCTGAACTGATCTGATGATCGCCCGTCACCATGGTGACCACACAACAAAGATGGCCGACTGAAAGAGGAGAGAAGGATCAGCACTGAAGGTGTATCCTCTCAGGAGCAGGACTGACCTGACTGATGTGACCTCCTCAAGCATGATAAGCACGCCCACTCTGATGTCATCGATGACACAGTCTCACCTGACAGGAAGTTCACTCTCCTCCTCCGTCCCCACGGTCTGCAGATCTTCATCATCATCATCATCATCATCCTCATCCGTCCTCCTCATGGTTTTCATCGTCTCCACTCGGACTCAAACCCACATTCAGGACGTGATGAAAGCAGCAGGATGGAACTATCGCCTTCAAAATAAAAGCCTGCTCTCCTCCTCTTCCTCATCCTCTTATCTCTGCATGAAGTCGTCCAGTCCACCCCCCCAACAGCAGACATGATAAAAACTGAGACCCCAGACCACAGCTCTGTGAGCCCCCTGTATGTAAACGTCACATTTTCACCAATAAATCTGAGACCCTGAAAACATCAGCATCATCCGTCTGAAGACATTTAATTAACTATTTTGATTAATTATCATCATGTTACGTGTTATTTTGTGTCAAATGTTATTTAAAGGTGGTGTAGTCAGGATCTGAGTAAGTTCTTGAATGTAAACTCTACCCCTCCCAACCAGTTTTCCCCTCAGCTCCTCCTCTCCCTCTCTTAAGCCCCGCCCACAAACAGACGCTCCTGCTCGCTCGTATCGTTCCAATTAAATTCAGATATAATGCCGATAAATACTTCAGATCATTACAAATGGGGCCCAGTCAAGGTGAAAGTCAAAAGCATTGGTGCTACTGTAGATGCCAACAGACTACCAGCAAACACAATGTTTGCAGGACTTCTACAACGAGGATAAAGTGACATAGTCCAGGACCCGAGGGAGGACAGTTTAGCGATGGAGCTACAACACGCTACAGCAGGTCCGTTTGACAAGAAACACTTCTGTTACAGACACTTGTCTTACTTTGTTAAAGCGGTTTACCTGTCCACAGAAAGGTTACAGGGTCACCAAGATCCCCAAGCGTCCCCCATCGTTTATGTTGACCCGGCTTTTTAGCTCTTGTCCGTCTACCTCCGTTTTAAGCGCCCGTTATTCCTCCAGAGTCTCCGGTATTTACTTTGTTTTCTTGCTTGTGTCGGCAGTCGTGGCCAAAGGAGGATTCGGACAATTTTCCGAACTTTCTGGTTGGTTTCTACTGTCCGATATTGTAGCACGCTAACTTTGTTTGGGCTCCTGAACGACACGGGGGAGCAGCATTTTCTTGTTGACTGTTTTCTTGTTGCCTGTTTTGGTGTGGACTGTTTTCTTGTTGATTGTGGTTGACTGTTTTCTTGTTGACTGTTTTCTTTTTGACTGTTTTGGTGTTGACTGTTTATGGTTGACGTTTTCTTGCTGACTGTTTTCTTGTTGACTGTTTTCTTGCTGACTGTTTTCTTGTTGACTGTTTTTTTGCTGACTGTTTTCTTGTTGACTGTTTATGGTTGACTGTTTTCTTGTTGACTGTTTATGGTTGACTGTTTTCTTGTTGACTGTTTTCTTGTTGACTGATTATAGTTGACATTTTCTTGTTGACTGTTTTCTTGCTGACTGTTTTCTTGCTGACAGTTTTCTTGCTGACTGTTTATGTTTGAGTGTTTTCTTGCTTGTGTCGGCAGTCGTGGCCAAAGGAGGATTCAGACAATTTTCCGAACTTTCTGGTTGGTTTCTACTGTCCGATATTGTAGCACGCTAACTTTGTTTGGGCTCCTGAACGACACGGGGGAGCAGCGTCTGCCTCACAACCAATCAGGTTAGAGGAGGTGGAGAACGGCTTTGTTTACAGTCAGAAAGAGCGGACCGCTCAAAAATGTTCAAATGTTGACGACACAGACATAAGAGAACACAGAGATATCGATATATTACCAAATGTCATCAATAACTAATAACTATTGACTGATATTAGAAGATTTTTTGTAAATACACAAAATAAAAAGATGCTTCTTTAACAGATTCCTGACTACTCCACCTTTAACAGAGAAACTGCTGACAGGACCTGCACATAATCGAGGTTACAGTTTCCTGCAGATGAGGGCGGTAATTCACATTTAGAGACTCTGATCTTAGTTTCTTTATCTGTAGAAAACTGAAGCCGAGCTTTCATCCTGGTTCTCCTCACAGTTTCTCATTTAAGGAGCCAAGCTGACCGGCATTCATCGATCAGTTTTTAGTTTATACACCTCCACCTCAAAATGTTGGAATATCCCTTTAAAGTTAACAAACATGTGGACTAACAGTCAGAGAGTTTTATGAACCGTAAATTTCTCTCTGAACCTCAACAGAAAAAGTCCAAACAACTTTATTTCCTGTTGTTTTGGTTTTATTTTTACTGTTAAATTTTGTTGTTTTTAAAAATTGTTTCTCCTCAAACAGCCAAGAGATCAGTGTGTCCACCCAAACACACACACACACACACACACACACACACACACACACACACACACACACACACACACAAAGTGCCTGGATGACCAAGAGTCACCTCCTGTTGTCGTGGTAACCTACTGACTGAAGCTCAGTGTTGCCCCCTGCAGGAAACAACAAGTTCAGTAAAGAGACAGGGGGGTCTTGTGAGTGTGTGTGTGTGTGTGTGTGTGTGTGTGTGTGTGTGTGTGTGTGTCTGTTTGGTGGGTGAGGTCAGTCATTGTGTGTTTCTGTTGATCAGCAACATTCCTGACAAATTCTATCGCTCAGCAACACACACACACACACACACACACACACACACACTCTCTCGCACACACAAACACACACACACACACTTGTTTTCTCACACACACACACACACAGAGTCTGGATCAGTCGTCGGTCAGCTGGCGGAGCAGCACCTGCAGGTGAGACATTTTTTCTTCCTGATATTTTAAAATCTGACCTCTGTGACATCATAATGACATCATCACCTGTGTTTGATCAGCTGGTCAACATAATTGATCAGTTTATTGATCCTGATGGATAGAAACGTTGCTGTCTTAGCCCCTCCCCTCTGTCGATTCAGCTGATATGATTGGTTGTTGTTGATGCTCACTCAGTGATTGACAGCTAATACAAACAAACAGTCGAGTTTGTTTACGTCTATGTTTGTAAACATGTTTGTTGACAAACAAATTTGTCATTTTTGTCTCTGATTGGACAAACGGCACGAAATCCTGGTCAAACTTTGAAAAAGAAACTTTTTTAAATAGAGGTTTCCTGTTCATCCGTCTGTGGAGAGTCTAAGTTTCACTGCAAATAATCAAGAGTCTCAGTTTTGCTGTTAACAGTCGAGAGTCTCAGTTTCGCTGAAAATAGTCAAGAGTCTTAGTTTTGCTGTAAAAGGTCAAAAGTCTTAATTTTGCTATAAGTAGTTGATGGTCTCAGTTTCACTGAAAATAGTTAAGAGTCTCAGTTTTGCTGTAAATACTTACTAGTCATAGGTTAGAGTCACAGTTTTGCTGTAAATAGTCAAGAGTCTTTGTTTTGCTGAAAATAGTTGAGAGTCTCAGTTTAGAGTCTTAGTTTCGTTTCAAATAGTCAAGAGTCTCAGTTTTGCTGTAAATAGTCAAACATCTTAGTTTCGCTGTAAGTAGTTGATAGTCTCAGTTTTGCTGAAAATAGTCGAGAGTCTCAGTTTCGCTGTAAATAGCTGAGTCTCAGTTTTTCTGTAAATAGTTGTTAGTCTCAGTTTTTCTGTAAATAGTTGTTAGTCTCAGTTTTTCTGTAAATAGTCGAGAGTCTCAGTTTTGCTGTTAATAGTTGAGAGTCTCAGTTTAGAGTCTTAGTTTCGTTTCAAATAGTCAAGAGTCTCAGTTTTGTTGTAAATAGTCAAACATCTCAGTTTCGCTGTAAGTAGTTGATAGTCTCAGTTTTGCTGTTAATAGTTAAGAGTCTCAGTTAAGAGTCTCAGTTTTTCTGTTAATAGTTGAGAGTCTCAGTTTTGCTGTTAACAGTCAAACATCTCAGTTTCGCTGTAAGTTTTCGAGAGTCTCAGTTTTGCTGTAAATAGTCGATAGTCTCAGTTTTGCTGTTAACAGTCGAAAGTCTCAGTTTTGCTGTTAACAGTCGAAAGTCTCAGTATGTTGTCAATAGTCTCTCTTCACGCTGGTTTCCTGTTTCTTGCTCAGATCAGTGTCTCAGCGTTCATGCTTGGTTGTTAGCTGACCTTCATGTTTGTACAGAAACAGAAATCCTTCTCAGACCATCACCAACCATGGGAGCTGGAGGTCATGATGGAGGACTGTGTTCCTCCATCATGACCTACTGAAACCTGATTGGTTAATATCACTCAGACTACAAACAGAACCAGAACAATCTGGACCCCTGAGCGCAGAGTCTACAGTCATATTCAGAGTCAATTACTATGTGTGGAGTTTGTTTTCAACAAAATGATCCGTTTGTTTCTCTTTCTCTCAGGGTGGATGGTGATTGGTTGCTGGCCGAGGCTCCGACTGACATCATCATCATCATCTTCATCATCTTCATCACCCTCATTATCTTTGGCATCACTTACAGAAACATTCAGATCCGGTTCAGGTCTAAAATGTTCAGGTACACAGCTCCGTGGCAGGTTCTGTGTCAGAGTCTGGACCACAACGGCAGGGTGAGACAAACAAACACAAAGAAGCACACATATAAACAAACAGACAAACAAACAAAAACAAAAACAAACACAAACAGACAAACAAACAAACACGAACAAATGAACAAACAAACAAATAGACAAAACAAACAGACAAATAAACAAAAACAAAGACAAAGACAAACAGACAAACAAACAAACAAACAAACAGACAAAAACAAACAAACAAACAAACAAACAGCGAAAGAGATCGACAAAAAGACACGCAGACTAGCAGTGACCAAAAAAACATTTACAAGAATCTCACAAAACAAACAACAAATGAAACTATTGGAAACTATAAACAAACTATAAATGAGCAGACACTAACCCCAGACTTCTCACTGATGTGTCCACACTCATCTTCAGTGTGTGATTGTGACCAGCAGGGGGCAGCAGCAGTTCATTGTCAGAGTCCACAGAAAGCAGGGACAAAGTATAAACAGTAAACATCAAATAATCTTAGTTTAACGAGCAATTTACATGTTTTATTAAATTAAGAATAAGATTAACATGTAAACATGTATTTTCTCAGTATGATAAACCTTTATTTGTACATGCAGTTTTAATTTAGTAATTAATAAAAAAATGTCATTAATATTTAAAAATAAGAAGAGAAATTATTTTAATCAAATTTAATAAAAACAAAAAAGTTGATTCAAACTATTAAAATATAATACAAAAAAAATATCAAATGTTATCTACTTTCAACAAAAAAAGTTAAGGAGCCATAAAAACTTTATAACAGACAGTCAAACTGTAAAGTGAGGACCAAAACGTGTCAGTGACGCGTGATCACATGACCACGGTCCGGACGCTAACTGTTTCTGCTGAAGGTCACAGGTCAACGCCCCCTCAGACTTTACACACCCTCAGGAGACGGTTGTTAAGAGCACAGCACTTTCTGTTCGTGTGTGTGTGTGTGTGTGTGTGTGTGCGTGCGTGCGTGTGTGTGTGTGTCAGAGGGCGGAGCCTATGACTGTGAGCCTGGATGAGCTGAATTTGTCTTGTCAGTTAGTCTGAAGTTTGAGCCGAGGCTGAGCTGAGGTAAGATCCCCACTCTCTGATCAGACTCTGATTATGAAATATGAGTGTTAATTATAAAATAGATTGAAAAAGATTTATAAAAAAACTTTATTTATTATGTAATCTTTATTTTTTAAATCATGTTTAATAATAAACTGAGACACAGACTACAGAGACAGACCTCAGAGTGAATCTGAGTTTCTTTTGTCTATGAATATTTTAAATAAACTTAGTTTTCAGCTTATTTGATGTGTTAATTATTAAAATTGTTTCTTACTTAAATTCTGATTTATGGAAATGATTATAAAGTCAGTGGTGTGTTTTATTGATCAGTTAACAGTCAGGTCAAACTTTCTTAAACTCTGAAAAATTCAACAAACATGAACCCGTCTGAAAAAATGGATTTGTTGAATTTTAATGACTTTAATCAGAAAGTGTGTGTCTGAGCTGCTGAGAGCGCCCCCTGTAGGCTGCACTTCATGTAACAGAATTCATTCACATTTACAGCTCATCCTGATGGTGGCGCTACAACCGAAACCACACTGACATAAACTGTGTGTGTGTGTGAGTGTGTGTGTGTGTGTACGTGTGTGTGTGTGATAAAGCTGCCCTGCCCATTAACGCTCTCTGCTGTCAGCTGATAACACTGCTGACAGCAGAGTCTATCACACACACACACACACACACACACACTCAAACTGTCTAAAAAATCTAAACATCTAAACAACAAAAATTATTATAATTCATAATTACAACTCGCATATAGTTATAATAATGTTAAATGTTGTTAATTGTTGATCAATTTGAACCTGATTGATTCATAAGGGTTAGGTTAGTATGTTCGTCTAATTTGGGGTGGGTAACAGGTGAGTTATGTCCGTTTATGAGGGACACACCTGTATTACATAAGGTTGCCATGGTAATGTTGTTGCCATGGTTGTGACGATGTCATTTAATCATTTGACGATGACTTAATGACGGTTATCAGCTTCATTGTAAACCTGCAACAATCTTTAAATGACCACAGTCTTACTTTGATCGCCGTACATTCTGTGTAAATTTAGAGATATATTTATATTTATATAACACAGATTTTAAGTAAAAGGACTAAATAACTTCTCAGTTTCAACATCTGAAATGCTCAATGCACTATTTTCTCTTAAAGGGATATTCAGGTGTAAAATTAATTTAGGGTGAAACACACCGTAACACCGAGTTAGACCCCCCCTCTAGAGATGAATGTTGTCGACCGCTTTCTTCTCTAGTTATACCAACTTTAGTAACGACCGCAGGATAGAAATACAGAGAGCCACGCCCTCAACCAAAACGCCACTCTATAGCCACAAATAAGTCCATTACGGACTACAGCGGGGTGCCGCAGCTCAAGGAAGAACATTTATGATCATTTCTTCATCATTTCCTTGAAGTAATAATCACCATATTAATCATTTTACAGACGCGGTAGTTCTTCTGTCTTAGCGTCTCGGTCTGATTGTATTTCCATGAAGAAATGATCATAAATGTTCTTCCTTGAGCTGCGTCACCCCGCTGTAGTCCGTAATGGACTGGCCTGAGGTCTCTCTACAAACAAGCGTCTGCTGGAAGAGAGTAGGTGAGTTGTGTTTAGTCTCTTTGCTAAAGAAATGAGTCAAAGTTAAAAAGATGTTTGGTGTCTAGTACTATGGCTGTGACCCTATATGTACTAACCTGAGTAGATCATGGTGTAGTTCCGCTCAGTAACAGAACCTTATTGGAAAATTAGCTGATTTAACTTTACTGTGCTCTTGTTCAAATATATTAACTCGACAGCACATAAATCCATACCTGTTAACAAAATCATGATTTTATTGATAATTCAGCTCAACGAAAACACCTTTACCTTTTCATTTTACTACAGTAGAAGTTTCTTGGCCTAGCTTATAGACTACAGAAGCGGAGAAACAACCCTGCTTAAGTTTATGTTTTCTTAGAGTTCGAACTCTTAATATAGTACTGTGGCTGTGACCCTATATGTCCTGTTGATGAAGTTAGGTGCTGTTCTGAGCATTATTTGTGGCTATAGAGTGGCGATTTGGTTGGGGGCGTGTGTCTCTCTGTATTTCTATCCTGCGGTCGTTACTAAAGTTGGTATAACTAGAGAAGCAAGCGGTCGACAACATTCATCTCTAGAGGGGGGGTCTAACTCGGTGTTACGGTGGGTTTGACCCTAAATTAATTTTACACCGGAATATCCCTTTAAGAATGATCTATAATTGTTTCACAAACCATCAAATTATTTTTTACGATTGTCCTGACTGTTTTGTAATCTGGATTGTACGAATACGTTGAAGTATTTGCTTTATTAACAGTGAATCCTCTCATTTAAATGAACTCTCCCGGTTGTTTCAGAGACTTTCATCAGGTGACATTTCAGCATCTCAGAGCTTCCACACATCAAGCCCTCTTCGGCGACTTCCTTCAGAAACTCTGCCCCCTGCTGGCTCTGCAGCGCCTCCAGCAGATATGGACAGTATCCCGAGGAGGTGGGTGCTGAAGCCCCTGTCCCCAGTGCTTCAACCATCAGACCTGCGCACCATCACCAGCCCCACCAGGACCCTCATCCCTGACCTGGACAGCCCTGTCTTCAGCCCTGACAACATCTCCTTCACTCGCACGGTGGTTGTCTCCTCACAAGGGGTCCAGTCTGGGGATGTGGGGGTTCTGGCACGACAGGTGGAGGTGTCGCGGGATAGAGGCAGCAGCAGCAGCAGCAGTGATGACTGGCATCCCAGCAGTCCTAGCAGCAGCTCAGGCTCTCAGAGCGGGTTCTACTCCTTTGTAGAGGATCCAACGAGTCCAGAGGCAGAGCTGAATGAAGCCTGGATGATCTCTCCTCGGCGGCAGACTCAGCTGACAATCTTGAAGGAGGAGAAGGGATTCAAACTACAGACCTACAGCAGCAACAGGAAGCCAGAGAACCTGTTCTCAGATGGAAACGACTTGCGGTACAAAGTGGATCCAGCCAATGGTCTGGTGGTGGTCCAAGAGGCAGAGGAGAAGAAGCTTCGGCAGCAGATCATCCGCGGTCAAGCCCCGAAGATGAGTCCAGCATACAAAGACTCGAGTGTTGATCTGGACAGATCCACAGACAGACTGGTTGAGGGGTTCAGTTTGAACTACAGTCCTGTCAGATCCAGGCCAGAACCTCCTCCTGTAGAACCCGGGACCATTGACAACGAGCAAATTAACTTTAGCGCCGCTCGACAGCAGTTCCTGAAGATTGAGCAGGACCGAATGGCAGCCCTCCTTAATCCTCTGAAGTCCTCAAAAACTCAGCTGAACCGGTCTCTGCAGCTGGACCCCGAAGTGTCTTCATCCCAGCAGGTGTTGGTCTCTGAGAGTGTCCAGGTGACTGAAGACACACCAAGGTTCAGATTGATAGAAGAAGAGATCTTTCCCCAGAGGAGGGTGATGGTGAGCCGGACTGAAGACAGTCTGAGCCGGCAGAGCAGCGTTTTTGATGACCTGGACTCAGGCCTGGAGGAGCAGTCCTTGGAGGTGGGAGGGGGCTACACCAGTGATGAAGGCCTGTTCGATGAGAAGTCCACAAGAGGTGATGAGACCCCGATAGAGAGGGAGATACGGTTGGTTCAGGAACGTGAGGAGAACCTCAGACGCTCTAGGGGGATGAAGCTCAGTGATGGCAGGATGGAGATGGTCCAGATCAGAACCAAACGTTTATCTTCACTGCAATCACCTGTCAAGGCCAGAGAGAAGAACCGGGTCAGCTTTGTCGTCCAGAGGGAGATCCAGAAGGACAGCCGGAAGAAGGAAGAACCTGAGCAGGGAGGGTTCCCGGGTAGATACAGTCTGAGTTCTCCACAGGAACTAGGGTACACCAAGAAGGTTTTTGACCAAGAAGACGAGGTGGAGGGGCGAAAACTGAGACCTAAGTCTGAAGAGTTTCCATCTCCCTGCTGTCCTCATCGACACCCTGAAGGAACCGAGGCTTACATCAGCCAAATGAGTTCATCCCAACTCTTCTCTCTGAAGGACTCAGTAGTCCAGGACTCTAGAAGATTCTATCGGGAACGAACAACATCTACAACGTCGTCCTCCTCCCACTCCTCCTCCTCTCACTCCTCTCCACTGATACAAAGGCATGACAAGACCCCAACCACCCCTCAGTCCTGGAGGGAGAGCCTGGAGTCCACCGGCCTGCGGTCCAGAGGACTGAAAGCTCCAGACTTTATAGAGAAAGAGATCGAGGAGGCCCTGAGGAGAGAGCAGGAGCTGAAGGAGCTGAGGGAGTCCAGGGAAGAGCCAGATCAGCAGATTCGTTTTCAAAGTCCTGTGGTGGAACAGGCAGCCAAAATCACTGTCACTCATTCCTACCCACCTCTAAAAACAGGTACGTACTCCTCACCAAGGCTGGATCACCAAACAAGTAAATGAGCAACTTGATCCCAGGCCCAAAAACTCCAGAATCCCCCAAACCAGATCACGGTGAACCCCTAAACCCCCTAACCCCCAATTTTATTCGCCTCACAAACAGATCTGTAAGTAATTGCCGTACAGTGAAAATCGCCGCCATTCTGGATGCGGTGGAAATCCTTGGTTAAGCATGTTAACTGTGTTGGTCTGGTCTTTGTTCAGTTGAAGCTTTGAGGTAATGAAATATTTATTGTAAGGTGGACAGAAATTCCACGTTTGTTCAAACTGAGGAGCAGAATCCTGAGGACAGACAGGACTTTATGTTTAATCGACAGAAACATGAATGGGGTTTGGTGCTGCTGTGCTGAGAGTCTCAGATAAACTGGAGAATCAGTAACTTAACGAGAGGACGAGCAAAGTCCAGCCGCAGTTTGTGTCAATCAGTAACGGAGACGTCAGAGTCCATCACACACCTCAAACAGCTCCATATAGGTCAGAGGTCGGCGTGTGCCGTCGGTCTTTGTGTCATTAATGATGTCACTCTTGTTCTTCCTGTCGTGTTTCAGAGAAATCTGTCCCTCTGTCCTCTTTGTCCCCTCGTCCTTTCACCCGGCTGCCCTCCATCACCGCCCAGCCCTGGACCTACACGCCTCCCCCCTCCTCCACCCTCTCAACCTCTGAGGTCCGGCAGACCCCGCCCCCTGTCAGGGGTCTGACAGAGACTCTCCTTCAGGACTTTGAGGAGAGACGAGTCCAGCTGAGACTGGAGGAGAGCGCAGTAAGTCACCCATATAGATACGCTTTTATTTTGGAGGTTTTTCAATACATCCTGTCACTTACCTTGAAGTACATAAGAGAACCTGGCAGTGAATATGGCATCCCCCCTCCAAAATAAAAGCATGGATGTAGAATGTGAACACAATGATCGTATGTTTTAAAATCTGAATCTGAATTTTTTTTTTTTTCAGTACGCGGGGATACAACCGGTGGACGACATCAACAACGAGGTACGACTTACTTAAATTACTCCTTTAAGTGACCTTTGATTGGACAGCTGTCCATATATTTGACCAGGACGCAAATTTTTTCGTAGGATGAGAGGGGGAAGGTCCTGCCCTCCTTCGCCTCTGATTGGCTAGAAGTGCTGGGCTCCGATTGGTTATTCCTTATGGCTGTGAAATGCGATAATGTTCTATAATGCTCTGTTCGGCTCGGCTTGAACGTAAGATGACGTTTCCAGCTTTTCTGGCCAATCAGAGGCGAAGGAGGCGGGACCTTCCCCTACCATCCAACAAAAAAAAACATTGGAAGCTAGCTGGCTAGCTAACCTGGAAGCTAACCAGCTACTAAACAAGGCAGACAAACAACTTAAAATTTTATTTGTGATGTTTCTTTAAAATTCCCCTAAAAACCTGAATATTTATCCTTCTGTCTCTCTGTCTGTGTCTTTCTCTTTATCGTCCTTTCTCTCATTGTCCCTGTCTCTTTGTCTACCCATCTTTTGTCCCTCTGTTTCATCCATCTGTCTCTCTCTTTTTTTGTCTTTCCGTCTACTTCTCCCTGTTTCTTATTCTCTTTTTTTTTGTCTTTCCGTTGCTCTGTCTCTCTGTCTTTGTCCTGCCATCCCTTTGTCTCTCTTGTTTTGTCTCTTTCTCTTTGTTCTTCTGTCCATCATCCCTAAATCTGTCTCTTTCTGTCTGCTTGTCTCCTCGTTTCTTTGTCTCTCTGTCTTCATCTCTTTGTGTCTTCCTCTGTCTCTTTGTGTCCAGGTTGTTGAGTCCACTCGAGTTATCCGACATAAAAACCAAAGAGCTCTTCTTTGGGAGGCGGGAATGTTTGCCAACCAAGAGGACCAGTGAGACTGACAAAACCTGATTAAGATCCAGATCCAGACCTGTGAACAAATCCTGATCCTGATCCTGATCCAGATTAGGGTCCTGCTGACTTGTTGGATCCCTTTCTGATTTGTCTCTGATTTTCTGCGTCATCTCAGATTTGAAGGTTTCAAACTAGAACACTCCGACATCTAGGCAGCTCCTGATTGGTCCTTTGTCCTTGTCCAATCAGAGAGCAGCTTTGTAGATCTGATTCCTGTAGAGCGACTTAGAAGAGGAAAAGACTGTTTGAGCTGCAGACTGAAGAAGAAGAAGAAGCTTTCTGAATCAGCGTTGATCTTTTCATGATTTTAACTGAAGCTTCAAAAATCACATTAAGGAACAATAAAGATTATTTTTCAAACTGACACCCTGCTGTGTGCCGGATTTCAAAATAAAACACCGTTTTTATAACCATAAACAGACACTGACCTGAGAGTTTGAAACGGTAAATATAAAACTTAAAGGGATATTCCGGCGTAAAATTAATTAACACCGAGTTAGACCCCCCCTCCAGAGATGAATGTTGTCGACCACTTGCTTCTCTAGTTATACCAACTTTAGTAACGACCGCAGGATAGTAATACAGAGAGACACGCCCCCAACCAAAACGCCACTCTATAGACACAAATAATGCTCAGAACAGCACCTAACTTCATCAACAGGACATATAGGGTCACAGACAAAGTACTTGACACTACAGCGGGGTGCCGCAGCTCAAGGAAGAACATTTATGATCATTTCTTCATGGAAATACAATCAGACTGAGACGCTGAGACAGAAGAACTACCGCGTCTGTAAAATGATCAATATGGTGATTATTACTTCAAGGAAATTATAAAGAAATGATCATAAATGTTCTTCCTTGAGCTGCGGCACCCCGCTGTAGTCCTTGATGCAGTGGTTCCCAAACTTTTTCTACCAGGCCTCCCTTTGGCAGATAAAAATGGTTTCAGGCCCCCCCCACACCTGACTGTACACATCAACATGTAAGTTAAAAATATGTGAATGGATAAAAAAACACACCATCTGTCACAAGCTGCTATTGTTTTTCCAATTTACTTTAATGAAACTTCAAACTTTTGTAGAAATAACAACAGCAATACGTTTTAACCTTTTTTTAAAAATTATGCATTTCTGAAGAACAATTTGAAAACTTGGGTAAACTCTTTAAAATATATTCTTTCAGCCCTGAAATAAGTCAGTGGCTACAGTGAGCTTGTTTAGTGCCACAGCTGTGAAACTGCCACTCTCAGTTCATTTTCAATGTCCAGTTTTGATCGGTACTTGGTCCTGATGTAGTGTCGTTGTCTCCTGATGTTTTCCCAGAGGGCCACTGACGTTTGCCATGGTTAGCAGTACAACACAATGTGCATTATTTTTATTTAGACTTCCCCCCTCTGCAATCATGCCACTGCCTTAATGGACTGGCCTGAGGTCTCTCTACAAACAAGCGGCTGCTGGAAGAGAGTAGGTGAGTTGTGTTTAGTCTCTTTGCTAAAGAAATGAGTCAAAGTTAAAAAGATGTTTGGTGTCTAGTACTATGGCTGTGACCCTATATGTCCTGTTGATGAAGTTAGGTGCTGTTCTGAGCATTATTTGTGGCTATAGAGTGGCGTTTTGGTTGGGGGCGTGGCTCTCTGTATTTCTATCCTGCGGTCGTTACTAAAGTTGGTTTAACTAGAGAAGCAAGCGGTCGACAACATTCATCTCTGGAGGGGGGGTCTAACTCGGTGTTACGGTGGGTTTGACCCTGAATTAATTTTACGCCGGAATATCCCTTTAAGAACACTTCAATTATACGTGGAAATATTACGGGAAAATTTTAGATATGGAAAGTTCAAAAGTTGAAAATGTTTCATGTTCAGTTGAATCAAAAAGCTTTTTTAATCTTTACAAGATAAAACAATAAATGATTAATAATCTAACTAGAGAAAGAGAAAAACTCACTGATCAAAAACTTTTATAAAAATATTGAATATCAGCTGTTTAAACAGTTTTATATGTAACAGACGACACACTGCAGCAAAACTCTCTGATCGTCAGCGAACCGAAAGTGTTTTTGTTCGCTCTGCATGAGCATCATCAGCATTTTGACATCCTGACAACAGCCCACTTACTCAGCCAATACTGATAAGAGAGACCGGGGGGGGTAAACAAGGTGACATCACTTCCTGTAATGACCCTCAGTCACAGGGATTTGATAGAGAAATGAACATCTTCAGGCTTCGCTGATCCGCCCCAGGAGCAGAAAAACACGTCCCCACCACTGACAGATAAACGAGCAGCAGTAACAGAGTTTTGGTTTTAGTTATGGTTCAGTCAGGACAGAGGAGTGATAATCTGCAAGTGATGAGTTTTATTAGGTTGAATTTCTTTGTTCTGAGAGCTTCCTGCCCTTTCACATGCATACGTAGAAGACCAGAGTCTGCGATGGACATGGCCAACCTCCTTTCCAAGGCAGGTGGAGCAGCGGTCGAGACCCCAGAAGGTTCAAAAAAGGCATTAGTGACGACCCACATGACACCGGTTAGATCAGGCTCAGCATCGAAAGGAGGAGCTGAGGTAGAGGAGGGTTGTGCTGGAAGTAGGAGGTCTAACCCCCAATTTCCACCGCATCCAGAATGGCTACAAAAAGGTCGTAACCTTTCCATGGTAAGGTTCTTCTTTTCAAAATAAAACACTCCGGCGGAGACGAACAAGTGAAAGGTTTTTAGACGTCATTTCACCCCGATGACACCATGGATGAGGAGATGCTGATTCTAGAAGTCTGGAAGGACACAATCTACTGCTTATATGTCTATGTGTCTGTCTTTAGAGAGACGACTCGTTATCGTGTGATTGAACGTGAATCTGTGGGTTCTTGTGAGTTCTCCGCTCTCTGTAATTTGCCGTGAAATTTGCCTCACCAATGGATCCGATAGGAATCGGCGGATGGCAAAAATCGCCGCTGTTCCTGATGCGGTGAAAATTCAGGGTCAGCAGGCTAAAGCAGTTTATACTGAACATCAGATGAATGCCTGCAGGGGGCGCCCTCCATCTGTCTGTGTTTGTACGGCCATCCAATCAGATCTTTCCACTCACTCTGAAAATCGATCTGGCTCCTCCAAAATAAAAGCTTGCAATGATCAAAGCGCACACACACACACACACACACACACACACACACACACACACACACACACACACACACACACACACACACACACACACACACACACACACACACACACACACACAAAACAACTATATGCCAAAGCTTTGAAAGTGATAAACTGCCCCCCCCTCCCTCCCGCCTCTACATACACACATATATATACTCTCGGTTGCTGTTGCCATGGCAACAAGATAGCTGCTGGATGGCCTCCAGGAAACAAAGAACAGAGAGGAGGTGTGTGTGTGTGTGTGTGTGTGTGTGTGTGTGTGTGTGTGCGGCTCTCATCTCAACATCAGCTATCCATACTGTTGCCATGGAAACTGCATAATCAGACTGGAGCTGGAGGACAGGAAGCAGCTTGTGTGTGTGTGTGTGTGTGTTTGAGAGAGAAAGTGTGTGTTTTAATGTTTGTGTTCGCAAGTTATCCAGGTAAGCTCACCCTAATACACACACACACACACACACACACACACACACACACACACACCTGTGTCCATGTTTGAAAATCTGAACGTAAAGAAAACAAACATTTAATTCCTCTAAAACAATCAGAGAAACACACTTTCTTTCTTCTTCTTCATGTGTTCAATCTGAGGACTCACAACCACCACACACTAAAGACAACGACACACAACAACACAACAAACCGACTTACACAAACACAACAACCCAACGTTCAACGAAACGATGAACGAGCGACAGCAACACAAAACAACTCAACATAATACAACACAACAAACATCCTGTAACTACACACAGCAATGCTGCACACAACACTAACACAATTACACAACAAGACAGAACCTGGTCGTCATGGCAACTGTATACCTGCAGTGTACCTGTTGATGTTTGATCTCACACAGGAAGGAAAGTTTGTGCTCCTCAGTTTGTCTGTTTGTTGTAACAGCTGATGCATCATGGGAGTGTGAGTCCTGAGCCCAGCTGGTCAGTTCCTCTTGGTGTGTATGTGTGCGTGTGTGTGATGAAACTCCTTGACAGCGAGGCGGGTCGGTTAAAGTTAAATATCTTGATTAAATCGTCCTCTAGAGGCTGACGGAGAAATCTCCCACAGTGTGTCTGACTACGAACGCCTCGTGAGGTTTTTAATCTCCCAGCACTAATTGGTCGATTTAAGTAGGCGCCCAGCACTCCAGGAAACTTAAATTATGAATAAGTGAGGGAGAAGATAATCCCAGGCTCTTATTCTGAAGGATTAAGATCATCTGAGGCTCTTATTCTGAAGGATTAGGGATAAAAGCTGATCTTTAAAAGAGGTTTTCATTCCTTCACACGTTCATGTGAGGTCAAACATGTTTAAATCTAAGGTTCATAAAACTCTCTGACTGTTAGTCCACATGTTTATTAACTTTAAAGGGATATTCCAACATTTTTGAGGTGGAGGTGTATAAACTAAAAACTGATCGATGAATGCCGGTCAGCTTGGCTCCTTAAATGAGAAACTGTGAGGAGAACCAGGATGAAAGCTCGGCTTCAGTTTTCCACAGATAAAGAAACTAAGATCAGAGTCTCTAAATGTGAATTACCGCCCTCATCTGCAGGAAACTGTAACCTCGATTATGTGCAGGTCCTGTCAGCAGTTTCTCTGTTAAAGGTGGAGTAGTCAGGAATCTGTTAAAGAAGCATCTTTTTATTTTGTGGTTATTTACAAAAAATCTTCTAATATCAGTCAATAGTTATTAGTTATTGATTATTTGGTAATATATCGATATCTCTGTGTTCTCTTATGTCTGTGTCGTCAACATTTGAACATTTTTGAGCGGTCCGCTCTTTCTGACTGTAAACAAAGCCGTTCTCCACCTCCTCTAACCTGATTGGTTGTGAGGCAGACGCTGCTCCCCCGTGTCGTTCAGGAGCCCAAACAAAGTTAGCGTGCTACAATATCGGACAGTAGAAACCAACCAGAAAGTTCGGAAAATTGTCTGAATCCTCCTTTGGCCACGACTGCCGACACAAGCAAGAAAACACTCAAACATAAACAGTCCGCAAGAAAACAGTCAGCAAAAAAACAGTCAACAAGAAAACAGTCAACAAGAAAACAGTCAACCATAAACAGTCAACACCAAACCGGTCAAAAAGAAAACAGTCAACAAGAAAACAGTCAACAAGAAAACGTCAACTATAATCAGTCAACAAGAAAACAGTCAACCATAAACAGTCAATACCAAACCGGTCAAAAAGAAAACAGTCAACAAGAAAACAGTCAACAAGAAAACAGTCAACCACAGTCAACACCAAAACAGTCAACAAAAAACAGTCAGCAAGAAAACAGTCAACCATAAACAGTCAGCAAGAAAACAGTCAACAAGAAAACAGTCAACACCAAACCGGTCAACAGGAAAACGGTCAACACCAAAACAGTCAACAAAAAACAGTCAGCAAGAAAACAGTCAACAAGAAAACAGTCAACAAGAAAACAGTCAACCATAAACAGTCAACACCAAACCGGTCAAAAAGAAAACAGTCAACAAGAAAACAGTCAACAAGAAAACAGTCAACCACAGTCAACACCAAAACAGTCAACAAAAAACAGTCAGCAAGAAAACAGTCAACCATAAACAGTCAACACCAAAACAGTCAACAAAAACAGTCAACAAGAAAACAGTCAACAAGAAAACAGTCAACAAGAAAACAGTCAACACCAAACCGGTCAACAGGAAAACGGTCAACACCAAAACAGTCAACAAAAAACAGTCAGCAAGAAAACAGTCAACAAGAAAACAGTCAACAAGAAAACAGTCAACCATAAACAGTCAACACCAAACCGGTCAAAAAGAAAACAGTCAACAAGAAAACAGTCAACAAGAAAACGTCAACTATAATCAGTCAACAAGAAAACAGTCAACCATAAACAGTCAATACCAAACCGGTCAAAAAGAAAACAGTCAACAAGAAAACAGTCAACAAGAAAACAGTCAACCACAGTCAACACCAAAACAGTCAACAAAAAACAGTCAGCAAGAAAACAGTCAACCATAAACAGTCAGCAAGAAAACAGTCAACAAGAAAACAGTCAACACCAAACCGGTCAACAGGAAAACGGTCAACACCAAAACAGTCAACAAAAAACAGTCAGCAAGAAAACAGTCAACAAGAAAACAGTCAACAAGAAAACAGTCAACCATAAACAGTCAACACCAAACCGGTCAAAAAGAAAACAGTCAACAAGAAAACAGTCAACAAGAAAACAGTCAACCACAGTCAACACCAAAACAGTCAACAAAAAACAGTCAGCAAGAAAACAGTCAACCATAAACAGTCAACACCAAAACAGTCAACAAAAACAGTCATCAAGAAAACAGTCAACAAGAAAACAGTCAGCAAGAAAACAGTCAGCAAGAAAACAGTCAACAAGAAAACAGTCAGCAAGAAAACGTCAACTATAATCAGTCAACAAGAAAACAGTCAACCATAAACAGTCAACACCAAACCGGTCAACACGAAAACAGTCAACAAGAAAACAGTCAACAAGAAAGCGCTGCTCCCCCGTGTCGTTCAGGAGCCCAAACAAAGTTAGCGTGCTACAATATCGGACAGTAGAAACCAACCAGAAAGTTCGGAAAATTGTCTGAATCCTCCTTTGGCCACGACTGCCGACACAAGCAAGAAAACAAAGTAAATACCGGAGACTCTGGAGGAATAACGGGCGCTTAAAACGGAGGTAGACCGGACAAGAGCTAAAAAGCCGGGTCAACATAAACCATGGGGGACGCTTTGGGATCTTGGTGACCCTGTAACCTTTCTGCTGGACAGGTAAACGGCTTTAACAAAGTAAGACAAGTGTCTGTAACAGAAGTGTTTCTGGTCAAACGGACCTGCTGTAGCGTGTTGTAGCGCCATCGCTAAACTGTCCTCCCTCGGGTCCTGGACTATGTCACTTTATCCTCGTTGTAGAAGTCCTGCAAACATTGTGTTTGCTGGTAGTCTGTTGGCATCTACAGTAGCACCAATGCTTTTGACTTTCACCTTGACTGGGCCCCATTTGTAATGATCTGAAGGATTTATCTGCATTATATCTGAATTTAATTGGAACGATACGAGCGAGCAGGAGCGTCTGTTTGTGGGCGGGGCTTGAGGGGAGAGGAGGAGCTGAGGGGAAAACTGGTTGGGAGGGGTAGAGTTTACATTCAAGAACTTCCTCAGATCCTGATCGACATCCATCATGGCGAACACATTTACAAACGTCATACTAAAATAACAAAGATTGACTTGTTAGAATAGGATGTTACCTTCAGGGTCCTGTAGGACGGTTTCACTCTCTGATCTTGTGTATTTGCAGAAACATTGTTGAGTCCCATCTGTTCCTCTGTGTTTTTATTACAGTGAGAGAATAAGCGCTGGAATAAAATGATTCGTCACACAGTTTAAAGAGGAGTGATGAAGAATAAGTTTATTAAAGTCTGATGGTAACAGAGCATGCAGCGTCTTCTCCTCTTTTATTCTGAAATCTCTGAAAGCAGCACGTTTTATTTTTCACAGATTTAAAAGTTTTTACATTCAGAAAATAAAAACTCCATCAGACATGAACGACATGCAGACACACACTGTAACACTGTTTTTATTTTTACTGACACACTCTCTGAGTCTGTTTCACAGCCTCACACACACTTCCTGTTTGTCCCTTTCACAGTAAGAGACTCTGCGTGAATAATCAGAGCAGAATAATTATTTTTTTATCATTTCTAATAAAGCGACACAGATTTCAAATATTCAACATTTTATCTGAAACTTCCCACGTTCACTGACAGCATCATTAATGTTTCATTTAAACTGGAGTTTAATTTCTCCTTTAATATTAAAAAACCTTTTTAATACTTAATTTTGTAATAATGAATATTTCAGCTCAACATTGAACAGCTTTTCACAGCTTATTGTAGCAGCAGAGTGTTCGCTGTCATCACTCCGCAGTTTTACTTTTACGAGCAGAAACTGAGGAGCGATGAGACGTTATCGTACATCCCAGTCCGACCCTGCAGGTGGATTCTGGGAGGTGGTTGGGATGGATGCGTGGAAGTAGGGCTGGGCGATAAAATAGTGATATATATCGAAAATTCATTTCCCTCAATATCGATATAAAACATGATCAATATGCTTTTCAATAGTCGGCATTCTGCCATGTTTTGGTCGACTATACGAATAGTCGGGCTGGGACGATCTGCTTTTCTCCCGATTCGATTCTTCTACGAGTTTTTAGATGGCGATTAGATTTAAAGTATGATTCCACAACATTGTTAATTTTCTCATGTTTTGGTCTCATTTTTAACTCCAGTGAAACAGTTAAATTATTATGATTGTCTACTGACTATTTCAGGATCTAAATTTCCCCAAAAAAATACACGTCACATGTGAGTCAGTTTTTAAGATTTATTCTTAAATTTGGAAAAAAAAAAAAAAGAAATCGATTTAAAAATTGGAAAACAAAAAAATCGCGACATCTGCGCAAGATACTTTTCATATGTAAGATAATGAAAAGGGGCGTTTCTCCAGATCTGCTTTGCGCTGAATTAGCACTAAGTAGCAAACAACATGCAACCATAGCACTTCAACGCTGCAACGCCTTACGACAAAACATCACAGATGCAGTCGCTTATTGTATTGCAAAAGACATGCGACCGATTAACACTGTTTAATTCCATTTTTATATTGTGATATATATCATGATAAACTTTTTCCCATATCGCCCAGCCCTACATGGAAGTTGTGGTTGACGCGAAAAGACCGGAAATCCCGCAGTTTGAAAAATGAAATCAGTTCAGCTTGAGATGACTGCCTGAACTAGCTCTTGGGCTTTACTTCATTTCAGTTGACGACTCATATTTAATGCTTTGAATTCTTTTATTTCTGTATTTCTCACCAGAATATTGTTCGCGTTGAGCGTTTCTCTCTCTCTCTGCAGACAATTAGGAGTGAAGAGACGATTGCTGCCTTCAAGGGGAACTCATGAAGTCGTGTTGTGAGGTGAACGGCTCGGTAACTGAGCGGGACGTCCAATGACCAACTTATCCTCCCTGTTCCTGTGATGACAAAATGATGGTCCAGATCCTGGTTCATGTGGCCGATCTTTAAAGGTACATTCAGCAGAATTCAGCAGCATTTTTTTCAAATTGAAATGATTTTAATTTTGATTATGCTGAATGAAATATTATAATCGTTTTATTGCTGATGACTTAAAGACATACATTTTCTCTGTATTTTTCCTAGTGTTCCTGTTCCCCTGTCGTCCAGTCTTGTGAGTTTTCAGTTTGTGTTTCCCTCCTCTTCTCAGTGTTTTATTCTTTAACTCATTTATTGTTTATTTCCTGTTTTATTTTGTAGGAGTTGATTCCTTGTGTTTTCCTTCCCTTGTTTTCCCTCCTTTGTTAATCACTCATGAGTCTCACCTGTGTCTCGTCTGCCTCACCTGTTGCTCATTTCCCAGTGTGTATATATAGTCCCTGTGTGTGTTTGTTGGTCAGTGTGTGTGTCGGTCTTAGTCGATGTGTGAATCCTCGTCTCCTTGTGCTTTTTTGTTGGATTTTGCCTTTGGGATTTTTCACTCTGACATTTTGAAGTAAGTTTTTGTCGTTCTTTCATTTAGTTCTTTTTAAATAAATCCTTCGTTCTGCATTTAAGTCCTTCCCCGTTTCGTTTAACCCTGAACTCTGACAGAAAGTCTTTAATATTATCGAAGCAGCAGGTCCTAAGGGTTATTCATTTATACTCATGACTTAAAAATTGTATTTTTGTCGTGTGGCCTGAATACTCTGTTGTTTTTGTTGAACGTTAATTTGCAAATGTCGGCTTGTGTTACCAAAACAATAAAAAAAAACTCAACATCTGAGTTATTAACTATAATTAAAGATAAAATAACCAAAAACATCCCCGTCTCATAACTCAAAACAGCTAAATTTCTTGTGTCTGTGTGGATGACGCCATTTTATCGCATCAACCTTTTTTGGTCCTCAAGGGCCACCGTATCCGTTCTTGGATCTAACCCCTTTGAGTCTCTGAAAATCCTCATTCTACGGACTGCACCTTTAAGAAACTATGTAGCTGTGCTCTTGCTAATGCGACGTTTGAGTTACACAGAAGTCAGATGTCGGAGCTTAAAATAACTTCCGTAGATGTCGCCATCTTGTTTCCGCCTCCGATTTTGCTTTTTTCCAACTTGGAACTCAGGTGTGACGCTATTTCCAGTTCCGACTTCTGACTTCCGAAGTAACTTGAACACAGCATAAGGTTAGGGTTAGCTACCTTATTAGACACGTCACTTATATTGTAAATATGTAAATAGGGAGGTATTCATGGACATGAAAAACACGACCCCGTTTGAAGGCACCAAATATCGTAAAACCTCCAAAACTGCACGTATCGAGCACCAAATTAGGAGGATATGTTCGTGTGTAAAATCAGTGCAGCTTGAGTGGCCTGCCTGGACTAGCTCACAGGCTTCACTCCAGTAATATTTCATAAAATTCAATTTCCCTCAAAGTTTAAGAGTTTTATGACGAATAAAAAAACGTGTTTTTGGTGTGAAAATGTTTTAGACTCAGTGAGTTTCTGCAGCTTTGAAATAAAATCAGAGAGAGCATCTTTACATTCTGAACATCTATGTAAATATCTAATCTCATGATGGTCCAAACTTCACTCACACACTCACACACACACTCACACACACAGACCAACAGCCTCAGCCAATCAGAGCGCAGCTCAATAACAACAAACATGCTGAGAATCACTATAGCAACCGAACCATCACAACAGAAGGCAACAACATCCGCTCGTAAATTTACAACCAGTGACAGCTCCAACATGGCTGCCAACAAGCCTCTTTAACACAGAGACCACGCCCCATCATCGGAGGGGTAGTGGCCCGAGGCAGGATACGGAGGGGGCGGAGCTTCACTGCAGGCTTCAGGCTCGTTGTGTTTGTGCTTTCAGAGTGAGTCTGTAAAATCGTCTCTGTGACCTCTGACCTCAGCTCAGTCTGTCGTATGATCAACACAAGGGGTTGCCATGGAAACAGTCCTGTTGTTGGCTCCACACTGTCAACGCTTTTCAAGATGGAGGTCAGGGGGAGGAGTTTATATTACTGACACACATACATACTCACACGGCGTTTGTGTGTTTACTGCATCGTTGTGATTGAATAATTATGCTGCGTTCGAGTTTCCTCGGAAGTCAGAAGTCCGAGCTGAAGATGACGTCACACCCGAGTTCCAGCGTTTCAGTTAAAGAGTCGGAAAAAAAAGCAAAATCTGAGGCGGAAACAAGATGGCGACATCTTCGGAAGTTACTTTAGCGCTTGCCTTGTCTTCGCTTATTTTCGGACAAGACAAGCGCTAAAATAACTTTCGTAGATTTAGCCATCTTCCACCTCCGATTTTTCTTTTTTCCGACTCGGTAACTGAAACGCTAGAACTCGGGTGTGACGCCATTTTCATTGCCGACTTCTGACTCCCGAGGTTACTCGAACGCACTATTATTCAGTCTGTTGGAGATATTTCAGGTAATGACGATAACGTCCTCAGGGGTCAGGGGTCAGGACCGACGGGATTCTAACACGGTCGGTACGGTGATCGGGGCAGCAGGAGACACAGGCAGCGATAGCAGCGGTAAATATCGAAGGTCTGAGCATGTGCAGAGTCTGCTGAATGCATTTAAGTGTTTTTATGTGTTTTTATGGCTTTAGCGGTTTTCTCAGTGGGCAGTATCAACCCTTCGAGTCTAACGCTGCGTTCCAGCTGTACTCAGAAGTCGAATTTCCGAGCTGCTAGTCGGAAATTCGTCCGGAATGCCCCCCTGAAGTCGGATATCTGACTTGCAAAGTTGGACAATCATCACCAACCCCTGTCATAATTCAAGATGGCAGAGCATCAACAGTAGAGTAACAGTGAAAGCTCCTGTAATGTTTTATTTATTATCACTTCTACTTTGTTTTTATGAAATTAAATAAGCGGCTTATGTTGTACAGTAAGAGTAAAATACTGTGTTTTGGATTGTTTACAACTGGTACAGCTAACAACAACTCACAACCGCTGGCAACAGCTAACGACGGGTAACTGTTGGCATCCATCTTGGTTTTCCAACTTGTTAACCGGAACGCCGTCAACTCAGGTCTAACGTCATTCCCAGTTACGACATCTGACTCCTGAGGTGACTGGAACGCAGCGTTAGCCCTCGTTTTTTGGGGCTTTTTCTGTTTTTACCTTGAATAACATCAAACTAGCGCAGACCTGCATATCTTGGGCTGTCACTTTAGTCCGACGTCTGATTCCTCATTGGATCTTCAGGTCCGGGTTAAAGGTTCATGTTTTTACTGTAATGAGCCCTTCAAAATAAAACATACAGTCTATTGGTGCATCAGGCCATCTGAAGTGACCGTATAAGACAGGACAGCCGATACGCCTGGTTGTTTTCTAGTTGACAGGTTGCCATGGTGGCGGCTTGTCAATCAAACCCTCAGGTGTACAACTCCTATTTGAGTAAAGGGCGGGGCAGATTCTAAGGTTAGTTAAATTTGCTCGTTTTCTGCTAATATTATTATTGTTAACGTGCTAACGTCCCTACGATGACGACGACTCTGTGCTTGTTTGTAAATGTTTGTTTGAGCAGAAACCGTCCCCGTGTTGAACCGCTGATCTGACCTCCAGGATGGGAACTCTGACCGTCCATCACATGAAACCAAAGGACGCACATTCACACTTCCTCTCTGCTGTCCAGTTCTGTGCTGTAAATGAGCAGTTTGAGAATAAGGCTTTTATTTTGAAAGGTAAGAGACTAATCTTTGTACCTGCGTCCCTGCAGACTCTTGTAATAGTTCTCCTGCTCGCTCTGGTTTCGGATCTCCCGATCCAGCAGAACCAGAGCCGTCTTGCGCCTCATGGCCATCTCCCTGCGCTGAGCGTCCGCCGACATCTCCACCTGGGAGTGAGAGGGGGGCGGAGCCAAGTCAGGGTCGATGGTTGCACGAGGTGAGGCGGATCGCTGGGGCCGAAAGCTGCTGCCGCGGGCGGCGGAGTCTCCCCGGGTCATGCTGTTGAGGTCATACGTGTCACGTGGGTCACCACCGTTAGGCGCCCCGGCCCACTCCCATGGGTTACCATTACCTGCAAAGGGAGGGGCTTGAGGAGGGGGTGGAGCCTGGACAACAGGATGGTGCGGGGCATGGGCATCCACCGTGATGATGCCCGGCCCCTCCCTCTGTGGCTCTGAGGGGGGGCGATAGTGAGGGGAGTCGGTGGTGGAGGAGGTGCCGGAGCAGGTGGAGGTGGTCTCCGAGGATTTCTCCCCCGAGGAGGATGAGGGGAGGAGCCCCTGCTGCTTCGACATGGCGATGACCTGCATGAGCCGCGGCTGGTTGGCAGCACTTCTGGCTGACCCGTCCCCGGTGGTCTTCTCTCGGATGGCGAGCCACTTGGCCCGGGTCAGGGCGCTCTTTGGGGACACTGGTGGAGGTCCGGCTTCAGGGATCTGTGGCGGTCTGGGAGTAGCAACAGCTTTAGGGCCCCCTGGAGGTGGGGTGGGGTTCCGACTTGAGGGTGCCCTCCCAGACTGCACCGGGTGCTGGTAGACGTGGCCCTGGGACCCCCCCTCGTCTGTCCCCACAGAGCCGACCTCAGAGCCGTCCTCGCTGGCCTCCCGCTCTGCCTCATCGCGGACGCTCAGGCCCCTCATCTCCATCGACTTCTGCTTCCACTCTGACACCAGCTGCTGAGACCTCATCGGGTCCACCGGAACCTGCACCGCCTTCAGGCGCCGCTGCACCGGTTGCACCGGCTGCACTGGCTGCACAGGCTGCACTGCTTGCACTTCGGACCCTGGATTGGCCCCTAGGACCCCGTTGGCATTCATGCTGGCTCTGGGCAGTGTGTTGCTGAAGGTCAGCATGGTCTCCTTCCCCATGGGGCTCCGGGGGGCCAGCAGCTCCACATCCACACTCGCCCTCTTCAGGCTCCCCATGGAGTCCTTCTCCCTTTGCAGGGGCCCCAGAGGCCCCAGACCCTCAAGCCGGTCCAGGGGGGCTGGAGCGGCAGCTATCTCGTCGTTACTCTCTGAGGCGGAGGCGGGACCTTTGTTGTAGACCGAGTCATGACCTCGCTCCGTCAGAGCCCGCAGAGGGTCCTCCTTGGGGGGCGGGGGAGGCGGGGCAACGATGATGTCATCTGAGGACTTGAAGTTGGCGACTGCGTGAAAAGCCTGAAGAAGAAAAACAAAATCTCAAAAGAGTCATGTGACCTGACAGATTATGGCGCTGTGATCATTAAAGTCGTGGTTGACGATCGGAATCGTTTTTTTTTTTTGCGTCCTTCTCCACCACAGCTCCTGTAGCTAAGCTGCTACGCTACTTTTAGCCGCTCAGAGCTCCGAGGAGGGCCGTGAGAGTGGGAGGGGACGAGTCGGAACTACGGGAGAGGGGTGTGTCGAATACAGCGAGGTGATTGGATGGAGAGGCGGAGCAGGAGATTCACCAATAGGAGCTGTCCGGGACGGATGGCTCCCATTGGTCGATGTTTTAGCAGTCCTGCACCTGATAGGGTGAACAGATTTCTTCGTTCTTTTTTCTCTTCACTTTGTGGAGATCAAACTATAGGACCATGATCGCCATAGAAACGAAGTTCATGATAATTAACAATCTCTACAATCGTCAACCATGACTTTAAAGCGTCGTGTTTGTGAAGCCGAGACTCCTGATGACGACCTCTGACCTTGAACTCTCTGGAGGTCATGTCGGTTCAGTCAGTCAGGAGTAAATCACAGTTTTGTATCAGAGGATAATTTATCGAAAACTGTTTTTGTCGTCGTTGTCGCTCAGTGTGGTGTTTGGTGTGCATGCTGTGTGTGTGTGTGTGTGTGTGTTAAATGTGTGGGTGGTGCTGAAGTGTGTTGAATCATGTTTCCTCTGTCTGCTGACTCTCTACACCTTCTGTTTCATGGTGATGCAGTTGCCATAGAAACGGTTACAAAGAGATGTCCATGACAACAGAGGGGTTGGTTTAATCATCTAAAAGCAAAGTTTCTGCAGCCTCGTTATCCACACACACACACACACACACACACACGCACACACACACACACACGCACACACACACACACTGACCTTGTAACTGAAAAACTGTCTAAATACATCGAGTTTCTCACCAGGTACGCAGCGATGAAGGCGCCGATCAGGAAGCCCACGTAGACGTCGATGGGGTGACTGCGGTGCTGCGTGATCTGAGTCAGACCCGTCAACGCCGCCGCGATCGCAAACGCAAACACGAGCACGGGTTTGAGCAGCTTGGTGCTGTCGGAGATGGTGGAGTTGAAGTACATCTGAAACACGGCAAAGACACAGCTGATCAACGCCGCGCCCGTGTAAACATGTCTGCAAACAAACGTCAGGAGTCAAACTTACAGACACGTAAACAGCGGCGAAGGCGGACAGAGTTGCATGCTGGGAAGGGAAAGTCTTCCTGTTAAGAAGAAAGCAGAAACAAACTCAGATCCAGAGTTCACCTGAAAAACGACAAGAAGAAGAAGAAGAAGAAGAAGAAGAAGAAGAAAACTCACCTGGCAGCCATGATGGCGTGCTGGTCGTGACCTGAGCAGATGTCTTTAGTGATGTAAGCATTTTGGTCACATGACACACCCACCAGCGTGTAGTTGGGTTTACAGACGGTGAGGAAAAAAGGGGCGTGGTAACCTGTCGACAGCTGGATGATGTCAGTGACCAGAGCTGTTGCACAGAGGCCGAACACGTGCACACCTGAGAGGTGAGGGTGATACAGGTGAGAGACGGACAGGTGAGAGAGCAACAGGTGAGAGAAAGACAGGTGAGAGACAGACAGGTGAGAGACGGACAGGTGAGAGACAGACAGGTGAGAGAGCAACAGGTGAGAGACGGACAGGTGAGAGACAGGCAGGTGAGAGAGCAACAGGTGAGAGACAGACAGGTGAGAGACAGGCAGGTGAGAGACGGACAGGTGAGACACAGACAGGTAATATTGTGGATGTTACAGGTGAAGGTGGAGGAATTATTGATCTATGTTTCTTATAAAATTGTTTCATTTGATTCCACTTGAGTCGTGACTGATGGAGCCTGGAATACTTATGATCATGTTTTCATAGTTTTTTAAAATTCTACTTGTTTTGTTTATTTTGACATTAAAAGTCAAATTGAATAACAAATCCACCTGCAGGAACAGATAAGTTAACCTGCTCCTGAACCTGTCACAGGTGTTGTTACAGGAATGTTTGGTGCAGCGGGTGTCACAGTCAGAGTCGTACCTACGAAGCGCACCGTCCTCCTGAGGAAGGAGTTGAAGTTGCAGCCGCCGGCGTTGATGCTCCCCTCGGCTCTGCGGAGCTTCAGTCTGGACTGAAGACAGTAGACCAGACCTTCAACCAGCATGATCTGACGCACAAAACAAACACACAATCAGTCTGAGAGAGACGCACAAAACAAACACACAATCAGTCTAAGAGAGACACTCAACAAACACACAATCAGTCTGAGAGAGACGCACAAAACAAACACACAATCAGTCTGAGAGAGACGCACAAAACAAACACACAATCAGTCTGAGAGAGACACACAACAAACACACAATCAGTCTGAGAGAGACACTCAACAAACACACAATCAGTCTAAGAGAGACACTCAACAAACACACAATCAGTCTGAGAGACGCACAAAACAAACACACAATCAGTCTGAGAGAGACACACAAAACAAACACACAATCAGTCTGAGAGAGACGCACAAAAAACAAACACACAATCAGTCTGAGAGAGACACTCAACAAACACACAATCAGTCTGAGAGAGACACACAAAACAAACACACAATCAGTCTAAGAGAGACGCACAAAACAAACACACAATCAGTCTGAGAGAGACACACAAAACAAACACACAATCAGTCTGAGAGACACACAAAACAAACACACAATCAGTCTGAGAGACACACAAAACAAATACACAATCAGTCTGAGAGAGACACACAAAACAAACACACAATCAGTCTGAGAGACACACAAAACAAATACACAATCAGTCTGAGAGAGACACACAAAACAAACACACAATCAGTCTGAGAGAGACACACAAAACAAACACACAATCAGTCTGAGAGAGACACACAAAACAAACACACAATCAGTCTGAGAGAGACACACAAAACAAACACACAATCAGTCTGAGAGACACACAAAACAAACACACAATCAGTCTGAGAGACACACAAAACAAATACACAATCAGTCTGAGAGAGACACACAAAACAAACACACAATCAGTCTGAGAGACACACAAAACAAATACACAATCAGTCTGAGAGAGACACACAAAACAAACACACAATCAGTCTGAGAGAGACACACAAAACAAACACACAATCAGTCTGAGAGAGACACACAAAACAAACACACAATCAGTCTGAGAGAGACACACAAAACAAACACACAATCAGTCTGAGAGAGACGCACAAAACAAACACACAATCAGTCTGAGAGACACTCAACAAACACACAATCAGTCTGAGAGAGACACACAAAACAAACACACAATCAGTCTAAGAGAGACACTTAACAAACACACAATCAGTCTGAGAGAGACACACAAAACAAACACACAATCAGTCTGAGAGAGACACACAAAACAAACACACAATCAGTCTGAGAGAGACACACAAAACAAACACACAATCAGTCTAAGAGAGACGCACAAAACAAACACACAATCAGTTTGAGAGAGACACTCAACAAACACACAATCAGTCTGAGAGACACACAAAACAAACACACAATCAGTCTGAGAGACGCACAAAACAAACACACAATCAGTCTGAGAGACACACAAAACAAACACACAATCAGTCTGAGAGACACACAAAACAAACACACAATCAGTCTGAGAGAGACACACAAAACAAACACACAATCAGTCTGAGAGAGACACACAAAACAAACACACAATCAGTCTGAGAGAGACGCTCAACAAACACACAATCAGTCTGAGAGAGACGCACAAAACAAACACACAATCAGTCTGAGAGAGACACTCAACAAACACACAATCAGTCTGAGAGATACACAAAACAAATACACAATCAGTCTAAGAGAGACACACAAAAAAAAACACACAATCAGTCTGAGAGAGACACACAAAACAAACACACAATCAGTCTGAGAGAGACGCACAAAACAAACACACAATCAGTCTGAGAGAGACACAAAACAAACACACAATCAGTCTGAGAGAGACGCACAAAACAAACACACAATCAGTCTGAGAGAGACGCACAAAACAAACACACAATCAGTCTGAGAGAGACGCACAAAACAAATACACAATCAGTCTGAGAGATACACAAAACAAATACACAATCAGTCTGAGAGAGACACACAAAACAAACACACAATCAGTCTGAGAGATACACACAAAACAAACACACAATCAGTCTAAGAGAGACACTCAACAAACACACAATCAGTCTAAGAGAGACACTCAACAAACACACAATCAGTCTGAGAGACACAAAACAAACACACAATCAGTCTGAGAGACACACAAAACAAACACACAATCAGTCTGAGAGATACACACAAAACAAACACACAATCAGTCTAAGAGAGACACTCAACAAACACACAATCAGTCTAAGAGAGACACTCAACAAACACACAATCAGTCTGAGAGACACACAAAACAAACACACAATCAGTCTGAGAGAGACACACAAAACAAACACACAATCAGTCTGAGAGACACACAAAACAAACACACAATCAGTCTGAGAGACACACAAAACAAACACACAATCAGTCTGAGAGAGACACAAAACAAACACACAATCAGTCTGAGAGAGACACACAAAACAAACACACAATCAGTCTGAGAGAGACACACAACAAACACACAATCAGTCTGAGAGAGACACACAAAACAAACACACAATCAGTCTGAGAGAGACACACAAAACAAACACACAATCAGTCTAAGAGAGACACTCAACAAACACACAATCAGTCTGAGAGAGACACACAAAACAAACACACAATCAGTCTGAGAGAGACACACAACAAACACACAATCAGTCTAAGAGAGACACTCAACAAACACACAATCAGTCTGAGAGAGACACACAAAACAAACACACAATCAGTCTGAGAGAGACACACAACAAACACACAATCAGTCTGAGAGACGCACAAAACAAACACACAATCAGTCTGAGAGAGACACACAAAAAAAACACACAATCAGTCTGAGAGAGACACACAAAACAAACACACAATCAGTCTGAGAGAGACACACAAAAAAAACACACAATCAGTCTGAGAGAGACACACAAAACAAACACACAATCAGTCTGAGAGAGACACACAAAACAAACACACAATCAGTCTGAGAGAGACACAAAACAAACACACAATCAGTCTGAGAGAGACGCACAAAACAAACACACAATCAGTCTGAGAGAGACACACAAAACAAACACACAATCAGTCTGAGAGACGCACAAAACAAACACACAATCAGTCTAAGAGAGACACTCAACAAACACACAATCAGTCTGAGAGACGCACAAAACAAACACACAATCAGTCTGAGAGAGACACACAAAACAAACACACAATCAGTCTGAGAGAGACACAAAACAAATACACAATCAGTCTGAGAGAGACACTCAACAAACACACAATCAGTCTGAGAGAGACACAAAACAAACACACAATCAGTCTGAGAGAGACGCACAAAACAAACACACAATCAGTCTGAGAGAGACACTCAACAAACACACAATCAGTCTGAGAGAGACACAAAACAAACACACAATCAGTCTGAGAGACGCACAAAACAAACACACAATCAGTCTGAGAGAGACACTCAACAAACACACAATCAGTCTGAGAGAGACACACAAAACAAACACACAATCAGTCTGAGAGAGACTCACAAAACAAACACACAATCAGTCTGAGAGACGCACACAAAACAAACACACAATCAGTCTGAGAGACACAAAACAAACACACAATCAGTCTGAGAGACACACACAAAATAAACGCACAATCAGTCTGAGAGAGACGCACAAAACAAACACACAATCAGTCTGAGAGACGCACAAAACAAACACACAATCAGTCTGAGAGAGACGCACAAAACAAACACACAATCAGTCTGAGAGAGACACACAAAACAAACACACAATCAGTCTGAGAGAGACACTCAACAAACACACAATCAGTCTGAGAGAGACACACAAAACAAACACACAATCAGTCTGAGAGAGACACAAAACAAACACACAATCAGTCTGAGAGAGACACAAAACAAATACACAATCAGTCTAAGAGAGACACACAAAACAAACACACAATCAGTCTGAGAGACACACAAAACAAACACACAATCAGTCTGAGAGAGACACACAAAAGAAACACAACCAGGTCCAGCTGATTCTGTTTAAACTGTTGCTGGTTTCAATCATAGAACACCTGTTCGTTTAAGCCCCGCCCCTTCCTACCTTAACACCTAACATTTGATCGGATTAACACGATCATCCTGTTACAGAATCAAGAACCACCAGCTGTTCTTACAGGAACTTTGAACACAATAACGTAGGTCTGGACAATATGAGAAGAAGTTTATCAGGATATATTTGTTTTCCTATCAGCTGATATGGATCAATATCAGGATATAAAAATGTAAAAGTGTTTATTGGTCTCATGTCTTTTCCAACACAATAATCTCCTGCATCTGTGAGGTCTCTGTGTCTCTTTGGCGTTTTGTCGTAAGGCGTCGCTCTAGAGAAAGCCGACTGAATGGTCGTCTGTTTGTGAGAACATGTACTCGACATAATTTACGGTCCACATTACTCTGCTTCATGTCCGACCTCCAAAAACCAAAATACCTCCACACCACCGACGTTTTCCTAACGCCAGTGTTGTGGTTGACATTGATGTGGTCATCTGTTGAGCCTTCATGGTCATTTCTGTCGGGGGTAGCACTCATTTTCTTTGTTTCTCACCAACAGTGCTGTCGGCTTCACCTGTTAAAGTGCTATGGTTGGGTGGAGCTGCTGTCTGCTACGACACACATGATTGGTTCAGAGCAAAGTGGACCTGGAGCAACTCCTCTTTTAATTGGCTATTCATATAGTCGACCAAAACATGGCAGAATGACGACTATCGAAAAGCATATTGATCATGTTTGATATTGATATTGAGGGAAATTAATTTTCGATATATATCGTTATCGTTTTATCGCCCAGCCCTACTATGACGGGCTCGATCTTCGTTTGGAGTCTTCTTCGTATACTGAGGTTAGTCATGGAGTTCCTCAAGGTTCACGGCTCGGACCACTTCTATTTCAGCTTCCTTTAGTCAGTATCGTGAAGAAACCCTCCATTATTTCCATGATCATGCAGAAGAGAATCATCTGCCTATCAGGGTCTAACTTATGATGCAGCGTGTGTGTCTGTGTGTGTTACAGTGTGTGAGTGTGAGTCACCGAGGCAGCTGGTCCGGCGAAGGCCAGGCTCAACAGCATCAGCAGGGGGATCAGCTCGTCTCCTCCGTCCACGTACGGCATGCTGAGGTCTCTGTCGTGGCAGCGGAAACCCACCTGAGCCGGCTGCACCACGTCGGTCAGCTCCAGGAAGTACAGAGACACCATAGAAGAAGCCACGATGGGCAGCTGCACACACACACACCACAGAAGAAGAAGAAGAAGGAGGAGAAGAGCTGTGTGAGTTTTACTTCCTAATCATGTGATTTTTTTTTTATTTCAACGTGATTTTATTCTCGTTTTATTTTTTCGTTCTTAATCTAATATTTTCTGTCGGACAGGATCTTCAACCAACCGAACAAACTGATTCTGATCAGAGGAGTAAAAATAGTCTCCATCTGCTGCTTCTGTTTCATGTGAACAACAGTCTCACACACAAGGACTCACACACACACACACACACACACACACACACACACACACACACACACACACACACACACACACACACACACACACACTGTCAGATTTAAGTATTTTAATAATCTCTAAACCAATCAGCTGACTTCTGTTAACGAAATCTTTCTTTCAGATGACGCCTTCCTCGGACCCCATCGTATCCAACTTTGACTCATTTCTTTAGCAAAGAGACTAAACACAACTCACCTACTCTCTTCCAGCGGACGCTTGTTTGTAGAGAGACCTCAGGCCAGTCTATTACGGACTACAGCGGGGTGCCGCAGCTCAAGGAAGAACATTTATGATCATTTCTTTATCATTTCCTTTAAGTAATAATCACCATATTGATCATTTTACAGATGCGGTCGTTCTTCTCCCTCAGCGTCTCAGTTGGTGTGTTGACATCTATGTTCAAAACAGCCAACCGTTCTCTAAAGTTCGGCTGTATCTAAGCGGAAATCTGTGAAAAGAGTCTGAGTAATCACATATATCGACCATTGTGTCCTCCTTCTCCTCTTCATGAGATAAACAATCGCCTTTGACTTCACGTAAAATCTCTCGTTTGTTTACTTGAGTTTCCCCTGCAAATGCGTAACATTAAAAATGTTCATCTACGCTTATTTTACAGCCAGCACTCGATACTAACAGTTATAGACAAGAACTATGTTTGCATTTCCATGAAGAAATGATCATAAATGTTCTTCCTTGAGCTGCGGCACCCCCGCTGTAGTCTGTAATGGACTGTCTTGAGGTCTCACTACAAACAAGCGGCTGCTGGAAGAGAGTAGGTGAGTTGTGTTTAGTCTCTTTGCTAAAGAAATGAGTCAAAGTTAAAAAGATGTTTGGTGTCTAGTACTATGTCTGTGACCCTATATGTCCTGTTGATGAAGTTAGGTGCTGTTCTGAGCATTATTTGTGGCTATAGAGTGGCGTTTTGGTTGAGGGCGTGTCTCTCTGTATTTCTATCCTGCGGTCGTTACTAAAGTTGGTATAACTAGAGAAGCAAGCGGTCGACAACATTCATCTCTGGAGGGGGGGTCTAACTCGGTGTTACTGTGAGTTTGACCCTAAATTAATTAATTTTACTCCAGAATATCCCTTTAAGTATTTTAATAATCTATGAACCCATCAGCTGACTTCTGTTTACGACGTTTTTCTTTCTGATGACGCCGACTTCCTCAGACCCTCATTGTAAACCTCTCCGCCCTTCAGATCTGGATTTCTACATGAACTCACTCGTTTCTCGGTTCATCACAAACGATGGAGGAAGAGGAGGAGGAAGAGGAAGAGGAAGAGGAAGAGGAGGAGTGCCTTCTCGGCTGTTTGTGGTGAGTCTCAGTTTCACTGTCGACGTGTTTGGCACACACAGACCTCACTTCAGCGGGTTTGTTATTCTTTTGGTTTGAACATCTACTTATGAAACATCTATTCTTGTGTTGCTCTCCATCAAACACCTGCTCTTTCACCTGAATCTGGATTATAGATCTGTCTTGTCTGTAGATAAAGGTCAGTGACGTTGATGAAGGTGATGCTGCTCTGTGTGGCGTTCAGGTGTCTCAGGTTTTCATCGCTCTCTGTGACCTTAAACTTGAACCTTCGCTCACGGTCAGCAGACGAGTTCACAGTCAAGTGTGTGAGGGAGAGCGGGGGGGCGGGTCATGTGACCTTCTGCGGCTGATTCTCACCTCCACAAAGTAGAAACATGGCAGCAGAGTCAGACTGTCCTTCGGCGGTTTCTTCTTCATCTTCTCTGACGAGTTCATCATCATCCTGATCCACCTGCGTGCACGCGCACACACACACGCGCACACACACGTTAACCACCTCGTTTGACCTGCAGTGACCCTCACAGAAACACATTTTCTTCATCATGATCATCTGCAGCCACGTGACACAACGACCTGAACATCACACACACCTCTGCCAATTAACCTCCGACCAATCAGAGCGCAGATACAGACAGACCACCAGGACAGCAGGTTTCTCTCTCTCACACACACACATACACACGCGCGCACACACTCACGCACACGCTGCAGCCTGAATGATCCGGGAACGTTCCGGCTCGGTTTGATTGTCTGATGCAGATTCAGCTGAACAATGAGTCAGAGGGTCCGCAGAACACACACACACACACACACACGCGCAGCACGTGCACATTGTTCACACGCACATAAAACGAACGCACGCGCACACAGACACGTATACGTGCACGCGCGCCGCCGTGCGTTCTGAGAACAGATCGGTCCGGTCTCACCTCAGACCATCGATCCGCCTTGATTCCCGTCACGTTTCTTCCCTCCTCCTGCGGCAGAACCGGAG